CGGTCTCGGAAGCTCAAGCAGAAGTCCATAACTGCACCTCAGCGTGCCACCGGCCCAGAACGGACCAGATCCAGACCGGGAAAGTTGGGTCTTGGAGCCGTGGAAACATGGATGGCCAAAACCTGCAGCAGCACAAGCCCATCTATTGCGCGGGTGTCGTCGCACTTCAAAGTACAATCCATTTGCCAAGAGAATGGTGTGACTCTCCAGATTCTCTTCGCTATGTATTGAAGGGGAATCCATTCCCAATGCATTAGAATGATGAAACATGAACATGTGGTACCGCACGCCGTCCGTCGTGTTCCCCGCTCAAATAGCTGCATATCATGAACCTGGTACATTGCCGCAAACCTGGAAACGCGAACTTGATCTCTGCCTCGGTAGTTACACCCTTTTGTTTGCTGATTGCTTCAGCTCCATCTCTGTATTTTCGTGATGTTTGTGCTTCACGCGACACATGGACCGAATGCCCAGGACCGCCAGCCAAAAGTTCCCCTGAGGCTCATCCGGAGCGAGTTGATACAGCAGGTCACTCTCCCAGCTGATGTTGTTGTAAACATTCATGATGCAGACCACCGTGTTGAGAATCCAGACGATCAGAAAAATGATCCAGTACGCCTGACTGGAGGCTTTGTCGCGGAAGCGATATGCAACTGCCCAGGTAACCATACCGATCAGAGCAGTGGGCTGAGAAGTTAGCCAGTGGAGCCCGGAAGCGATGTTGCTTACTTACCGCACAGAGTCGTTGGAATCTACAAGCGAGGTTGAGATAGGCCATCCGGTCTGGGATGGTGTTGCGGGGGGCGGTCGCCATCATCCAGCAGGTTTGGAGGAATGCCATCCTATATCCATGCAAATCTATCAGACAACTCTGCAAACGATTTCCGCCCGCTGAGCGAGATCGTAGAAACTACTTACCAATGCATGGCAAGGAAAGGCGAGATAGTACCAATAAAGGCATGACTTTGTGCTCCAAACAGAGATCCTAGACATGCAGCAGCGATCTCCAGGCACCATGAGCAGATGGCCAGGAAGTAAAAGATGGTATATTCTTGGATGCGAGCCAGTGGGCCTCCAGTGCGGAAAGGCAAGGCTGGTGGCTCATCTTCACATGGATTCTCGATGGGTTTCGCCATGTCGAGAGAAGGAGGACTGGGATCCGAACGGCGTTGCCAAACGTGTTTGGTGCCGAACAAGGAAAAGAGGATCAGAGGAACAGATAAACAGAGGGCAAGACTCAGACGGTCTGCTAGATGAGTATTGCGCCTGTTGACAGCGGAAGCTTCTGCAAAGAGGTGAAGTATGAATTGATCCGCAGAGGCTGTACGGAGGACGTGACCAGGATGATGATGATGATGATGATGTTGATCCGTGGTGATCCGCCTTGCCGCCCCCAAACAAGGCAGAATAAGGCCAAGAGGAAGAAGCAATGGTCGTCCGTCAGAGCGGCGAGTTTTCGGTTAATCTTCGGATAAATAGACAGGCCGAGAGACCTTTTTGCCTTGCTGCCGCTTGGTTGCCGTCACCTTCACCTTCACCTTCACGATTCTTTTGTATCTTGTCGTCAACAGACTGCTCATTCACAGCGCAAATCACGCGCCCCGCGTCTTACGCATAATGACTGCTCCTCCCAAGACCTTCCCTATATGCGGCGTGGCATACGTCGGACAGATCGAGCATGAGTACATGCACAGCAAGAAACTGTCTGTTTGCGCAAACTGCCTGGCCCTTGGTTTCCAGAAGCCTCTGAGACGATGCAATGGCTGTTTGTTGGTTGACTACTGCTCCAAAGAGTAATTTTGTGCATAGACTCATAGTGGAATTGTTCTGACTCGTTGTTAGGTGTCAAAAAGCCCACTGGCGCAAGCACAAGTCATTTTGCCACATGGTTCAGGGCAAGGGAGATCCCAATGCCTATCTCTCGTCTTATAGCCATGATGAAGTCCTGCGGCTCATTGTCGATGCATACCGCCTAAGAGTCGAGACCGACCACCTATCCCGGGATGAGGACCACGGGATATATTACCCTGGGAAACCGATCGACGGCTTAGTCTGGGCCGAGGGTGACGGTAAGTAGAACTGCCTCAACCTTCAAGACCTTCTGCTCGTGTGAGTTACTGATCCTGGCGACCGTAGCCATTGATGACTTCCAACGATTCCTCGATTTGGCCGAAGGGTCGAAAATCTTACCGAAATGGTGGGCATTTGAAGACCGAATGCAGTGCCTCTCTTTAGCAATTGACAAAAATGACCCCGAGTCCATCTTCCACCCAATCAATCAGACTGAGCTTCCCCAACGGTATGGAGGTGATATGGCAATCCGGTTGGCGCTCGCTATTCTTGCCGAGATGTGCGTCGGTTACGATGGCAAGGGACCAGCTAAAGACGATACTTGGTTCCAGGAATTTCAGGAATTCCTGGACCTCCATCCAGAGGAACGAGCCCGTTTGATCAGAGGAAGTATCGAAATGGTGGACTCGGTGCTGAAAGAGCATGGAGAAGAGTTCGGACGAAAGCCGACATGACGCGCCGGGTCTGGAGTCCACGTCAAGCGGCGGGAAGTCCTGGCATTGATCCACACTTGGAGGTCAGTACAGAAGAGAAACTGAAATTGACTTCTTATATGTTAGGACCCGGCCCAAGCGATGGAACTGGCTCCGTGCCGACCACGCGAGGAGGTATTGAGCATGGTGGGCTGCTGGGGCCACTCTAAGGGAGACCAGTCAGACACAAGACGGGTCTCACTGTCAACCAGAAGCGCTAGGAGAACTCACGCCTGGCGAATATACTTGGAAGAAGTCTTGGGGAGGGAGATCGTCTGGCTAGTGAAAAGATGCATTTCGAGCTTCAGGTGAAATGCCCAGAGCAACCGAATACCAGCAAGACATCTCCAACGACTGGTTGATGGTAGGTCGACTGTGCATAATGCTGGAGCGACACTGACGGGGGGCACCGGAGGAGACGAAGTCAGAGGCTCTGATCGAAAATGGCACGCATTCATTGGTTCCAGCAGTGGCCTTGAGTGTTACATATATGTATGGTTCCTCGGGTTTGGCAGAGTGAGAGTGAGGGCGGCCTTGACTGATTCTTCCGTGCTCGCGGAAGGGCCGACTCAACTTTTCCCATCGACGCTTTGCGCCTGCCACTCGAGCCATCTCCGAAGCCGCCAATCTCAACCTTCATAATTGCGTTTCGCATCGGCGTCTGCGAGGCGGCATCATGGCAATGCTGGAAGTTGATACAATGGCAGGGACAGTCAAAATATCTGTTGCCGAGTATGAGTCGTTGGTGAGCACTTACTTCCTCGATCGTTTTGAGGGTCAAGCCCGCGCGCAGCCCTAACAACAATGTACAGGTCGACACAGCGCTCAAATTTCTTTCTTTGAGGCAGGCATTGCTTGCAGGAGGAGCCACAACGGAGACCGTGGACGTCTTGATCAGCGCCAATTTTCCACCGAAGCCTCCCAGCGAAGATACCAGTTCGGCCCGCGAAGATGGCTCGGGATCAGTGCCCATACCCGCCACGCGATCTTCCGTTCCTGGGGCTCATTCCACCAAATCCACAAACCCTGATCAAAATCTGCCTCATTTCGGTCCATTGATTCCGCATACACCTGATGATACTGATGAGGGTGACATGCCAGAGGAGCAGGCAGAAGTATCAAGGAACCGCCCTGTCAAACGGTCACTGACAATCACTGGACTCTCGCCCGTCACAACCCTCCATTCCGTCGCCCAGGTCCTCAAGGGTGGTGACATCTTTCAAATGCACGTTCGTTATCGAGATTGCTCGGCCCACGTGAGCTTCGTGGATCCGGCTGCAGCTCACAGCTTTCTTCGCCACGCGCAGACAAATGACATCTACGTTCAGGGGAAGAAGGTGAGCCTACACCAGCAACGGATTGGCATTGGAGGCTGCTAATAGCATCCAGGTGACCGTAGCATGGGATAACAACCGACAAAGTTGGATGCGACCGAGCCTTGCCAAATGCATCGAGTCACTCGGTGCAACTCGCAACCTCGTCATCCGCTACGTCGGACCAAACATGACCGCAGATAGCATTCGAGAAGATCTCAACCACATCCATGGCTTGGAAGTTGTCAACCTCTTCTTCGAGGACGACCATGCCTACATATCTCTGAACAGTATTCGGTCTGCTCTCACGGCCAGGAACTGCATGCTCTCGCGATTGAAGTATAAGCGGCTTAGGATTGCCTTCTATCCCGACGAGTGTGCTCAACCACTGCCATCCGCGAATGTTCACCCGTCGCAAAAGCTATCGGACATCAGGCCAGCCGGGATCTCGCTCCAAAATCGCTTCGAAGTGCTCGATGAATCCCAAGAGAGTTAGGAGTTGTCGGGCCGGGTCGACGGTTGAGGGTATTCACACAATAGGCTTGTTGATGGCAGGCAATGGGACAATGACATATGTTTGAGTGCTTTTTTTTTCCTCGGCTGATCCAAGCGAAGAGCCGCCGATGTGGCCCTGGAGCGTTTAGCGACAGCGACTATCAACCAGCACCAATGACAGGGGTATCGGAAGCGCTGAGGTAAAATGAACGCTGACAGCTTAACGCCGTCAATATGGCGAGCGACTTGTGCTTGTACATTAGTGCTCTTGATAGTCAATCATGGGTTGACTCTGCCCAATGTGAATTCAGGATTGTGTAATGCATGGTTTCCGGTTTGTTGCAAGTCTCATGGCTGTATCTACTTTCGTTTTCATCTCTCATGGCTATACCCATAGTGCCAATCCTCCCCTTTCAGGTCCTCCCTTATCTTATAGTTCTCCTCAGCCACATCGACCGTCCTCATGTCACATTCCACAACCTTTATTCCTGGCTCTCCGTCCTCAAATGATCCTGGAACTTTCCCAACAAGGGGCAATACCACTTGACTTAACCCGGCGCAGCCCTCTGACTTCGGACCGCCCACATTGACGAAGATGATTGCGCAGGTATTTTCAAAGGATCTTGTAATAAGGGCGGAGCTCAGAAACTGAATATCCACATCGGGTCCATACGCCCTCGCTTCAGGGGTCAGATCGTCTCTCGTCCAGAAGGTAGGGATGATGATCAGGCGTGCCCCCTGGCGGACCAAGGCCCGACAGGATTCAGGGAACGCTAGGTCCCAGCAGATCACGATGCCAAGGGGGCCGAGCGGAGTCTCTATCACAGAGTGAGGGTTTGGTTGAGGAGGCGGACCTTCTTCAGCTGAGAGATGATGCTGGGTAGCCTTAACGGAGGCCGGGCCTGATGTCAGGACTGTACGCTCGGGGATCCATAAGTTGGCTTTTGTGTAGCTTCCCAACAGCTCGCCCGTGTAGGAGATGAAAGGGGCGATGTTGAGGAGGAGAGGCGGCTTTATCGACTCGGGAGATGTTCCGTTGCTATTTGCAGGAGGCGGCGACTTTGGATCAATGGTGACGATAGTCCCCGGAACAATATTGATCTTCAGCTCTCGAGCAAGGGCCTGGTACTTGGTCACGTATTGATAGGCTGTTTGGGCCAGGAGGGCGAACTGTGGGTCATCTGGGACCCACGATGTTAAGTGGTACTCGGGAAGCACTGCGAGCGAGGCTCCTTGTGCGGCGGCATCGCGGATATAAGCTGATGCTGCAGAAAAGTTGTACTCTGGGTCAAGAGGCTGGTTTGTCGATGTGAGCACTTCCAAAAAGCACATGTTGAGAATTGCTGTTGATAAGAAGAGGACCATACCTTGGGATGGAGCTGGATCAACCCCACTTTGAATTTCTGCGAAAATGTTTCATAGGATGCCGCCATGGCGATTTGTCTTCAATCCAAGAATCTGGTCGAAGAAACCAATTCAGTGTGTTATATTGTGACTGCACGACAGCAGGTTGGAGGGTTGACGAGGCTTCCGGCTGAGGTTGCTGTTAGAACGTCATCCAGGCAAGGCTGCGCTAATCCCGATGTAGATTTTGAACTGAGCCCACACATCTTTCTCAATTCTCCAACCCTCGAGCGCCACTAAATTTTCCTTCTACCGATCACAATAATATTGGAGCAGGTGTTGTCACGCGAGTACTGTGCATGGGTCGCTCATTCTCCGTAACTCTCCCACCTGTAACCCTCCGGTCCGCCTGAATCGAACTTCCCTCATCTTCGAAGAATTCTACTTTCTGCCACAATGTCCTACACAAACGGCAATGCCTTCCCTGATGAAGATGTGGAGGAAGAGACCCTCGTGGCAGACTACCAAGAGCAGGTCAACAACTATGATGATGAGGGCGCAGACTTGGAGCGCGGAGATTCGGTCATCAGTGGTGGTCCGGCGGATCTACGAGCGCAACTGGAAGCCGCCGCGGCTCCTTTGGAGTTCCAAGCAAGTCTGGAAACCAAGTGAGTTGCCCAGAATGCGTCTATTGCAGCGAGCATCGTTGGCATCGTTGGAATATGTCGCTGTTAACGGGCGCGAGACTAATAATGCATGCGCAGATTCCAGAGCTACGACAACTACTGCTCGCTGTTCCACTACATCCTCAACTCTGACGGTCCCGTAGAAATCGAGACACCCTCCTACTACTGGGCATGGGACGTGATCGATGAATTTATCTACCAATTCGAGTCCTTCTGCCGCTATCGCAACCGAGTCGCCCGCACCGCACCCAATGAAGAAGAAGCACAAATCCTGCGAGAAAACCCTAACACATGGGGCTGCTATAGTGTTCTTAACGTCCTGTACTCCTTGATCCAACGCTCGCAAATTAATGAACAGCTTGCCGCCACGAAGCGAGGCGAAGATCCCATGGCTGTAGCAGGGGAGTATGGCTCTCGCCCACTTTACCGCATGCTGGGATACTTCTCCATCATCGGTCTCTTGCGAGTTCACTGCCTTCTCGGAGACTTCAGTCTCGCTCTGAAGACCCTAGATGACATCGAAATGAACAAAAAAGCCATGTTCGCCCGTGTCATGGCTGCCCATCTGAACACATATTATTATGTTGGCTTCTCCTACATGATGCTGCGTCGCTATGCGGACGCCGTACGCATGTTCAGCCACATCCTGGTCTACGTCTCCCGCACCAAGAATTTCCAGAAGGGCCCCAATCAAGGACAGTTTGACGCCATCGCCAAAAAGACCGAACAAATGTACGCCCTCATCGCCATCTGCGTGGCCTTTGCGCCCACCCGGTTGGACGACTCCATCCATACAACACTCCGCGAAAAATATGGCGAGAAGTTCGCAAAACTGCAGCGTGGCGGAACAGAGAGCCTGCCAATCTTCAAGGAATTGTTCCAATCCGCTTGTCCGAAATTCATCACCCCAACACCGCCGGATTTCGATAATCCTTCGCTAAACATCGACCCGGTCGATCACCACACTGAGATCTTCATGGACGAAGTCCGCAATACTCTCTTCAACCCCTTGATCAAGTCATATCTGAAACTATACACGACAATGAGCATTCAAAAGCTCGCCGGCTTCTTGGAGGTCGAGCCCGAAAAGCTCCGCAGTTGGCTACTAGTGAACAAGCAGCGAAGTTGTCGGCAGATTCGCTGGACTGAAGGAGGGTTGCTGGAAGGGGAAATTGTGGGTGTCCTGGGCAACGGAAGCTCCGAGGGGCTGGATTATGCCATCGAGGGCGATTTGATCCATATCAGTGAGGCGAAGCAGGGGAGACGGCTGGTGGACTGGTACTTGAGGAATTTGGCCAGGTCCTACTAAGCCAGGAGAACGGTGGAAATGGGACTATTGAGCCAAAGATGGTGAGAACGGGACACGAATTTTTCCAATGCAGGGAAAAAGAGAACGGAAGCCCTCAAGGGCTGATCCTAAGTCGTGCGTATACCCGAAGCATGAGAGTAATCCGGTACGGAAGATGCCAAAGTCATGTCATGAACGAACGGAAGGCACAAAAAAGGACACCAAACGAGCAGGCCTTGCGAGCCTTTCGGAACAACGTTGGCTGTGCACGACGCGTCGCTCCCCCTCCTCCAATTCGATGGCCACATCAGAGGCTCGGCAGTTGTGGATGTAAAGGTTTTGGGTTGAGAATGCGCGATGAGACACGCGAGAAGCAGGCGGTCCATACAAACAACGCGGCATTCGTCGCTCGCTGAATCCGCCAGGCAAAAACCAAGTTACATTTATACGAACAATCGGAATGTCGACTGGCGGGTGAAAAAAGTAACAGACTCTCTGTATCGTCGGGTTCTGTCTACATAGAAGGCAAGAGAAGAAATGCCCGAATTTGATTTGATTCCCGTGGACTTTTGATTTGGTCTGTGGATTTTATTTCGAAGCTTTTCCATTTTTTTAATTGCTTTTTTTGCACTTTGGCCCGCCCTGGTGCAGTTACTCCGTGTTAAATTATACAAGCCGCATGAATAGATGGAATGCATCAATCGTCCCGCATGTCATCGTCGTCCCCAAAGCCATCTTCCTCCACGCTGGTGTCTCTGTCTCCGTCTCTATCCCGTGTATCCGCATATCCATTCGCGGGAGAAGGTGTAGTCCTATCATCGGCCCGATCTTTGTGAGGTACTCCGTTCATACTGATGTCCGCCTTCTCCCCATCCTCAACCTCGGCCATACTAACGTCCTGCGCCCCTTCGTGCAACTCGCCTTGCTCCTGCAAGATCATATCTGCATGTTCCGCTTCTTCCTCCACCTGCGCTTGCCGGGTCAACTCTTCAAACTCATCTTTGAAGGAGGCGTCAAAATCTCCCCTAAATTCGGCGCGAGAGCGTCTTTCTTTCGCATTGGGCTCTTTGAAGAGCACCATGACTTGGTCAGGAATGTTGTCTTCCACGTTGCTGTTACGAGTTTTAGAGAGATTACCCCTATCAGCTCTCATTTTCACTCGTTCGAGGATCGGATAGTAATATGCAGTGGTACCTTGCTTGCGGAAACGGGAGTGGCGGGGAAGCTGTTTGGCATCGACTAGTGACAATGCCATAATGCGGTGAGGGTCGACTGTGTCTTGGGTGGCTTTTGGATAAACACGAACACGTTCAAAGGGTAAACGCAATGAGCCGTCAGCGGATTCTTCAAGAAGAGGTTCCATCAAGGCGGGGTCATCCTTTCGAGGATTTGAATCGTCAAAGAGCTGGCGGATGCGGGAGGTCGAGCCAGGTTGTTTAGGGACGGAGAGAGACCATGTGTATGGCTCAGGCCCAGGATCGGCGAATCTTTCAGGGTCTTTATCAAAGGCCTCTTTTGCTGCCTGCCAAGCTGGCATCAATGATGCGTTCTCCGAGGCCATCAGTAAGCCGACGTCGATACGATCATCTCTTCGGCCTTTGAATGGAGGTAATGGTGGCTTGTCGAACTTAAGAGCTTGCCAATTTGAGGCCATGTCTGTGCCGGTCTCGAGATCAGGGATTATGGGGTAAAATTCGACAGGCTTGAGCCTGGGATTATCAGGATGGACAGGATTTCTCCAGGCATCCCGGTCCTGGGAAGTAATAGGATTTGCTTTGGCTGCTGGAGGATTGAATGGGATACTGTCTGGGTAGGCAAGGTCGAAGCCCTTTTGAATCTGTCGCTTGATGTTTTCTGGGTCGTCTCGGGTAACAGGCACTGGCGGTGCCTTGTACACTTGAGGCTTCTGAGTCCGAGCGCTTGATCGCATGAATGCATCATTTGCTCGAGCCATTTGCGAAGATGTCATGTATTGTGTCTTGCGCAAAAACGAGACGTTGTTCTTTGCGCCCTGGCTCTTCAGCTGATCCAGCGACATCAGCAACGCTTGGTCGGCAGGATCCAGCACAGGTTGGACCTCAGGAGCCATGATTGCGCTTTCGTCGCCTAGAAAGTAGCCTGGGACACCGATCATATCTATAGGCATGCCACCTTCAGCGTCAACTTCAATATTTGGTTCTTCTCGTTTTGCCAGGCCCGACGCGTAACTTGTGGTGAGGTATTGAGCCAAGCCGCCGGTGTCAATATCTAGGACTGTAAACGTGTATCAGCATGGGCAAACCAACCTTGGGGGACATCGGGCACTGACACTTTGGAGACATGGGAGGCGGAGGCAAATCATTTCGATATCGTATCGAAACGACCATGTCCTGCTTGAAGCCCTTTGTTTCGGCCATCTTGACTGGCGTCTTTGTAGGTCGAGCGCCACGGCAGGGTGATACTGGGGGATGGGGACGCGAGCCCGCGGGTTGAGATGGCGCGGAGTAGGTTGTAGCCTTATGAGTAGATTGGCATATTTGTGAATGCGAGGACTGCAGGAGACAGACACTGCGTGCTCGGTTGTTTTGTTTTTCAAGTGAAGTCGGTACCAACTACGTGCTACGAGGAACAAATCTCCAAATCGCGCTGGGGAAAGTTGCGGACCGCAGCCAAAGCGAATAACTTCAAAAGACAGTCTTTTCAGGTGCATTGCAAGGCTGGATATGATGTCAACGGAGTTAATACGTGTCAGACCGTGCCACTTTTTAAATGCGGCTTCTTCTCGCTGCGGAGCTTGGTCTTGGTCTGGTTCATGATTCTCATCCGATCTTCCCTGCCAACTTCACCCTTCTCTCCACTAGGATCGTCTACCTCTGTCACTTCGGAAACCCTTGCCTTTCGTTCAGGCTTCGGTTTCACGCAACAAATAATGGGTTGGTTTTGGGCGGACGTACCGAAAAAGAGCGTCCCTGCTGAGTCGTCGCAGTCCCCGGCTGCTCCTCCGGTATACATACCCTTTCACCTCTCCACGTACGATGACTTGAAGGACTAACTCGCTCAAGTCGGGATGCCCTATGCATAGATCAGACACAGGAAACTCCACGCCGTTCCCGCCACGGCTCAATCAATCGACATCGACGCCCTCTTCATGCCCGGTCAAGTCTCCAAACCACCCGCTGAGACATCAAACGTCGGAATCATCGAGCCAAACTCAATCTTCTGAGGAAAAGCCTTTGCAATCCTCCTCTTCGACTCTCTCCAGACTTAACCCTCTGAACTACATGCCTTCCCTTTCCAACAGCCGGCCAGCCGATTCCCCCCAATCAGTAAATTTGCCGCTTGACCGGGAACTGTCTTCCATTCCTCGGAGTGATGCAGAGTCAAATTGGGAATATCCCTCCCCACAGCAAATGTACAATGCGATGCTTCGCAAGGGCTACACCGACACTCCCGCTGAACACGTCGAGGCAATGGTTGCCGTGCACAACTTCTTGAACGAGGGAGCGTGGGCAGAGATAGAGGAGTGGGAAGGGATCTTCTCCGGAGGGCTATGGAAAGGCTGGGAGACTTGTTCACGCGGTGAACAAGCCATCACTTTAGATCGGGCGAGGCAGGAATACGCCGCTCACCGACGATTAGCCCTCGGATTAACCCCGGACCCCCAGGAAGACGAGTCCAAACCAAAACTAATTCGCTTCCAAGGGCGCCCTCAAGAACCTTCGCCCAAAGCCCGAATCTTGCAAATGTTAGGCAAGGTCTTCCCAAACCATTTCTCTCAAGAACCTCCCTTCGACCGACACGACTGGTACATCTCCCGAAAACTCCCCAATGGGTCAACAAAGGAAGTCCGCTACGTTATAGACTATTACGGAGGCGGTGTCGAACAGGAAACGGGGCAGCCTGTCTTCTACTTGGACATTCGACCTGCACTGGACACGCCGACGGCGGCAGTGGAGAGAGCCATGAGGTGGGGAGGGGACGTGTGGCATCGAGCATCTGGAGGAGCGGCCAGGGAGGCTGCCACACGAACCAAAGAAAAGGAAAATGGATCATGACTTTAATGGCCGGGATGGATTGCCATGATTGAAGTGACACGAAGTACACGCGCATTTTGACATGTTTGAGATTGGTTTCTACTGGTGCTACCAGGGGGCATATTCTGCCGTGATCGGAATTGAAATTCCACGGCAAGAGCGCGCTCTGATGATTTCGATCGCACCCATTCTGGGAGGGCGCGTTTTGCGCTTTCTGAACGTTTGGCTTTGCACAAGCTTGTATCTGGAGCTTCTGATTCAGTGTCGGGCCCGTGTTCCAAATAGGGCTTTGAACCCTCTCCTCCCCTCTATAGCATAGTGATGTAATAATGTCCTGTAGACTAGATTATACATGAATGACGGCCATTGTCCATACATGTCTGTCCACGGTCTTCTGTATAACGAACTCGGTCTGGTTTCCGATCCTAGTTTTTCCTGCTCCTGGGGTTATAATAAACATGGCGACGACGTCACACCGGCGATCAGATAGCCTGTAAATGGCCGAAAGGGCAATGCACTGGATGACACATGAGAATCTGCCGGTGATAGAAATTCATGAGAGAAATCAAGGGCGCCGGGCGCGTTCCATCCCAATCCATGCGGTCCAAGGGGCTTTTCGCCAGATCTCACACTGCTCGATGCGGGTGGCCTCTCAGCCCATCGAGCCCGGGGTCCAGGGTCATTGAAGGTCGTGGTGAGGCTGGTGAGTGGAGTTCTGAACCTTGCAAACGTCGGCCCAGATGCCCTGCCATATCGAAGACTGCAGCCGCGGCATATACAGGAGCCCGTACATGACCTGTTCGACCTCTTCCCAGGTCAGGAGACGAAGATCCCGAGCAACCTGCGCCAGGAACTCCGTGAAGAAGCGCTGCTCCGGTTGTTTCAGCGAGTTTTGCACGAAGACGAAGAGGACCCAGCAGATGATCTTTTGTTCTTCCGCGTCTTCGGATCGTTTCCAATGGAGCCACTTCTCAAACGCCCCTTTCTGGTGGTGTGTTAGAGCTCTCCCGAGCCCGGTAGGAGCCATAATTGTGTGAGGAGCAATCGAGAGCATGCCCAGGGCTGCAAGACGGATTATGCCTTCCAGTGCTGGTATTTCTGGCTCGTTTTCGTTATTTCGAGGAAATATATCTGTTTCATAGGGATATGCTAGCAGATCAAATTCCAGCTCTGTTGCTTTCTTCCGCAAGCTCAGGTTCTCTGCGGGCGACGGGCCTCGGGGAACCACACTATGCATTTCACAAAGACGGCAAATATCGCTGGCTGTAGTGAGCAGCAGTTTCAATCGCTGGCTCATTTGCTGCAGCTGCGTGAAATCCTGTCCCAGGCGAGTCATGTCAGTTCCAAGATGTTGAGCAGCACAGAACAAAACCTCTTCAGGTAAGGGTTCGCGCGTGAAAAGCAGCGGGAGGACAGGGCGCACAAGTAGTCCAACCGAGACTTTCACATTTGACAGCGGTAGCCACATCATTGTTTCGTCTGAAAGGGTCATCTGTGAAGTTATCCGCTCGAGGATTTTCAGATGTATTCTGGCCTCTGCGAAGTTGCCCACAACTGTAGCGGTCGAGATAAGGCCAAAGCAGGCCTCAACCATCTGGTTATCTACGTTTGCACGCTGGTCGAACGCGCGGCGAACGGCCACCATTGCTTCATTCTTAACTCTGATATAGTCTGGATCGAAGATAAGGTCATCATGATTGGTATTGGATGGCGCCAGGTCTTCATGTCGACCATAAAAGACTGCTCTATGGGCTGCAGTCGTCGCCATGAAGCCTAGAAACGTTGCAGGGTTCGATGTCTTGCTGTTCAAAACCATTTTTTGTCGAGCAAACTTGTCATGAGCTTGTTTCGTCTCGACACAGAAGGTCAGTGGAAGCATAACATCAAAGCCTATATTCACTGTCAGGGCTTTGTGGTCGATGCGGCCCGTAAAACACACTCACAATACTGCAGCAGACTCTCCGAGGTATGATGTGGTAATCCGTTGGTTGGTAAGGTATCGAATGGATCAAATGCATGTGCAGATGGGGATATATTGAGGCGCGGAGACGGCAGAGGAGGCTGGGTCGGCCGAAAAATATCGCTTCTAGCAACGATGACTGGGCTGTTGGCATTGTATTCGGTTGAATCATTGCTCAGGGACGGTTCAGAGTGAGTGGACTCGCTTCGCGGGTTTTGCTGACTCCCATCTTTGGGACGGGTACGCCCAGTTGACCTCTTTTTGCCTTGTGCTAACTCCACCTGACGGACGCGTTGCATGACATGTGAGCGGATAGCATGACGCTGCTCTCTGTTGCTGATTCGTCTGTGAGACAACGAAACTAGATCCTCAGCTTGATGCACAAAGGTGAAATTGATATTAGGAGAAGGGACTTGAGGGTCTGGTGGCTGAGAGCCATCAGCCGTGTCTGGCACTGCGGCGGTATCGCGGTTAGCTATATGCATGAGTGTCGACATTCGAGCCTGAATGTAGATATATTCACACCTGTACCACGCGAGCCACGGCGCATTCTCCCAGGTCCATCAGTTCAGAGGAAGCAATGATTCATCAAACAAGTCTATAGCTTGTAGGATGCAGCCATGCAGCCACGAAATGTCACGTCAGTTTAAAAGCTGAGTTCACACAAAAGCCATCGCATGCTGACGCGGACATCCAGGGCGAGAGGAGTGCGAAACCGTTGAAGGATCCTCAAGGATCGCTTGCAAAGTTATAGAAGCAGATATATGCCTGGCTATGGCCGGCCATGTGCAATCCAACCGGGGATCCACGATCCGTACCCTTTGGACGAAATAGACCTCGGAAGATGCCAGAGTAAAATCGTCGCACGAGGTTAATCAACGACAGAAAGCTTGGAGGGAGCCGATAGGGGTGGTGGAGCTCACTGAAACTCAGAAATAAGTAAGCAGGAACAGAGCCGACTTCTTCAGGCTTGTCTTTGCAGACCGCTGGGTGTGTGCTATCATCTGGGATCTGGAGTCGTCGACCTGGGTGGAACTCCTCGGTGCATTGCTGCTTCCGAACGGGAAGGTGAGAGCTTCTTCAGGCTAGTCAGCGACCGGGGAATGCGACTTGGCGAAGGTTGTCGGTTGGTAAGGCAGCTATAGTAGTTAGTTAATCAGAATTGGGACAGACTGGCGATCAGTCGCTGAACGAAAGCTTGCAGCCACTCCATCTTACGTACCCGGTAGACAGAGACGTTGATACTCATCGCTGCGACTTTGCTTTGCAACGGGCAGATTGCGTCCTGCAGGTGTGGATAGACGAAGTTGAATATGTTTCGTGTCTGGCAGGACGGCGGCCAACGTCGGTGAAGTGACCCGGGTGGTTCCGGGAGGCGCACCGAGTGTCACTGTTCTTTGTTATGGTTTCAGTGTTGTGGACAGCAGTCGACAGGTCTCCTCTTCACGAGTCGGTCAGCTATCGGGTCGACTCCGTCCTCTTGACCCATAGTTCGTATTCGCTGGATGTCCGGTGGAGTCCGGCAGTTTGATTGGGGCTTTTAGCCTGTGTAACAGTGGCTGGGTACTCTATCCGATTGATCAAGTAAGCGGCGGTGATATGAAGAATAACGGCAATTGCCGTATGAGAGCTGGCCATGGTCTATTCAGTCTATCGAATGTCGTGATAGACGCCTTAGCCGCTGCCGGGAGTCATGTTCCTAGCTTCCTCTTGCTATCGGTATACGCCAGCTCTTGTCATTCGCTTTGTCATTCCTGGGGGTCCTCCGGAGGATGCTGAGACTGCGAGGTCGTCGGAGAATTTCTGAATTCGCTTTTGGTGTGACATGCGTCAACAGCGGATCTTGACGGCATTGGCTCCAGTTTCCCTCTTTCTTTTCTTTTGTAGCCACCGTAGCTGCGGCGGGCTCGCTGTGCTGGGCAAGCTGGGCAAGCTGGGTCGCTGGCAAATGTTGGGGATGATGATGTCTTGCCGAAATATTGCCATCGGCCTTGGCACTCGCCTTGAGTAACGAAAATCTTAAGTAATCGCAATGGTCCTGGACATATTTTTCGCCGCCGCCGACGCCCAGGACAAACCCCTGCAGTGTCATAGGTAATAGGGGGTGTGTTTGTGTGTCCGTGATTTCTGGGTATGTGCTCCATCCCTGTATCATGTATCATAACACACCTTGTTCTTCGCCGAAAATCCTTGCTAGCATGAAATACACAACAATGCCGCCCGCTATGATCCACATCTTATTTCGCCAGATCCAACCCTGTCCTGCGTCCCTTGCAGCCTGGCCACCCTGAACCACGACTCCGACACCGGTGCTTCCTCCCAGTATCCGTCGCAAGGCTCTCGTCTCTGGCGAGCAATTGATCTCTTCGCCTTCTTCGTCGGGGAGCATCCGACCGGTGACCGGGTCAATACGATGCTCTTTCATCCATATCCAGTTCTCCTTGTCCTCATCGGGGAATTCTACCCTGAACTTTGCTCCTCCGTCTCCTGCTTTGATGTTGCCAATGCCCTTTGTGGTCGGCTGGACGCCGGGAACCGGCTTTGAGGCTGATCCGCCACCAGTGGAGTTCCACCACCTTGATCTTGCTGCGTGCCACTTCCGCTCTGCCACTGTTCCTCCAATACTACCAGCAGTCATCTCTTCGCTGTTCATAAATGACATGAGCCCTATGAGTATGGTCGACACTGACCATGCGGGATTGAATAGTTGGGGGTGATAATCGGAAATGCTCAAGCAAAGTCTCGTGGAAGGTTGGAACCGGCCTGATGGAGTATGCATTCGGCTGTTTTTTTCGTTAGCCATCCAGACACTTCTATTAGGAATGGCAAAGCTTCGGCTAGGGATGCATCCTATGGCCCACGGTCTCGGGAAAGACTTACATGGCGGGAGGTGCGAAAGGATAGTCGGAAGGGAAAATGAGAGTTCCCTGCCTTCCTGTTAGTATCCACCATGATTGGGTTCAGTGAAATCGCCTTCTTCGGACAGTTTCCTAGCGACGACTGTAACTCACATGGTATTGTCCGCCTTCTGTGGTTTTGCAAAGCGAGAGTGAGAAGCCCGATCCGATTAAATTGAGGCATTTGGAAAACCTACCATACGGTGTGTTTGGAGCCCCGGTCAGAATATAATGCCATTCCAGTATATTGTTCTCGCTCGGGTGTGCTTGTATGAATGGAGGTGGAGAACGCTGAATTGCCTCATATTCCCGGATGAGTCTTTTGTGGGCGGCTTTCGTTGCCATCTTCGCGGGGAGAAATCGTAGGGTGGGGTGGGTGGATCTTGGATGGAAGGTGAACAAATGGAAGGTCTAAAAATCAATCTGAGAAATGGCACAACACATGACGAAAGGAGAATCACCGTCTTGTGTGGATAAAACTGCGAGACTGCGAGAAGGGGAGTTGTCACGACGAAGACACGCGAGCATGCGCAGTCAGAAGCTGTGGTTGAGCGGGCTTGCAACCTTGCTACCTCATCGCGACCGAAGCAGAGCAAAGCAGGGCAAGTCTGCCGAGGACTAATCGACGTCCGCAGCTGCGCAGCATGTGGGCCTGCAAGATGCATTTTCGCAGCACAGCTCTCGCATTTACGGTGCCCTTCTCCCCTGGGATCTACACCACCAGCTACAATCGAAGTCCGCCAGCTGGCTGAGCTCAATGGCAACCTCGGGCCCTAATGAGTCGGAGGAAAGCATTTTTCACCTGTTAAAAAAGGCCGATACAAAGGAGCTGGAATCTCGAGAAAAGGCTATCAATGACCGGTTACATCGCACATTTCAGCTCGGGCAGCAGCGACTTGCAGAGCTAATTGACCAAAACTCAACTCTGCCCACTACTGTGTCGTCAGTGACAGTCCTCGGAACCCAAAACACAAGACACGGTTTCCTTGGGGCTGTGGTGAATCCTCTATTGAGCGCCAACCGCGACCGACCATATACTCAATCCGAGCTTATACACGAAGTCGCAAGGACCGCCGAGAAGCTCAGGAAGTTTGGTATTGTCATATCCCTGTTCGCGTGGTAGCATTGTCTCATTGTGATACAGGCATCTATCACGATCCCGTCTCTGTCTACTTAGACAAGCCTTCCAAGACTGACCCGACAACCACGCCAACCGATGTTGCCATATTCTACTCCGTGAAAGAGAAAAGCCGGATATTCGCAAAGACTGGAACGGACCTTGGCAATGCGGAAGGGTCAGCATACGCCAATGTGCAATGGAGGAATGTATTGGGCGGCGCAGAAACTCTTGACGTAAATGCGTCCATCGGCACGCGCACACGCTCATCGTACCAAGCTACGTTCGATACTCCCGTGCTGAGTAATCCCGATCTCCGGTTTCAGGTCGGCGGATTGCAGAGTGCGACTCAGAAAATCTTTGCCAGCCATGAAGAAGTGCTGAAGGGAGGCTGGACTAAGTTACGATGGCTGACTTCAGCGGGATCTTTTCATGAAATAGGATACAACGGTTTTTGGCGACAAGTGGCGGGGCTCGCAGAAAATGCTTCACAAACCGTCAGGCACGAGGCAGGCGACTCTTTCAAGAGCAGCATTTCACACTCGTGGATGACCGATCGAAGAGACAACTCCATGCTACCCACCCGGGGTTATTATGCCAAAACAACGGCAGAGCTAGCAGGATGGGGACCACTACAAGGTGATGTGGCATTCCTAAAAAGTGAATTGGAGACCCAATCGGCATTATCGATACCAGTGCCGGGTATAAAGGGCGACAGTGGCGTGAGCTTCACCGCTGGATTTCGTGCAGGCCTCCTTTACCCTTTAACCTTAGGATCGAAGCAGAACCCGGAAATGTCGCGGATTAATGACCGGTTTCAGCTGGGTGGTCCTACAGATGTTCGAGGCTTCAGATTATCGGGGTTGGGGCCCCATGACGGTCTAGATGCGGTGGGCGGTGACGTCTACGCAGCTGGGAGCGCGAATCTCCTTTTCCCTCTCCCCAAGGTTGGAAAGGATAAGCCTCTCCGATTCCAGGCCTTCATCAACGGTGGAAGGCTATTGGCAATAAGAAATCCAGAAAAGGAGGGTCCGATGACAAGCCAAGAAGCCAAGCAAAGTGTTGCAGATGCTTTCTCAGAGATGGGAAATGGGCTACCGACAATGTCAGCCGGTATAGGGCTCGTTTACGCCCATCCTGTGGCTCGATTTGAGCTCAACTTTTCATTACCGTTAGTTGTCCGGAAGCAGGAAGAGGCCAGGAAGGGGGTGTCTTTCGGCATCGGCATCAATTTCCTGTAGTAACAGCGTTAGACAAAAACTGTACATAGTAACAGCGTGGCCGATAATGACTCGTGGAAATCACATATTCCTGAGACGAAACAAGGCTGAGCAGGGCTGAGAGGAAAGGCCAACTGGCAAAAGAGAGGTTCGGTCGGCACCAGCCAGTCAGAACGTCTCCGCCGCGGAGTTTGGTTCTTGAGGGCCACCTTGGAGCCACATCGAACACGTCTGCAAACTTGTACCTCATTGAAGGCAAAATTAATCTTATTCTCACTTGCATTCTATGTACGACTCACACATATCGTTCCGCAACTCGTAGATGAGTTGTCTGCCAGTTGCAGCTCCCCCTTCCCACCGTTCTTAATCGGCTCCGCGAGCAAAGACCCCTACAAATCTACGGAACCTGCTCACAACCCACTCGACGGCCTGAGCGGCCCAAAGAAACCATGTCCTACTACAACCAACCCTACGGCCCTGGCGCGGGAGGGGGCAGCGCAGCATCGAACCTCCAATTCTACCCTTCTTCCTACTCAAACGTCTCCGGCCACACGACGCCCTCACAAGCCTCTTACGGTGGGTATGGCGGCACAAGTAATACGGCAAGCGCATATCCGGGATATGGCGCAGGCTCCTCCGGAGGATTTGGAGGTGGGCCTGGAATTCAGGGTGTTAGTGGCCGTATGGGAGATTCTGGAGGGCTGAGGACGGGCTGGCTCGCGGCATTTGGGACAGAGGGATATGAAGGAGAGCCGGGGTTGATGGAGGAGCTGGGCGTAAACTTTGGGCATATTAAGACAAAGGTAAGGGCCCTCACATGGCCGCTGCCTGGCAATAATTGAGCTGACGCCGGGGGCACACAGACACTCACAGTCCTAAACCCATGGACGCGCCCATCACCTCATATTATGGACGACAGTGATCTCTATGGGGGCCTGTTATTCCTGATTCTTTATGGAACCTTCCTTGCCCTCTCAGGGAAATTCTTCTACGGCTATATCTACGGCATTGCACTGTTTGGATCTATAGCTCTACACTGGATGTTCGCGCTCATGACACCACCCATCGACCCCAATGATTCAGATCAGATGGCTCAGGCACAACGAGATCATGGTCAAGGGCCTGGCGGACACCCTCATGGAGGCCATTTCTCTAGCACCCTCACGTATTCGCGAAGCGCAAGCGTTTTGGGGTACTGCTTCCTTCCGCTCGTCTTCACCTCGCTGTTCGGGGTGCTCCTGCCCATGGACACGGGCATGGGATATGTTCTGACGGCGATGGCGGTTGGCTGGTGCACATTTAGCAGTTCCGGAATGTTTGTCAGTGTGGGAAGAATGAAGGGCATGAGAGGATTGGTGGCATATCCATTGGCACTGTTCTACTCAGGGTTTGGGATTATGGGTATCTTTTCGAGTCGGGGGAGTGGCATGCTGGAAGGCAAAGTGCTTTGACGATACGCACTGGTTTTGTGAAAAGAAATGATGTTTGAACCCAAGAGCCGGACTGTCCAAACCGTGCTACAGGTGCTCGGCAACCCAGGTCCAGGTCCAGCCCTTGATTCATCGCGCTATTCTGGGCACGGATATCGAGGCGACCGATGATGAGTCTACAAGATTTGTCTGTCGTTGATGAGTGACCGGCCTTCAAAACGGCATAGCAACAGTTCGAGGAACGCGAGCTTCCGGTGCAATGTGAGGCAGATGACGTACACTACACCGTGAAGCGCATGTCAATTGAGTAGGACGCGGGAGCTCATAGACTGCTCAAAAACCGAAAGAGTATAGGATCCGAAAACTCGTATCATAGAGTTGATAGATGCCGTGTTGCTTATTTCGAAGCCAGAGCAAGACGCAAGCAGCTCGAAAGTTCTTTCCGGGAGTGGCATGGGCGACGGACATCACCGCGGCATCTATGTTTGTCTTCCCCAATCTTTGGTGTCTTCTTCTTTCCTTTTTATAGCTGAGAAGTGAGACCCATGAACCCCGACACTTGCTGGCACCAGTCCAGGTGGACGTATTACATCTTGCAATCATGGAGATCTACGGTATGCTAGGTGAGAAATTGGGAACAATAGGTAAGGCTGAGAAGATGGCTGGGGACAAGGCTGAAGAAGCGGATCTCCCCCAATGGAAGAAGGATTTTTTGCAGAAACCCTCCATCTCAGTACGGAAAGGCATTGCTTGGGTAAGTCTCCATTCTCCGGGCGAGAGTGGACAAGACCCTGTGGCTCGAAGCTATGAAATTTTCAATGCAACGTAAAAAGAGCAAAATCGGGGTGGATTTGCGGCATTCTACCAAACTCGGGACTGGGCCCACGAGAACTGCCTTCTTCTGACCTCGTGACAATCTGGACAGGGCTACACTCCTCCCTATGAAGACACGGATACGCTTGTCCTGTCATCTGCACAGTCCTTGTTCGTCGACATCAGATTTCCAAGGAAGCGACAGTTATCAAAGCCAATAACATCGGACCCTTCATTCTGGGCGTTCTCTGGAACTTCCCACATGACATTTGCCCCCTTTACTGGTGATACGACTACGATGCCTTACTCAGCGCACTGCGTGTGGAAGCACGAGATCGACTCAAAGGGGCCAGGCATCACGGACGAAGGGGATTTATTTTTGCTTCCTAACGGCGACTGCATGGAAGTGGGGATGATGCAAAACCCGCAGACTGGCAAGATTGAAATGTACAAGGAATATTGGACAGGGCCACCAACCCGAGTGACACCAACAAGTGCTACAATGGATTCCCGCACACCCTGTGTCGCTGCGACGACACAAGCCAAACCGGATGATCAGGAGGTCCAGGGCTCTTCACCGCAAGAGAGCGGAGTCATCATTCGTATAGGGGATTATTGTCAAGGCATCATGCGTCAGCGCACAGGAGAATCCGGTTCGCCTGAAGGAAATGCTGTTCTAGTTGAAAGATGGACTCGCAGTCTCGTCGAAGCTGATCTCAAGGCAATCAATACCGGTACTTCGGAAGAACACGACCATGCAGCAAGTTGGGTTCAGGACTGGCGCAGTAACACGCCCTGTGACAACGGAGTTTTCATGCCATGTATGTGGTTATGCGACGGAAATAGGAAGCTCAGAGATGAGATCATGGTCAAGGGCGTCACCTGGAGAGTTGTGGAAGTAGTGCCTGAGAAAGCGGCAAATGAGGAGACTTGAGCTCTGAACGCAGATCTGAGCGAGCCACGAGAGTCATGGCAAGACACACGAAACATCAGAAGCACTGCTCTGGTGTCAGATATTTCGATTTTCAGAACATCTACAGCCATGACCGATATCCAGCACTCTCAAGCAAGCCAAAAAGAAACCGTGGATACAAAGTCAACCCGGCTATCTTTCCCTTTGCTTTCTTGGGACGTGCCGCAACCATAAGACTATAGTATTTGGACTCTGTGCCCACAGGTGGCCGTGTGAAGGATCGGCAATGCCGCGGCAAAAGGCTCGAGGGTACATACTGCGTACATAGCTTAGCTGGTCGCTGGGTACATACTGTACAATCTCGCGGTCTGATACGCGCAAGTACGCGGAAAGATTGCGTTCCAAGCGAGAATTGATAAACTATGCCAAGCATGGAGCTGAAGCTCGCTAGCGTGCCGAGGATGAGCCGGTGGACCAATCATCATCATGTCTTGGATTCTGCCTAAAAGGGGCCAGGGACAGATCTCCTCACTTTCAACCATCTCTGTCTCTGTCTGTCTCCCTCATCCTCGACTAACTTTGCCTCGATTGGCCGATACTCCGCGTCCTGCCCCCGAGCGAACCTACTCCATGATCCGAGACGCCCGGAATGAGGCTGGATGCCTCGTTCTGTGCGTGTGTGTGAGAGAGAGAGAGAGAGAGAGAGAGAGAGAGAGAGAGAGAGAGAGAGAGAGCGAGAGAGAGCCGCGGTGGGATTGATTGTGCTCCGCCTTCCTCATCAGTATCGTTTTCGTATTCTTCTCCCATCAGATTCAGCTATCTCAATGCCATGCAGACCATCCCTATGCTTGTGGGACACGGCTGCTCTCGACCATGAATGCTTCTGACAAATGCTCGGGCCTTTGCCGCTGGACATGCCGGCGCAGCGACTAGGCAAGCGTTGCGGCTGTCGCTGCTGCATGCGGGCTCACACTTCCCATGACCCTTTCTGTTTGCTCCCCATACTTTCACGCCCTGGGTCTCACCTATTTCCCTTTTCTAAATATCCGAAGTTCTTCCATTGGTACTCATTCACCACTCTTCGATTCACAAGAGACTTCTGTCACTATCTGAATCCCACAGATTTTCTTTAAATACTTGACATTGCCGCTTCTATCCAGGTCTTGAGTTGTGCCTGCGCTTTGCTCTTGTCATATTTCAGCTTTCTGTGCTTCTACTGCAGCCTAGGACGACTCGAAAATGGGGTCCTTACCTGTGCAGACGAGTTTTGATGTGGAAGACGTTCTTTCGCAGCTGAACACGACGGAGAAAGTCGCCCTGCTGTCCGGCATTGATTTCTGGCACACTGCTCCCGTACATCGTCTGGGAGTCCCATCTATACGAGTCTCCGACGGGCCCAACGGTGTTCGTGGGACGCGATTCTTCAACGGCGTGCCCGCTGCCTGCCTTCCTTGTGGTAAGTCCCCGTGCTGGAAAATGACCGAGATGTCGTTGACATAGTATAGGGACCGGACTTGCAGCAACATGGGACACCAATCTCGTTGGGAAAGGCGGGGCATTGCAGGGTGCTGAGGCTATCGCCAAAGGAGCCTCTGTGATTCTAGGTCCGACGACGAACATGCAAAGATCGCCACTGGGCGGTCGTGGGTTTGAGAGCTTCAGCGAAGACCCATATCTCGCGGGTGCCATGAGTGCAGCAACCATCAACGGTATTCAATCGACTGGCGTTGCTGCGACAATCAAGCACTATGTCTGCAATGACCAAGAGGACCAAAGACAAGCCGTCGACAGCATTTTAACGGAACGAGCACTACGAGAGATATACTTAATGCCCTTCATGATCGCGCAGAGAGACTCCAAGCCAGATTGCTACATGACTGCGTACAACAAGGTCAATGGTACACATGCAAGCGAGAACCCACGATTGATCAAGGATGTTCTTCGTGGTGAATGGGGCTTTGACGGGCTAACCATGAGCGACTGGTAAGCCACGACTGTGTATGAAGCGGGCCTTGCATTCTCTGACCGAAGCAGGTTTGGGACTTACTCAACCACCGAAGCAATCAAAGCAGGACTCGACCTTGAAATGCCTGGTCCTTCCTACATCCGTGGACATTTAGTCAATCAAGCCCTCGGCTGTGGTAAGCTTACTGTGCATGACCTCGATGAAAGAGTTCGCGAGATCCTCAAGCTGGTCAAGAAGGTCCAGCCTCTTGGTATCCCAGAAAACGCACCAGAAACCACAGTTGACTCCCCTGAGACCTCTGCCCTTCTTCGCTCGCTGTCGTCCAACGGGATTGTCTTGATGAAAAATGACAACAACATCTTGCCGTTCGCAAAACAGAAAACAACTGCCATCATTGGTCCAAATGCGGCTTATGCTGCCTACTGCGGTGGTGGTTCGGCTTCACTGTTGCCATACTATGCTACCAGCCCTCTTGATGGAATCCGGAAACAGGTGCCAGACGCGAAATATGCTCTCGGTGCACCCGGCTGGAAAGCACTTCCACTCATGACGCGGTTGACCAGGACCAAGCAGAATGAAAATGGGTTGACCATGAGAGTCTTCTTGGAACCTCCCTCCGTGACAAACAGGAGGGCAGTTGATGAAATTTTTGTGAACAAGTCGGACATCCTTCTGGTCGATTACAAACACCCCCTGATCAAGTCATCTCTCTATTGGCTCGAATTGGACGGCACCTTTACTCCCGAGGAGACGACTGATTATGACTTTAGTTTGTGCTGCGCGGGAACGGGCAAAGTCTTCGTGGACGGAGAGTGTGTTGTCGACAACGAGACCCATCAACGCCCGGGCAACTCTTTCTTTGGCGCTGGCACCGCAGAAGAGATCGGAACGCTGAAGCTGGATAAGGGAGCAACCTACGACATCAAAGTGAGCTTCGGCACGCTTCCAACCATGACGTTTAGCAGTCCTGGTACGACTGGCTTTGGTGCGGGAGGACTGAGGGTGGGACTTGAGCGCAAAGCCGAGATTGAGACGGAGATCGAAAGAGCTGTTCGGCTCGCAAGAGAGGTCGACCAAGTTATCCTGTGCGCAGGGCTGAACAGTGAGTGGGAATCAGAAGGCTATGACCGCGAACACATGGACCTACCACCAGGTAGTGATGATCTAATCAAGGCCGTTCTCGCGGTCAATCCCAACACGGCCGTCGTCATCCAATCCGGAACGCCCGTCACAATGCCTTGGCTCAAGGATGCTCCCGCCGTACTTCAAGCATGGTACGGTGGTAACGAAACAGGCAATGCTATTGCAGACGTCATCTTCGCCAACACCAACCCCAGCGGCAAGTTGCCCCTGAGTTTCCCCGTCAAGAACGAAGACAACCCGGCTTTTCTGAACTACAAATCCGAGCGCAACCGAGCCATCTACGGTGAAGATGTCTATGTTGGGTATCGGTTCTACGAAAAGACCAAGAAGGAAGTCGCCTTCCCTTTCGGCCATGGTCTCAGTTACACGACCTTCGAGGTCAAGGATGTATTTGTCAGCGACGATGATGTCGACGTCGTGGTGTCTGCCACAGTATCAAACACCGGCAAGTTTGACGGTGCGCAGGTCGTCCAAGTCTATGTCGCGCAGCAGAACCCAAGCATCAATAGACCTCACAAGGAATTGAAAGGTTTCACAAAGGTCTTTGTGAAAGCTGGTCAGAGCGAGAAGGTCGAGATTGTGATTTCTAAGAAATACGCCACAAGTTTTTGGGACGAGGCAAGGGATGCGTGGGTGATGGAGAAAGATGTATTTGATGTGCTGGTGGGCGACTCCAGTGCCAATACGCCGCATAAGGCCCAGATTCGAGTGAAGCAGACGGTGTGGTGGAGGGGGTTATAGAAGGCACAGTTGTGTCGACAACGTTTCGAGACATGCATTACTTACTTAGACGCCCCCTTGGCTTAGTGCTCGCTTTTCGACGATGGCCATTTGCTCGACTCTTTCCAATTGGGCATCATCATTGCCCCTAGGGGGGGGGCGATATTGACCAAGCCCCTGAGTGGCGGAAACGGCCCAACACCTTGTGTTGTGTATAACATGTTCAGGAATCATGACCACGTAGAAGAGCATGCCACGAGAAATAGAAAACACAAGCTTGAGTAGGTGAATGCTCCAGAAGGAAATGTCTTTGATCCTTTGCGGAACTTTGTCAGTCAGTCAGTCAGTCAGTCAGCCAGCCAGCCGGCCAGCCTTGCTCCGACCGAGTCTGCGTTCGAACATGCCAAGACCATGACAATCCATCACCTCGTCATTTGTGAAAGTTCTCATTGGCTCTTGACTTGTTCTCAACACCTCATGTAGGGAACCTCTTCGAGTCCGGCGACGTTTCGGATGCAGAGCAGGTTTTTGACCCCTTTCTCAATGTGCCACACTCCTACAGTAGCGACTTTTGCCCGCCCTGAAACCTACATCAGTGGGCCGCGGTGACCCATGAACACGGCCTCGCGATCAAATCTTGCTCCAAATGGCGATCTGGCGCTCGCTGCGTCGACGCCGGTCATGTATGCATTTGGCTCCAACGGTTCAGGACAGTTGGGGATCGGCCATACGGAAGATGTCTCACGGCCTGAGAGATGCCTCTTCCGCACCCACAAGCGGGGAGAGAATTCCGACCATGGTCTAAACTTTGACAGGAGAAATCCCGTGGAAGGGAGCGCTCCAGCACAAGTATGTGATGTCAAGAAGCTCGTCGCAGGAGGGAACCATACCCTCCTCCTCACGACCGATGGGCGGTTGTTCATTGCTGGAAACACGGGCATGACGCGCGTCGTCGCAGAGGACATCAAGTCTGACTGCAGTGTGGTATTCGAAGAGATTACCGATCCGTTTTCCACGTTTGGAATCTCACGAAGGAACACTGGACCACGCACTGTGGTAACTGATATTGCGGCGACTTGGGGCGCTTCCTTCGCAGTCGTAGATGGCAAGGCCATCGTCGGGTGGGGAATTGGTACTAAAGGCGAGCTCGGCTTAGGTCCTAGTGTGACTTCTACGAATGGGCAGGTGAAGGAACTATTTGAAGTTGATTCGGTTTCAGGTCGTGGCGAAGTTGTCGAAATTCTTAATATTGAGGGATGTGTAGCCCATGTTATTGTCCTACTTTCGAATGGGCGGGTCTACGGTTGGGGAAATTGTCGGAAAGGCCAGCTTGGAGAACAGCCGAGGACAGAGAAAATTGTGTGGGCCCCCCGGAGTCTCGGTCCAGTAGTCGATGGAGAGGATCTAATGCCTTGGATGCCGGAGAGAGTGATGCTCGGGAGGGAGTATACCGTTTTCGTCAAGACGGGGAGGCGGCCGGTAGTCTGGGGGGACATCAGGTTCTTCGACCAGAAAGATCTTAAGTGGACGGCGGAAGAGGAAGATATGATGGCTTCCGGTTGGAGCTCAATTTACATCCTCTCGCGTCGATTGTTGGACCAGTCGCTGCAGGGTGCAGGCAGAAATGACCACGGCCAACTTCCTCCAGCTGGCCTTCCGCTCGTCCAGACTCTGGCGGCGGGAAGTGAGCACTGTGTCGCCCTCAGCGAGAACAACGAAGTCATCGCTTGGGGATGGGGCGAACATGGGAACTGCGGCGAGGAGCTGGATCCAAGAGGGAACGTGGTCGGTCGATACAACGTGGTTCCCTTGCCAAAACTCGACGAAGATGTTGTTGCCAAGAACGTGGCAGCTGGGTGTGCCACGAGCTTCGTAATTTGCGGGGAAAAGGATGGGTGAGACCCAACAGGCACCTTGGTCAGTCAAAAATCCCTTTCACCTGCGAAAGTCGCTGCGTTGGAGCGATCTCCGTCGGAAATCGTGACCCCGTCAGGTCTGTCGTCCGATCGTGCTGCTCCTGCTCCGTCATCGAGGCGAAAGAATGCAGTTCAGAGTCGCGAATTCGGCGCGTCGAGTTCGGTGCTGATGCAGCGTTGTCCGCGGTGTGATCCCACGTCACAATGTCGGCCTCTTCTTCAAAATTGGGTTCGTCCCATTGGTGGTCGTCGTCATCGGCGGGAATGAAGAGGCTGTGTGGATCGATATCTACAGAGGGCGCGGGTTCTGCAGCAAGAGGCCGAGCAGAGTTTTCTGAATCTGCTTTAGCAAATGCAGATTGTGTAGGTTGGTCTCGAGCGTGCAAGGAACCGCGTGCTGGAGGTGGCATGCTGGCATCCGAACTTATTGCAGGTCGAGAATTCATAGCCGAGGTTCGTGAAGCTAGGACTGGTGTTTCAGGAGGTCGCGATGTAGGACGCATGGATAGATCTCGGGCTGGCGTTGCCGCGGTTGGCGCACTGCTTGGGACATTTGCAGAGCCTCTCGTCATCAGAGTGAAGTCAGCTTGGAGTCCATTTTCTCCATAGCTGATCTGCATGGGTCGATTTCCTCGTGAGTATCTCGCGGTCACTTGAGTATGCATGGTCTCCGCGTGTGCTACGATCGCGCGGAAGTCTTTGACCACAGTGCCGATATGTAACCCTTCCTGAACATTGAAGTCACTGAAATCTTTTCGCTCGAGAGCCACAGAGGTGTGCATGGGTTGCTTGAGGATTTCTGTGCGAATGTTAATAAGAAGCAACGGGTCGTCGAGGGGGCATACCTCTTCCAGCCTGGATCTTCTCCGTGTAACTTGTGAAAGTTACTTTTCCATTCTGAAAATACCAATCCAGCTGATCAGTCTTGGGTCCGAAATACTCTACGATATCTCGCAGCGTTCGCGATGATATGGACCAATAGTTGGGCGATCCGATTTTGTCAAAAGCCGCGTGCAGAATTTCTCCGGCTTGGTAGAACAGGCGATATGTCTTGACCACGCCCTGCCGGCAATTCAAACGGAATACCAGTCGACATTCCGGCTGATCCGGATTGGCCTGTAGCTCGCAGTCGCAAGTTTCGAGGGCGGTGTCCTTGTCCCGTTGGTCACCCAGGCGACGCTTGAAAATGGACAGGAGAGCCTGGATTGTTAAGAGTTTCGTCCAGAAGAACAGGGCAAAGGCTTACCCGAATTTGGAGCTTGCAAGACCATTGCTTTGGCAGAGCAGAGCCGGAAGCCGTCCTCGGTCCAGGCGAAAAGTGGTACTTATCGAAAAATGATGAACCGAGTGTGAATGCAGCATGGGCAGTTTTTGAAATATTCAGACTTGAAAGCCGAAACTTTTACGGGATGCGTTGGTTAGGTCTCGTTTGTCTGCGCAGAGAGTAGCCTTACAAATTGAGGTGTCGCTTCCAGAGAAACATCCTCGTCGAACTTTGCCAGGCAGGTGAGAAGATCATGGAAGGACGCAGCTCCCGAAGGAGCCACAGTGAACAGGAGAGTTGGCATGGGTGTTGGACGTTGGGTGTTGGATGCAGCTGGCCAATGGAGATGTGAAGAAGCAAAAGAGGTAGGGGCCTACAAACTACTGTAGGTGCCTATCTAGATATGTAGGTACGGAGGAATAATAAGTACTGTAGACGCGAGTTGACGCGTCGAGGGCGTATCAAAGGCGTGATGTCATTTCAACCTCGACTCTGACGCTCAGGTGCCGTCAATGCCATTTTCAGATATCAATTGATGATTACTCCGTGTTTGCCATCGCATCCTCTTTATCAAACATACATCTGAGGGAGCTTGGAGCTTGCTGTCCTCGTTTTCAGACCACCTCGTCTCCATCCTCTTATCGGGCCCCTTCCCTTTTGGATATCACTATCGCCCGTGCTGCCTGCTGGAGCTCTGAGGACTCGACCATGTCTGCATATCAGGGCGCTATCCTCCCAGATGAACTCCTGTCCATGATATGTGAGGAACTGGGACACGAGAGAGAATTTGGCTCGCTTTACACATGCGCACTTAGTTCAAAGTCTTTCGCAGACCCCGCGCTGCGGACCATGTATCAGTGAGTGGGCGAGGCGTCAGCCTTCAGACCGTGCTTTGGTGACTGACTTGCCACAGACTACATCAGTATTCTCCGGCATTCGAGCAGAGAGATGACTTAGAAGTCCGACAACAGCCAGTGGACTTCGTAACCAAGGCCACTGAACAGGCACAGTCATACCGGAAATGGACTGTGTTATGGCGCTCCATCACTTTGTCGAGTCTCGACGATCACGTTACTTACAAGCCCTACTGTCGCTACATCAAAACCCTGGATTTCCGGAATTTATCACTTATGTTGGAAGACCCTAAATTCACAGGTCCTGTTCGAAAGCAGTTCTTTGCTGGGAAGCTCCAGTCTTTCCATTTTTCGAAGACCGAATATAAGAGGCAGGTGGTAGACGTCGTTGCTACAGTGAATGCAATTGGAGACGCGGTGACCGCGAAGTCGACACTGTTAGAAGAGATTGATGGTCATATTAGTCCAGGGTTCTTACCGAGGTGGATATCTCGCTCTCCAAAGCTGGAGACGATGGTACTTTGGAAAGGCGACGCCCTGGTCAACGGCGCCGGAGCCGCAATTGCCGAGCATTGTGACAATTTTCGCAATTTAACTCTTCATGAATGGATGTCTCCGGATGCAGACGAGGCGTTTGCCACTTTCTTGAACGAGCTCAAACCAGATACGCTGAGTTACTTTGAAATGATCAGCAACAATAATCTTGGAAAGCAATCCTTTCAAGCACTCGGCCGGCACAAAACACTGCAACAATTGGACTTGGGGAGTTTGAACCAGGATGCTGTGCGGAACCTGAACGCGCTCAAGGACTGCACAGAAATTCATACACTGAAGCTTGGTGACAACTACGGAAGCGTCCAGCTGGAGGTTCGAAACAATGAAGTATTTCTGGAAGTCGTCGAATGGTTAAGCTCTTGCAATACCCTCCGCGATCTCAGTTTGAAGAAATTCGTCGATGGTCCCGCTTTACTCTCCAGAGTATTGTGTTCCCCCAATGTAAGGCTGACCCGCCTCTCTCTCGAAGGCTACACCGTACGCCATACCAATTCCCAGTTATTCCACAGTGCATTGGCCGAGCAGAGGACCCTCGAGTCGGTATGGCTTAAGGGGAATGGTGAAGATACGATGCCTGATGACCTGCAATTCATGGTTGAGGGATTGTGCAACTTGACGAATCTAAGAGAGCTTGTCTTGAAAGACGTCTCTGATGAGTTCACCGAAGAGCACATCATCTCCCTCGCTGTGAGCCTACCATTGCTTGAAGAATTTTGGACAAGTGGAGGCGAAGTGTCGGCCGACATTCTCCAGCCTCTGGCAAACCTCAGATACTTGAAGAACCTCACGTTGTACGCTATGACACGGTTCCACTTGGGTGCGATCATGGAGTTCTTGATGAGTCTTGATCCTGAGAAGCAAAAGGGGTTCAATCTATCGCTGATGGCCGTCGATCCCGACTATGATTTGTCAGAGGAGACTCAAGAGATGATTCGCGAGTACATGCGAGCAAACCTCGATGGCCGGTTTGATTTTGTCCTGTGGCGGGAGGCCGACCCCAGCGACAGCGAGGAGGATTAGTTCGAATTGGCCTCTGTGAGACAACCAGTCTATGCGAATCCCGGCACATTTCTGAAATGGCACGACTTTCCAGACTTTGGTCGAACGAATGCGTGCGACTTGTTTGGGCGTGGCATAGAACAGGGCGATAGTACGCTGAAGCGATTCACGAGGCTCTAGCTATGGGATTTCTATGGCTGGACACGATAGGAGATGCCTGATGGCCCAGTAACATAAACAACCGCATGTGGCAATGGTGGCTGTTCGCTCCAGAGACCTGCCTACCCTTCTGACGCTTGGCGTGGCCTCTCGGTGGACGGTGCCTCCTCGCCCAAAGCTCCTTCCAGAACCTGGTAGAAGTGGAAGACATCAGCGAAGGAGTTGTACAAGGGTGCCGGAGCAACTCTGATGACATCTGGTTTCCTCTCATCGACAATGACGCCTTCACATTCTAGATGCTCCAGGACAGCATCAAGCAAACCAGGTGCCAACCGAATGCTCAGCTGGGCGCCTCGTTCTTGCGGATTTCTAGCAGTGATGATGTCGAATTTCCGCGGGTTTCTCAACTTGATGGCGTCCAAGAGCTGCTCCAAGTAGTTGGTTAAGCGCAGAGATTTCTCCCGTAGCTCCCTCATCGACGTTTCGTTGAATATTTGCAATGAGGCAATGACTGCGGCAAGATCGAGCCCGCTCGGATTCGACAGCTGGTAACCCGCGGCACCGGGTCGAGGGACAAATTCTTCCAGGTCAAATCAGCCGAGCATTACGAATCACATCGAATCAAACTTACTGTTCGTCATTTGGAATCTGCTGGATTTATCATCTCCCCACCAGCCAGTCAAGCGGGGCCAGAACTTGTGTGTTGGGCTTTCCATATCAACTTTCCCGAACTTCTCATTGATAAAGATACCGGCCATTGCTCCCGGACCAGAGTTGAGATATTTATAGCTGCACCAAGCTGCGAAATCGACATTCCAATCATGCAGCTTGAGGTCAACATTGCCAGCGGCATGAGCCAGGTCCCAGCCAATCAATATGCCGTGCGAGTGAGCATGGGCTGTGATGCGAGGGATGTCGAAATATTGACCAGTGTAGAATTGGATGCCTGGTAGGAGGATTAAGGCGAGCTCTGAGGCGTGGGTGTCGATGGTTTGAAGGATTTGTTCGGTAGACAAGATGGGAAATTTGGCATCGATGGGTTCCAACAAAACCATTGCTTCTCCAGGATCCAGATCATGGTGGATGATTTGCGATTCGACTGCATACTGGTTGTGCTGTCAACAGCTCCTCTCCAAGCCTCCAACGGAGAATTCTACTCACATGATCACTGGGAAAGGCCTTGCCCTCGAGGAGAATCTTCCATTTCCCTTGGCCCTTTTTGCTGGGACGGTAGAAACTCGACATTAGGAGATGCAAGTTTGCCGTCAAGGAACCCATGACGGCGACTTCCGACTCGACCGCTCCCACAATCGGAGCCATGAGTTTCGCGGCATGGTCATCGATGTGCAAGAATGGCTGTAAAGAGGAGTCAGAATGTTCGACGAAATGCCCCAACACTCCTTTTGTCCGCCATTGTGTGAGGAAGGAGTTGACCAGGTTTGCCGTCCTGACGGGCTGAAGACCAAGGGAGTTGCCGCACAGGTATGTGCAAGGCTGAGAGGGCTCTTCTTCAGGCGACTTGACCAGGGTCGGCCTCTTCAGATCTGCCCGAGTCGGAATGTGAAATTCTGATCGAAAATGAGCCAGCGGGTCCGTGGCATCGAGCGCGTGGGCATAGTCTCGCGAAAATGGATCGATGGAATCGTTGGCAGATTGGAGGGCGCCAGGTGCTTCTGACATAGTCACGGGCGAATATCACCCTCTTGTACAGCCGAGTTTGATTCGACTCTGTGAATGACACAAATGGGCTTCTGTGAGCCTCGTCACTTTGCCGATGCCGAGCACTCTGAGGTGTGCTATCTGTGAAGGCCCTCTTTGGGCCCCCTCTCGTTCTTTTCTGGCTCGTTGTGTTAATTTCCTTTTTTTTCTAGTCACACACTGCACTCGTTCATCGACAGTTCAAGGAACTACCTAAGAACCGACGTAATTCGTAATTGTCAGCAGCCGAGATTCTTCCGGCCGCCGCATCTCTATCGTCGTCATTTGTCTCTGGCTTCCCCATTTTTCGCCGACAAAGAACTTCACTGCCAAACTGCCTACATACAGAGTTATTGGAGAGACAGGAAGAGACAGAGACTGGGAGCCATGTCCCAAAACACCATGAGACTCTCTTTCCGCGCTGCACGTCCCCTACGGCGGCCACAGGATCCTACGACCTACCTCCGAGCATGTCGAGCCATCTCCAATGCTTCACGACAGCAGATGACAAACCCCGGACAAGCGAATCCCCGTCGTCCCATAGCGTCTCTGGAAGAGAATTACTCGGGGCAAAGAAGAAACATGTCCAGCACACGCATCAGGCCGGCGACAGTTGTCGTGCAGAACCCCCGCGTCGACGAAGACGGGAAAGAAATGACGATCACGATCTCCGAGCGAGCTGCCAAACGCCTGAAACAGATCACCAGCGCGCCTCCGCAGAAGAACTCTCTTACCTCTTCCTCCTCCTCAGCTTCGCCGCCAGATTCCCACCTGCGCGTCACAGTGACCTCGGGCGGCTGCCACGGATTCCAATATCTGATGTCCCTTGAGGACTCTTCGAAGATCGACGCCGAAGAAGACACTATATTCTCAAATGCCGATGACGATGAGACGGCGCGGACAACAGGGCCTGGAAAAGCAGAGGTGGTCATGGACTCTGCGAGTCTGGAGTTGTTGAAAGGCAGCACCATCGATTTCACGCAGGAGTTGATCGGAAGTCAGTTCAAGGTTGTGGGCAATCCGCGCGCGACGAGCAGTTGTGGATGTGGTACGAGTTTCGACGTTGAGTGATCAACCGCAGCCATGAAGAAGACTAGAGGAGAGACGGATGAGAAGGGAAAGGTTGCGAATTACGTTGTATCTATTAGCGGGATGGGTGTCGTGCGGAATATGTGTGAGTGTATTTATCGGGGTTGGACTCGTCTGGGAATTCTGGCCCTGTGGCGTTCACAGATTTCCTCCCTGCTCAACAAAGAAGGCATTTGATATGCACCACAGCTCGTGCTAAGCAACACAACGACGCCTGACGCCTACATATCCAGGAAGCATTTCGGTGGCTCGAGGTATAGGTCTGATAAAGCGTCTTATACGCCCAGCACATACTCTGGATTTCTCGCTCCGGTAGGTCTTTCAGCGTGAGCTCCGGAACCTGCCAAGCCCTGCTCGAGTCGTACGATCTTGCGATCTCTCTGATCTCCTTTGTCACAAGTTCCACGTCCATCTTGAGCTTCTCATAGTTTTAAATCGATGGTCTCTCAACTGCCTATATTGTAGCAGAGTCCGTGCGCCATTGACAATTGTGCTGATAATCGTGTTGTTATGCCCTCGAATTAGGAGAAAAGATTCGATCCAATCGCATTGGTGGATAGGAGTTGGGAGCTCGATGGGTTGGTCTTCATCGCCACCGTCGTTAGAAGTGGTAGTGTCTGTGCATATAGTGTTGTACGCGAGTAGAAAGGCGGCCTTCATGACATCGGTGTTGAGTTGGGACTATGAAAGTCGTCAGTGATTCGAGGGTGTCACTCCATCAAAATAAAGCTCCTAGAGTTGGCTGTGGACGCCTTACGGTGGTTCGAGCTTCAGCCGCCGTTTCTCCACTTTTGGTCTTGACTGTTTTAGACGGAGGGGAATCTGTCGACTTCAGCGAGTCGAGGAGGACTGACTTTGCCGCGTCCGTATCTTTCGGGCCATGCCAGAGTTGCGAGAGCTGGGACAAGTCGGAGAAGGTTCAAGGGTAGTGCCGGTGATACCGCTTGGACCAGCCATGAGAGTGATGTCGAGGTTGGTGCTGGGTTTTGTGCTCGACTTCGGTTTCGTCGTACGAAGGATCCTCTTCGGTGACGTCGAGGTCATGGTGAGAAATTGTCGGAAGTGAGGGAGCAGGAACGTGGCAAGTGCAGCGGCGCGAAGGGGAGTTGAGAGTCGGTGACGCAGAAGAACTCTAGCGGGGTAGAAGCCAATGTTGATTAAAAAAAAAAAAAAGAGGTCAAGGCAGATGCTGGTCAGTGAGGCAAAAGGAGGATGGGAGCCGAAGGCGTCAAGGACTGCGAGAGTGGTTGATGACCTGGTATGCTGGGGAACCTGATTCCTGGTGGGAGAGAGAGAGAAGATCAAGCACAAGTACGTACTCTGAGCCAAGTGTCATGTCGTCCTTCCAGCTCGACTCATCGGGCCCCAATTTTCCCTCGGATTCATCTGATACCTCAATAACTTGCCACGAGACTTCTGCTTGCCCAAGTTCTCGTCGAAGGTAATCTTGAGCCTGTTCGGCGGTGGTGCTGAGGGACTTTTGGATCGTGACCGACGACCGATAGGTGATCCCTCGGTCCGAGCTCTTGCTTCTTCACTGTCGTCTTTGGCTTCGGACGATCCGCTGCTCTCCTTTTCGAGCATTGCCTGTTCGTTTTCCAACCGATATAACATCCCTTGTAGCACGGTTTTCAGGTCGTCTTTCGTCTCACATCTCCAAAGCTGTTCCCTCGTGGCGTCTTTCAACCCCGACACAACAGCGCGCTCCGACCCTCTGACCCTCGCTAGAATATTATACCCTACTGTGCCCTTCTTCACAGACCCTTCCTTGATAGGTGCTTTGGTCCGCATGAATTCTCGTATGACTTCCCACAAAACAGACCACGGCGCGTTCGTTTTGATACTGCCTGGCTTGCAATGAGACCTAGAGACTTTGTAGCCGAGACCAAGCAGGGCGCCTCTCATTGCATCCTCCGAAGGAGTAGCACAATGAATTGTCTTTGCCAAGTAGGTGGGCATGATGAAGAATGGAGCATTATCAGGCATGTTAGTCGCCAGCCTTGGTATTGATCTCGGGTCGGGCGCAGTTGCATCCTTTGATTCTGAGATTCCTGTGGAATCGGGAGCCGAGTCATTGGGCATGAGATCCTCCTCTAGGGCCAGCGTAAGCATTCCCTTGATCCGATCGACAGTGCCATATATGGTTTTGTCCAACGTTCGGACCTTCTCGAGCATCCTCTCCACGAAGTGTGGATTATGCAAGGAACCTGCCCACATCGGGCCGCACAGATGCATCGTTGAACCGCAATGCTCACAATTTCGATTTGTGGACGGTGCTTGGGCATATGAGAATTTGTAGAATGTGTCGCCAATTTTCGACGTCCGTGCTTGATTCCGAAGCAGAGGCTGCGTAACCCAAGCTCCGCAGCCGTGTCCGCAATTGTAGACTGTCATTGATGTGCCAGCTAATAGCTTGACCTCGTGTTGTTTTCGGTGAACTCGGATGAAGAGCCGAGCATAGTAGTCGATGTACAGCGACAGAAGGGGCTCGATTGCAAGACCGTATTTTGCAGCAGACATAGCAACCCCATTGAGGATCAGTCTCAATCCGCCTTCGTGTGAATGTGGCCCTTTGATCGGCATCCCACCGTACAGTGCAAACGCCTTCTCAGGATATCCCGTCGACGCAAAGACGCCAGCATCCGTGCAAGTAATACACAACAACCCACCATCCTGAATTGCCTGCAGACTGCAGTCAAAAAAAGGAGCTGCTGTTCCGTAAGGGTCGATGTCGATGACATCGTATCGATGCACGTATCCTTCTGCAGGTTTTGATTGCTCGTTTCCAACTTTGCTGTACATGAAAGATCGAGCATCGCCGAGATTGGATCGGACTTTGTCTTCGACTTCGTTGTGCTTGATGTTTAGTTTGATATTCTCGACCGATGCCGGAGAGAGGTCATTTGCGACAATATTGGTAGCAAATGGTATTTCTTTGGCGTATCGCAACGCTCGGAGACCAGTTGCAGACAAGGCGTCCAGAATAGAGAAAGACAGCTGCTTCTTTGGGACTGGAGGTTGACTAGCCCCGCGTTCGGTAGCCTGTGGGTGCCCATTACTCTTTGGTTGTTGGATTTCTCCAATCCCAGCACCCGCAGGGTCAGCATTTAATTCGGCAACGAGTGGTTCTTCGTCATCTTCGTCAGGTTCTTTAGCTTTGAGCCTTTTTGCAGACTCTTCTGCATTGTTGCTGTCGACTGGATCTTCCAAATGGTCTGCTTTACGCTTCCGGTTGTTAGGCTGCTCTGATCCGTTGCTAGCCTCGTTATCTAGTTGATCGACAGGTGGAGGATCCAGTTTTCTTGCGGCCTTCCTCTTTTTTGCATGCTGATTTTTTTGAGTGGCCCTGGTTTGCTTCTCCAAGAGGGAACCCTCACCATAAACACTGATTGCGAGGACACTCAGGTCTCGGTTGAACTGCTGAATAGGATTATAAAAGACGGCTTGGTTGCCCTCATCGTTGTTTTTGGAGTGTTTGCCTGATGTTGGGGGTTCTTCGGCGTATGGAGCAAGCACCGAAGCTAGACCTTCGCGAACGTGCCTGTATTTCTTGCTATCAATCACGATCGTCTCTGGAGCTTCTAGGGGAGCCATGTTGAAGCGTGACAAGGTCGCGCATATCCTCCTTTGTGAGTTTGGGAAGTGTCCTTGTCTGTGGCCTGTGAGCTTTGGCAAGGTTTCGCGGATAAGATCGATCCGGATGAAATCGAAACAACGTCCAATCCTCATCACCCAGCCCCCTTCCACCACTTAGACACCGTAGATAGTAGAGACTGCTGAAGCCGGCTTTACGAATGTGCTATGGGTTAGAATTTGGCAGAAGATCATAATAGGTAACGGAGTAAAGTTATCGAATACTTTTTTCTCCGAAGATCTGCCAAGACGAGATCCTATTGGATAGTGAATCGCAGCCTTACTCACTGCAGGCAGGCAGGCTAGTCCATTTACGGCGAACCTCAGCCTTGTTGTGGTGGGAGGTACGGAAACTGTTTGGATGTGGTTAAATCTGGTAACTATACCAGAGATGCGGCTTTTAACCTCGAGGGTCTCGTCCGGGCAGTCTGTGAGGAAAACGGTGAAATGACAATACTGGGTACGTGCCTCCAGATCCTCCCCGAGTGGGGGAACCCGAAAATCAGTGCGCTGTCCCCTCTTCCTGGTTCTCTGGCCCCGAAGTCATCACCACTACAAGTACTTCATGTTGAATACATCTTCTCCTGCAGCAATTTCAGACAACAGCCAATGCAGAAATTGAAGCGGGACACTATTATGTACCGAGTTAGTCTGTATTCTGCTCAAGCTGCCAAGGAGAAAAAGCGCCCTCCTCCTCTCGGCCTCCGCCTCAGCCGTGTTTGGGAGTTTTCGAAACCGTTTTGGTCTCAGATTCCTTTTCGTCAAACACCTCTCCCCCCATCCTCAAACCGGCCCGCCCATCAACATGGCTGTAGTGAGTCCCAGAATTGTCAGGTAGGAGAGATTGCTGGCTCAATACTGCCCGATGTGCACAGTTTCACGGGCGTCGTTGGCGTGACTGTCCATGGTTCAAGCTTCAGGAGAATATGTATCAACCAACCCTGTTTCGAAGTCAGGTGCTCCTGATTGAGCAGACTCGTATATGGCACTTAAATACAAAGCTGTCGACCTTCCCCTTGGCCGATTTCCTTTTGTCGTCGCTCGCTTCTCTGAGCTTCCCTGGCGAAGGACATTTCTCATTGCCATTCCCTACCTGGCTGGTCTCTGTGCCAAAAATTTATCATCGTGTCCGTTCACACTAAACATCAAATACCATGTCAAGAACACATTTCTCTATCACTTGCTTCCTCTACCTCTTCGTCCTCATCACAGTCACAGCAGCTGTCCCCCCTCCGATCAGCCTCCTCAGCCCTCGCCAACAACAAAGCAATGCCACTCAGCCCATCTGCAGCGAATATTCGACGATCGCAAACCTCTCCATTGTCGGATCCAACTCGACATATCGAGCCGCATATCTCCAGGCTTCGCCGGAAGGCTATGACCCGGCCAGTGCTCCTCTCGACTCCGCAATCCCCAAGCTGCCCAGTTTTCAATTCAATGCCAGCATTAACGCAGAGTGTGGCAATCTGACCGAGGTGGCGATCAAGGGCGCCGCGACAAATTTTACGCAAGGCGTGGTATTGCAGTTCAACATCAACTCAGCGGTGCAGTTAAAAGCAGCTTCACTGGGAATGGCGGTGATTATGGCCATAGTTGTTGTCATGGTCGTCGATATATTATAGCGGGCAGACCCATGATGTATAACTGCTCCCTTGTAACTTCCAGAAATTTCACATTCAGACGACGATGAGGCGTTTTGGGGAACAGTTTATTCGAAACCGAATCACGACATGAGATTGGCGGGATTCCAGGCCTCAGTCGCTACCAGTATCAACAGCCAGGTCGCTGCGTCCATGCTCGGGGTAGTGACCATGACAGCGCCCTTGCATTGAAGAATGCCCAAAGAGGCGGCGACAACAACTGCGAGGTTTGGCGGGAAGCTTTTCATAGGAAGCACATTTTCGCCTCGCCTGCCGATGCGCGATCGCGGTGAGGTGTAGGTGCCAAAAAAATGCCATCATGCAGGCGGGAGAAATGAGTCGAGGATCGAGGATGATTTGAGGGTCACTGATTGTTGAACGCGACGTGTCGGTATACGACCCTCGCGGTGGCCTCGTCTGGTTGAATGTTTTGCCTCCATAGGGAAAGACCAGAAGGTGACTTGGTCGCCATGGCACGGACGCCAGCAGAACAAGTAGATACTTCGGTGGGTACATTGGTGATGTCTCTCTGAAAAGTCTATGTTGATGAGATATCTCCCTGGCATGGAGTGAGAAGTGTGCATGAGAGCGAACACTGATTGCAGAGACAGACAATGGTCTAATGCCCTTCCCCTGTGCGAACCCAGTATGTGAGAATTTTTCATGCATCAATATGCCTTCAAGGCGCAATTCGAGACAGTATCAGCCTCGAATTTCCGCGCTTCGTGGACCATGCGTTCTGTTGCATGACCATCCGCATATCTGGTGCGTTCATCACCTGACGGCACCATGTCGAAGTCTGCGGTTCTGTTCTCAATCTCCCGGCTCTGTTACTTCGAGAGTTGAGTTGAATGTTGCAAAATGTGTCATGTGTGTAATGTGTAGTGGGCCGCGTTGTGTCCGAGCAAATTGCAAGTCTTGCTTCACAAGCAGGCAGAGGTGGGATCATGACCTACGAGTAGGTTCTGGATCGTAAATGATGACCGTGATCTTTGAGGAAACCGCTCGCTTCAAGAGCCGGTAGAAACATGACTTTTGCAACCAGGCATGCATCCTGTTGGCCTGCGAGGATCGTAGTAATCTTCATCGTCCGTCAGGTCACTGTCATCCACATCGGCTTCGCGCTTCTCGTCGATGATTTCTGCATCCTCCTTCTTCTCGACGTTAGCCTTCGGCTCATCATCCGCAGGCGCAAATGCGTTTTTGAATCCTCCTTTCTTGAACCCTCCGCCACTAGTTGCCGTGCTCTTAGGACCACCACCGAGTTTGATCTGCATCAACGGTCCTTTCTCTTCCTTCTTGGGCTGTACCTGTCGCTGCATTTCCTTCATCTCCTTCAGCCTCTTCTTGTGTTGGTGATCATAGGAGGATTCATGAGCCTCGAATTCGTTCATGCGACTGTAGCCTTTTTGACATAGCGAGCAGAAGAAGGCGCTTCGGGCTTGTTTCGCGGATTGAGTATTGGCGGGAGGGAGGGTGAATCCTCGCTAGAGGAGGAGCGACTAGTCAATAACGCCAAAGTAATAGAGACCAACGCTGGTCGGCGAGACATCGCAGGCATGACGAGCGCAACTTACCGGAGGCATGACGGTGGCGATGGACGGTTGGACGCAGCAGAAGGGCCTAATGTGCAGGATTTGGTTGAGGGAGCTTGATATATCAGCAGGAGGCGATGGAGAACAAGGGAAAGTGTTGTGATGGTGATTCTTGCACATCCTGGCACATCCTGGCACATCCTGGCACATCCTGGCACATCCTCGTACTGTACATACAATAACAATGCTGCTAGTACGCGGCCGGCTTCTCGGACCGAGCCACCTCGAGTCTCGAGTCTCTTTCAGCCGCACAAGGAACAAGCATATTAATACCCGCTTCGTGAGCACATCTGCCCAGATCTGCCATCGCCCGTGGAGCTCGAGTGTCCCCTTCTTAACCTCAATTCGCTGCCTTTTCTTTTATTCCAACAGAGATGGACTAGGCCCTGATGCCGCCCATAACATCGAGCGATCATCAAGGAAATTCTCGCGAACCCAGATCATGTAGCAAGTCGATATTGCTAAGTCCGCGCATTGACTCGCCTCGACGCGGGCCACTTCTTCCACAGGCCATCAACCAGGCTGAAGACAGTTCCCAACAGTAAAAGATCCAACCCTCCGAATCAAAGGCCCATGACTTCCACCGATCGTCGCGATCATCGCCATGCGCCTGATAAATGTCCGCACGATTCAATTGGAGGAAGTCCAGAGCAGCAGGGCTCCCAAATATGCCATCCTGTCGCATCGATGGGAAAAGGAAGAAGTCACTTTTCAGGACATGAGTTCCCCCAAGACCTTTGGCAAGAAAGGCTTCTCCAAGATTCAATCGGCTTGCTGGCTTGCCCGTAACAAGGGACTTGCCTACCTTTGGGTGGACACCTGTTGCATCGACAAGACCAGCTCGGCGGAACTGACCGAAGCAATCAACTCTATGTATCGATGGTACCAGGACGCCGAAGTTTGCTTTGCCTATCTCACAGATATTGAGATCCACCAGCACGATATCAAGAACAGCGTGTGGTTCACGAGGGGCTGGACACTCCAAGAATTGATCGCTCCAAAGCACGTCAGCTTCTATGATCGACATTGGGTCTTCTTAGGGACCAAAGACAACCTGGCAGAGGATCTCTCGAATATTACCGGCATTGATAGAGATGTCCTTATCGGTCAGAGAAGACACTCGAGCTGTTCAATAGCACAGCGGATGTCATGGGCATCAAAACGGCAGACGGAACGCATTGAGGATCGAGCATACAGTCTCTTGGGAATCTTCGACGTTAGCATGCCCATGTTGTATGGAGAAGGGGAAAGATCATTCACAAGACTACAAGAAGAGATCATCAGGCACTCCGACGACCAATCCATATTTGCATGGGATCGCGGATTGGAAGGCTATTTCGGAGGCCGCAGCGGTCTTTTAGCAACCTCTCCTTCGAACTTTGTTACTTGTCAGAACGTTGTTGTCCCCGCCACCAGCGGTTTACCAGTCACCAGCGGCTTTGCGTTGACCAATGTGGGAATCTCGATTTCCCTGATGACCCTCCCGTGGACGATGGAGACATACCTCTGTATCTTACATTGCAGCCTCAAAAATTGTCCTCAATACAGGCTTGGCATCTTTCTCGAACGACTCTCTTCGTCTCAAAATACAGAGCAATATGCTCGGGTGCAGATCGACGGTGCAACAGTGCTGCCCATCTTGCTTCGTACAATTTTGGACGACTCTCATGGTCGAGTACGCACCGTCCATGTCCGGCCCAATATCATCGACGCACCACTCCGCCGCTGGCATGGGTTCCGCCTCCATAGCTTCACTCTACCGGAATATACCCCCGACGAACTCTGTCAGGCAAGATTCCATTGCCGCGACAAGTTGCAGTCAATGACCCGGTACAGCGCCGAAGAAATGCGGGCAGCAAAGCACTATCACCCGAACGGGCTTCTAGGCTTGCCTCCCCGGCCCCTCTATTTCCGTATGCCGCGTGCTAGAGGAGGCGTCGTGAGCATCAGAGGCACCGCGGCCGTCATTTACATCGCACCTTCGAAGAAAGACAAGAATGGCGAACGTGTCTGCTGGATGAAGTTCGGCTTCGACGAAGACTTCCGCCCGGTCTGTATCTTTGGCAGACGGAAGTCTCTGTGGGGTGGTAATGCAGCACACCTCGCTGTTGACGAGGACTCGTATTACGACGCCGAAGAAGCCCCTGGAGCACATGCCCTTCTTTTTCGCCACGACTGGATTAACAGGTATCCGTGTGTGAACGACCAGGAGATCGCAGCGCAGTGGCAGAAGCGCGATTTCTGCATCTTGAAGGGCGTCAAGGACTGGGGCTTGGACAAGCAGATCCCGTTCTTGCGACTGCGTATTTCGATTCGGCTGGAGAATATACCCTCGAACTACCCGCCTGACGGACGACCGGAGTCGGCACAACCGGGAATGGATGTGTGGACGATCAATATCAATTCCTGGAGAGACTCGGGCGAGAACGGAGGAATGAAGACGGCCACGGGAACCGGGGAGTTCGTGCTGCGCTCGTTGGACGACATGTTTGCCGCGGTCTAATTGAGCCATGTACACGCTGTGATGATGGATGGCAGCTTTGGCGTGCTTTGTCTTTCCCACCACCTCGACTTGCTTTGCTGCTTAGCAACCCCCTTTACCATCCAAGGCGTCAAGGGAGAACCCAGTCTCAATCGAGAATTTGCCAGGAATTTTTGTCGGGAATGTTGGAACGAGTGTAATAATGACGGACGGGTCTTGGAAGAGAATGAATCACAAACCGGGAACGAAAATCACGAATGCGTAAACAGTACGACAGGACTATCACGACGACGACACAACGGAGTTCATGTCCAGGGAAGGGAATCTCGGATCATTGGTACCATTGCTGGAATCTGACGAGACATATAACATAAACTATCATATCTTATGGTCCATATTTATCCTACCTCGTACTTTTCGACCATCCATCCAGCTTGTTCTATACCGACGCCATCCTAATCAACCCCCCTGGATTTCTGTGCGTCACTGATTCCGCGTCGAATATTTATCCCCGTCGCACCCTTTAGTTTGCCCTGGAATTGCCTTTGTCGATATTGCTTGCCCCACTGCGCCCTCTCACATTTTCGTTCGTTACAATCCGTTGCCTTGCCCTGTTTCGTTGCCCTGTCATAAATCCTATCCTCTTGCCCTCGTACCCGACAAAATGCGGCAAAAAGGAGGAATGCCGAACCAAAAGCGATGTTTGAACACGCACGCACTACACGCCCTACCAATATCCCAATCCCTTATGATGGCCCATGTGGACAACTTTTGTCCCTCGAGATGAATTAGTGCTTTTACCGTCGCTCCATCACTTGGAGCACAACATGCCCGTACGCTGTCGAATCCAATAATGTTTGAACCGGGTTCGCCTACATCTGAAATGGTTACCCTTGATTCCGGAATTAGACTCTTCGAGACGTAGATCCGCTCACTGGGAACTCTGTCGAGGTCGTTTGCGATCTCGCAGATTACGGTCGTTGGGTATGTTGGCGTCGATCGACCCTCTCTTCGACGGTAATGGCATCCTCGACGGGTTGGGCGACATCGCGGCGAGGAAGCGGGATTTGCATACTCCGTTTTGCGGCAAATTTTGGAGATGGCTACTGTTATTCAATTCCTCCGGCTTCGTCTGTATTCCAGCATCGGGCGGGCGAGGGACAGAGACCTCTAGAGAGGAGCCGTTTTGCTGCTCATCGGAGTTTGAGTTCAAACTGCGCACGTCGTTGAGTAAGTCAGCTTTTCTTGTGATCCACCGATTCATGTCTTCCGATAGATCAGTTGCCTGTCTGTTCAAAATCCGGATCTTCTCGTCGTCCCGGTTGCTTTTCAGGCGTAGATCTGTTGCGTCGGTCCTGGCTTGCTCACACTTTTCGCGCGCCGCTTCGGCCTGCTTCTGTTGCTCTGTCAGTGCGGAGGTGCACTTGCCAGCTCGGAGCTCGGCGCGCTCTGTGCGAGCTCGCAATTGCTGCACCTTTTCTTTGAGGTTGCCTTCACGATCATGAAGGTCGCTCGGTAACTCGGTCACCGTTTGTTTGGTTAGGGCTAAATCGTCCTGTAGACGTGCTATTTCCAGCTCCCTTTCCTTCAACCGTTGTTCGGCCTGGGCAATTTCGTCTTGCAAACGCATTATTTCAAGCTCCTTGTCCTCCAGGCGTTGCCTTGCCTGGCTATGTTTGTCCTGCCAAGTCTTAATCGTGGTCTCCATGTGGGAGGCCACGATGGCGTTTTCCGTCTTGACACGAAGTTGGTCTTCTAAAGTCGCAAGCCTCTCTTCGTAAGACTTCTTCTCCTCCGCGAGCTCGTCATGATTCCTTTGGAGGTGCTCAATGCTGTCAGTCTTGGTACTGAGCTCTGCCTCTAGATTGCTAATTATCTTTGTTAAGTCATGAGAGAGCGCGGATCTGTCCTTTTCTGCTTGAACCTTGGCGTTTACCTGAGAAGAAAACTCTCTCTGTAAAGCCTCGAGTTGCTCTCTCAGATCGACAACTTTCTCTAAAGCGGCGTCTTTCTCACGTTGCGCTTGTCTTGCGACTTCCTGCTGAGCGGGATAAGCCACTCGCAAACGAGCAAGTTCCCGTTCCAGGTCCATATTTTCCTTTGAGAGGACATCTCTCGCATCTTCCGCTCGTATCGTGGCGTTCTTCTGGTCCTCGAGTTTCGTTTCTAGATCTTTCTTAGCGGCCTTCAGGCGGTCATTGTCCTTTAAAACACGCTTCGTTTCGGTTGCCGATTTTTCTGCGCAGTCAAGCTGAAGATTATGATTTGTCACTACAACCCCGAATCTCGCTTCTAGCTCGGTCTTTTCCTTTGAAAGAGTGTCTACTTGGTCGTTCATGGCTCGGAACCGTGCCTCGACAAGGCGACCAAAGTCTTGCGGATCAGTTATTTTTGCCAGTTTGGTTGATGGATCTAGTGGGTCCTCAAGCCAGCTTAGGTGTTTTATGGTTTCGTTTTTGAGCTGCATGAAGTACTCCCAAGTATCCCTCAATTCTCGCTGTTCCTGGTGAAGCTCGTGGACCGTGGGTAAGTAGACCGATTCCAGCATTCGCACGCGCAAAACCGCTCGATTTAAGTGTTCCACAATGCTGGGCCACCTGGGAGCGGGTTCTTTTGCAAGCGTGCAGGCTTGGTGCAGTGAATCCCGCACCTCATCGAGAAACATCTTCATTAGTTCTTTGGCAGTTGTCTTGCTGCCAGAGTTTGAATATTTACCGCCAGTGAGGGTGTCTTCGCTGCTAGGGTTGACATCTTTGGCGACAGGAGTTGGTGTCTTCGCCATCATGACCTGATGGGTTATCCATCAATCCAAATGTCGGTGCAATTCCCAGACAAGAAGCCACACGACCCGACTGCAAGGATGTGGGAGGCGTGCTGTCCAAGCCAAGTCCAGAACGACCCGGGGAGGGTTGGGCGAGTCCTTCCAGGCAGTCAGGCAGCCTCGTCTAAGGAGATCATCTCACGGAAAACATATTGTTGTAATGGACACGACACAAATATGCTTGCGGGGAACGAAGACGGATGGCTCACTAGGCCAGGACGATTATAATGAGAAGATGAAGAAGAGGAGGAGGGCCATGGCGGCGAGGGTGATGACGTTTGTGAAGATGAAAGATGGTTGAAGAAGGGAGCATCCGGAAGGGGAGGAGTAATAATATTACGCTCGTACCTGAGGCTGGTCAAGGCTGGTCTGGGAATCTTGGGCGCGGGGCACCAACGGGGTGGGAGATGAGGCTAGTGACTAGAGTGCTACTGTAGTTGCGAGGTTGTAATTAGTGGGCGGAGGCGGCGAGGCCACCAGGCAGGTAGTCTGCATTGGTCATGGCCCCTGCTTGCACCTTGAACCTCTAGCTCGCTAGATCTCAACAATAGGTATGTATTTACCTCCTCCTTGGTACCGAGTCCCCTGTACAGGGGGTACCTACTGTACCTAGGTAATTTGGTGGTAGTGCTCAATAACTTTAGGCGAGTAATAACAATATTCGCCCACTGCCCACCCTCCCCCAACATCCGGCCCCTAGCCCGTCTAGGTACGGCGCCTAGGTGCCGCCCATACATACTTGTAGATCCCGCCCACAGAGCCGTAAGTCATACCGACCCATTCTTTACACCCAACTGAACTCCCCCCAAATCACCTCATCGTCGATTGGCTCAGCCGGCTCGCCTCACTTAGCTCGAGCCGCGGTGCTGCTCGAGAGTCTAATGTTTCTTTGCTATCCAAACAAAGTCACTCCATATCAAGCCTCTTCGTGCATCCTCGTCCAGTACGGACACTCAACACCCACAGAATCCCCCATGATCTCCCTGAGATGATATCGCAGTAGCTCCCTCACCTACCTGTTCATTCACCTGCTGTTGTTCCAGAGAGCTCGTCCCAAAGACATCATTTTCCACCCGCCATGGCCGACCTGCCTCCCCTCTCAACGCAGAACACGCGCGGCTCCATGTCCTCCGTCCCAATGCACGAAGTCGAGCCCTCCCCCTTCGACGACTATGACAATGCAGAAGGCCCAGACTACCCGACCAACCCCTCCGACATTGAGGCTTCAAAACTCCCTCCTTCATCCCACAGCACAACCAACTGGCTAGGCCTCACGCACGCCCGAACTATTCACATCTTGTCAGGGGTACAGAAGTACTCGGTCATTCCATTCTCTGCGTATCTGACAATGCACTACACGAATACGGCCCTGATCCCCCTCGTCACTCGCTCTGCACGAGAGGCGGACAAATACCTCCTCCTAACCCGTCCCTACTATCAATCCTTCCCGCTCGAACCCCTCCTGATCTTCGTCCCCGTCATCACACACGTCGCGTCCGGGATTGCCCTACGACTATACCGTCGAAGTATCGCGGCAAGGCGGCATGGAGCCGAGACACTTTCGCAGCGCAGAAAGATGAAGAGCAAGATTCCATGGCCCAAGTTATCCTTGACCAGCGCGGCGGGCTACGCCCTATATCCGATGTTTATTGCCCACGTGTTGTCCATGCGCATCATCCCGAAGAAAGTCGATGGGAGCTCTGCCTCTGTTGGATTACGCTACTTTGCGCACGGCATAGCACAAGACCCTTACATCGGAATGGCAGGCTATACCTTGTTCGTGGGTTTCGCGAGTTATCACGTCGTGAGCGGTGCAGCCAAGTTTCTGAGGCTGAGTGCCGACTATATCATCGGCGGTGGGGAGGACGGTCGAATTCGGAGAATATGGAGACGGAGGATTGTCAATGGCGTTGCAGCGACCATGGCAAGCTTGTGGATCGCTGGCGGGTTGGGTGTTGTGGGAACGGCAGGGCGAGGCATCGGGTGGGAAGCAAGCCATTGGGACAAGATATATAGGGCAGTGCCGGTTATTGGTGGAATGTTTTAAGGTCGATACAAGAGTTCTGAAGACAACAAATTGTCCGGCGCGGTGGATAGAATGAGATGGGGTGTTTGTGAATCCACAGAGGGACGAGCACGCAAATACATACATGCAGCGGATTTGGTACAGGTATATAAGGGGAAGTCGATCTTGACTGTTGTATGAAGAGTTAGCTCTGCTCTCATGTTGAGGTAACGCGCCCTGTCATCGGCGAAGTTTGTCACTCTTGTCAACGACGACGATGACCCCTCCTCGTGAAAATGGCTGAATGCGTGAGGGTGAAAATGTGTATCCCCGGATTTTCAACAGCCTGACCGCAATCCATCTGAGAGTAAACACATACACGATCTTCACCTCCTTGCGCTCGCTCTGCTTGTCCTTCTCATCACGACTCACATCCACATGACAAATTTTGCACATTGGGTATTCTTGGTATGGCAGAGGGGAGCCACGATGAGACAAAGAAAGTCAAGAAAATAGGTGGAAAATGTGGGATACTGTGATGAAGGTGTTGTAGAGAGGATAGCAATCCATACCCACCACCGTGAGGCGAAGTAAGCGTCGCTGCGTCCCACAGCCAAACAAAAAAAAAAAAAAACCTCGCTGGCAAGCGTAGACTAGCTGGACGGTAAAGGCTGCCAGATAGCCCAAGAAATCTTGAATGGGGATCGGATGTCTCTGAATAGGGGTTATTATGCGCGTTTGTTTGGGAAGGGTAGAAGCTTACGCTGCTAGATTCTGAATTGGCAAGGAGAAATTGAATAGGCCCCATTTGTCCTCTTCCTCAATTGACTTTTCTATTCCTTCGTTGATGATGTTGAATTTTATCCGCTGCAAGTATCGCAGGCGGTATTGCATGAGCACAAGTCGGTCAACAATGGCTTTGGCTTGTTCGGTCGAACCTATGGCAAACTCCAGCCTGCGAACCGAGCGTGAGATGTAGTCGACCAGAGTAATTTCCATGTTTGGCCACGTCAAGCTAAGCTCCTGCATATTCGGCGTGTCAAGTAAGAAGGCTGAGAGGAACTCGACAAAAGCTGGAGTCGGGGTTGTGCTGGAGGATATCTTGAGCACTTTGAGGCTCTCGCGGTGATGATCATACAATGCCTTCATCGTCTTCAAATTCAGAAAAATGCTCACATCTGTCCTTGGATCCGTGACTTGAGTCAAGGTCAGATGCTTCAATGGTCTTATCCGCTCTAACAGTTGATGAATGGCGGACTGCGTGATCCTGGTCTGGTATCCGAACCTCTGGCGCATCAGGAGGCCGCGAGGCGGTCCGACGACTGAAAGACGCTCAAGACTTGTCAGCTTGCTGAGCACTTCCGTCGTTCTCGTTGGACTTGTCTCTGAGAACCCGCTAAATTGTAGTGATTGTAGCTCCTTGATAGAACCGAGACAGCCAATATGACATTGCTCAATCTCGAGCTTCAGCACATGAAGCTTAGCATAGTGCTCTGCTATCCAGTTGAGAACTTGAGTCATGACGATGCTCGAGGGTGTATTCTTGCCAGCCTCCGAAGGCCGTAGAAGTGACAGATGCGTCACTCCGGGCAGTTTCGCTAGTGCAGATGTTATGCGATGGATCTCCATGAGATATGGATGTTGTGCAGCTTGGCCGGTAATCCAAGGTGCCACAGCCTGAGGTTTGACCTCTTCTAGCCTCAGCTTAAGATTGGTGATGCTTTGTTGCACCCTGTATGGCCAGGTGTTCGTAAAATCGCCAAGATCGTCCTGAGATTTGCAATCAAGCGGCCGGCGAAAGAATGAGCCCCTCGCTTCACCGTATACCTGCTTGTTCACACACAGCAAGTTTAAGTGATCTCGACATTCGAAGGCAAGCATCAGGTCGTAGATGTAGTCGCGGACTTCAGGAGGGATCTTTAGAAGATGGCTCGAAGCCGATGCGCCTGATGCGAGGCTTGGTTTTGTATTCACCTATCTCTTGTGAACTCGGTCCTCGAAGAGTGAGTGGCGTGGCTTACCTCCTTTCCCTTTGTCAACAGGTCAGCTTGCTGCATCCTCCGCGAAAAACACTTTCGCAGGATTTGCCCTGATTGCTGGCGAATGCCCCACGAAACACCACCAGTTCCCTGTAGGGCCGGTGATTTGCGATAGCTTGATGCGGAGGCTTCAATATGTGCAGGGAAGTAAGTGAGATATAAGTCTGGTTAGATATACGCGGCTGTGCTTTTTGAAAGATGGAAGAGGGCTTTGCAGTTGCTAGGCTGATGGTGCTTGATTCGAGCATTTTCGATCATTTTCGATCCATGCAGGATTTTGAGAGGGGAAGTGCTCAATATTGAGCAACATCCTACTAAGTTCACACTGCTTTAGCCCACAAGACACGATAACATTTGAGTATGTACCGGCGAAAGGCTGCAAAATTGTTTTCGGGTGGTGGGTGTTTCGACAGGAAGTGGTGTAGTGGTGTAGTGGTATAACTTGGAGCAGGTTCGAAATCCCATCCACACCGAATATATCGCGGCGGTGAGGGTCAAATTTTCAGTGACGATGGGAATGAACCTAAGTATCGGAGACAGATGAGCTTACAGCTGGTGGGGACGGCGAAATCCCTAAAGAAGGTGGCTGCCACATGGCTGTCTGGAATGTGATGAGAAATGACGGCAGAAACTGAACTGTGAGAAGCCACAGTACCCGACGAAACGCCAGGAACGAAGTTCAAACGGGCGTGGAGAACGAAGCGACAGATGAACACACTAGGAGAGGCTCAACTTGCCGCCCCTTTCAGTGAGGGACTTGAGAATCGCCATGGAGTAGCCCACCGTAAGTGCTCTGTACTTTTGACAGAGCAATGTCGACATCTGAGCCAGACCCTGGGTCTGCATTTCCCAGGTCATCTAGGTCGTGAAGCTTCTAACTCCATGCAGCCCTGTTGACAAATTCATGGCCCTCGTCTAGCTTCAATGGTGACTTGGGCCAATGAAGAGTGCCTGGAAGATTGAAACCGTCCTAGGGATGAACCACAAGAACCACACGAAGGGCTTTAGCTTCAGGGATATTCCTCTGGTCCTGTTTGCTCACGACTTCTCGACATCGCATATGAATTGTTGAAGGGATTTCGCATCAATGTATTTGACTTTTTTTTAGTCTGTGGTTGGGGCAGACCATGGGTGGGGACGCTAAACCATCGGACTGGGCATGTCAAAATAGCTTGTCCATGTCAGTTCCTGGGCAGATGTTTTGGTCCTGGTGCAGTATGACGGAGCTGGTGCGCCGGTACTGGAAAGAGAAGAGTTTAAGGAATTGCCAACCACGCGGTGGTCCTGGCAGATGTGCGTGGATCCGGGATGGATGACGGATGGGTGCAGGACCCATAACCATAATCGGGATGGGATCGCCACGAGGTCGCCAATCTCGAATAAGGTCAATGGACCAGCGGATGGTAGAAGCAGAAGCCAATCGCAGCATCAAATGCTGAGATTCAACCAAGGCTGACCAGGAAGATTGTAGTTCTGGCTTTCGAAATGTGATCGGAGCCGGTGCTCAGACAGGACGTGTAAGCAAGGACCAGACAGTCTTTCATGATTTCTTCCCTACCTCCTCTCCGTCTCAGTCTCCCTCTCTTTCTCTCCAATGGAAGCCGGGACTTGAGGAACTCGTCAAGAAGGTGAGGAATGGAACAAGCCCGAGCGGGAGCGATTGAGCTGAGACGTTTGTATTACTGATTGATTCAGCTCGACGATCGAGCAAGGGCAATGGTTCGGGCCCGTTCTCTGATCAAATGGGGTAATTATGAGCGCGTTAGACGCATGGAAAAGGAGTAAAGGCTCGACGAGTGCATGCGAGTAAGTCGTTGTGAGCAAGCAGAGCACCGGGTTGTGTACGAGGTATGCAAGGTGGCTGTTTTGGTGGCGTGATGGAGTGCAAGTGAGAAACACGAAAGTGAGAGAATGTGAGGAAGTAGCAGAGAATTGCCTGCGGTCCAGACTCCAATGGCTAACAAAAGCCCATCCAAGCCCATCCACTGCTTCGGTCAAGAAACAGCCTCGTCAACACCCCAGACGACATCAGACCACCTCTTCGTGGTTCTGTATTGGATGTCAACTTCGCATCCAGGCCGCATCGACATGGCAACTCGCCATGTGGCCGCCACATCCCTCTGGCGACATGGTACCGACACCTGAGGACCCGAGCTGCTGGGTTCGCAACCGACCGTTTCAGGAACCCGGATGATGATTTCCTGCTGTCACCCCTCCCGAGGGTCACGTCAAATATCTACTATCGGCACCTTGTGATCGGACTGTGTCTTGGTCCTCTCGAAAAGTGTGTCCACAGGTGGCAAATCCGCTGGAGGAGTTCAACTTCCACCAAAGCTGGGGGATCCGCAAGCCCAAACCGGGCAGCAGGGCAACGGCCTGGGGTCATACTGCAGGGAGTTTGTCATTCATCGCTTAGGCGAGATCGCTGGGAGACAGGCAGATAAGCCTGGATCGTGCGCGCTCCCGGCCTCACTCTGGGGGACAGACTATCCAAAGGCGAGGCAGTAATGCGCTCCATGGCCAGGAAGTGCATCCCGCATTCAGGACGATACGAAGAGGGGTGGCTCTAAACCAACCAGCCCAATGTGACCCAGGCGCGACGAACTTGCGACAGTGCTTGAAGACCGCCTGGAGCCTATAACCCGGCAGCTTCAGCTTGCGAACCACGGAGATGCCGTGTCAAACAATGGCCATTATTTTCGCCGACTCGTAAACTATGTGAAGCTGAATCTTACAATCCCTCGTGGCCATGTAGCAGCCACCCGATGCATCATGGGACCCGGATTCCACTGGATGCAGCCCCTATTTCCACCTGACACGAACAAGACGCTGGCGCTAATACATATATTCAGAAATGCTTTTGGCTTGAAAACAATCCCCACTCCAATCCAAGTCACACCTTGAGTAGCTTCGCTGCATAGTTTGTGATGGTATCGACTTGAGGGAAGCTCATCTCTTCCAATTTCTGCGCGTAGGGGGTGGGTACCTCCGCACCAGTAACACGAACCGGTGGTGCCTGAAGATAGTCGAACCCATATTCGACAGCTAGGGCAAGGATCTCTGCACCGACTCCAAAGGCAGGGAACCCGGATTCGACCGCCATGAGCACACCTGTCTTCTTGACTGATTTGATGATAGCCTCCACATCCATTGGTTTGATTGAACGCAAGTTGATGACCTCGGCTTCAACGCCATAGTTCTTTTTCAGCTGTTCTGCCGCGTCGAGTGACAGACCCACACAACGTGAAAGGGTGACAATGGTCAAGTCCTTGCCTGGTCGTTCAATCTTTGCCTTGCCAAAGGGGAGGACGAAGTCGCTCTTTTGAGCCTCTGCGCTCATCGGGAAAGCCTGGCCGTATAGCAGTCTACACAGGTCAGCATGCCCTTCTTTTCATGGTAATCTTGCACTCACTCGTTCTCAAGGACAACCACGGGGTTGGGGTCTCGGATAGCGGCTTTCAACAGTCCCTTTGCGTCCTCCGCACTCCATGGGGCGACCACTTTCAGACCAGGGATGCTTCCGTACCACGCTGAGTAATCTTGTGAGTGTTGAGCAGCGACTCCAGCGGCGAAACCGTTAGGGCCGCGGAAAACAATCGGACAGGGCTGGATACCGCCAGACATGTAGTGGGTCTTTGCCGCAGAGTTAATGATCTGGTCAATCGCCTGCATAGCGAAATTGAACGTCATGAACTCGCAGACAGGATGCAGGCCGGCGAGAGCTGCACCCACGGCTAGACCACAGAAACCCGATTCTGTAATTGGCGTGTCGATGACTCGTTTAGGGCCGAAGCGGTCGAGGAGTCCCTTGGTGACCTGGGATATAGTTAGCATCGGAGAAGTGAAGCAGGACAGACGAGGTCTTCAAATCCCCGCAACTGCTTCAGGCCTCTGGAGTGCCTTACTTTATATGCACCTGGAAGACAGCTGGTCAGCATTGAACCCTCGTTTCCAGATGGCATGAAGCTCACCATTGTATTGGGCTACCTCCTCTCCTAATATGAACACTTTCTCATCTTGCTCAAGCTCCTCTGCCAATGCTTCATTAAGTGCGTCGCGGACCGTGAAGGTCTGCTGTGAACCGGAAGCATATCCTCGGATCGCAGGAAGCGATATAGGTGCGACTCTACGGAAAGAAGGACGTATTGAGGAAGGAAGGGCAGATCGCTGTGAAAGCAGCCTTGAGGCGCTCGTGAAGAGCTTGGTTGCTGACATGGTGAGCAGGCAAGAGGTGAGGCGGGCAAGAGCGACGTGTTTTTGCGTCCGTTTCAGAATGAACGGCTTTAAGAGACCAAAGGCGAAGAAAAAAGTTGTTGAAAGTTGAGGCCGGACTGCAATACGGAGCTCGGGATTGATTGGGGTGCCCAACACGGAAGCTTCATCACCAAAGGGAAGGGGAAGCGCAGGAAGGGGTTCGCCAGTTGCCCGTTTTGCCCGTTGCAGGTCAGCTCGCTCGAGCCGAACGAGGCCTAGCTCCATTGCTGGTCTTGGCATGTTTGGCATGATTGTGTTTTCACGCCCAAGTTGAGGACCTTCTGGGACCTTACATCCGCCAAAAGGGTCGTAAAATGATAGGGGGTATTGCCGCCATTGTTATCGAGTAATCATATGGCACTTTGTGGGATCGATCTTGGAACATCAGAGTCTCGTTGAACTATAATATACTTATCATTACGCCATTTCTTCGAGATCCGGCACCCCCTGGCCCAGAGACAACGCTGCGAGGCCTCGTTTCGTGCAAAGTATTCATTCAGGGGACCCGATTCTTGGGTTCAAATGTCTCCAAGATGTTCGTCTTTGCCACCGTGACTTTAGCCCTCCTCATAGAGTCCACCCTCTCAAAGCAACCATCAGCCCCCGAAGCATATGCATCTCCACTCAGAGACCTCCGCTTCGGGCAGCTAAACTTCTTACACACCACGGACACCCACGGCTGGTAGGTTACCAATACTGGGTTGCTTCTTGGAAGCTATCGCTAGTGCTGTGGCATTTGTGTTACAAGCTAACAGCCTCTCCCTAGGCACGCCGGCCACTTACTCGAGCCGTCTTTCAGCGCAGACTGGGGAGACTACGTCGACTTCGCGGCACGACTAAGAGAGAAACTCGAAGCAGAAGGCCGAGACCTGTTGATTGTCGATACGGGAGATCGTATCGAGGGCAATGGTCTCTATGACGCATCGGAGCCCAAAGGGCTGTTCACGTTCGACATCTTTCGCGAGCAGCACATGGACATCATCTGCTCGGGCAATCACGAGCTCTACCAACAGAATTCGTCCGAAAATGAATATCTGATCACTGTCCCGGCCTATGCCAGCAGTTACCTTGCTTCCAATCTCGACATCCTTGACCCAAATACCGGGGAACTGGTCCCCCTTGCCCCCAGGTACAAAAAATTCACCACGAAGAATCAAGGCATTCGTATCGTGAGCTTCGGGTTCCTCTACGATTTCAACGGAAATTACAACAATACCGTGGTCCAGCGAGTCGAGAAGACAGTTCGAGAAGCTTGGTTTCAGGACGCAATCCGCGATCGAGAAGTTGACCTGTTCGTGATCATTGGCCACGCCGCTGTACGATCAGAGGAATTCGAAATCGTTTACAGGGCCATTCGTTCAGTCCATTGGGATACTCCCATCCAATTCTTCGGCGGCCACTACCATATCCGGGACTACCGCAAGTTTGACACCGGCTCCTACGGCCTTGCCAGCGGTCGCTTTATGGAGACTATTGGCTTTCAGTCGATCGACGGTCTCTCTACAAATACCAGCCGTTCCGCAAGCGCAAATCCCACGTTCTTCAGAAGATACATCGATAACAATTTATACTCATTGTACCACCATTCTGGTCATAATGAATCGACATTCCATTCCGAGCGCGGCCGAAACATTACGGAAGCAATCGGGGAAGCTCGCGAGGCCCTCGATCTGGATAGAACCTTTGGCTGTGCTCCAAAGGATCTGTGGATGAGTCGAGCGCCTTATCCAAGCAACAATAGCATCTACTCGTGGCTGGAGCAAGAGGTGTTTCCCGGCATTGTAAGCGACACCAGACGGGTCGATAGGCCCCGCCTCGTCATATCGAACACTGGAGCAATCCGATTTGACATCTTCCAAGGACCATTTACCAAGGATTCGACCTATATTATCAGTCCGTTTACAAGCGGATTCCACTATATCAAGGACGTGCCTTACACTAAAGCCAAACATCTCATCAATATGCTGAACCGCGGGGGGCCAATTTTTGAGAATGTCGATCAATCATATGCCATGTGGAAAATGGCCCCTCCCGAACAAATTGGTGTGAAAGAAGACATCATCTCATCTGATGACAAAAATGGCCACTCGCAAATCTCTCTCTCGGATGATGGTCGCAACAGTCTGACGCCGGGCTACACCACGCACGACGACTTGGGTAACGATGGAGATGATACGATCCATTCCCCGATATCCTTCTACGTCGTCCCCAACTGTATCCAGTCAACCATCAACCCGCAACCAAACAGCATAAACCTCGACAAAGACCAAGATGTTGTCGTGGACGTCGTCTTTAATGAATTCATCGAGCCATGGGTCATCTTAGCCTTTAGGTTCCTGGGGCTCGAATACTCGGACGACGACGTGGACCAGTATATGCCCGGAGACAATCTGACGACCTTGATCGCCAAGTGGGTCGCGGAGAATTGGAAGGTCAATTGCAAGGTGTGAGAGGCTGTGCCTCCTGGGATGAACGAAAGAGTCGGCTACATATAATCCACAAGAGAACAAAGAAACTCTTTGCCCTCTCCCTAGCGTGACACAGAGGTGAATGAATCTTCGGCGAACATCCAAAGCTCCGTGGCACGCGACCAGGCCGTCGTCGTTGATAAGTGGAAAAGCAGCTCTTGCTTGGCACCCATTCCACCCCTGACACCGAGGAAGAAACCAGGCACACATGCCTTGATCTGCTTCTATTCAAGTTGTGTTCAGCCTTGTCACAACCTAGTCTCTACTGCCCTGCGCAGGATGAGCAGGAAGGAAGAACTGGAGGGAGATATGGTCATATCTCTACCTCGAGCTGTTTGTCATTTGCGGAAGATATCATCGGGGCCGTGCCTGGAGTCCGCCTCGAAAGGGTGTCGATTGTCCTGATGGGATCCTCGTCGCGCCCCATCAACGCAAATATAGACCATCTTTGGGCACACCTCCATAAGGTTGAAAGGTAAATGTGCCAGGATAAATCATATCATTTCAGCTTCATCATAACCCAATTTATCTACACAGATGCTGAACACCTCAGCGAATCTGCTCATTTCGATTCCAACTCGATTCCAACTCAATTCAAGTGCTCATCCCAAATCATCGCCCAGGTCACTACCCCCTTGCCGCCTTCCGTCGGCCAACCTTTCTCATTAACTCTCCCCTTCCCAATGACCACCTGCTCACACACCCTGAACCCCATGCCCTCGTACTCTTTCATGGCGCCTTCGCTGGCCGTCTCCAACCAGACCGGCACATCTTCGTCCCTCGCCTTGTTCAAAAAGTAGTCCATACAGGCCTTGAATGCCTTCCTGCTCTTGTCGGGTGGAGCGTCGGGGTCTCTCGCAATCATGGCCAGGTGGTAGAAGGGGCGAGTTTCGAAATCAATGTCCTTGTTGAAGTCCGCCGGGTAAGGGTCCTCGGAGGGCGCCCCCGAGGACTGGGAGGGCGCAGCAGGCTGGTCGTAACTGTGTTCCCCTTGGTCGGGGATGGAGAGGTATTTCGCCTTCAACTTGCGCGCGGTGCTCCGCCATTCTTGCAGTATAGGCCCGGGATTACGGCGGGCCTGCGAGGGGGGAATGCCGCAGAAATCGGGGGGTTCAAAGAGCGCTGCGGCGGTGAAGTCGCCTGATTCAATGAGGACAATGTTGGACTTTGCGGCCGCCGTGATGCCCAACGTGAAGTGCTTGGTGAGACGCTCGGGGGTCATCACCTGAGAGACGTCTGCGGTTGGACTGGTGTTGTCGATCTCTGTGATGAAGGCTGTCGTGAGAGGGGTGGTCAGGTAGGAGCGAGAGAGCAGAGAGATGAAGCTGTCGAGCCATTTCTGGTCGGGGGAGGCAGTGGTTCTCACTTCTGTGGACATGACGGTCGAGTGTGAGGATTGGGATGAAGGTATATATATATATATATCCGGGAGTCGTCAGGCTGAGGCAGATCAATGAGTGTTTCAATGCTTGAGTGACGTTCAATTTCTCAGCAGAGGAGAGTCTAGACCACAGTCAGCGCAACGAGTGAGCGAGCCTTTTACCTTGAGACCATTGAGGGATGTAGAGGGGAAGGAGCTGAAGGAGCAGGCGCAGGAAGAAGGGTGGGCGTGCTTATGACCTGAGCTGCGGACATCAGGGGGGGCGTCAAGTCAACCAACAGCTGGCGAGGCTTCATTTCGGTGCTTGTCCCTGTAGATCTCCATCTTTGGCCTCGCTCCGTACGCTACTCAGACGCTTGGGTTGCGAGCTGGCTGTCATCTGCGAGACGTGCAAGTGGTGGAAGTATCTCACAACAGCCCCCAAATGCGGGGCAGAGAGACGCAGGCGACTCGGCTCACCAGGCCTCTCAAGGCCTCTCCACCACAGCTTCTGCCAATACATATTCTCACCACCTCCGGTCATGGCGACCACCGACCACCGCAAGTCAGTCCTCATCACCGGCTGCAGTCCTGGTGGAATCGGCCACGCTCTTGCTCTTGCCTTCCATGCTCGAGGGCTCCGGGTCTTTGCCACAGCTCGAACAACTGGTCGAATCGAGGATTTGTCGCAGAAAGGGATCGAGACTCTGGCCTTGGTGGTCGACGACGACGTGTCAATCCTCACCTGTTTCAAGACTGTTGAGCAGTTGACCCATGGCCATGGCCTTGACTATCTGGGTGAGTAGATTTTGAGAGTTGACAATAACCCTGGCTATATACGGTTGAACTGACGACGAGTCGTGCACAGTCAACAATGCTGGCGTGTCGTACGTGATGCCCGCTCTGGACGTCAACGTCGATGAAGCCAAGAAGATCTTCGATGTCAACCTCTTCGCCGTCATGCGCATGTGCCAGGTTTTCTCACCTCTTCTTATCAAAGCTCACGGCACCATTGTCATGATCGGGAGCCTGGCCGCTGTCATCCCCTATGTGTTTGGCAGTGTGTACAATGCCACGAAAGCGGCATTGCACGCCTATGCCAACACCCTGCGCGTTGAGCTCGCCCCATTCAATGTCAAGGTCATCACAATTGTCACTGGCGGCGTCAAGTCGCGCATCTCCTCTCATGTCAAGCGCGTCTTGCCCGAGGAAAGCCTATATGCCCCTCTCGAGGAGAACTACCTGAGACGCCAAGGCCATTCGCAGGAGGGAGCCATGCCCACCACAGCGTATGCTGAAAGTATCGTCGAACAGGTTCTTCCTGGCGCTGGCCCGCGGCCTTGGAGGTGGCTGTTGAGGGATGGCAGGAGGAACTGGATCTGGGAAGGGAATAGAAGCTGGCTGGTGTACTTCCTCTCGGGTGGCTATACCTGGACGGGCTTCTTCGACCGGTATATGACCTGGCTGTTCCAACTCCGGAAGCTAAAGCGGAAGGAGACTTGAATTCGGGAACCATTGTTCCAGGCTGGTGTACTCGAGTCTGAGATTACAAACTCCGATGAGCAAGGACACTCGTCTGCTCCCCTGCCAAGTTCCCAATCTTACTGCCTGGGGTCAAGCCCTCAAAGCCATAGGCACCGCCTTCACAGACTTCCTGGCCCATTGGGAGGGCCAATCCGGAAGCAAGACATGAAGATCACCGTCAAGCGTGTCAGCTACTTTCACTGCAAGCCATCCCAGCACTGTGAAAACAGAAGCGAAGTTTGGCACCTGCGCACCGGTCCTGGGATCGTCGTGTTTGGCTCTCGAGAGCGGTCATGGAATCGCAGAAGTGCCCACCACGCTCTTCTGCGGCCCGTTGGAATCGAAAAGAGCACCGACTAGGGCGGTGGACACAGGGGCAGATATCATCCGCAGATGAGGAGAGCCGCAGCCGCTGTTCAGTAGCCACAGAAAGATTCGGGAGTCGTTGAAGCGTGTCGATACCCTAGTCATCACTTGGAGAAGAAGGCTACAACCTACAACCTTCCGAATCTTCTATGAGAGCTGCGGAGTGCCGCCCATGCTCTGCTCCCGCCACACTACTGGGAAGTCCATTTTTGCCCCTTCCCGTCCACGATCTAGGGAGGTATACTTGTATTCTTCCTGTGTTGCCATGGTGAAATGCTGTTCACCGTTGTTTTATATACACAAATGGTCTAAGCCGGTTTTAGTACAGAGTATATACAACCCCCCAAAAAGGATGATCCTCATTGCATATCAATAGCCGAACCGCATCTGTTTATGCTGTTGTCTTCTCGTATCTTGGTTCACCACCGGCTTCATTCCCCCGGTCGCCCTCGTCAAGAGCCGGCTCAATATCAGCATCTTCTTCTTCAGAGGCATCTGAGTCAATCTCGTCCTGCTCAGCAGCTTCGACGTCTTCGTGTCGCTCTGCTTCTTGTCGCTCCTCCCCAACGACGGCCTCTGCTGCCCCTTCCTGCTCTTTCCTTTCCCGTTCGACGTCCGAGGCAATCTCAGCGCGGCGCCGTTCTCGCCATTCCTTCCAGTGCGCCTCATCGGCATCTAACATTTTCACGACTGCTCCAACCATGACGTCTCTCAATCCGAGACCTAAGCTACTTGGTGTTGTTGTTCCTTGTCCCTGATTGTCAGAAGGATGTGGCGATCTGAACGCTCGAGGATTGTTGGTCAACTTTTCAAGCTCTAACCATGCGAGATTCACGAACCGATCAATTGTTTTCCTCAGTTCCATCAGAATGGCCGCCGTCTGATCAGAAATGTCCAACGGAACATCGTCAGGCGCTGAGACTCGTAGTCGGAGCCAATCGTTGAGCTCCAAGACCCGGTCTCTCTGCAGGCTAAGACTCCGACAGAATAATATTGCCATGAGCGGCGTCACCATGGATGCCTGTTCAAGCCACACGATATCATCAGGTCCATCTAGCGCCCTTTGCTTCCACGTGTATGCCATCAAGCGACCATGGCTGCGGTATCGTTTCTTTTTACGTCGCTCTCCCCGAGTGTTCGCTTCATTGACCCCATGCTTCGAAATCATGCCTCTGAGATCGCGGCTGTTGGTTGACCATCCATATTTACGTCCTCCGGAAGGTGTCGTTCCTCGCCAGGCAGCTAGTTCGGCGCTGACAGAGTTGATAAGCAGCGCTTTAACTAGAACCATATTGTTACTGTTGGCATTAAAATAGTCAGGAAGCGATTCGAAAATGGTTTGCCCGGGCCGCAGAGCCGGAAGGAATCCAACTTCCACCAAAATATCGTAAAGTTCTTTGCTCGTTGTCATCATATCCAGATAGGCACGGTGTCGAATATGCTTTGTTTCTCGTAACTCCTCCATCAGATTTTCATCACCGGCCAAATTGGCTGCATGGTACTCTCTGAAAGCCCCCACGATCCAAGCAAAGTCACTTTCGGACTCGGGGAGATACTGCTGTTTCACGGCTCTGAGTTTGTCGATACTCAGTTCTAAAGTCGACACCAGAGGAGCTGCAGGATCGTGACAGGCAATAATCAGCATGGGCTCAAGACATCCAAACAAAGAACCCAGTAAAATGCCCTTCCCCAGCGCTGGATGAACCCCCAATCGCCACAGTAATCGGCCTAGGCCTGTGATATCTCCGCTTTCCGTCAATGCGCCCAGACTTTGCAACTGTCTGATCGCGCTTGCGATGGATTCAGAGGTGGGCGGGTCTATTGTTTCGAGAAGAAGACCTTCGACATCAACGTGATGAGGGAAAGCCTTGAATTGCAGTGCCAGATCCGCGAGATCGGACTGCTCAATCTTAGGACGTTGCATTGGTCGAAGTGAGTCATGCCGTTCCCTTGAAAACAGAGCATAGTAATGACCGTTTCGAACCCGCCCAGCGCGTCCACGTCTTTGAATTGAGCTGGTCTTGCTGATCCAAGCGTAAGGCAGACTCCTCGCAAGCGTCGAAGGGTCAAAGAGGCTGTTTCGTTCCTTGCCGGTGTCGACGACATAGACGACATCTGGAAGTGTGACTGAAGTTTCAGCAATGTTCGTTGTCAGGATGATCCTCCGACAACCCTCGGGAACAGGTTCAAAGACTTGGTCGTTCGTTTCCCGGCGCAGAGAGTGAAGCTTGAACAGCCGAAACCTATTCGAATCCCGGAAATCAAGACCTAAACTGTCGAAACGGCCACTGGTCAAGAGAAGCTCAACCTTTTCCATATCCGTGGACCCGGGAAAGAACACCAGTACATCGCCATCCGGCTTGGTGTGTGCAATATGCGCTATTACTGAGACAGTGAGGCCGACGCGCATTGGGCCTGTAAGTTCAGCAATGTCGGCTTCATCTACAGCACTCGACAGCGGCGAATTCTCGTTCTCGCCCCATGCATTTGAATGTGACGATGCCAACTTTTTTTGCTTGGCAGAAAATTGCATCTCATGTTCAATATGGCGTGCACTGGACTGATGGTGACCTCCCTGAATCAACTGGCGCATCGAGGGGTGTATGTCGGCTCCTTGAGACAATTCCGAAAGAATATCTGCCAGATAGTGGGTTTCGACATGAGCACGCCTTCCTTCTACATCGAGGCATTTGGCTGTGAGAACAGTACCGTCGTCTGCCGGCTCTTTGAAATAATTGAGAAACGTAGTCGGGTCAATGGTAGCACTCATGAGGATAATCTTGGGGAAGCTCTTGTGTGCCGCTTTCCTAGCTCGAATAGTCCTCCGAAGGAGCGATAGGACAAGATCAATTTGAATATCGCGTTCGTGGACCTCGTCAACAATGATGTGCGAATGGGACGACAACGTAGCTTGTGGATTGGCTATCAGCCGATTGAGGAGGATCCCTGTAGTACAATAAGTTATGCTACCGTGCGGAATTGGTGACCAGTTCTCGTTGCGAATATGATAACCGACGCTGTTTCTCATGGTATCATGGCGTTCTTGAGCCACCCTGTGCGCCACAGAGGTCGTTGCAATCCGTCGTGGCTGCGTACAAACAATGCTTGTACATGGACCTTCTCCAGACACGATGTTGTCATCGAGTATAATCTGAGGGACTTGCGTGGTCTTTCCAGAGCCAGTTTTGGCTAGGACGATCACGATATCATTGTCGTTGATCAGTTTCAGAAGCGCCCGCTGTGTTCCTTCAGCCATCAGAGGTAATGTCTGCCTCAAGCGAAGAGTTTCCTTCATCTTCTCCTCTTGCCTGGCCATCTCAAGCCCGATCTTCATTCTAGCGGCGAGTGCTTCATCGTTCTTCAACGGAACAGCATGGCTTGAACAGTCTGGCTGTCCCGGGGAAGGTTGGAGCTTAACTTCGTCGAGCGTGAGCCCGTGCGCACGAGCCAGCCTCATTGTCTCTAGGGCGGAATCGAGATTGGCTCTCGAAATGCCGATGCGAAATGGTTTTCGTGCCTTGACATTTTTCTCCCCCTGCGCTGTGCTAGACGTGTCGGGCGTTGCCGAGAGGCCAGGCGCGTCAGGGAGGTCTCCATCATCGCCAGCATTGCCCCTCCAGGATGACGCCAATGGACACGAGGCATCGTGGGCAGTCTCGGAACCAAGGTGAAGGAAGCCGACAGGAGGAAGGCGTTTCGGTCGTGTCCGGATACATATGGCTTTCGTAGGTCGTACATAGGCTCGAGAGGCTATCCCATCAGGAGGGATAGACAGAAGCGAGGGGATATCATGATTCCGGTGGGCAATGTATTGCAAACCGCGCGGCTTTGGGTTCTGGTTGGGAGGTATGTTAGAAAATGTTCCGTTAGAAGGATGAGGACAGCGAGTGCGTACCCGTGCACACCGAGCCCACATGACGGAGACTTGACTCCTTCATCTTGGCAACATGTGTCCGATGAGAAGAATCTCAATAATGTCGGTGGACAAGCTAAAGCAAAAGGGGTTTCAATTCTCAACTTCGACGAGTATCGACGGAGGGAAAATATTATACTCCGCATATACTCCGAAGAGTTTGGTTGGAGTTGCGTTGCCAACAGCCGCCAATCGGAGACAAGAAGAGAGTGAAGATCACGTGCCGGGTACCAGCCTCCTTGCAGCCTTGCAGCCTCGCAGCTTCGCCAGACGAGCAGACACCCCAAGGTCATGTTTGGTTCATTCTCGAATCTGTTAAGGGAATTCTCTCTGGGAAAAGGTCTTTCCTTGTGCATCGTCGCCTCCTGTCTACGCGATACGCAGCGCCATCAAAGCATACAATCATGCTTCAAAGACGATAAGATCCCCAACTCCCTCATTCCCAAAATTGGGTGGCATCCTCCCACCTTACCATTTGTGAAACAGTATATTGTTGAAAATGTCTTCTGGCATCTGGAGCAGCTCTGTGAGCTTTGTACTGAGTTGCCGAAGTGGCTGCCATCCACCAAGACTTGTGAAAAGGTGATTTATGGCTACCTCCGCCTTGGTTGTTTCGATATTGTTCATCGTGGTGGTCTCAAGAAGACAATGACACGTCAATTGAAGATTGGAGTGGAGCACAGTAAAGTGTTCGGCTATAATGACCAGCCATTCGTCAACCTCCTCGACCTTCCCAACCAGTTGCTGGTGTGCTCGGAGTTCTTTGAACGCAGAGGCATTTCCCTCACGAAGCACCGTCCTGCGCGCGTCTGCCCATGGCTGTCAGACACCGCAATCGCCAGTCAAACATTGGCAATGTGTGTTGCAATAACATATGGTCGTCCAGGGGCAGACCGAGGTGCTCCAGGGAGTGGTGTCCTGGGCAGCCTGGGAGGCAAGGCTGAGCCGAAGTTGAGCCGGGCTTGATTTTGGCAGAGTTGGGCTCCCAGTCCATGAAAGCGGCGGGGTAAGGCATCGACCCGGAAATCGTGGTCGGTTCAATTTGGTCCGACTACAGCCGAGAATTTCTAGCCCAGCTGTCGCTACATGGCCAACATGGCTTACTAGGTACTTCTCATGAGTCATTGCCCTCAACTATTGCAAGGGACCATGTCCTTTTCTACGTGAGCTTCCCCCGCATTCCCGGATTCGCCGAAAGGATTGGTCACCACCGCATTCTTACGCGCGTTGGGGCCGACATGTGAGCGATTCGTTCGTGCCGAGAACCTCTAGCCAGTTGTCGGTACCTCTCAGCTGTTGTGATGGCACCAGATGGACATGGCTGTGCTGACTGATGCCTGTCCTGAACGTGTTCTGACTCGTGCTGCTCGTGGCATATAAGGCAAGAGCCTTGTCCTTTTCAAAGGTGGTCAGGACATCCTCCTTCCCGTCCTCCTTCTTCTCCAAGTAATCAGAAACCCCAAATTGGGACTACCACAGGCACAATGGACAAGCTCGAGAAGAAAACACTCGACGTCACCCGTGGTTTCACATATACATACTATAACAGCCCAGCAAAGGATGGTCGTCCAACTTTGCTCTTGGTCCACGGTTTCCCAGATGCGCCTGATACGTATGAGGAAGTGATTCGAGACTATCTGCTCCCTAATGGATATGGTGTGATTGCCGTAGACTGCTTGGGCTACAATGGCACCTCAAAGCCCACCGACAAGGAATCCTACAATATGCAGTTGATGTGCCAGGACCTCAAGGAGATCATTGATAAGGAAGGGCTTGACAAGGTCATCCCCGTCGGCCATGACTGGGTAAGTCTAGCCAGCTGAATGGGCTTTGCTATCCTGTCCTCCCCATGTCCCCCGCAGGTTCGTGTCCCGGTTGCTCACGAATCCTCCGCTAGGGCGCCGGTGTCGTGCAACGCTTCTACAACTTCCACGCTGACCGAGTGAGCGGCCTCGTCCTCATGAACGTCGCATACACGGTTCCGGCGCCTCAACCGTTCGACCTCGACGCCACCATCGAACTCACCAAAGGAATCTTCGGCTACGGCACCTTCTGGTACTGGAAGCTCTTTGCAGGCGACGACGGCGCCCAGGTAATTGACTCCCACCTGGAAGCCTTTTGGGATGCCGCGCACGGCGAACCGGAGACGTGGCTCGAGACGCTCTGCAAGCCCGACGGCGTGAGAAACTTCCTCCTCGCCGACAAGAGGCAGCCCACCATGGCCTACGCGACGGAGGAACGCAAGCAGAAATGGATCGCCGACATGAAGGCTGGAGGCTTTGACGCCCCCCTGAACTACTACCGAGCCATGGTCTTTGGCGAACAGGACAAAGCCGTCGCCGCTATCCCCCCCGAGAACATCCCCATCAAGTGCCCGCTTTTGTTCTGGGGCGGCAAGCGAGATTACGTCTGCCGACCAGAGATGCTGCAGATGAGTCTCGATGCCGGATTGATTCCGGATTGTAAGCAGGTCGTGGTTGATTCGGGACATTGGGCTCATTTGGACAAGCCGAAGGAATTTGGGGAGGCGCTGGTGGGCTGGTTGAAGGAAAAGTATTGAGGACACAAGATTCTGGGCATCATGTTCGACAGTAGGGCCATGTAAATGACTTCGCCGGCCGAGTAATGCTTTCGTTCTCGACTGGTTTTCACAAGCCCCAGAGGACTTTATGCCCATTTGAGACAAATAGCCCGGATTGAAACGGTCTCGGATTGGTCAAAGTTATCAAAGAGGATGGCCACCACGAGTTATCCAAAGTTCTAGTGCGTACGCTTTCATAAAAGAGGCCTCCCATGAGACAAAGGGCGAGGAGTCGGGACATGTTCATACACACGTCGTCCTCACAACCAACGGGTAGATCAGCCCAACATGTCGCTGTAGATGAGACCGCTACTACCACGAGAGGCGTCGGACAACGGACAACCAGCCATAGATTACCATGCCCACATTAGCTTATGCGCCAAAATCCGCTCACCTAACCTCTCATACAAAAAAGCATTGATCCAACTATCATTGGTGCGATTCATCCTGCCAAAGACCGCGCCGCCCTTCCACGCCACAACTTGCGGGTCTAATTCCCTCGGTGGTCGTCCGATCAGAATGTCCTTGCTGTAGCCGGGTAGTATCCCCTTTAGACTCTCTTCCAAATGCGAACCGAGTCCGGGAATCATAGATGTGCCACCCGTAAGCATGATGCCAGAGAGGAGATCGGATGTCTTCTGGGAGGAGCCTCTAGCTGCGTGGGTAATGGAGGTGACGATTGCGTTAGGGAGAGGGTAGATGGGGAGAATGTCGTCGCGGCGTTCAATGGAGAGGGGTTCTTCTTCCTCCACTTCGGGGACAGGAGGCTTCTCATCACGTGGAGCTCCGCCTTCGTTCTCCTCCCCTGGTTGTGGTGTGCCGTCCGCCAAGTTGCGGGCCGGAGAGCTTGCAGCTGATGGTTGTGGTGTTGCATCCATTTCCTTTATGTTGCTGAAAGATGGACGGCGGGAGTCATTATTGAATGCTTCGTCTTTTGTCGCTGTTCCATTGGTGAGAACGCCATTAGTGTGTCCGTTGGCCTTGGTGGCAGGCTTGTTTGTCGAGGTGAGAACTTCTTCCGGAGCAATAGCTGTCAGGATCTCTGCTTGCGCGGTCGAGCTCGGATCGTTTGGTTTGCCGTCGTAGATGTCGTAGGATTTGTCGACGAGTTTACGACGACCATTGAGTTTCCCACTGTTATCGAAGATTTGAGGTTTGAAAAGTCCCATTGGGGCGAGGACAACTTCGTCGTAGATCTTGAATGTGTACTTCCTGGTGTCCTGTCCCGGCGCACGCAAATGAAAGTCATACAATTGTACCGACACATCTGCCTCGGTCATGGTGCAATACTTTTGCTTCAGCTCTTCTGCCAGCTGAAAATCATATCGTCGGTTTAAGTTGATCTCTGAATATGGGAAGTGGTTGTAAATGATCATTTTAACAAATGTTTCCGTGATGTCCCTTCCGCCGTATTTCAGGTTGACTCGGGAGTTGTCAATAACCATTCCGTCTTCAACACACGATATCGTGGTCTTCTGGGCGCCGATGTCGACAATGCAGCAAGTCGTAAAACCGGCGCCGAAGGAAGCAGCCAAACTTTCCTGAATGAAGCAGACTCGTCCAAACCCGAACTCTGCTATAGCCAATTCAAGCAGGCTTGTTACGTATGTTCTCTCGTAGTAGTCGGGGATGACGATGACGCAGCTATATTGGTTCCAGTCTGCCCGGGTGCGGAGTTTCAGTTCAAGTTGAGATTTGATGGCGTCTTCGATAATGATGCGGATGTCATCGTACAAGAAACGTTTCGAGTCGTAGTCTTGCTCGTTGATCCACCCACATCGAATGGGCCAGAACAGTTTGTACCGCGGCGTTGACTGATCTGGGATCCGCAGAGCGGCTTTGCCGGTGATATATTCGGGAGGACCGCTCAAACCATCTGTGGTATCTGTCCACTCAATACGCATGGTGTCATTGTGCTCCGTTATAGTTTCGTATGTATTGCGACGGTTGTAGCTGGTGACCATGTCTCTGGACTGCGGCAACACCTTTCTCTTGTTCATTCTCATCCGGACTTTGAGATCCTGAGACATTGCCGAAAACTTCTTTGCAAAGTCCTCGCCAAAACGCTTCTCTGGTTCTGGTGGCGGTAAGCCATTGTCCAATTTGGCTCTTTTAGGCGCTGGTTCTCCATCTCCCTCCTCGCTCTCAGATTTAGCCGATCGGCGCGCGATGACCATGGGAACGGTCTTTGGTAGAGCGTCGTTGGCAAGACCAACTCTTAGATTCTGGGACCCGATGTGGATAACAATCGTCTTTGCTCCGCTTGAAGCTTCGTCTTCGGCCTCTTCTTCACCATCCTCCATTTCGATGTCCCCATCAGGCCCGACTGTTTTGCCTTGTGCGAGTGCCCTGTCCCTGTCTTTGGCTTGTTTCACCATTTTGTTGCGGGCTTCCTCCTGCTGCGATCGGAAGGCCAGTATTTGTTCGTCTCGTTTGAGATAGTCTGTGTAATAGTTTTTTTGATTTATGGCTTGGATCATAGGCCAGGATGTCAGCTCCATGTTGCTATAAACAACCATTAGTCTGAATCGCCATGGGGAGGCCGCCGACGGGTGCGGACTGTCGCAAAACCGAAGAGGTCTTTCGAAGACAAGGAGAACTTACTTGTCGGTTCTTTCCAGGCCTTCCTCCCGCAGGAGTGCCTTTCCGCTTTTCTTGCCCACCATCTTTATATGGTCTGCCTCAACCCCTTTGGAACTTTTTATGATTCAGGATGGAGTTGAACCAGAGGCGTGACGGTCTTCGTGGATGTGGTGGCAGTCTACTGTAGCATTCTGGCGCAAGATTGGGCGGGAAGAGTGTGAGGTCCCTTTTCCTGGTGGTACAATGTGTGGTATGAGAAGGCGCAAAAGGCCTGAGTCAAGTTGTGCTGGTTTGGAAGAGGCTGAACTCCGCAATTTGTAGGTGGTGGCACGGGTTGAGAGAAGCGAGAAAAGTTCCAGGAAAGTCCCGCCCCGGATCATCGGCGGTCAGTGGCTTGACACTCGAGGCTTCGCCCACCACATCATCTCTGTCCTTCTATTTTCTCTTTTTTTTTTTGGTCCTTTCTTCACAATCTAGGTGACATTGGATCTCCAGCGAAGGCAGATAAAAGTAGCCAGAAGTAGACACTGTCTGCACGTCGTCCTGATCAGGCTCTATTCGACAAACTACCAAAGTCCCACATCGAAATCAAATCAGCGACATGGTCTTTTCGTGACCAGTTGTCGACTCTAACCCGTTGAAGCCGACCGTCTTCCATCGTCGGACATGGGTGGCTCACTATCAAAATACTTCACCAATCTCATTTGGGGCAAGAAAGATATCAGGATTCTGATTCTTGGTCTTGTGCGTTGTTAAAGATTTCTATCACCAGAGACAAAATGGGCTGACAGGTGTTGACTAAGGACAATGCCGGCAAGACCACCCTTTTGTACAGACTCAAGGTACGCCATCGTTGACGGATTTGGTCCTTGATCTAAATGAGACAGATCGGCGAAGTGGTAACTACGATACCGACAATTGGATTCAATGTCGAGTTAGTCTTGCACAAGGATTATATCCCTAGCATGAGAGACTAACTCCACTCTACTAGGTCCGTCCAGTACGGCAATCTGAACTTCGATGTCTGGGATTTGGGTGGACAGACCTCAATAAGGCCTTACTGGAGATCATACTACGCCAACACCGCCGCTGTGATATTTGTCATTGATTCGACCGACATTGAACGATTAGAGATCGCCGCGGACGAACTAAGGTCGATGCTGAATGAAGATGAATTGAAAGATGCGGCTTTATTGGTGTTTGCCAACAAGCAAGATCAGGTACGGATCTTCCCTCGGCTTCTGGAACTTGGCTGACGGCTAGTAGCCTGGCGCACAAGGCGCAGGAGAGATCTCTGAAGCTTTGAAACTGGGCGAGCTGAGAGACCGGAATTGGAGTATTGTTGCGTGCTCAGTGATTGATGGGAAAGGGATCAACGAGGGCATGGATTGGCTTTCGTAAGTCTGTCAACTCGACGTACACGTCGAGCGTTCTAACGCCCTGCAGTCAAACTGTGCAATCAGAGTCATGATGTCTGTTAAGATATACCCATGCATCAATGCGGCGCGCGTGCGAAGAACATCAACACCATTCTGCATCTGGTCCATACGAGAGTTTTCAACTACACGGCCTAATTCCCTGGACATCCAGATTGGATTGGAACCCACAGATGAAACAGGAAGAGTCCTGCTCGATCAAACACACACCAAAATGCTCTGCGAGCAACACCTTTGGTGCGGGGGACCTCGAAGAGCACCACTCGAGCCGTGCTTGTTGCGCCTCGACCGAGCACCTTGCTTCCCATCTAGGTAGGTCGGCTGTCAGATTGAATTACCGTGAAAATCAGGGATTAGAGATGACTGTACGAGGATGGGGGTTCATGTTTTTGACTGGAAAGGCCTTAGAGCAGGCTTTCGAATGATGAGGGACTGGAGCCGATTGGTCAATGGATAGGATGTAGCGTTTGAGAAGGCTCATTCGTGCTCCATGTAGTATAAAATGCTGGTTGAATGTATGACAAAGTGCTCGAGAGGCGAATGTGGGGAGACGGCCATAATAGTCCGCAGTTCGAAGATCTAGACTCGTTCAGTGTCGCTGAAACAAATCATTCTTCGCGTCATCAGAGTCTCCAAGCCTCCTCCTGATTTTGCTGCCAGAGAAAGAAGTCATTCGCTCTTCGGCGGCGTCTAGATCGCATCCGCTCCCTGTTCATGTCCCTGCTATAAATTTCTATCCACCGTCAATCTGTCACGCTGGCTCGATCAAAGGGCTTACTCGTTTTCCTCGCCTCCATCGCCTTCTTCTCCCTCGTGACCATCATCAGCCTGGCTCCCTTTCGTGCAGCTCCTCGGTTGGGTTCGATCTTGAACCAAATCCGACCCCTCAAGCCAGCCTCTTCCTCTACGTCCTCTTTCAGACCGGTGACCACTTCCAGTATGACTTCGGCAAAGTTTCGCAAGCCTCCGCAGGCGCCCCCGAGCTTCACGGCAACTCCTGAGTCGCTGATGAAAGAAACAAAGGACATGTTGGCTGGTTCCAAGAAGATTACAGACGACATTGTGGCTCAAACCTCGCAGAAGGATGCGATTTTTCAAAATGTGCTTCTTCCCATGGCGCACGACGAGAACCAGCAGACGTTGAAAGCCCACATCCTAGGTTTCTACCAGTCTGTCTCCACCGACCAGGCACTGCGGGATGCTTCAACAGAGGCAGAGAAACTCATGGACGATTTTAGCATTGAGGCTGCTATGCGGGAGGACGTCTTCAATCTAGTGGACGCTGTGCTCAAGAAGGGAGAGAAGCTGGATCCCGAGTCCCAGAGATTACTAGAAAAGGAGCACAAAGCCTTTGTACGGAATGGCTTGAATATTCCCGCAGGGCCAAAACGGGATCGGTTCAAGGAAATCAAGAAGAGACTCAGCCAGCTGGGCATTGCGTTTTCCAAAACGCTGAATGAAGAGAAGGGCGGTCTGTGGTTTACCGCCGAAGAGCTCAACGGTGTTCCCGAGGATGTCCTCTCTCTGTTGAAGAGAGAAGGGGACAAGTACTGGTTGACCTTCAAATACCCAGATCTGTTCCCTACTCTCAAATACGCCACAAATAGCGCCACGAGACGGAAAGTCTTTGTTACTAACGAGAACAAATGCAATCAAAACGTTCCGCTGTTCCGAGAAGCTATCCTGCTCAGAGACGAAGCCGCTCGCCTGCTTGGGTATCCCAATCATGCTGCCTTCAGGATCGAGGATAAAATGGCAAAGACCCCCAAAACCGTGGACGATTTTCTGGCCGATTTGCGCAGCCGGTTGAGCCAGGGAGGTCTTGATGAGATTGCAACTCTTAAGAAGATGAAGGAACAAGATCTGAAATCTCGCGGTGAGGAATTTGACGACCGCTATTATCTGTGGGACCACCGCTTTTATGATCGGATGATGGAGGAGAAGGACTACCAGCTGGACCAACAGTTGATTTCGGAGTGGTTCCCACTGCAAACCACGATCAAAGGCATGCTTGAGATCTTCGAACAAATATTCGGCCTTGTCTTCGTGGAAATCGTGGGCGAGGACCGGGACACCGTTTCACCATCCGGCAAGGGTGAGGATATTGTGTGGCATGAAGAGGTGCAGGTCTTCAGCGTCTGGGACGATGAAGGCGAAGGCAGTGGATTCGTGGGCTACCTATACCTGGACTTGTTCCCTCGTACTGGGAAATATGGACATGCGGCCAACTTCAATCTCCAACCGGGCTTCGTTCAACAGAACGGAACGAGGAGGTATCCAGCCACAGCTCTCGTATGCAACTTCTCCAAACCCACGGCAAAGAAGCCCAGTTTACTGAAGCACGACGAAGTCACCACCCTCTTCCACGAACTCGGTCATGGCATCCACGATCTCGTATCTCGTACAACCTACTCGCGATTTCATGGTACCAACACTGTGAGAGACTTTGTCGAGGCACCGAGCCAAATGCTGGAGAACTGGTGCTGGACACCATCTCAGCTCAAATCGCTGAGCAGACATTACTCGACCCTGTCGTCCGATTATGACGAGGCATGGAAAGAGGCAGCTGGTGGATCGGACGTCGAAAAGCCCGAAGAACGCATCCCGGATGATCTGATACAGAAGCTGATTAAGACGAAGAACCTCAACGGCGCCTTGTTCAATCTTCGTCAATTGCACTTTGGCATCTTCGACATGACGATACACGAGCCGAAAGATCACTCCAGTCTCGAAGAAATGAACATATCCGAGACATACAATGCCTTGAGGAAGGATATCAGCAAGATTGACGGGCCCGAAGTGTTCGGCGAAGGCAATAGTTGGGGGAACGGACAAGCCACCTTTGGCCATTTGATGGGTGGTTATGATGCCGGTAAGTCTCCCGCTCTCCGCCACCACTGCTTCACTTTTCTTTCTTCGTTAAGCCGGATCCTCTCCCTCTAGGTGACTCTACTCACATATGTCTCGTGCAGGCTACTACGGCTACCTCTCCTCCCAGGTCTACTCCACGGACATGTTCTACACGGTCTTCAAGAAGAACCCTATGGATCCCAAAGAAGGCCGCCGCTACCGACATACTGTCCTCGAGAAGGGCGGCAGTCAAGACGAAATGAAGACTCTGGTCGATTTCCTCGGCAGGGAGCCCAAGACAGACGCATTTTACGAGGAGCTCGGACTCACAAAGGGAACGCAATCGGGGGCCGGTACGAGGAGTTGAAAAGCAGGAATTCTCTCGGGCGTGCAGGGGTCATTTAGTTCCTTAGGTTGTACATATTTCTCATCAGCCGGAACAGACGACGGGCCTGTTTGGGGAGCTATGCAATGCATCAGGTGCGAGATTTTGTGGACCATTGGGGCTGCATACGATAGAATAGCATGTCCCAGGCTGTTGAAAGGGAGTGCCTCAGTACATCTTTGCGACATGGCTTGGATAGAAAAAGGTGGAAAGATAAGAAGCAAGCAGGTGAATATCCTTCGAGCGGTACTATGGAACAGAGGTGAATCCTTACCTCTCTGATAACCATCTTCCATACCTTGAAATGTGTACCATAGGTACCTTCAGACATATTTAACAGGCAGATGATGTACACTATACACTATAGATATCCGCCAATCGAAAGACCCGGCGCCGTCACCTTCCTTTTTAGGGACCAAGGTTTGAGGACTCGCAGACCAACGAAGGTCTCGTACTTGGAAGTCGACGTGTGCGAAGGTAAAAGTACTCGCTCAAGTGCAGAGAGAAAAGCGTCGAAAGTGCATGGGAGGGGCGACCGCGCAGGCGGTGTGGAGGGCCGGCCAGTATTAGCTACGGCAAGACGCAAAGAGGCAAAGAGACTGAAACGAGAGTGTTACTTCTGTTACATTGTTGAAATCCCCATAGACGACTACTGGTACACATAAACCGCCCTCTATTCCCTCTAACTCCACATCACACTTGTGGCACCGCACCACCGTTGTCTTCGCTCGAACTTCAGCTCCCCATATTTAGTCACATACGGCCTTTCGCTCTGATGGCAAATGAAAGCCCGGTTGCCAAGATCATGCAGGTCCATGCCTTTGCGCCCCCATACACTCTCCATCTCCTCTCTCTTTTTCGACTTTGGCTTCTTCCGCTTGATTCGAAGCTTCTCAAAGAAGACATAGCTCGCGTAAAAGACCGGGCTTTCGGCGCCGTCCGTGGGACCGTGCTTCTTTAGAAACCTGCCTAGCTGTGCTGCCGTTGCTTTCATCCCTGTTGATTGCGCAAGAGCCGCATTAATGGTGCGAGTGAAGCCCGCGTTGCTGGCCCCCGGCATTTCTCGTAGAAAGCGATTGATTTTGGTGCGGATGTCGTCGCAGGTATCATACACAGGGACGGAGTCTATTTCTTCACCATCAAGGTGGATTGAGGAGACGTCGTTGTCTCCCGCTCCGCCTCGTTGAGATTTGGAGCTGGCATCTTTCTCCTGCGCGTTTCCTTTCTTGGTGGCCGACTCATCTTTCTTGGCCTTCTTGTTCGGTTTTGGGACTGTGGAGTCGGCAGTCCCATCCTGAAAAAGAGGTTAGGATTAGAGTCGATATTCGAATGAACAGAGGGTTATAAAAGAGCCAGAAAAGGACGACGGCAGAAACACGAATATGGAGGACGTCAAGTGTTATAAAGTGGCTGAAGAACAGAGCGTGACGCGAGAGGATAGCAAGAAGACCCGTCCAACTTACAACCAAGTCCACGTCGTTGTCCTTGCTGTCGCTCTTGCGTTTCTTACTTGCTGTGGACTTACCCCCGTCGCGCTTTTGAGCGGCGGAAGGAATGTTGACGCTGCGGTCCTCGAGAGCCTTCTTTGCAGGCATATTCATCAATTGGGAAAGATTCTGGAGATTGGATGCGATGTTAAGAAAGGAGTCTTGGGATTGTGGTTGGGTCTTCCCAGGAAGAGACATATTGGGCCAGAACTCCGCCGGAGGGGTCGAGGCTTTATACAAGTACTGGTAGAAGTATGAAGTCGTGGGATGATCTCATGGAAGGGTGATCAGGCTGGTGATCAGAGGATACTACGACGTCAGAGGTGGAGGGAGACCACGAAGAGTACCAGGACGCCCAGAAGATCCAAGAAGCTTGGACAAGTGGGTGACAATGACCTGACGGAAACGCGAAACGGACAATCGTGATCAACAAAGGCAAACAAGGCCCAACCAAGGTCTGCCACTAGCGCGTGTCCAACGCGTCTGATGGACAACGCCTGATCACGTGGTTCTACGACAATCCCACCCTCGCTTGATGACGTCGAGCCTCCTTTTCCTACCCTGTTGCCTCGCTACCCCCTCTGCTTCTAATGTGCAAACCTAAATGTGAGCATCTTGTTTCCCTTATCCGTCGTTGTCGCAAGGTATTGCCGTTGCTCGTCCTCCGTCATCGAGTTCCATTTACGGTCGCGGACTCTGAAGTTGGAGTCAGCAAAGGAGACGGAGGCATCGAGATGGGGACGTGGACGACTTACTTATTTCTCCAGACATAGAACCATTTTGCGAGAAGGAATAGGACAATATTGTACGCGCAAATGCCGATAAGAACCTTATATCCACGTCGATATTGAGGCTGATCGTCGGCTCTGAAAATCTGCGCGTTCCATCGCTGTCAGTAACAACAAGTCCTCTGCAAGAATTGGAAAGGGATCTTCACATTTGATCCGATGATGTTACTCGCTTGCACAAACATATTGTATAACGCCGAAGCCACAGTCCGTGTTCGAACTGAACCAGCATTACGGCTGGTGATCGCTACGTGTATCGCATGCACATATGGAGCGCCCACGAGCAGAGTGGCCAAAGTATATTTGACCCATCTGGACGCCTCCCCAGGCAAGAGCTCCGAGGCAATAAGTAATGGCATGCACCTGAAGCAGAAGGGATGTCAGCGTGGTCTCTCGGAAACGACCCCCCGTGCACGCCTCCGCGTCGTGCACCTCGGACTTCAGTAACAGACATCGAATATACAGAACAAAATCGACTCACCAGATCTGGCTGAGTAGTGCAACCAGGAATCTTTGGTTCATCTTCTCAGACAACCAGGTAAAAGCGAGGAGGTTAATAATGAAGAGTGTGTATGAGGGGATGGTGAGCATATTGACTTCAAACCTGCCGAAGGATTGCTTCAGGATCAACGACAAGTACTGGGTGACAGGGTAGTTTGGGATCAAAAAGGACAGCCCAATGGCGTAGGTTGGCCACATCTCCCAGTCACAGAGAGCGTAGAAGAGTAGTTTTGGCGTGACAGCTTGTCGATTGTGCATGTCGGCTTTGCTAGGGTCGTCCCGTAGGATGCGGTTAGCGATGATCTTTTCTTCCCGCTCACTGAACCAGCCCTTCTTTCCCCGGAACCACGACGCCGTCTGATATGGCGAAGGGGGCAAGTAAAAGTATGTAGCGATGCCAATGAGCCCTGTCAGCGTTCCCTCGAGGGCGAAAAGCCAGGCCCACCTGTAGGGTGTCTCAAATTAACAACTCCTCTCATCCATATATGTATTGAAACGTACCCTGGGAGGCCATTTATGCCGCGCATGTTGAGGATGGCACCGGCCAGAAAGGCACCAACAATCGATGTGGCTTGATATGCCGTCCAGAACCAGGCCAGTCGTGCAGGAAGCTCTCTGCCCTTGTAGTAATATGACAAGTAAAGAATGGTATCTGGAATGAAGTGCACTCGATGTCAGTCGTAGTCCCGAACCAGGGAATTGTGGTGACTTATCCCCCCTTCAATCGGCCCAAGTAACGCTCTACAAGTATAGAAGGACGATCTCCCACTGAGGAAGGCTTGGAAACTTGCAACAAGACTCCAGCAGATCATTTGAATTGGTATCCAACGGTCTGGGCCCAGCTTCTTAGATATCAGTTGAGAAGGTAGCTCCGCCGATAAAAAACACAAGTAGAAAATAATTTGTCCGTAGTTGTAGTCGTTGGTTGTCAAGCGGAGGTCACTGAGCATATTGTCGGTCAAGGCTTGGACGATGTTTGCTCTGTCAAGTTGTACTGATATACCATCAATACCTGAAACTCGTGTTTGAACAGAGAGAAGGTGCTTCTCGGGGCACTCACACGCAAAGAAAGCAAGACAGACCCAAGAACAGATCTTCAGATCGATTTTGCGAACGATTCTATTCTCCTCGACCGGATCCCATTGGAACGACGGGTCGAATCGATGGCGACCTTCCCACTTGTCAATAGGGACGTAGTTCTCTTCGCCTCGGACGCGAAGGAAGGTCTTGTCCTCGGTAATTGAGCTGCTACCGGAACTAAGGCCATCCTCGATGGTAAGAGTAACCGGCCCAGTCTCTCCTTTGAGGTCGTTTGCTGGCTCTAAAGAGCTCGCATTTGACTTAGGGGACGGCGCCATATCTAGGCCAGAGAGGAAACAACTCGAAAAGCTTGCGACACTGGTCAAATATCTGCGTAAATGAGCGATTCCGACGGCAGCTGTTATCTTATACCTACCATGAAAAACCCGAGCTTCAGATCCTCACACTTCTCCCCGTTCACTCACCAAGCCGTGCTCCATTTTACTGGCACGGAAAGATCAGCGCGCACGTTGCATGCTTGCGACCTTCCTGCAAGGTCTGTCCTCCGTTGACGATGCTCTCACTTCGGCAGACAGAACCGGTAGGACATGACCTCGACGGGTTGAGTCTCCAGACCTGAATCTCTCAGCCTGCATCCAATAAAGAGACTGTTCACGGTAGGATAAATTGCTGATCTCAGTGCGCAGCCTCACCGACAGGGGAAGACGCCGTCCGAGATGAGCCCGACAGCGAGGATGAGGCACGTTGTATCCATTCTCCAAAGTATCCCGAGCTCCTCGACCACTGTAGTTCAATCGCAATTGGTTCCCGTTGCTTATCACACTGCATATAGCGGCGCAGAGTTGGACCTGCAGAGTGCCTCGCGCTGCGTAGAGTGTGTACCTTCCCACTTGAGTAGATCACGCAATATCGACCGAGAAGACGTGCTCACCACTGAGAGCACCTCAACTGATCCCCAATGGATCGCAGCCATGTCGTGACAAGTGAACCTACGGCTGAATTTTTCGACATTGTCGTGACAGATATATTCACGGTCCAACAAACGGAGAAGCGCACACGGCGGACGTCGCCCTGCGGGGTTGATGTCTCGGATAGAGGATTGATGAGCGAATCCCAAAGTTGGAGCAGTGGTCAGGGATTTTGCGTGCCGAACATCCTTGGTACAGTATAAAAGAGGGGAATGTCACCGGCTGCATTCTGGTTCGATTGGATCAGTATTCAACCTAGATCTGCTGTAAGAACGTATTTCGAAATGGCGACCACGTCCGCACCTGCCGCTCTGAGAGGCGCCGTGGGAGCGTACAAGGACATCCAAACTGTGAGTTTTTCCAAGGAAAAAGAATTGAAGGGCACGGATAGGTTTGCTGCGGCGAGCTTTCCACACTATCTCCCCGTGTGGGATAACGAGAAGGGTGAAATGTAAGTGCTTGCACGATGAGGTGGTATCTCTTGGCTCTGGAAGTCTAACCAGTTCTCTGGGTTTACACAGATATCCGCCTTTGGAACCATTCGACCATTACGAGCACGGAAAAGATGCCGATCCTTCGTTCAAGAACCTGCTGAAGGCCGGAAGCCAGATTGAAAACATCACTGCGTCAATTGGGGCCGAGGTGACCGGTGTCCAACTGTCTCAGCTCGACGACAAAGGCAAGGATGAACTGGCTCTCCTCGTTGCTCAGAAGAAGGTCGTCGCATTCCGAGACCAGGATTTTGCTTCTCTTCCGATCCAAAAGGCGTTGGACTTTGGGCGGTACTTTGGAAGACTGCACATTCATCCCACCAGGCAAGCTGAACTCACGCGTTCGAGTCGATACCGAAACCCTCGTGCTGACCTTCCATAACAGTGGTGCTCCAGAGGGATTCCCTGAAGTCCACCTCGTCCACCGTGGTGCTGAGGACAAGTCCTTCCTTGACTTTCTCAGCAGCCGAACCAACTCTATTGCATGGCATAGTGATGTAACATATGAGAATCAACCTCCTGGGACCACCTTCTTGTACGCTCTGGATGTACCCGAGGCGGGTGGCGATACTTTGTTCTGCAACATGGTCAAGGCATATGAACGGCTCTCTCCGGCTTTCCAGGAACGCCTGGCGGGTCTGCAGGCTGTTCATTCCGGATACGAACAAGCCACAGCTGCCAAAAACAAGGGAAGCATCTACCGCCGCGCACCAGTCTCGTAAGTTTCCCATGCTGGCTTCATTGCGGTTTACTGACGGGGTGAATAGGTCCATCCACCCGGTGGTGCGAACCCATCCAGCAACGGGCGAAAAGGCTTTGTATATCAACCCGCAGTTCACCAGATATATTGTCGGGTTCAAACAGGAAGAGAGTGATTATCTCCTCAAGTTCTTGTATGACCATATTGCCCTTAGTCAGGATATCCAGTGCCGTGTCAGATGGAAGCCGGGCACCGTCGTTGTTTGGGACAACCGTGTCACAACGCACTCTGCTCTGATTGACTGGCAAGATGGCCAGCGACGACACATTGCACGCATCACGCCTCAAGCGGAGCGCCCCTCTGAATAGATACTCCAAATCGGGGTTGCAAATTGGCATGACACGTGCTGGCTCGGGGATTAGACGAGCGCCAGACCTAACAGTCTTTCAGCATAGCATTAGACAGTCGTTTGCAGGAAATAAAATTCAGAAGGTGGTCGAAGATGTCTGCATTTTGTAATAACCCATGGCGACTTCGCATTGAGTACATCCCGGCATTGCGGGCGAGGAACATAATCGCCTCCAATTGCAACAAGGTCGCTTTAGGTTCAGTCGTGTTGCCAAAGGCGATGCCCACTATCCACTCTCTGTGCAAGACCCCTTGATTCTCTGATCCACGCCGGACGCCGGACGATGCGCATAATACGACATGCTGAACCATTTGAGATTCTAGTCACCCTCGAGTCTAGCGACCACGGTGCTCATTTCGTCGTCGCTGTAGATCCGAAATCCGTTCTCACGGGTGACGCTCGCCAGTTGTACGTTCTTCGCATCCAGCTTTTCCTCCATAACTTGCTTCAATGTTTTCAACACTAGGGTCTCAGCCTCTTCCAGAGTCAAGGATCTATGGTATTCTGATTGCAACTCCGCCTGAGCGCCTTCACTGCCGGATCCGATGGCTTTTGCGTCGTAGCGGTAGAATGTGCCCGAGGGTTCTGCGTGATACCTAGAGCGATGAGCGATGAATATCTCAATTGCGGGAAGTCACTTACAACTGTGGTCCTTGGTCGTCGTCCCAACCTGCGATCAATAAAGCAACACCAAAGGGGCGACTCATGATTGACTCTTCTCCCTGTGCTCCTTCACCGAATCTCAATGCTAAATCGCAGATGGCCTGCGTACAGCTCTCGACACCAAGTTTCTCATTGAAATTGAAGGCATGGTTTTGTGACTCTACCCTGGCATGCTCGATCATACTTCGTGCATCGGCTTGAAGGCCTGACATAGCGCATCCAACGTGTCTGTCGATCTCCACAATCTTTTCTATGCTGGAGGAGACAAGCAAGGGAGACGTAACGCGTTTCTCGACACCGAGGAGGACGCCATGTGATGTAGCAACCTGCAAATAATGAGCAAGTCGGCAAACGGTTAGGGAGTATTGACCGTACACCAATGGCCGTTGATCCGAGCTTGATGGCCTCTAGTGAGTATTCAACCTGGAATAGACGGCCTTCTGGCGAGAAGGTGCTGTCGCATATTAGCCGAGGGTTCGTGCAAAAGCAAATAGGCTCACTTGATTCCTCGGTCGTATTCTGATCGTGCAATAAACATGGCGAGAACCGGTCCAGATGCTGGCTGATAGAAAATCAGGACTGTCCTATAAGACTAGGTCTCAAGGGCAGAAACAGTGAAAATAAGGGTCAGAGTTAAGGAGGAAAAGCGAGAGTTCTTGGGACTGCGTGTGAACAGGCAAGCTCTGGATGCGCAATCCAATCTCAGCCTTGTCAGAAATGTCTCTCCGCAGCCAAGCCTCTTCAGCTCAGCCTCGCAGCCTCGACGCGCCAATACATTGATAAACACCAACTCGTCCGCCAACTCGTCCGCAGTCGCCTGCTGGGTGTCGCTAATTGTCAAATAACGATGACGGCCTGTGGAGATGACGTCTCTCCATTACAGAAGTGCATCTGCAACTGACCGACGAAGCACCAATCTTTTCAACGGCCCGTCACGCGTGAATTCTACCAGGACAAGAGACGATAGACCATTTGCCCGTGACAATGGCTCTCCAATTCTCCCAGATGCATTCAGCGATCCTGCAGATGGAATTCATAAGCCTTCAAAGGCCGAGAATCGAGTGAGCGGTCTCGAACATAGGCGGCGGGAGAAATCGACGGTTACAACGACAGAGACCATTTACACAACGAGGAGGACTCCGAAGAAAGAAACATCGAATACTGAAAGCCGGAAAGATAAGCGGACAGTAGCTAGCCCTGTTCTCAAGCATCCGCCGAAGGAGGACAACCGTACGTACCCTGAATGCTCTCGACTTACTACGCGCCTCTGACAATCCTACAGTACCATGGGCACCCGCTGTTTCTCTAATTCCCCATTCTTCTGCGCCCCTGGCTACAAGAGTAACAGCACCGCCTTTGTCGCGCCATGCTCCGGTAGACCTCGACCCTGTCCCTCTCGAGGCAATGTCAATGCAAGAACAAGAGCGTGCGTTATTGGACGATTTACTGTATGTCTTTATGGGCTTCGAGGGACAGTATGTCCGATTCCATGATAGCTATGATCCCGCTGAGGAGAAAGACCGCTTGAATGGGCCATCATTTCATCCACTTCCAGGTCTTGATCCCAGCCTGAGGGATTTGACAAGTTCTATGCTTTCGATGGCTACCCATCACTGCGCGATAGAGGCTTTCATCGAGGTCCAAAGTAGGGAAGAATTCGGCTCCGTCAACCACGCGCTTTGTGCCGCCATCCGGAAGCTGTTGAAAGACTATCTCATCTTGATTGCACAGCTGGAGATGAAAGTCCTCACTGACCCAAACTTCACACTACATCAAATGCACATCGCGGTCATCCCAACCGCGCAGTGTCTAGCTCAACTGTACTCTCTTGCCCAGGAATTGTTAAAGAAGAATTCTTTGCTGGAAGAGGACATCGATGACTCTATTGACGACTTCGACGCCGACAATATCATTGAGCGACTAAAGGAAGGCGGTGATCTACTTCCGGGCAGTCTTAGCAAGAAACGGTGTATAGGTGGCAACGTTTTGGGTCTATTGACAACCAGACTTTCCACGTTCTCTGGAGATCCGGCCGCTCGATCCATCCTGGAGATGCTGTTACGGGAAGCAAGCAGACCTTACATGGTGATGCTGAATGAATGGGTACATCACGGCGGTATCCACGATCCGCATTCGGAATTCTTGATCGGAGAGAGGGCCAGCATCAAGCGCGAACGCCTCGACGAAGATTACACAGATGAGTACTGGGAGAAACGGTACTATATCCGCGAAAAAGAAATCCCACCTCAGCTAGAATCAGTTCGAGATAAGGTGCTTCTGGCTGGAAAGTATCTCAACGTGGTTCGGGAGTGCGGTGGTGTCAATATCAGCAGCAAAATTGATGACACTCCGGCAACGTTTGATGACCCGCGATTTCTCGATAATGTCAACAATGCCTATTCCTTCGCGAACAAGGAGTTGCTCCAATTGCTCCTTACGAAGAATTCGCTGCGAAGTCGGTTACGGTCGATGAAGCACTATTTCTTCCTTGACCGAGCGGAATTTTTCCTGTACTTCCTCGAACTCAGCGATTCAGAGCTTCGGAAAAAGAATCGGGATGTCAACGTCGGAAAGCTTCAGTCTTTACTGGATTTGGTCCTCCACCAACCGGGCAGCATCGCAGTAGCAGACCCGTTTAAGGAGGATGTGAAGGTGAAAATGAATTCGGTAGGCCTGACACAATGGCTGATCAAGGTCGTCAATTTGCAAGGCATGGACCAGGACAATCCAGATTCGATGATGGACCAATACAAGACGCCGGCTGCTGCACAGGCTTCTATGACTGAAAAGTTGAAGGATGAGAAGAAAAAAGAGGAAGAGAAGGACATTATCGGATTCGAAGCACTAGAGCTTGACTATTCTGTGCCCTTTCCGCTCTCCCTCATCATCAGCCGAAAGACGGTTTCGCGATATCAACTGATCTTCCGGTACACCCTCGCGCTGCGTCATCTCGAAACCCAGCTGGTGGGTTGCTGGTCGACTCATACGAAGGACAAGGCGTGGATCCACAAGTCCTCTGATAAGAGGTTTGAGTTGTGGAAGCGGCGGGTGTGGACGTTGCGTTCCCGAATGCTTGTCTTCGTTCAACAAATGCTCTTCTTTGCCACTGCGGAAGTAATTGAACCAAACTGGCAAAAGCTCATGGTGAAGGTCGACGATGCAGAACGTGATGATTTTGAAGAGGTCAGGCCAGGGCTCAATCCGAAAACAAAGCCAACAGTGGATGAATTGATGCAAGATCATGTCGACATGCTGGACTCTTGCATGAAGGATCTTGGATTGACGCAAGCGAAATTGCTCCGTCTGCACGCGAAGCTCATGACCGGGTGTGGGATGTTTGCCTCCTACGTTGAGCATGTCACCAAGTCGATCTATGAAGCTGACACGAGTCTTCAATCTAAACCTGTCAAGCCCGGGGCAGATGTATCTCCGGCAGCGCCCACAGATCCAGCACGAATGAAGAGGATAGAAGAGTCGATCAGGAAATACGAAGAGCACTTCAATAGGCATCTGAAGATCTTGATTGATGCCCTCAACTGGTTCGCAACCACCGAGACGGTCTCTTTGCTCAGTCTCTGCGGAAGGTTGACGAATGCTGAAGTTCAGAAGCGAGATGATTTATTTCTTTGAAAAGTGGTGAAGGAGGATTTTTTTGGTTCCCTCATACCTCCATGTTCCGCAATGGGCAGTTTTGCATGAGCTTTCGCACTTGGGAGTGTTATGAGATTGATGAAAGTGCATAAATGCACCACGGCGAAGACTATGAATGATACCCACACATACAATTGGCTGTTGACTTGATTACTATGCTTCCTTGTTTCCCCTGCCTCACCAAAGACGTTACACCTGCGAATTTCGTCAACTTGGCTCGAATGACACTTGACACATATAGACATCGCCTCACGCACCTTCGACTTCTGCTCTATTTCTTTCCGTCTCTAACCTCGACCCTGTTGGGATGTCTGCCACAGTGCAGCACTGCCCTGAGGGCACTGCGGACTACGATGCGCCCGTGTCGAGTGCTAGGCTAGGTTTAGTAGTCAAAGTGATCACAACTGAAGTCGTGCTCGTGATGCTGCACACACGGGATCGTGGCTCCGTCCCTAATTCACCATGAGAACGACAACCACGCGATCAAAGTCTTCCACGGCCGGGAGACACGCTCCGCCAGCACCAAAGTTACCTGTGGCAAGAGGTAGAGGACCGGATCTTGAACTACAGCCTCGACCTGCAGAAGACAACGTTGGCATCCTGGCCCGGAGACTGATCCCATTGTGTTTCATGCCATGTCTTGTCCTAACTTGGAGTAGAGGGTTTGACTATGTACCGACTTGCTTTTGCTGACGGCAGAACAAGATCGAGTGTGCCAGGTGTAAAGATCGTACACCAGGGCCAAGCAGGAGGAAAACGTGAAATGGATGCCTTGCTGTGAAGGAAATGGCATGACAAGATGAACACATTGATTGCTGGTGTAGTTCCAGCGTTTCAGGATCATGCCTGGGTGTGGAAACGAGAGACGCATGTTCTGGGCGCGGCCAGTGCACTCAATCAGGTGGATATTTTTACCTACCTTTATACTCAGCTTTGCATCTGGTGGTCGTTCGGTCATTCGCTCCCTCGCTGCCCATTCCCTTCTCCATCATCTTGTCTTGTAGACACAGGGCTTCAGGACTGTTGCCTCTTCCCCTGGCGGATTCTCGCTATTCTCCACCTCATAACCCAACCCGCCACCGCCAGCACCAGCCCGACCTTTTCCCTTCATCTTCGCCTCCTCGATCTTCTGATATTCCCTTCCATTCCACTTTAGCCCTTCATATTTGCCAGCACTCGGCACCCCGGACTTGACGAATACCATGCTGACGAACATCTTATTCGATTTGTCCACACTTTCTTCGCGCAAGAGGAAACCGCGCCGAGAAAAGACACGGACAAAGGCAGATATGTCCGTCTCGTCTCCTGTTTCCTCGATGGTTGTCGAGTCTTCTACAAACAGTTCTTCTTGGATATCATCATGGCTTCCCTCAGTTCCGTCGGCACGGGGTTTCTTCTTGAGCTTTTGTTTTTTCCGCTTCTTACCCACACTGTTTTCCACGCTTTGCCCAGGCTGTCTTTTCGCCCTTCCAAAGCGGGATTTGACCTCACTTACCCAGCACTCTCCCTTTCCATCCCCTCTCAGTATTCGCCATGCTTCTTCCACAAAGGTAATCCAATTCGTGCCCATCAAACTGAGGCAGAAAATCGCTATGTCCACCTCGCCGTCTCGTAATGGCAGGGAGGAGATATCCGCCTTCGCAACCAAGGTGTTAGGAGCATGGAGATCGAAGTTGTGAAATTTTAACCTGAGGGCTCTGATGACAGATTGGCAGCCACGGGCGAGAGGAGCGTCACCGCACCCTAAATCAGCAATTGTGCAGAGCTCCGTTTTGCGGCGAGGGAGCGGAAAGCCCCGTAAGCTCTTCTTTGGTTCCTTGCCTGAATGCTGTCTCTTGGAGTCGTCGGCTGTTGTCGTGGGTATTTGCCCTCGGGTTTTGATTGCAGAGATATATTTATCTACCGGATTGACAGGCCACGAGTCTCTCACTTGTTGCGAAAAGCCGGTGTGGTACTCGGCGAAGAGGTCTGGTGAATTGGTGAAGAGGTCCATAGCGGCCGAGGAGGTAGTCGTGTAGAGGGTCTCGTTCAGATGCCGGAAGCGGGCTGATGTGAGTTTATTGCGCATTTTGGCTTGCAAAGGGGTCAATTTCGCAGGCAGCGGCGGCACTTGTGGAAGAGCTTTAGTGATACTATCGCGCGGAAAAGGCTTTGAAGAGGATGTTCCTGCATCGTCGTCACTAATCCTTCGATTGCCATTGCCTGCTTTGCGCCTTTGACGGTTCTGGGCCGACTGCTGTTGGGCCCTGTATGTCGGTCGTGACTCGACCTTGTTTTCCTTCCTGTGGCTCTCCCGATCTGTTGCTGAAATGTCTTTTCTGCCAGCCTTGTCTTGTTCACTTTTTCGGTGACCATGTCCCTGATGTCCGTGCCCCTGCTCTATCCTGGCAGGTTTGGCCCCTGCGCGCTGGTTCCATAGTGTCTCAAGCTCAGTCCCCGAGACCTTGGAGGCCTGAAGACGGTCAGGAAACGCGTTCTTCCTCTTTTTGGAGGCCGAAGTGGAAACACTGGGAGGTAGTTGGGCGTTACCAGCAGAGGCAGGAGTTTCCTGGACGAGAGAAGTTGAGTCGACGGCCCAACCTGGAACAGCAAACATGATACGTAGTAGACCTTCAAGACCAGGGTTATGCCGACAGCGTCATTGAAGAGAGTTAGTTATGCTGCAGGTCTCGGATGGTTTCCAAGCCAGTGGTGGTGTAGAGCTGGTGCAGGCGGTGCAGGCAGTGCAGGGCACTTGAGAAAGTGGTACAGAAAAATTTACTCGGTAAGTACATTCCCACAGCCCGCAGCCCGCAGCCCGCAGCCCTGGCCTGCCCAGGCCTGCCCTGGCAAGAGCCGCAGCTTGCAGGTTTGGGGGCGGCACGAGCGGGGCCTCCGCCGGTCCCATCGTTATTGGTGTACTAGCTGGCGAGACTTCAGCCCAACAACCCCCTACCTATGCCTCATCGACTGATGGACGTTCCTCTCCATACGAGACCTTACACGCCACCACCTCCATCGCCCCCAGTCTGCGCCAGGGTACTTGGTATCAAGCAGGTATTCTCTGGCAATTCCCTTCTGACATAACCTACAGTACTGGGTAGGTAGGTAGGTTCCATCGTCCCCGCAACTGGCAGGCTTCATCAGTTACTTGCGTCATGGCCAAGAGATGTTTGACGTGGCCATGGGATGCCACCGGATGCTGATGGTGCCAGGGACAAGCTTCCTCCTCTCCCCGATCTTTCATCTCTCACTTACTCCTCTTTACTCGGTACACACCGTCGAAACAGTCGCCTTCTCTTCGTCCGCTTACTGATGGCGTTCCTCTGCTCGCTACGCTTTCAATCGGATTGCGTCTTCGGCAAGACCTGCTAGGCTAACAAGACGTGGCCGGCGTGGATCAAGACTGGGGTCGCGGAACCTCTGCCTCCTGTGACTGCATGGCGCTATACCTTGTCTTCATAAGCCCTACCGGGTCTGCAAACAAGGCCCCTGCTGCCCCGGAACCGGCCAGAAGGAAAAGACGCGATACCTAGCCATACGGATTGTGCAGGAACGAGTTAACCTCTTTCTGACTATAGCTTTCCAGCCCCGCCAATGGTTCGACTGTTTATCCATCACTACCTCCACCATGGCACCCATTAGATACGAGCGGGCTAACATCTTCTCTCAAGAGTGTCACCCTTGACTGGTCGACATCTCTCCATGGCTCCACCACGCACCGTCGAACCCAGGTTCAGCGCCGCCCGTCAACTTGGCCTTTCGATGCAGGGCGGCGACTCAAGGACCTGACACCCGTGGGCTGGTTCGAAACGTCCATGCAGCTCCAACCCTGCATCAGGCAGCAGATCGTCCAGAAAAAGTCATTGTCTCAACGCCGATTCAATAATTCCTGGCCTAGCGTGCCGACCGAGGCGTTGTGGTCACCACGTGTTGACATGCGGCAGAAGATCGCCATACGAGAGTTTGCAGTAGGCAGGCTCTCGAGCCCCAAAGCTTCAAGAGGTTTCCCAGCCGCCATCCTGCGAAGAACTATTGACTGCACTTCAGTGGGGCAAACGAGCAACCACGTTCAGGAATCCAGGAAGCTTGCATCGTTAGTGTGGGCTTGTCGACCCTACTACCCTTTGGAGCACTGTGCGGAATGACTGTCGCCTTCCCCTCGCTGGCCCGTCCAGGCGGCGCCCTCTTGGGGATGTAGACCATCTCGTCAATCCATCTCCCGGCCGATTGTCCACGACCGACAGTCCATCAATGTGACCTGGCTCGCAGGATTGTAACACTCGATGGTAACGTTTGACGATTTGACCGTGGTGCAAGTACAAAGGATCCCATCATTAGCCGGAAGATCGACTTCTCCACTGCAAAGATGACGAAAAATACAGTACCTACTTCCACCGATGCTAGCTGGTCCAAGCGTCCCGATATCACCATGTCTTGTCGGGAACTTGTGTATCGCAGCGAAGAGACCCCCAGTGGTGCCAGTCCGTTTGGGTGCAGCTTGGGCCGTGAAGAAAGCTCACCCCAAACTAGGAAAGGACGCAAAATTGTACCCTTATCGATCCCATGCTCAACATCTCTGCTACACCATTTTCAACGAAAGTGCTAGGGACGGTTTTCACCAAGTACAAAGCTTCATTAGCACCGCTTTTCGTCACAAATCAGCCCTACACTTCTCCATCCTGCCTTTTCCTTCCTGGAAAATGCTTGCTAGCCGGTGCCCAATCCTGTGACTTTGCTTCTGCAAGCCGCCACCTCGCCCGCCCCCGGCCCCCCTGCATTCCGTTACTAGTATCCTGTGAGGTACCAAACCGCCCTTCGCAGGCGTTTCCTGAAGATGCCGGCTCACTGCAACCACCACACCTCTGTCGGGACTGTTACTATTTGTGCACACTGCAAGGGTCCCCTTTTTCTATTGTACCACATGGAGGACCTTCTGTCGGTCATAACGAACCCACCAATCATCTGAACCCTACCCGTCGCTCTGCATATGCGGCTGCACAGACTGTCAGTATCACGACCTCCTCATATTGTGGGTGCCGGTAAGTCGACCACCGTGCTTTCAGTGGAGACATATCGGCCCTCGGCAGATTCCAGTGAGTCTAGGAATGATATTCCACGTCCCGGCGTGTCCTCTTTGCTTCCCTCAACGCAATCGGGTCTAGCAAAAAGCAATGAAGCCCCTTCCTATTTCTTTTGGAGGAGCATTGTGCGCTATCGCGAATGGGTATGGAACATAAGACCTGTATCCAGGTCTTCTGCCGGCACCAATAGTTGGACAGAGAGCATTTCTCCGCAGTGCATATCCTGACTTTTCCGAACTTTCCTCCCACTTCTAAACTGTTTTGTTCCCCATGCATGGTCCGGCCTTTATTTTGTTATCAGTTCATCACATGTCGCTTTGAAAATCGCGGCCTCCAACTTGCCTTCAGTAATACCTGATCTATCAAGAGAATCGTCCTGATGCCCGGCAACTAGGGATCAATGTCTCCCAAGCCTGACGAAGAGGAACCCATTGATGTCAAGACATCTGGCAGTAAGCCAGAAGAGGCGGCGGCGGCGGTAGTCGACGCCACACCGAAGCAGGCCACTAAGAAACGGACCAAAACCGGCTGTCTCAGTGAGTCTGATCTTGTCCTCCATCCTAAGGCACCTGGCAATTGTGAAAGACAACGGTGCTGATGTCTCCTTCAACAAGCATGCCGCAAGAGACGGTAAGTTATCCCTCTCCCCTGAGAGACTGGTTTTTGCTCGGAACTGCCTCTTCGGCATCGGCACGAGCTAACAGATATTTTCAGAATAAAATGCGGAGAAGAAAAGCCAGTAAGCCTCGTCCTCAATTCTGCATACATTTGTCAACGCGTCCTGAATTCAGTTTAGGTGTGCAAGAACTGCATCAAGTCGAAGCGCGAGTGTGCGGGATATTCTCAGCCCGTTGTATACAAGGAGCACAATCAAGGACAGACTGTCGCAGTCCATGAGACTCGCGATCGGCTATCATTTCAAGATCAAGATGTGACAGTTGCACTCGGCCAACGTTGGCAGCCAGGACAAGATTACCTGGGACTGCATCATGATTTCGGTCAAACGGACCCGTCGCCCTACAATCAATTACCTTTTAGCGCCAGCTACCATGCCATGCCGTTTGCTCCAGCCACCCTCTCGAGTCACACAGACGTTCCACTTACAGACACTGAGTATGGGTGGCAGAGTACTCAACATCTATCGAACCAGTCGTACTATGGTTTGGCCGAAACATCGGGAGGGGACGTGCCAGGATTCATCTCATCAGACAATCAAGCTGGTAGTTCCGCCGCCTTCTTCCCTCTCGATCCTCGGTTGATGGATCAGTCGGCAACCTTCACCTTGCACCCTCCTTTGGCGCAGATTCAGACGCCACAGTCAGCATTCCCTGCCCACAACCACATTCTCGCATCACAGCAGCCAGCCCTTGTACAGTTTCATCAGCGATCTGCTCCGCTGTCATATCAGTACGGCGTATCACCTCTACCTATAGAGGGTATGTAGGCGAATACAATTGTCATCCATCAAGCTCTTTATCCGGTGCTAAGCTCTTCGCAGAAAATGTGGCTAGGCAATACAGTGCGCATGGTAGAATGCATCAGCCGGCGTTTATAAGTTCCTCATCCCGTGGTCTTTCTACGATGCACCGTCCTACAGATCAACCGGATGTCGATGATTATGAGGATCCAGACGATCCATTTGATGTTGAAATGGAAGATTCAAACTTGCCATATCAAGAAGCTGCAAATAATCTTACAGAAATACTGAGTCGTGGCGGGCAGCTCGATCCGCAGGCTGCGAAATTGTACATTCCAAGAAGGACGGAGTATCGGACTGTCGCGACGTTTCGGCCGGCAGCAACACAATCACCGCTCCGAGATGAGAGGAACGAGCATATATTCTGCCATTTCGTCGAAATCACGAGCAACACGATATCCATCTTCGAACGGCATCATTTCAGTCCTATCGCGGCACCTGCTAGAACTCTCTGGAATTTCACAATACCCGCTCTGGCCTTGTCGCATGCGGCACTCGCTCATGCAATCTTGGCACTGGGGGCTCTCCATCTTGCGAAATTGAACGACTCTTCAGAAAATCTTGCCATCAAGCATTTTACCTGCGCCGTTCGAAGAGTTGGGAAGCTTCTGGGCCTTCCAAAACGGCGGCATGAAATAGCGACGTTGGCGACAGTTCTGGTTCTCGGATACTATGAAGTTGTTTCTGGTGACCATTCACGGTGGAATCTGCACTTGTCGGGGGCCATGAGGCTCTTACAGGAGCATGACTATGCTGGACTGACTCGAACTGCGAGACGCATGCGAAATGGCGCAAAGGCAAGAGTTAATCAATGGACAGCTCGGTTTGCGTTAACCGAGGAGAACTATGCTCGCGTAGCAGGCATTCCTCTTGCTCTACTCGACGACATCGACTGGGAAGTCGACCAGGCGCTCATCTCTCGGCTGACAGGCCTCCGTGTGGACTATGATCATCAATTCCAACCAAGTTTCAGCTTGCGTTCCGCGATGCCGGAACTCAGCGAGAAAGACGTTGAAGATTTCAAGGCGAAGATGGATTTGAGGTGGTGGTATTGTAAGCAAGATGTTTTCCAGAGCATGGTCTCTGGCGATCGACCACTTATGCCTTTTGAGGACTGGATCTACTGTCCACCCAGAGGTCAAATTGGTCGGTGGGATAACCCATACGCCACCTTGGATCATCTGCTACTGGTCATGGCTCGCCTTGCAAATTTTGGAGGCAAAGACCGTGGGCGCAAGCAACGAGCGGTGGCTGCTCGAGGAGGGCAATGGAAGCCACCTAAGTGGCTCTTTGGACCTCAAGGTCAGCCCGGCCCGCCAAGGAGGAAGGAGAGCTCTGCTCAGGCAGGAGCAAGACCTTCAGCAGCCCCCAGTGCCAACGAGGGCAGAGTCAGGCAGAGTAAACCTGGCTTACCAAGTGGTCCAGGCCCAGGACCGGGTGCTGGTCCCCCGATGCTCGGGATGCTACCGCCTGCGTCCGAGCCTCTGCAGCTGGATTCAGCTTTTCGATCTATGGACGCCAATATTAAAGATGCCGCATTTGCAACCAAACGAGAGCGAAAGGAGTCAACACCCCCAAGCAGTCTCGAGGACGACACTGCAAAAGCACTTGCAGAGTATGTTGAGATAAGCAAAGCCTTCGATGTCTTCGCAGAAGCCCTGGGCCCAGATTTCGAGCCTGTGAAGCACAACGGACCCCCGGTCGCTACACCCTTTGGGCCGGCCCTTATATACAAGAACGGTGCAGTCGCGTGTGTATGGTTGTGCTACTACGTTGGACGCATCTCATTGCAACGGCTCCATCCTGAGATGCCGCCGGCTGCAGTGGTTGCTGCTGGTGTCACAGCACATCTCACTCAAGAGCATACGCAGATGGTTGGTAAGATCTGTGCAGGGCTATACTCAAGGCAGCAGTATGGTCAGAGCGGAGCCCTTGATCCAAGTTTTGCAGGCTATCTCATGGAGAGTACATTTTTCCTCCTGTTTGCAGGAATTCAGTACACAGACGCCGCACAGCGAGGGTGGACAATAAGCAAGCTCAAAGACGTCGAACGCAGATGTGGATGGCGTACTTCGGGCGCCATTGCTGCCGCTTGTGAAACTGCGTGGGAACGAATGGGTCAAGCAGGACGAGGTCCTCCGTACGAGCGAACTCTGGCTGCCCGCAGTGAGGACATCCGTGTGAGCAGGGCGCCGACAAAGTCATCACCGTCAAGTGGAGAACCATCGGATGCTGCCGCAGAACAACACGAGTCTGAATTTGTGAGCCACGATCGGAGCCTCATTGATCGGTCTAGCTCTTCGCGGGTGCACTGGGCGCTCGGCTTGCTCTCGGTTGAAGAAGATATCCAGAGGATGGCCTTAGAGGACGGGTAGGTCGACAATGGCTGCCATAAGGCCAGTCGCACTTGCCGCTTGTTCTAGAGGTATAGGTGTATCCGTCCCTCGGCGACATATCTCCTCTTCACCAGGAGAACCACCTCAAACCGACATTGCTTCACGAGGATTCTCCTATCCATACCCTGTTTTCTGCATATCTTAGAACACAGTACTCAGCGATCTATCGCCTTGTGGTTCTTCTTCACCTCCAACATAGAGCTTTCCTCCGATCACAGAAGTTCCTGCTGGAATAGCGACGCCACTGCCCACCTCACTCATCGGAGTCTTGGTCATGGTGTACCAAACTGGTTCTTTCGTGGCTGAGAATACTATCTCCAAGCGCAAGAGACAAGCAACAGACCAAGATGAAGCGTCTTTCAGGAAAGAGGTCACTTCCTACTTTGACATCTCTCCCACCCTATATGGCTCCTCTCAAAGCGTCTCCCCCACCGACATTAGCGCCGGTACACGGCTCCGACGACACTCACAGAGCACCACTCGACGTCCCTATTTCCGTTTCCATCCGGAATACGATGCCATACACAAGAGAATACACAGCTATACCACTAAAACAGGCCGGCCTCAGGAAATCGCTAGTGCGTCAGAGCTGCACACACTCCCATGTGAAGAGACCCTTTCCGGAAAGCCTAGAACTGGTCGATCAGAAGAATTTTCTTCCCTGCACTCGTCTCGACGTTCCTCTGGCGCGACGGCGAAGAGTTCGCCTCCATTGGGAGTACGCCCGACGAAAGAAACTCATTCATATCCCTTTCGTCGGCCAAAGCTGAGCCGTGCCCTGGCGAGGTCGCCTTCTTGGAGTACCAGGGTCGAGGGGAGAAATGCCTCAGCTGATTTCGCTCGGCGACCGTCTTCGACTGTGTCAGAGACGAAGACGCAGACGAGCGTCGGCGACATCATTGTTGTCCGGACGGATCAAACCCCGTTAAGGCCACCATCGAAGAGCATTCCTACTGCCGAAAAGTCCAAGACCAGTTCTATAAAGGTGGAGACAGAGTTCACGGAGCCCGACTCGCGTCGTAGAAAGACTCAGTCTTCGGAGCAGCAAGGCCAGACATCGTCTCGCAGAAGTTCACTCAATCCCAAACAAATCCTAACGATCCCTCTTCACTATATCCGCCGTGTGAGTCTGCCCAAACGCGCAAGGACGCCAACCATTACTGAGCTGCAACAGTCATCAAACGTAAGAGATACACGAATGGCAGATCATACCAGCCAGCTCAAGAGGAACTATACATCAGAGACACTTCAACGTGTGACCGGAATCTTGCAAGAGATAAAACAAGGACCCCAAACCTCGCTGTGGCCGCCTCAGGTTATAAGACCGTTGAGGTGGAGAACTTTTTCAGACAAGTCGTTGTCACAAGCAAAAAAGGAACCGCAGACCGTGCAAGGCATTACATCTGAGATTGGCAACAATCAAAAAGGTAGTGGTGAACAATTCTCGGACATACAATCGTACACTTCAAGCCAGAGGAACCTACGCTTAGGCGTCGCTCCCTCCAATACTCCAGACGAAACAGCCACTTACAAAGTTAAAAGAAGCCCTAGTGCAGAGACCGAGGAATTCCTGAGAGTCGACATCAGTATCAGAGGAGGGACCAGCTACCTACCAAGCGAGGCTCGTCGAATACACACGCCACCGCTGCCGGAAGAAGGCGCAGATGGCCGATGGAGAGGATTCTTCTTCGACTACAACGCCCCTAGACGGACTGGCAGCTTACGTGGATCAGACAGCGCTGAAGCTGGAGTGGACAGTGCAAGTACTAGTCTAGAGAGCACCGCAACCTTGGGTCATACCTGGTCCGCACCAATCAGCAAGAAGCTAGAAAGGACCCAAAGCAAGAGCAAACGGATCCTGACTGGGGACTGGTACGATGTGAAGCTGGCAGAACTCGACTTGGGAATCCAGGCCGACCAAGGAGAAATGAACAATGCCAAAGAAGGGGACAGAAGAGTCAACTCGCTAGAGTGTCTGTCCAAGATCCAAAAGATCTTGCAGGAGGCTGAGCAATTTGACTTGACCATCCCCGAGCATCTGCCCAGCAGCCCGCTGTGTCCAAGACATCCCAGATATTGGCGGGTGGTCAAGGGAAGAGGCGGCCAATTCAGGGGGTGTTGGATGCATGGCGTTGGTGTGTTCGAATAAATGTGATCAAGCAGCCTTCCGTCCTCGCCGGATACCAGAAGTAAAGAGGATATTGGCTTTATTTTTACATTTTTCTCCCCTCACTAGCCTGGCTACCTGGCTGCCCCGAGGACTGCTTGGTGGTTGCGATGGTGTATATAGTTTCATTCTCCCATTATCATTAATTTGAAAAGCACATACTCACATATCATCATATCAAACTCCCTTCTCTCTCTCTATGATATCCTCCTCTCTCGCTCACGCGCGTACTCACAAGGATAGAAATGCTGCACGCTAAAATGGGTTGAACGTATTGGATGTGATAGTGCTCCATGAACGACCAACCCGCAATGTCACAAGGGCCGTATTTGTACTCGAGGAAGGCGTTCAGGGGTTGATCAACTTGGACTTGTAGATTGGGGGCACTCCCGAAGACGCCTGTGCAGAACGGTGGGGTTTTAGCCGCCCTATCCTGATCTCTACAACCATCTGCCAGAGCCATCCGTACGTTCGCTAGCCGCCATGCATATGTATCAAGCCATTCCATATCCTCGAGTCTTCCCTCCATTTCTCAAAGGCAATCCCCCGTCCCGTCTCGGATTGTCCTCATTCCTCAGCCAGAGTCTGGCCCTCCCTCAACCCTTCCACTTTCAACTCCTCTCCCGTCGCCCTCTGATAGATGTCCCTCACATTCTCCGTGACAGTCTCAAAATGACTTGATGCATCAAAGCTGTTACTGATGAAGATCTGATCGTTCACACCGCTCTCCAACGGCTGATATAGTGGGATCGGTGGGCCCATGAATTTCTCTTCAATGCGGCCAAGTCTTTCGAGCCCCGGCTGCAGTTCGAGATGGTGGTTCGCAGAGGTTTCGGCAATAGTGGAAACGATTGCGACATAGTATCCTTTGGGACAGACATTATGAGCAGCGGATACCATGGCGATGTAAATGTCATGTTTTCGCCCGACTTGGGATTGTGGGATGATGAGTTGCAAGGAATCGGCATCTGCGGTCTTTTCAAGCGGGTGGTTCAAAATGCAGATGGCTTTGAGTAGGTGGCCTACTACTTGGACCTTGCCAGGGAAGTAGGAGGGGTCGCCGAGGATCATCTTGGTCTTTGTGGTGAATTTCATGCCTTCTTCGTTCTCTTCCCCTCGTTCTCGCATAGTTGCTTTGATGCCAGAGATTTTGTTGCCGTCGTAAAGAAACTCGTCCACGGCGGTGTTGAGCATGTATGTTCCCCCGTAGATAGCAGAGAGACGGGCAAAGCCTTGTGGAAGTTCCCCCAGGCCGTATAGCGGGTAGATGTATGGTGATTTACCGTAGCGGGCCATCGAGTTGGCGTATAGGCGAATTCTCTCCACGGTCTCCATGGCCATGCCGGGGGTGTTGAGATATTCGTCGGTCGGGTACAGGGCCATAGAATGACCGATGAAGTCTCGTGTGGAGGGTTCTAGTCCGAATTTATCATAGACTTCTTTCATCGTGCACTGATTCATATTCATTCCTGCAGTAGAATATCAGCTCCATCCGACGGGAATTCCGGGATTATCTTTATCCCCACCATAGTGTGTTGCTGGGTTGTTCTCTTCAAAGGCACCCACCCACTCCAGAAATTTCTTTGCCCTCCTCTTCTCGAATAGGCCCATCAACGGTGAACTTAATGCCTCGGCAGCAGTGGAGGGGACTTTCGCAACTGTCGCGCGAGGACCTGCGCCTTGTTGTACAAAGCTGCCTGCGATCTGTTTGAATTCGAGGTATCGTGTGACATCGGTTGAGACAAGAATATTTGTGAGTTCGCCATTTGCCATCAGGAGCTTGGGCACTAGATCGATGTTCCAGTCGTTGGTGCGGCCGTATTTCTTCCATGGCTCTTCACTCGGGCCATGGTTTCCATATCTCTTGAAGAGCTGGATAGATGGAAGGTCAGATAGGTTCCCGGTCTTTGGAGAAATACCCTGCTTACAGCTTCGATGTTGACAGATGCAGCCTCGCTGTGCGTTCCTAGTCAGTTCGAAGTCCAACATCATCTCCGGAGACTGCGGTTCTCGTACCCGCCGTAATGGTCATTTCGATCGATATGAAGGACTTTCTTGCCTTTGACAGAAAGAACCCTAGGATGAAGTTAGCGAAAATGGCTTCTCGTGAATGGTTGGGTTGATTCTTACCCAGAAAGCACACATTCCGTTAAGCCTAGAGGAGGTCAAGTCAACAAAAGGTGGGGTTGAGGGAGAGATGGCAATCATACCTGTGCCGAGGACGATAACATCATATTCTGGGGCGATTTCCTCCATTTTCGAAGGGCTCAGATGAACGTCGGTCGGGGGTTAGAGATCGTGAGAGAGCAGGTATAATTGGAAGAAGTGCAGCAGGTCAAGGGTCGGTGAACATGTTTGTCGCGCTATGCCACCGCAGGATGCCAGGTCGCTCTTGTCGAAGCGCAGCGAATGAGGTCATGCCTGCCAAGACATACTACGGTTTAGACTCAGTGCTTCCCCCATGAAATCCCAGCCTTGCGAGGGGAGCTCAGCCTCGTCAGAGACGTCTCGACATTTAATCCTACATACGTACAGGTCGACTAAGTGTGTGCCCATTGCACCACGTCGCCCTTCGAGACTTTGGAAAATCTATTTCTCGAACAAGGGCTTCGCCATCGCGACCTCTGTCGGGCGAAAATGGTCATGCCTCGCCCGTCGCCGCAGTAAGTCTCTCGGCTTCTCGCCTCGTCCGTGCTCTAGATATGTCGATCTGCTGCGTCAATCTCCACGGATAATCGAATGTATCCAAGAAGATTTCACAAAGCTAGCAAGATTTTAGTGCAGGATCTTACGCGGTGCGTGTGGCAGGACGTACCTGGATATTGGTCCCACTGGCAAAATCATCATCGTTCAGGACTGCCTCCAACTCTCCGACCGTCTTCGTGGCTCGACTCTTCGCCTTCACACTAGTGTCCTCTCTTGCTCCAAAGAACTCGAGCATCTTCTGGTAATCCCACAACACGCTGACGTCGTTGTATCCCTGCTCTGGTCCGTGGATTGCTCTTTCAATAGCATACCCGTTATTGTTGATGACAAAAATTATGGGTTTGAATCCATATCGGATGTATGATCCAATCTCTTGCACTGTCATCTGGAGACTCCCTTCGCCGACGATCAAAATGATGCGCCCGCTATGGTTTAGCTCCTTTGCCGCGATTAGGGCGCCGAAGCAGGCGCCAACGGTGTATCCGATAGACGACCAAAAAGTTTGGGTGATGAATTTGATATTGGGTGGGAAAGTGGCATCTGGCATTCCAAATTGAGCTGTCCCAGATTCTACTAACAGGATGTCGTCTTTCCTCAAGAACTGACCGAGTCGTTGCCAAACATACGATTGTTTTATCTCTCCAGACTTGGAGTCGTTCAGCACAGGTGTCTCGAGTCTGGGGCTGTTGGGGGGACGGGGAAGGTTGTATTTCTGAGAATTTGCTTTCAGCTCCGCGACCAGTCTTCTCAGGACAGGCAAGAAATGGACGCCATCGAATTTCTGATTTTTAACTTGACATGAGTCGTGTCCAAGGAGCACGAGATTGTCATCCTTGATTTCTCTCGTGAAACCCCCGGTGTTGGAGTCTGAGAGAAGTGGGCCGATGTTCAGGACCAGATCCGAACTCTCGATACTCTCAGCCACCCCGGGGAAGGACACTAATAACGAGTTAGTTAATGGCAAGGAATTGAGTTCCGGCTACCCACCTTTCCCATTGTATAGCCCGTTGTAATAAGGAAGTGTCTCGTCGATGACGCCTTTAGACAATGGGGTAGAATAACTCGGGAAGTGAGTAAGCTCGGCCAACTCTCTGGTCAACTCATGCCCGCCGTGTCGTATTGCGAGGACATCAGCCAAGATCACTGGGCTCGAGGCATTCTCAATCAAGGAGAGCGTACTGCTGACAATCTGGTCTTCGGTTTTGCCATCTCCGTTCCGCACGGTCACGTCTAGCGGCGTCTCTAAGCGCTTTGCGTCCAGTTGCACCGACACAGCATCGACGGGGACGTAGATGTAGACAGGAAGCCGACTCCGTATGCAGGTCGCAATGGTTCTGTCTATCTCCTCTGCCATTGTCTTGTCGTCCATCAGGTATGCATGGGTTTCTCGGATGGGTGCTGCCATATGGATGTAAGTTGCGTGGTCCATGTTAGCTTTCATCGTGTGATGCAGCATTGCTCGCGCTTTCTGCAGCGATCTCGCCGGCATGCCGACAATATGAATCATGCCCGCATGCTCCGCATACCTATTCTCTCCTCAAAACTTTCAGTCAGCAACCGGTCCACCCCTAGCACCAGGTCCATCCACATCCGCCTGGGCCGAAAGTAAACTTACGCGCCTCCCACGCCATTCATCGCCGACAATTCCCCTACAGCATACGTCGTGATCAGCACAGCCGGAGAGCCTTTGATCCGCGTGTAGCCATCAGCAGCATATGCGCCGTTGAGTTCATTGCAACAGCCGATCCATTTCAAGCCCGAGACGTTGTAGATTTCATCGAGAAGAATGACTGAAGGGTGAGAGCGCCGAGGGGGTCAGAGTGTGATCTTGCAGGTATGCGGACAAAGGGTAGTTGGACGTACGATTAAAATCCCCTGGGACGCCTAGAATATGCTCTGTTCCGAGTTGCTTGATCCGTCGGAAGAGGTACTGCCCCATGCAAATAGTCGGCGCAGACATGATGGTGAGGGTGAGCTCGCTTTCAAGCCAGTGTGAGCAGAATGAGGATAAAAGGTAAACGTGATGGATTTTGTTGACTTTGATATCCTCGCCAGGGGATGACGGCTATGTAGGAACTCAAAGCCAGCTATATAGCGTAAGATGAATAGGCGGAAGAATGATATGTTACCGAGTAAGCGGCGAGCGGGAAGGCTAGGGGACCGAGGCTGTGGGGGAAGCCCCTGCTTATTCGCAAATGTGGGGGGTCTGTGTGGGTGAAAGAGCGACTGAGCGAGTGAAATCGTGCCCATCTCATTTCCAGCCCAGGGTCATTGTCAGATTCTGACTTCCACTGGACATTGCAAATCAGTGACACCTAGATAAGAGTCAGGGCTCGCAAAGCGATATGGAACAGAAGCGTTATAATCAGCCACTTTGCGACTTGCCTCGGCCATCATGCTCTGTCCAAGCAGTTGGTGAGGCATCACTACCTAGGTACGTACTGAAGGCTACCTACGGATATCCTCATGTCCCAATATTTGAGCCCTCCAGACCGGGATGTTCTGGCATTCCAAGCGCCGATCTAACTCTCCCATTGTCATCACGGGAAAGCAATACCCCCGTCCACATGTATAACCTGACCAGTGATGTAGGATGCCCCTGGACTCGCCATGAACAGGACCGTCTCAGCAACTTCTTTCGGTGAGCCCTCCCTCTTGATGTGCTGATTGTTCCTCAATCTTGTTCTAATTGGTGACCCCTCCATGGGCAAGTCAGTGGCGATGGGCCCCGGCGAAACCATGTTGGCTGTGATACCCTTAGGGCCGAGCTCTTCTGAAATTGCCACCGTCATCGAGGTCAGAGCTCCCTTGGACGCACAATAGACCGGCAACATCCATGAACCGAGGCGAGAAATTATGCTGCCGATGTTGATGATACGGCCTCCGGCTTTCATGTGCGGCAGTGCTGCTTGAATGAGGACAAAAGGGCCTCACACATTGATGCGAAACACCTGATCCCACTCGTCAAATCCGACAGATGCGATGCCCTCGGGATTTGGTGTGGCGAACCCTGCATTATTGACGATGATGTCGATGGTTTCTGTTGTGAACGACTTCAGAGCAGCGTTGACCAGAGTGGTTCCAAAGTTAGCACTCGAGGCATCGGTTTTGACGGCAATAGATTGAACCCCAAGGCTCGTTGATTTTGGCCACAAGTTTCTCTGCTGGCCCGGCCGAGTTTTTATCATGGATCAAAACCTGGATACCAACTGTCAACCCCTTCTGTCGTGAAAATGGTGTCGAGGAGTATACATTGGCACCGTGTTCAGCGAGCGCAATTGCCGATGCAGCTCCAATCCCGTTCGGTTTTCCTGCCTCTGTGACAATTGCTGTCTTACCCTTGAGGTATTGTTGATCCATAGTATCTTGGTGAGCTTTGACGACGAAAGAGTCTCTTATGGGTAGTCTCTGAAAATGTAGAGGCGTATCACCGTGAAGAGTCGAAAGTGTCAAAGAGCTGCTGAAGGGTCCCTTTTATCTCAATACGATCGTGTCGTGGAATGGAAACGAACCCGCTTCTTCTCAGCAGGGCCTGTGCGATCATCGTAAAGCCATAACATCCACCCATCTTACAGAGTATGTGCGGCCTGTCGGGAGTTCCGCAGCCGTTCTTCCTCCCTCGCTCCGTTGTTATTGTGGACCGCTGACTGATGGTGCAGGAAGTGATGATCCTACCTGCAAGATCCCGACGAGGCTACTGATCATAAAAGCCAATATAGTCTCTCTAGCGTTTTCCAGAACTGAAGTCACCAGAGCCCCGGCAGGACGATTACATGATCATGGACCAGCATCTCAGCCTCCATTGGTTCGCTCGCTCGGCGAGAATATGGCTCGCCGACGCGTGGCTTATCTAAAACAAACTCGCGAGGCATCTTCTGGGATCCGAGCGGATGAGAGATCTATGCCGGGCGGCCGATCTTCTGAGTAACCATCGATGAATTACCAAACCATGGAGCGACATCTACATGACCGGCGAACGTTGAAGATGTAATTGCCCATTGTAAGAGGGTATATCACGAGCATCTGCACATGGATGTCTCCCTCCAAAAAGGTCTGTCACAGCAATCACTTGCGTACAGAGGTATTTCGCCATTGTGAGACTAGAAGTGGTTGATTCTCAGCATGCCCTCCGTGCTCCTTTTCGGGGCAACTGGCCTCATTGGATGTTGGTAACTTCATCGAGCTCTCAGAACATGCACTGACCGAATTCAAGCCCGTTTAGCCGTTCATGTCAAAAAAGCCCATCCTGAATGGCCTCTGACGGTATTTTTACGCAACACGAACGTCGACGAATGGTTCAGAGCCACGGTCAATGCAGATCGAATCGTTCATGGTTCCATCTCCGATATAGACCTGGTACGGTCATTGAGCTGGGAGCATGATATTGTTGTCAATGCCATTTCTTCCTTTGATGGTGGCTTCATCAACAACGTGATCTCAGGAATGGAAGACAGACCTGAGCACGCCAAGGGCACTTTGATCCATATATCTGGAACGGGGAATTTTATTGATAATGGCAAGAGCGGCAACTTCAATCCCGACAGCAAAGTGTGGAATGTCCGTCTCCCCATGAAGTTACAACAAGGCATGAATATGTTTCTGACTTGGGCAACAGGACGACAATGAAGATGACATTCGACAGATTGTTCGGGGCATGTTCAACGGCCCCACAGACGTACCGTAAGAGTTGCCGACATCTCATCTGTTGGGAGTTTGAAGTACTGACTTGGGGTCAGGGTGCTCGAAGCAGGAGTACGTGGAAAGATCATCACTTACGTTGTCTGTTTTGCAATAACCTACGGCTCCAACATCGGGCCCGCGCCAAACCTGGGGGTTGCGTACAACATTTTTACTTCCAATGCCAAACAACATGGCTTCGTCCCGTATATCGGCGATGGTTCGGCCATCGCTAGCACGGTCCATGTCGAAGATGCCGTTCCATTCCTCACAAAGATAATAGGGATCGCCGGAACGGAGAAGCCCACGGGCAGCGCCTACTCCAGGTACTATATTCTTCATGGTGAGAGGGTCGCCTGGAAAGAATTGAGCTCTGTATTGGCAAAGATTCTGCATGCCAAGGGCGTCGTGGCCTCGCCAGAGCCGAAAAGCGTGCCAGCGGCTGAGGCAGGGGAAGGAGAGATCGGGTTGTTGATAGCCGCAAACATGCTGGTGCAGGGAGACCGCGCGGCAAGGTTGGGCTTTAGGGCGACACATCCGTCGATATTGGTTCAGATACAGGAAGATCTCGGGGCCCATACCTTCTAGACACCAGCTGGCACCAATCCAAAAGTCCCAGCTTTGCATGATTGCCGCCGTCCCTGCGTTGACCGTCCACTGTCCGAGTCTGATGCATCGGGCTCTTTTTCAAATGAACTCGAAGGCTGATGTTTTGGATGTCTTTGTGAGGACTACTCTGGAGATGGTTCAAATCATCGCCAACGCATGGCTTAAGGGATAGATTGGTGTAAGATAAACCTTAGCAGCATTGGAGGATCGAAAGATAGAATTGTGAGCTTTATCGCGCATGACTGAGCACGGTACATGGTTCACCATCCAGATATGTCTTACCCCTTGGAATTCTCCTTTTGCAGGGAAAATGAGACAGCCTTGCCACCTTGCACACCAGGTCACTGATATTCCGTTCAACATCATGCGAGGATTTTGGCCGATGCCCATGAGCTTGTTGTGAGTCGCAGCAGTCTCAGGCGTGGTCATTAGGGGCGGGGCTTGGGACAATCTCCCAGTCCACAGCTGTCATTCTGGATACTAAACATCCAGGTAAGTATAGGGGGATATAATACATACTTGGTATATCTGTCGTGGTGGTAATATTCCCTACTCTGTCTTCCCCTGCGGAGGCCTGGCGACAAACGCGCTCCACAGCTGCGCCACCATGGGAAATCCATCTCCCACAGCTCGCAGCTCACCCCTATTTACCTAGGTAGCTTTGCGTCAAAAGACCTCTCCAGCAAAGTGATCTTTTCCGCCTGGTTAATATCCCAGAGTTTATCGAGCACCGGTAAGGGGCTTGGGCGATCTGATTCTGTCATATGATAACAGGAGATGATTCAGCTCGTCAACATGGATATAGCTGTCTCGTTCCTGTGGCATCACGCACTAGCTTCCAACCGTCCTATTTCAATCCAACATTAAGTCGCTTCAATTGAAGCATATTAAAATGCCACCGTCAATGTCGGAATTTTCAACCCATCGTTCCACTTGTCCGTGTCCACTCACAAAAAAACGCCCGGACTCTGCCTCCTGAGATGAGCCACCAGTCACCTCTACCTACGCAGGATCTCCCCTGCGTCGACGGTAGACGGCAGAAGGTCAGGTGTTCGAAGACAGAGCCATGTTTCAATTGTCAACGCTTCGGCGCCGAGTGCGTCTACGAGGATTCAGGCCGTCTAGTGAACCGACACACGCCTAAGTCGAATGACCCGTTATCCAGGCGAGTCGAAGATCTCGTGCAGAATCCGAGTCGTCGACCGCAGCAAGGTGAGTCCGTTTCCTGTCAACAGCTCAACAGAGGGACAGGACTCAAACCCGTCCGCTCAGCAGGAAACCCGATGGAAACCATGACCCAGAACATCCAACACAGGTTCTCCGGTCAAGCTGCTACACCAGAAGATGGTGCTACAGATGGCAAACTTGTATTCGAAAAGGACAGGTCCCGCTATCTGCAGAAAGGTTTCTAGGCTGCTATGTATGACGAAGTTCGTTCAATGCAGACCTCCAATTGCATCGAACCTGCAATTTCTTTTTCGGGACCGAGTCTGATCTTGTCATGTAGGTAGGAGACCTGAAATTTACCTTGCAAGCAGAACCCAAGTCGCAAAGGGACGCTTTGTTCTTCCCCTACACAGGTGGCCAAAGCCAACCTGCTTTCGCCCACCCGCCCCATATCCGAAAGCGACTTCTTAATTCAGATGTTTCTTGACAAGGTGGACCCATTTGTCAAGATCCTGCACAAGCCGACGCTGCAGGTCGAGCTGAATCATTTCCGCCGCGGCGTGTCTGCGAATCCCACCGAGTTCGGATGTCGTCTCTTGGTGGTCTACTCTCTAGCACTGCTGTCGATGTGCTCAACCCTGGTCGAGTATCGCCTTCATGAGTCCAAAAAGGTGTTGCTTTCGCGATATCGCTCATATGTGGAGCACAGTCTGAGTCGAATGAACCTCACCACAAGTCAGTCATTATCGACACTGCAGACATTCTTGTTATACATTGTATGTTTTAATGTCTCGATCAGGATACGATCAAACCGCTCACTACCCTCTCAGACACTTCTCTTCTGGACAGGCGAAATGCTCCACGCTAACAGTCTCTTAGCCGTGGCTTTTGCAATGGCTAGACGAATGGGTCTCAATCACGATGGGGCACATTTTTCTCTTTCTCCGTGGCAGATCGAGCTACGGCGACGACTCTGGCATCACCTCGCACTTCTGGATACCTGGTGTGTTGAGAACCACAGGCTCCAACCAATGATTCAACCCGTTGATAATGATACTTCTCTTCCTCAAAACCAGGACGACTCCGACTGGCATACTACCGAGTTCGCTTCAACTCGTCCTCGAGAGCAGAACAGATTCACCGACATGGCGTTGGCCTTGATTCACTACGAGGTGGGCGCTCTCGCAATATTCATCCTCAACAACACTTACACGCCCTCTATGACGGTTTGTGGCTATTTGGATCTTCAAAACGAGGTCCTGCGGCAAGCCCGGGATCGACTGGATATCCTCTGCATTAGAAACCTGGACGAGAACGACATACTGCAGAAGCTCGCGAAAGACCTCTTCCACCAAGCATTCAAAAGGCTCAGATTGATACAACTCCAATCAATCCTGAATGCGAGGAGCATCAACGAGACTCAGCGGGCCGGGCTCGATGCCAAAGCCTACCACCTGGCCATCGACTCCTGCAAAAGCACCCAGCATCTCATCGGCTTCTACACGCCCTACAGTCTCGACTGGGCTGTCGTCCGGGCCTTTTCATGGCACTCGGTCGCCACCATGCTCTCCACGGTCCTCCGCCACGAGGTGCTGAGCAACACGCCCGAAGCCCGCGCCGCCAGCTGCCGCATCGAACAGCTCTTCCAGAACCGTTCCTCGATCGACTTCCTCGCGGGCAACGACAACCTGTGGGAACCGCTCAGGGTCTTGCACGCCGAACTTGCCGCGCGAGAGGGCGCTGCCGTCACGGCGCACGCCGGGATAGGAGTCGATGTTGGTGGAGCGGCGGGGTCAGATACTAGCACGGACGGAGGGACGGACTTGGTTTCGATGACTTCGACGAGCATTGATCCCGCGTTGTTTGGATTGGTTGGTGTTGGAGGAGGTGAAGGAGGGGACGTTGCTTTTGAGACTCTAGCAGACCTCGAACCGTTCATCTAAAATGGTGGACCATTGTCGCGGCCCACGTTGGCAACTATGAGGAACGATGAGGATGGCAGGTTTGAAGACAAATTTCCGGGTATCCAGAGTTAAATATACAGGCTGTTACACATGATCCTACGACTCTTCTTTTCTCATCCTCAGAATCTTCGGCTGGCGGCTGCTGGTTCCCACAAGCCACCCAGACAAATTCATCATATATATTTGCCTGATGCAGAAGTTGACTCGAATGGCAGAGCATGGTTCTCGGTTTCTATTGCCTCTGTTGTGGAGTTGACTCCATCTGCTCTAGCGGGTCGTCATCCTCTAGAAGAGACCGTGGTTCTTCAAGAATTTCGGCCACTTCTTTCTGGCCAACCAATATTCGGGCTTGATTGTACGACAACTGGCGGTCGACAAGTACTTCTCCAATAAGGGTCATTGTTTCGCGTACCTGTCAAGGCCATGTGATCAGCATACTCCATCAACTGAATCCAAGTGTTTGATAGAGCGTGGTCTATTCTGGTCTCAGAAACTTTCTAGTAATGGTCGAATCATGGCCAACAAGGATTAAGCGGCCCCGAAGGCCGGATTTCATATCGGCGAGTGAAAGGTTGGGGTTCATCACTGTGAGTTCAAGTTTGCAGTAAAGGATAAAACACTTACGACAGCAACTCTTTCTTCGCTTTCCACTTCTCCGTAACCTGCTCTCAAACGTTGTCTTTCTTTTTCTCGAGTCAAGGTTCGATTCTGTTCCTTGACGCACACCCAGTACAGTTTATGGAGGTCTTCGAAAGATTTCACGGACAGTTCCTTATATGTCCAAGCCCGACCTGTTTTCCCATGGCAATGGTCAGTCCACATTATTACGGCTCTCCGTAAAAGGGAGCAAAAGATTATCCACATACCATGGCTCGACTCATCATCAGGTGGAAGCAGTGCCTGTTTTGACTTATCAAAGAAGCCCCATAGCCCATGGTCCTCAGAATCTGCATATTCTGCTGCAGTACCCCTGTGGTCTCGTGCCACGGGCACTGGAAGGGGATATTTCCACAGTCCCCGCATGCTCCTGGGTCCTGTCCGTCGAATCGCTGAAACGCCTCTTTTCTTATTCCTATCAATCTTAGGACGTGCATGTATTGCCCAGTTTGGATGACTAGTCTTTTGGCCCTTTTTTGTTGCATATGATCGAAAGAGAGTTAAGGATGTTGCTGCGGTGGTGGAGGGTCGTGCGAAAGCTGGTGCGAGGAACAGGGGGATGCTTGTCATCGATGGAGGCCCAACGAGGGCTCTAGACACTGATGCCATCCTTGGCTCGTAGAGGTCTTCGAAGCAATGCAATGGACTGTGAAATTTTCCAGGGCGGTGTGGAGCATAGGAGTCCAAGGATAGAAGAAGCTCTGGGAGGTCAGGACTAAAAAACTGCGCCAAGAATGACTCGCTACACCTTCCTCTTTCTAGAGATAGATCTGGCTAACCAAATTCAGAAGCGTCAACAAACCGATTGTCTCAATCACTGGGAGGGTCGATCGCTCATGCGCCTGGACGTCCCGAACTGGATTGACTACGTTCACAGTATAGATTGTCATCATGAAGATCATCGAGCTGGTCATTGACGGGTAAGAGTTCCGCAGATGTTGCTTTGTACATTCTCGATGAACTAACCTCCGCAGCTTCAAATCCTACAGCCAGAGAACCGTCATATCTGGCTGGGATCAAAGTTTCAATGCGGTGACAGGACTCAACGGATCCGGAAAGTCCAATATCCTCGACTCAATATGTTTTGTACTGGGCATCACCAACATGTCCACCGTCCGAGCGCAGAACCTCCAAGACCTCATCTACAAGCGCGGCCAAGCGGGAGTAACAAAAGCCAGTGTAACGATTGTTTTTGACAACAGCGACAAGAACACTAGTCCAATCGGCTTCGAAGAATATGCACAGATTAGCGTGACGCGACAGATAGTCATGGGTGGGACAAGCAAATATCTCATCAATGGTCACCGAGCGCAGCAGACGACAGTACAGAATCTGTTCCAGAGCGTTGGGCTAAACATCAACAACCCGAATTTCATCATCATGCAGGGACGAATCACAAAAGTTCTCAATATGAAAGCAGCTGAAATTCTGGCAATGATCGAAGAAGCTGCAGGAACCCGTATGTTTGAGGATCGGAAAGAAAAAGCTGTCAAGACAATGGCGAAGAAGGAAATGAAGGTGGTTGAGATAGAGGGCCTGTTGCGAGAAGAAATCGAGCCCAAACTGGACAAATTACGCGGCGAGAAGCGAGCGTGGTTGGACTATCAAAAAACACAAAGCGAGCTCGAGAGATTGACACGGGTGGTGGTTGCAGCGGACTATGTTCGATCTGGCGAAAGGATGAAGAGCGCAACTCAAGAACACGAAGTCAAGCGAGCGAAAGTACAACACCTGGAGGAGAATGCCGTTAAGCTGAAACGCGAGATTGAGAACTTGGACGAAGACGCTCAACGTGTTCGCGCTGTTCGAGAAACGGAGATGCGCAAAGGCGGCCGTTTTCAAGCAATCGAGTCTCAGGTGAAAGAGTTGAGCCATGAGCTTGTACGCCTAGCAACCGTGCTTGATCTAAAGCAGTCCAGTTTGTCTGAAGAAGAGCAGAAAAAGAAAGACATTGCGAAATCTGTCACGAATCTGGAAAAGCAAGTGAGGGACAAGAAGGCAGGGCTCGCGAAGTTGCAGTCGCAATGGGACAGTGCAAAGGCCGAACATGATTCTCAGAACTCTGAAGTCGAGAAGAAGGAAGAGCTCCTGTCAACGCTGCAGACCGGAGTCGCCTCCCGTGAAGGGCAAGAAAGTGGGTATCAAGGCCAACTGCAAGATGCTAGAAACCGGTTGACAGCTGCAACCACCGAACAAGAACAAGCCAAGATGAAGACCTCACACCTTGAGAAGCGAATAAAAGAAGACGAACCACGAGCCAAAAAAGCCCGAGAACAGAACGCTGACCTCCTCCAAGGTCTTGAAGTGCTCCGCAAGGAAGCACAGAAGCTGGACAGCGACCTGCAAAAATTGGGATTCGAACCTGGCCGTGAAGAGAGGATCCGGGCGCAGGAAGTTGCCCTTCAAAGGAGTATCCGGAGTCTGACCCAACAAGCCGACGAGCTGAAGCGAAAAGTTGCTAACGTTGACTTTCATTTCAGCGACCCCTCGCCACACTTTGATCGTTCGAGGGTGAAAGGGTTGGTTGCCCAACTCTTTACTTTGGACAAGGACAAATCTGTCGCCGGCACCGCCCTCGAGATATGTGCCGGCGGTAGATTGTACAACGTTGTCGTTGACACGGCAGACACTGGAACACAGCTGCTCCAGCACGGAAAGCTGAAAAAGCGAGTGACCATCATTCCTCTGAACAAGATTTCAGCCTTTAGAGCTTCAGCGGAGAAGGTTGGAGCAGCACAGCGAATAGCACCCGGCAAGGTTGATCTCGCCTTGTCCCTGATCGGATACGATCACGAAGTATCTGCCGCTATGGATTACGTTTTTGGGACGACATTGATCTGCCAGGATGCAGAAACAGCGAAACGGGTGACATTCGATCCAGCAGTTAGGCTGAAGAGCGTGACGCTTGAGGGTGATGTCTACGACCCAGCAGGTACACTTTCTGGAGGGAGTGCTCCGAATTCCAGCGGTGTCCTTGTCATCCTCCAGAAGCTGAATGAAGTCACGAAAGAATTACAGAAGCATCAATCAGAACTCCAGCAGCTCCAAGAGACAATGAAGAAGGAGCAATCAAAGCTAGCCAATATCAAGGCCGTCAAACAAGAGCTAGATCTTAAAGGTCACGAAATCAAACTTGCAGAGGAGCAGATCTCTGGCAATTCTTCCTCGTCAATTATCCAGGCTGTCGAGGAGATGAAAACAACAATCGTGCAGCTGAAGCAAGATATGGCAAATGCCAAAGCCAGAGAAGCTGAAGCAGCAAGAGATGTGAAGCGGATAGAAAAGGACATGGAGGACTTTAGCAAGAACAAGGACAGCAAGCTCAAGGAACTCGAAAAGTCATTGGCCGACCTGAAAAATTCACTCACCAAGACATCCGCTGCAATCAAATCATTTCAGAAAGAGTTGCAAGATACAAAGATTGACTGTGAGCAAGCTGAAAGCGATTTGAATGCTGCTCTGGAGCAACTTTCCGAGGCCGATACCGCGATTGAGACCCAGAAAGAAGAACTCGGAAACCTTCGGCAAGAAGAAGCCACTGTGAAGAGCAACCATGATATTGCACAGGCCCAACTCGACGACGAACGAGCAAAACTGATGGGATTCGACGACGAGCTACGTGAACTGGAACAGGCCAAATCTAAGAAATCCAAACAGATCGCCGAAGAAGCGCTCGAGGTACAAAAGTTGGGCCATGCGGTCGAGAAAGCCCAGAAAGACGCCCAAGCAGCTGCGCAACTGGTGGCTGCGCTGGAAAAGGAACATGATTGGATTGAAGATAACAAAGATCAATTCGGCCGTGCCGGCACCCCCTATGATTTCCATGGCAAGAATCTCTCCGAGAGTCGAGCAACTCTGAAAAACGTCACCGAGAGATTCCAAGGGATGAAGAAGAAGATCAATCCCAAGGTGATGCCCATGATCGATAGCGTCGAGAAGAAAGAGGCATCCCTGAAGAACATGCTCCGTACTGTGATCCGGGACAAGAAGAAGATTGAGGAGACGATTAGCACGCTGGACGAATACAAGAAAGAAGCCCTCATCAAGACATGGCGCAAAGTCACCGAGGACTTTGGGAATATCTTTTCGGACCTCTTGCCCGGGAACAACAGTGCGAAATTGGTGCCATTGGATGACAATATTGATCGAATCCAGGAAGGGTTGGAGGTGAAGGTGTGTTTGGGCAAGGTGTGGAAACAGAGCCTCACGGAGCTTTCTGGGGGTCAAAGGTATGTTTTCTCCCCGTCCAGTTGCCGCAGGACTAATTGATCTTCACAGATCGCTCATTGCGCTATCCCTCATCCTCGCCCTGTTACAATTCAAGCCCGCTCCAATGTATATCCTGGACGAAGTGGACGCGGCACTGGACCTTTCGCACACCCAAAACATCGGTCGGATTATCAAAACAAGGTTTCAAGGCTCGCAATTTATCGTCGTCAGTTTGAAGGACGGCATGTTTCAAAATGCCAATCGTGTTTTCCGGACGAGGTTTAGCGAAGGAACCAGTGTGGTTTCAGTCATGACGCCCGGCGAGTTGAAGGGCTGAGGGTTTGTTTGCCTGTGTCGCAAGGTTCGTGACGGCCGCACTCGTGTTGGAGGCATCTTGGGCGTGATGAGAGATGATGGGACGGAATGGTCTAGGTCCATTTGGAGATACCGGTTGGTTTGGATGATGAGTTTATGACTTGACGAGAGCATGTGTTGTGGTGAAGAAGTTGGGTGGTCTTCTGCTTGCTGGTTGGTGGTCAGATGCGGCGATGAAGCCCAAATTCATCTTGTTCAACGAGTCTGGTCCTTCCTTCACCTTGTTCCCAAACTTCCCATCACTTCTTCCACGACACCCCTCACGCCCGAAATCTCGTGGGCAAACCTGCCTAAGAACAACCCATCGACCCATTGCCCCAATCCGTTTCCTCCATTGTTCTTCCCGCTCCACAGCCCGGGCCCGGCGCTGCCCCCATACACGACCTTCACGTCCGCTCTTCTCCCAGGCACAATTTGCCTCGCGACCTCTCGGATGGCCTGTACGACGGGGCCGACGTAATCGACGCCGGCGGGCTCGGCGGCGCCAATGGCCCAGACGGGCTCGTACGCGAAAATGACGGGCGCGTCGAGCGGCACGGCGGTCAAGACGCTCTGGATCTGCGGGCGCAGCTGGGCCATGGCGACGCCGACGGCCTGGCTCATGGGGCCTCTGAGATCAGGCCTGTCCAGTTCCCCGATGCACACCAGGGGAACCATGTGCGCGGCGCAGACGGCGGCGGCTTTTGCGGCGGCGGTGACGTCGTTTTCGCCCAGGTAGCGACGGCGCTCGGCGTGGTTGAGCTCGATGATAGAGCAGCCTAGTTCCTTGATTCCGGGCACAACGATCTCGCCTGTGAAGGCGCCGTAGGTGGTCGAGGGGTAGACGTTCTGCGCGCCGAGAGCGATGGGCCACGACGAAGAGTCCAGGCGCGTCCCGCCTCCAGCCCCTCCTTCAGATGAAGAAGGCGGGAATTCTGAGCTCAGAACCTGTGCACACGGATATATTGTGAGAAAGTCCGGGATGAGAACGAAGAGGACGTCGGAGCTATGTCTCTGTAGGAGGGGGAGGATGTTGTGGGCCGGGTCGAGGAGGGAGGCGAGGTATGCCAGTGTGCGGGACGGGGAGAAGTAGGCCTTTGTCGAGGTGAGGATCAGTTTGGAGGGGAGATGAGGATATGGGGTTGATCCAGACATTGTTTCTGGTGGTTTGTTATGTCTGGTCGTGATTGTGGTGGTAGGGTGATTGGTGTTGTCGTCTCCAGTGAGCAACAGCAGCCGCCGCAGAGTGCGAGAGGGACGAGTATTGGAGTTGAAGCAATTCGAAGGGTCGTATTTTGGTCAAAGGTCAACCAATATCCAGTACATAATTATCCATCTATTCACACATCGATCCATCCATGGTTCGACCCCTCTTTTGATCCCTCTTTTGTGTACTTGCTCGCCTTGTTTGCTCGATATACAGCACCTACTCCCCCCCTGGCCGGGGAGATTCTCGAATCTCATCCCGCCCGGCCCCCACCATCCCATTCCCCCACGTGTCCATGTGTAGACGAAAACTTATTCTGCATTTAACCGGCCCGGATGTCTGGATACGGCAGTCCCGATGGTCGGGACTTTGGAGAAACAAAGAGCACAGAAAGCAATGACGCCAGAGGGGGAGGGGAGGGCTGGGGAGGGCAACAGCGGAGCGGGCATCGGACACGGCGATGGACGCCGTCGCCCGCTTCTTGCGATGATGTGCACGAGCGACCGGCGGCAAATGGGCTGGCAAGGCAATTCAACAAAAAGAGACCTGAAAGATCTGACCACGGATCGACTGTTGGCGCCGGATTCATAAATTATATTGGATTCTCTTTTCTCGAGTGCCGTGTTTCAATCGTCCAGATAATAATACCGTGAACCCCCTTCTCTACATACACGGATTAAATCAAGCCGAAGGCCGACACCCACCACCCACACAACCCCATCCCACATTAAGAACATGGCCGCGACCAACGGCACGGCCAAAACCCCCATCCGCGTCGTCGTGGGCAGCGACAACGCCGGCCACGCCTACAAGACCGCCCTGAAGGAGGTGCTCAAGAAGCACGCGGGCGTGACGCACGTTCTGGACGTCGGCGTCGTCGATGCCGACGACGCCACCGCATACCCGCATCTGGCGGTCGATGCGTGCAAGAAGATCAAGTCGGGAGAGGTACGGTCTTTGGCCCTCTCCTTCTTTTTGGCCAGGAGCGAGCCAGAGGGAATGGAACGTTTTTGTTTTGGCTAACCAGGTGGCTGTGTATCCAACAACAGGCCGACCGCGCCCTCCTCATCTGCGGCACGGGTCTCGGCGTCGCCATCTCAGCCAACAAAGTCGAGGGCATCCGCGCCGTGACCGCGCACGACCCCTACAGCGTCGAACGCAGCGTGCTCTCCAACAACGCCCAGGTCCTGTGCTTCGGCCAGCGCGTCATCGGCCTCGAACTGGCCAAGAAGCTGGTCGACGAGTGGGTCGAGCTGCGCTTTGACGAGACGAGCGCGAGCGCAGAGAAGGTCGCCCATATAACTAAGTACGAGGAGCAGTTTGGCGAGTTGTGAGCGATAATCGAGAGGGCAGGAAAACACCACAAAAGAGAAGAGAGGGATGGTGGGAAGAAGAAGAAGAAGAAGAAGAAGAAGAAGAAGAAGAAGAAGAAGAAGAAGAAGAACAACAACAACAACAACAAAGAAGAACAGGACGAATATCTGCGCCACGCACGGCTCTTTACATGTTTGGATTGCAGGATGATTTTTGTTTTTGGTTTGGATCAGGATGTGGACTCTGCGCAAAAAGTCTGCCATGTGCGTATAGAAGAGCATGTCTGTGGCCAGCATCTTCTTGTTATATATGATACTTCCCATATCCACGATGCAACAACGAAGCAGCCTCGATCCAGCCCTGGCCTGGGTCATGAAGCCAGAACTAGTCTTGCGCATTACGCAGTCTTCCCTTTCTCCGGACCGATGTTGTGCAGAATCTGCCTTTTCACTCTGACAAACGCGTCGACGCCCATCAAACACGCTAAATTCACAGATAGGGCCGCAGACCGTTAGCCAAACCATGTTTCTGAATTGACCATGTCCCAGCCAGCATTGGGCAGGGCTTCGCATTCATACCAAGAACAAAGACCACATTTCCGCGTGCACTCACAGCATGCCCGTGAATGAGGGGGAAGGAAGGACGTACGTACCTAATACCAAGTATGGGACGTAGAGGCCATACAGGTCTGATTTCTGTGCCGAGGTGTAACCTTCCCAGTCGGAAATATCCACGACGCACGTTAGCGTTGTGACGGCGACCTCGAGGGCGAAGATCAGGAGATGAAGCGGGACGAGCGGATGATCTGGGACGGGTCTCAGCAGTGCGAGATCGAACGCACAGGAAGCTCTCTTCAAGGACGAGACAGGACGACGCAGAAAGAAGTTGCGCTCGAGTCTTGGAACTGTTGAACGCTTGCTTACCCTTGAAAATCCCCCAAACCATCCACAAGCTAATCGGCACATGATACAAAGCTTCAATCCACATGTAGGCCATGAACCACGCTGGCGGGCTGATGAAGAATTTGTCCCGAAAGTTCTGGAGCTGGTATGTTCGCAGCGTGTGTGAGAGCGGCGAGACGAGGAACGACGGGAGGATCGAGGATAGGTCAACCACTATTAGTAGAAATCTCAATATCATTGTTTTCCTCAGGTGAGACGCGGCGATGGTAAGGCGAGAGGGCGGGAAAGGGGGTTAAGCCTTGCGTCCAATCCCCTTGTCTTCTTGTGTGTTGGGAATGGAGAGCGACACAGAGAGCGTGGGTGAGCTCTTGGATATCTGACCAATCGCCCCCGAACTAGGGTGTGTTTTTCGAAACGACTCGAACCAAACTTACAGAACATGATGGGCACATGCACGAGGAAGAAGCCCAGATACAGTACATCGAGCTTCCTGGCAGACAGCGGGCGGCGGTGGGAGTGTTGTCGTGGCGCTGTGGTTGACGCTGGTGAGATTGCCATCTTTGGGTAATTATATAGGTCGAGGTAAAAGAGAGAACGACACTGTGAGAGAGATGTAGGCGGGTGGTACGGTTCAATACAAGTAGAAGTACGTTCGGCGCGAGCGAGAAACCAACGAGACATTCAGGGGCTTCTCAATCGGGAAAGCTGGTCAGATTCCAATTTTGTTCGGTGCAACCGACCAAATGACTGTGTCTGGTAATTCCTGAAGACTGTCACATGTCGACCTTTGCGAGACTCCAAAAAGCTCACCCAACTACCTGGTTATGACTCTTGCGCACATCGTTTACAAAATGCATCGTGTCAGGCAAGGCAAAAACATGACCTCTCATCCTAGAAGTTGGCCGACTCTCTCTACAACCTCCCGGGCAACCCTTGTCGTTTCCTCATCTAGGCCTGCTGCTCTCCCCTGCTGCAACAAGGCTCGCATTGTTTCCTGCACTCTCGTCGCGGCTGCTTCACTCCCAAAGATCACAGACCCTGCCCGCGTCGAATCGTGGAACCATCTACCTACCACATAGACCAGTTCTGACGCGATGTATTTGCGATTAGATCCCACAAAGGGAGCATCGCCCGAGAAGAATATCGTTTCCAAGATCTCAAAAAGCCGCTCACAGGGGATCTCCAGGGAAAGGAAAATGTCAACGACCCAATGCGGAGGCGCCACGTTGCGTTGATGTTCGAACGAGTATTTCTCCAAGATGGGTAGTAAAGTCTGGACAGGGAACGTCGTCTCCGACACGCGTAATTTGCTGCCCAGACTCCTTACCTCGTCGGCAATGGCTTCGAACGGCTGGATCTGTCCTTCCTCTTGCACCTTGTCATGCACCGACTGAAGGAGCTGCTGCCAAGTTTGCTTGATCTGTGCCGGATCCCGATGATCGGCAACTTGATAGATCAGGAGACACAGGTCATAGTACCCGGCATTGTCCGCATAGTTGTTGAACAGCGTGTTAATGTCCAGGATCTGTCCGTTGACTTGATCGAGGACTTCTTGTCTCCGTTCGGGCCCGAGTCGATAGTCGTCACGCAGGCGTTGGAGCACCTCTTCTTGTATGTCCGCGATGTCAATGAGTTCGGTGATTTCTTGCAGTAACTGTTGCTTCGTCTTACGGCTCCCTCCCGGGGTGTAGGTGGATGCGTTGGCTCTCGCTCTGCTCAGATACTCGAGTCTCTTTTCAAGCGAAAGTGGGAAAGCGCTTCGGGCAAGTTGCAATTGGATCTTGGCCGCCTCGGAAAATTGATTCGTCTGGCAGTAGTATTTCCACAGCAGATCCGCATAAAGGATGTCCTCAGACGACTTGCGTTGCAAGTAAGTGACAATGAATGGGGATTCCGTCGCGAGCAGGCGATCGTACCATCCCTGCTGCAGATACCAATCGTAGAGATTCGTCAAAAACGCCTCGTCCTTTGAACGGCTGATCACATCGTATGCTTCGTTCCGCCTGGTCACAGCTATCGTTGGGTGACCATCCACGAAACTTGGACCTTGCTCGGTGGTCTTATCCACCGCGACAATGACCGCGTGGATGAGGTCGTAGCACTGACTCCTGAGATCAAATTTTGCTTTCCGAGGGTCTGGCTCTGGCCGACCTTCCGCCATCCAGGACAAGGCCTCATTAGCCTTGTCCTTTTCGTGAGCAACCCGGAGGACAAGTTGTATGGCTCCGGCGAAGAACTGCAGATCCGTGTATTGTTTCACAGCCGACTCCAGGTAGTCATGGGGCAGACTGTGGGCCACCTTTTCAAAGAGTTTCAAGCTTTCATTAAGAAGATTTCGTGAAGAGTCACCATTCGTCCCTGCTTCTGCTGCTCGTCTCAGTTGCTCTTGTGCTTTGAATATCACGACATCGTCTGCGCTGCAAAAGCTCCCACACTTTCTGCGGAGCGCTTCAGCAACTGTCTCGACATTGGACCCTTTCGCGATATTGCGGTTCACGATGGCTTTGACGAGCTCTTTCGCAAGCTCATAACCTTTCTTTGTCGTGAAGAGTTCCTCAAAAGTAAGCTTCAGCATCTCTGGTCTGGAAGTCTCCGGCAGCAGTGGCACTATCTCCGCGACCTTCTCTTCGAATAAGACTAGAATAAAAGAAAGGCCTTCAATGGTGTCTGATGTAAACTTGACTAGTGAATGCAAGGCACGGTGTTCTCCTTGCAGAGCGATCTCGTCGTCCTTGGTGCTTGTTGCTGGAAGATCATCAGGCCCGCTAAGACCTTTGATGAAGCTCTTGTTCGTCTGAAAGAAGCGTTGGAGCGCGGACAACGATTCTTGGACGTCCCTCAACTTCTTGAGAGGTACGGCAGGATTGATCTGATAGCCGGCCGGTGTGGTCGACTCCATTGCAATCACGTTCTTCCACGTTGATCTCAATAAGCGAGAAATGTACAAAGCAATTGCCGCGTGGCGCGGCGAAGGTCGTACAGCGTCGATCAAAGGGACCGATCTGTCCGTGATTGAGTTTTGATTGATGCTTGGCTTGCCGCCGTACTCAATGAAAGTCTTGCGAGCAAGCTCGAGGACTTCCGGGTCGTTGACCCGCATCGACTGAGCATTGCCGGTGTCTTCAACTCCCTGACCACAGGCGACCGCAAGCGCTGTTGCCAGAGTCTCGGTCCTCCCATAAGCCCGAATCAGGTTGCTGACCTCGTGCTGAAATCCTTCGGGTCCGCCGCCTTGACTGCTCAAAGCCGCAAAAATGTCCACCAAGCGGCGTCTTCTGATGATGTGGATGCCGGTGTTCGTCAAGATTGCAACCTCTGGGATAGGCTTGTCAAATTGTACGGCCAAGTCATTCCCGTAGCCGACCGGGCTTGAGATGGGAGCAGAGTATGGGGTCACCAACCCTATGTCCTCTGCACGGCTGCCGAGTGAGAGCCATATTGCAGATTCCGAAGTTCGACTTGTCTGCCCGGGTTCGGAGCTCCTCAGTAGTCTACCGGCATCAGGGGCAGAAATAAATAATTGGTCAGTGGGTGAGTTGGCATCCCTAGCAGTGAAGCAAAAGAAGTATCCGGGCGAGTACCGCGCAGCAAGTCGAGTCGTCGTCAAGGTCTTGATGGGTTGATGAACATCGCTCGAAGAACCCGTACCCCATGTGCTTGAATGGCCTGTATTGGACGACAGCGGCGGTACTTTGACATGTTGTGCCTGTACGCTGATTGGAGCACCGGCTCGAGCTGAAGACCCGTAGCCGTAGCTTGTGGCGCTTTTGGCACTGAGGTATATTCGATAACCAGTTGCTGTGACAGCTACCAGGTGATATCTTGACGCTTCGGCAGCTGGAAGAGCTGATATCGATACAATCTTGACTCGATTGTTGAGGGATTCGCTCTGGTTAATGATATGACCGATGTTATCGTAGATCTCGGATGCAGGTTTTGTGACCAAAAGTGGTAATCCGCCTCCGGGCTTGATGTGGAATACGCGAATATTAGAAGCGGAAGAAAGGGTGTAAAGGAGGTCTCTGCTGTCATCCACCACGATCTGTTCCACATACTCTCGATGACCGTGACTGAAGCTGCTGAACGTCCACGTCAAAGACTTGGCAGCACCGCTAGTGTGACAAATCTTCGAACATCGACTTGCAAACCACCGATCCTCTTGCTGATATGTGAGCTCATATATGTCATTGTCCGTCCTGCCACCGAAAAATATCCTCCCAGTTTTTGCGGAGGAAGCGATGACACTGACATCGAGACCCCTAACTGAGACCGACATACCAGTCTGGAACAGAGATAGAGCAGGTGAGCCGCCTGGACTCGAGTCTGTACCCAGGCCCAGCAGAAATATGTCTGCAGTTGTCGCAATGACAATGACATGTTTGATATTCGGTAGAAAGACACCCGCTCGAGGGACAGCGAGTTTAACAGCAAGGATGCTGTGCGACTGTCCCTCAAAACCCAGTAGTTCGGGCCTCGATGCAGAGTAGTCCCACATGTACAGGGCATTGTCGATTGTAGTCCAAGCATACCTCAACTCCGGAAATAGTCCCATACTCGTCGTCAACTGCGCATTATTATACTGCTCGAATATCTCGTCTGGGATTCTGTAGAAGCCGGCTCTCTGAAACGGTGCCCATGTTGTCGAAGACTGGATATCATAATCGGCAGAGTAACCCTGAGACAAGTAACTGTCGACTTCTGGGAATCGCGATTCACTTGCGAGAGATTCGTTGATTGTGCGCGCAGCTCTTTCCACGGGCTCGAGTGCTTCGGGTGGCCGCATTGACGCTTGAACGGGCGCTTCAGGAGGATTCGTGGTGATGAGGGTTGTCGAGGGTTGAGAAGGGATGAGGGCCGGGCGGGACATTGGCGTCGTGAAAGACTGGAAGGAAGGAGCAGGTATTGCTGGAGGGCGCGCGGCAGGAGTCTGAGGCCAGATGCCTGGCACAGGCCGGACGGGCGTCTGCGCAATTACAGAGCCCATCGTGCGCCGGGATTGTTGTCGTTGGCAAGAGTAGGAGGTCGGCTTAAATATGAACAGACATCAAGCAAGACAGCCGCCGTGCAACGACAGCACAAAAGGCGATTGCGGATGTCTGTGCAGAGGCGACGCGGTAACAAGGATTTCGGAGTGAACAACGCGAAATATTGAACCCAAACACAGCCGGACGCCAGTGCTCGCAGAAGTGTCAACCTGCGGTTTAATCGAGACAAAAGATGGAAATGTACGAGTAAACGCGAAGCGACTGGAGATGGAAAGTAATGCGGGCAGACCAAAAGAAGTTTAGCGTCAGGAACCATGACTCGCGTAAACAATTTTGTATCTTTCCCTGCTCTCCACTGCTCTACAAGTACTTCGACAAGTAGATCTACTAGTGCGTCTTGATCCCCTTTCCTGCCTGTCACGACCTGTTGTTTCCTAAGTCCCGGGACATGGCATCAATCCTCAATTCTAGACTCTTACTTCTATTCGACCAACCGCTTTGCTCTCGATGTATCCGCAGAAATGCAGCTTCCGCCCTGCGCTGGTCATCCACATCGACCGAAGCTCCAGCTTCGCCTCTGCTGGCCAAGATCAAGAATGACTTGAAGAGCGCCATGCGCGCAAAGGACACATCGAGGTAAGGCAACACACGCCACATACACATTCCGTCTGGTATACACTCCGTTCCAATACCTTCAAATGCTGAGACAACCCCGAGGTAAGATTAACCGTCCTCCGGGGCACCATCTCTGAAATCAACCAAGCGGCCTCCTCTCCCACGCCCATCAAAACCGATCTCCAAGTTCTAGCACTACTTCGCAAACGGAAATCCGCCACAGAGACAGCGATCAAGGAAGCCGAAGCTGCCAAACGGCCGGACTTGGCGGAGAAGCAAGCAAAAGAGATGGAGGTTATTGACGAATTGGTGGGGAGTGTGAAGTTGATAGACCCCGCGGCTCTCAGGACGGTGGTCAGGGGGAAGATAGAGACGCTGAGAAACACGACGCAGGGAGAGTTGAAGCAAGGCGTTGTTATGAAGGAGCTGTTGAAGCCCGGAGGTGAACTGGACGGGAAACCATTGGAGAATAAGATGTTGGCAGAGTTGGTGAGGGAGGAATTATTGAGCAACCATAATCCCTCGTGAGGATGGGGAACTTTGTTTACAACCACACCTGATATCTTGGGTTGCATTACTCTGTACTAATATTCGGAGAGGGGGGGGGAGGGAGGAGATGAGATGGACCAAGGAGCACCAGAGCTCGCCCTTTCCATTATTCCATGAGAGGAGAGCCATTGCTCTTGTTCCTGTATCCCTCCATCAACCATATCGTAACGCCTCTCACAATGCAACAGAATTCTGCCTTTTCTCACTGCTCGAGACGCGACGCCCCGTGATTCCGAGTCCAGTTCCTCCTGCTTTCCTGCCTGCAAAACCCCGACCCATCCCTGCCTTGCCGGTCGACCATCTTGGGCAACCCCACAAATTTGTTGATCCAATTGATCACCACGAGGTGCCAGACGAGGCTGTTCTCCGGCTTCAACACCCAGTGGTTCTCGTCTGGAAAACTCAAAAACCGACTTTCGATCCCCTTCATCTGTAGCACGTTGAAGGCCGAGAGACCCTCGGCAACCGTCAGGCGGTAGTCAAGTTCGTTGTGGATCACAAGCATGGGTGTCTCCCAGTATTTAGTGAACCGGCTGGGATCCCATTGATCGTAGATCTCCTGTCTCTCCCAAATGGGCCCTCCGAGGTCGTGGACGGGGAAGTACTGCTCCTCAGACGCCAACTGGCCCGTCATGCTGAACACGCCATCGTGGCAGACCAGTGCCTTGAATTTGCGACCCAGGTTGTGCCCCTGGATCCAGTTCATCATATATCCGCCGTAGCTGGCACCCAGGGCAACTGCTCGCGAGGCGTCAATGAACCCCAATTCCGACTCGATGAAGTCAAAGCCTTTGACGAGGTCCTCGTAAGGGAGACCACCCCACTGATTTCGGATCGCGTCGGTAAAGGCCTGGCCATAGCCCGTCGATCCCGTTGGATTAGGACAGACAACCACATACCCCTGCTCAGCGAAGACAGCAGGATTCCAACGCGTCGACCATTGGTCGTTCCAGGCGCCTTGCGGGCCACCGTGGATCAAATATGCAAGGGGATACTTCTGGTCCGCTCGGAAGAAGGAAGGCCTCACCATCCAAGCGTGCACGGGATGGTCATTCGCACCTTTCCACCATATCGAGGAGACCTGTTCGGGAGACAGACCAAACATGCTTCCATTCTTGCTCAGCGACGAAATGACCACCGGTCTCGCCTCGGTCTGGGCATCGGGATCGACAAGAGAGTATGTGCTGTTGTCGATCAGGCTATTACTGGAGACGAGTAAAAGATTAGACGTGGCCGACATGGGAGCAAAATCAATGATGTATCCGCTGTGGGTCAGTTGGCGAGGTCGCCATTCTAGCCCCGGACTCGCCGTCAGATCGAGTGCAAAGAGACATCCTCGGCCGGTGTCTTCAGCTTCCATTAGCAGCATCTTGCCATCCACGGACCACTTTAAAGAGGTAGGAGACCTGGCCCAGCCGCCTTTGCCATCGTCTGTACGCATGAGCTCGACCGCATGTACGGATTCACCCTTCTCAAGTCCACCTAGGCCATGGACAAGGACTATTCGATTTTTGTCACTCTCATAGCCATCGGTCGCCATCTGGAGAAAAGCCAGGGATTCTCCGTTGGGCGAAAAGACAGGCGACGAAGCTGCCCCATTCAATCCATGAACGTGAATTTTGTGGAAGCTTGCAGGTTTCATGTCCAAGGCATCCCTTTTTGGTACGAACCAGCAATCACACTTGGTATGTGTGGCAGGGTTGAGATGGGGGTCTTTGGCCACAATCGTCAGGCCTGTCGGGCCAATGTCGAAGTGGTCGACTCCGCCGAACGTTGGAATGGGGCATTCCAACTCCGTACCCAATAATGCGTTTTTGAAGCCAAGCAAGCTGTATCGTCCTTGGCGAGAAGTCACCATGGGTTGTGACTTCTGCAGCAGTGCTGTAAAGATGGCATTTCGCTGCTCGGTGATCCACGAATCCCAGTGTCGCACAAACAACGAGTCATATACACGGGCTGAAGTATGGGATTTCGGAACATCCTTGGGATTGTGCAAGCTCCCATCTGGATTGGCTTGACCGGCAACAGCAACGGCGACTTTGCCCGGTTCAATGAGATAGAGCTTGAGACTGGAGACAGGGCCTGGAATGGTGCCGGCCGTGTAGCATTTTCCAGGAAGAGTGGCGTCGGTGACGATGAAGCTGGTGTTTCCATTCTCGCATTCCTTCAACCAGACGACTTCATGATTGGTCCCCAGCCACCTGGGCTCGCTGGCCTTGGGGTCTTTGCTGATAGTGGTGGCGGTGCCCTGGGTGAGATCTAGACAACAGATCTCGCTGGTGCGAGAGTGGGTGTCAAACGAATAGGTGGATTGTGTGTAAAGCGCGAGCTTTCCATCGGGACTCGGAACCGCCGCTGACCTTCGTGGAGCGCTCAGGAGGACCCTAGGACGGTGAATTGGTGTCAATATGAATGAGCTGGTCAAGGTTTGGCTTACTCTGGGGTGTAGTGTTTCCGGAGTGTCATGGCTTCAGTGCTTGCCGCCACAGACAGGCTGTAATCAAGATAGATGAAGTCTCTGAAGACCCCAGATCTCACAGACTGGACAACAGAGTCCCAGCGGGCAACAGACGGCAGAGAGTGAGGTCAAAGTGGTGCTCGAGGTTGGCCGTGACGCGGTAAGTCTGGCCCTATTCTCTGTTGTCCTCACTCTCAACAGAAAAAAGAAAAACGCGGGGAGAGCTAGTTAACCCCTGTTGCCACTGTTGCGTCTCACGGGGCAGCAGCCCGGGGGTCTAGACCCGCACGTGCCGGTGCTGAGCAGAGACACATGTTGAGGCCGCCGTTTGACCGCCATGGGCAAGGTATATGCCTCAGTATGTCGCTGGGACTGCGATGGGCGCGACGAGTAACGCCTGACGTAGGAATAACCAAATATTTAGACGCGCAAATCATCTAAACCCTTGATGAGTGGAAAGAATAGGGTGACCGTCCGAGTATCGGGAGAAGTAGGAACATCCTCGAAGTCACGGCCTGTCCCTCCGTACTTCCCGATGGCTGCTCTTTATTGGCAAGGGAAACAGAACATTCCAAAATACAAGGACAAAGCGTTTCATACTATACAGACTGACGAATTCCTATCACATAATATACAGGGTATCTAGCATCCGGGCCAAATCTAGAGGTATCTCATTTTGTGCTCAGCATTCCGGAGGCAACATGGTCTTGCATCAAAGGATAAAAAAAAAAAAAAAAATCTCTATAGATCATAGCATGACCAGAGCCTCCCAAGCATCTCGATCGTATCATAAACCCAAGAATCCTGCAACGCCGAGCTCAGCCCAACTTTTGACGAGAAACTTGCAACCACACCATGACACTGACATGGGGATTTAGACCACCTGGAGTCCGAACTTCCAGACCTGCTGCACAGTCAGATCTCCCTCGAGACCCTCCTCCAGCACCACCAGATCCGCGTCCATGCCCACTTCAAGTCGGCCCTTGGTCTTCTCGACGTCCTTGCCCAGCATCTTAGCCGGGGTGCTAGTCACGCATTCCAACGCTTTCGCCGTTCCGCAACCGGTCCATCGCTTGAAGTTGTTCACGCAGTCGATCAAGTCAACCACGCTGCCGGCGATACGTCCGTTGCTCTCCAGCTTGAGCAGCTTGCCTTCCTTGATGAAGCGGTCTTCTCCTCGCCACTCGTAGGCTCCGTCGGGACATCCGGCAAACTTCTGTGCATCGGTGACAAGGATTGCGCCTTCCGGGTGAGCAGAATAGGCAATTTTGAGGGTCTGCGCCGACAGGTGGATGCCATCGGCGATGAGGCCAAAATAGGGCTGCCTGTATCGCGCTGCCGCTTCTTCCAATTCCGACATAGAGGTGCTGATGCTGAGGCTGGAACGAGGGGTGGACCTTCTCGACGATTGTGGAGAGCCTTGTGGCGATCCTGATGGACTTGCCGGGCGGCTGGTCTTGGGCGTGGCCACTGGGGTTGAAGGGGCCGATTGTCCCAGAAGACCGAAAATACCAGGATCCCGATGTCCGAAAGGACGCATGGCGTTGAAAAGATGTGTGACCATGGACGCCCCCGCCGCCATGGCAGACTGCGCCTGTTCAAACGTGGCATCAGAGTGACCCACGGAAAAGACGATGCCGCGGCCGACAAATTCAGGGATTAGGCTCATCATGTGTCCCCTTTCCGGAGCAGCAGTGATGTATCTGACATTGTGAAGATTTTCTGCACCGTAGCATTCCTCGATGTCGGCCCAAGAATGCGCTTCCCGCAAGACCTCCTTGTTGTGGATTCCATTTCTCACCGGGGAGAGAAAGGGCCCTTCGATGTGTGCGCCGAGACTCTCCGAGCCTTTACTGGCGTCACGAGTCTTCCCAGAGGGACCGAGATGAGGAAGCACAGCATGATAACTCTCTGGCGTTGTGCTGATGACGGTCGGGACAAATGAGGTAAGGCCCGTCTTGATCATCTGCTGGGTAGTGTGAGTCAACTTGGAGGCGAAGTCTGGGTCGGGTGTTGAGAAGTCGAAATTGTGGGAACCATTGATCTGGACATCGATGAAGCCGGCAGACAGGATCCTGCCTCGAAGATCGACTGTTCTGTCGGGTCTCAGGTGTGAGGAATAGAAGGCCGACTGGGGACTCATGATGCGCCCTGTTTCGGACGACACCCAAAGATCCCCGGGCACCAATTCCCCATCTTTGAGAAGATAGCCGTTGGTGAATCGAACAACACGGGGATATGACGTCGACATGGCGGAGAAGGTCAAGGACAGTTCAGTGACAGGAGAGAAGATACCGTCAGACACGAGGAATAGTGAGATTAGGAACAAAGGAAGGGACGATTCTTGTAGGGAAGCCCTACAAGAATGAAGAAACGAAAAAAGCCAAAGCCAGGAGGAAGCACTATAGACATTGAAATAACTCGGTGGACGAGGGGGGCAACCAGATATTCACCCAGCGGGTCACGTCATAAGGTTTGTCCTGGGCACCATTGGGGAATATTTTTCTCTCGCTGTGACAGGCGCATCGAACATTCTACTGGATCCCACGACATCCCTGACCATCCGGGGAACGGCAGGCTGCGGAAATGAGCGCAAACAGGCCGATGTTCGTTGGTAAAGGAAATTCGAGGGCACCGGACACGGCGAGAGGAGAGGAGAGGACAAGACGGGCTGCTTCTCCTGTCATGTTGCAGCGTGTAAGCACGTTGTGGCAACGACGGCAACACAATTCGGTGGCATTTGATGGGATTTCTCTTATGAAACCGGCACACGATCCTGAGGGAGGCGTGAAAGGTGAAGGTAAGGTGAGCGTTCCAGAGGGTTCGGAGAGAGAGTTCGGAGAGGAAGCAGATGAGAAGACAGATGGATGCAACGATGACTTGTGATTGACGATGGGAATGAGACGTTGTGCGAGATGAAGATGGAGTGTGTTTGGGGTCGAAGGGCAGCGTAGCAATGGGCGCAGATGGCGCAGATGGCGCAGATTTGGTGCATGTAACCCTGAGGCGGAGAGAATACGACTCTGTTATCACGTCACGTGCGCCTCCCTTCTCTTGAACTTGATCTCACTTCACTTTCACCTCTCGAAGTACGAGATACCCAGCACTTTGTGGGGGAGAGACTCTGGTACCTGTCCAGGGTGTTGTAAACACTTCACGGCCTTTCTCTGTCGTCTGGACAGGGTCTCTCCCATGCTACGAGGTCCTGCTTGTTACTATCACTATCGGAACCACTACCACTGCTCCATCCTCCTCTACTATCTCTTCCTCCATCTTGCCGCGATCATTCCACTACCATCCCTCCTCCTCCTCCCGCCCTCCTATTCTCCCTCTTTCTGCATTGCATTTGTGTGAGGCTACAATGCTACGGCTCTATCTCTCTATCACTCTATCTCCCTCTCGAACCCGTTTCTGATCATTCAAGGTCAAGGTAACCATTCACCTTAGCGTGCCTGGTGACACGGTTGGAACGAAACTCTACCACCACCTACCTACCATTGCCCTGGTGATACTTGTTCTATATTACTTCTCTCCCTCCCTCTCCCCCCCGTCCGTCCCCATTCCTCCAGTTCTGCTGCTGAACGGTCCACGGTGCACGCGACCCATCGAACTCATAGGAGCCAGACTCCACTAGGAATCTGCCCCGAGACTCCGCAATTGATCTCCGCTCGCCACCTAAAATCGTCCCAACTTTAAATCTCGAGAGCCTCGCCGCACCACTCCAACTTTTCCCTCCCGTCTTCTCTCCCTCCCTTCAGCATTGCTTGGTTCCTTTGCAATGTCAGACATCTCCAACGAGAAGATGGCCACCACCACCGAGAAGTCTGGCGGCACCGAGACGCCGCCCGAGATCATCCACGGCGGTGAAGACACAAAGCCCGAAGGGAAGCCGTGGATGTACAAAAGATTCAAATTGGGCCCCATCACCATTCCCGCCTATGCGTCACCTCAATTCCAAATTGTCTTCGTTGCGCTTGTGTGCTTCTTGTGCCCGGGTATGTTCAACGCGGTCAACGGGTTGGGTGCCGCTGGTCAGGTCAATGCGCACGACATCAACAATGCCAGCACCGCAATCTACGCCACTTTCTCCGTGGTGGGCTTCTTTGCTGGTAGTATTGCCAACAAGATCGGTCTACGCTTGACCTTGGGATTTGGCGGTTTTGGGTACGCCCTTTACATTGCCTCAATCTTGTCCTACAACCACAACCAGAATGCGGGCTTCCTGATCTTCGCCGGTGCCTTGCTGGGTGTTTGCGCCGGTCTGCTCTGGACTGCCCAAGGGGCCGTGATGATGTCGTATCCTCCTGAGAAATCAAAGGGTCGATACATTGCCGTCTTTTGGATGATTTTCAACTTGGGTGCCGTGCTGGGCGCTCTGATTCCGCTGGGCCAGAACCTTCATTCCACCAGCAACTCGGTTCAGGACGGCACCTACATTGCCTTCATCGTACTGATGGCCGCGGGCTTCGTCCTGGCCGGGTTTCTCTGCAACCCTTTCCTTGTCCAACGCAGTGACGGTTCGCGAGTCATCCTGATGAAGAACCCCACCTGGAAGTCCGAAATCAAGGGTCTTTTCGAGGTCCTGGTGACCGATTGGTACATCATCTTCCTCTTCCCCATGTTTTTCGCCTCCAACTGGTTCTACACCTACCACTTCCAAGATGTGAATCTCCCCTACTTCAATATCCGCACCCGCGCCTTGAACAATGTGCTCTACTACCTGTGCCAAATCATTGGCGCCTGGATCTTCGGCTTCTTGCTCGACACCACCTACTTCCGCCGCACCACCCGCGCCAAGATCGCCATTGGCGCGCTCTTTGTGCTCACCTTTGTCATCTGGGGTGGTGGCTATGATTTCCAAAAACAGTACACCCGCGCAGAGACCAGCGCCGACGGCTATCACAAGCTTGACTTTACCGACCCGGGCTACGTCGGCCCTATGTTCCTGTACATGTTCTACGGAGCCTACGACTCTGTTTGGCAGACTACTTCGTATTGGTAAGCCAGAAATGTCTTTGTAGAGTTTTCTCCCGAAAAGGCTTCTTTGAAGATGGGAAATTGTCCCACTAACATTCTCTCCCACCTAACCAGGCTTATGGGTGCACTCACCAACAACGGCCGCAAACTCGCCAACTTCACCGGTTTCTACAAGGGCATCCAATCCGCCGGATCCGCAATCTCTCCGCAACTCGACGCCAACAATGTCGCCTTCATGACCCAATTTGCCGTCAACTGGGGCATGCTGGCCGGATCTCTCATCGTCGCGGCCCCCGTCGTCTGGACAAAAGTCAAGGACACGACCGACATCGATGAGGATCTTAAGTTCACCGACGAGACGAGGGAGGACGTCTTGCCTCCCAGCCCTGTCGGACCCGTCGTCGGCGCGGAGGGCATGATGGCAGAGAGGAAGGAGAAGATGTAAAGATCAGAAGACTCTTCTCATCGGAGGTAACAAAACAGGAGGGATATGAATGCGACCTTTTACTTCTCCCGTCTCCAATTGCAGAAATGCCTTGGCTGGGGGGGAGTCGAAGATGGAAGGAGGGTGGAGAAGAAAACATTTTAATATGGCCATGTTGTACAAGAGAAAGGCAGTGATGTTGTGATTGATGTACATGCAACCAGAGCAGAAGGAAGTGAAAACTCGACCGACCCCTTTAGCCGCCGCTGTCGCCATTGTCATTGTTCCCGCATAATGCTAGGTCGGAGTTGTGATCTTCGGCGAAAGGGGAGTCTGTTTTATATACACCGGAGCAAAAACCCCCTGATGATACCAGGCACTGGCAAGGCGAGAAAGATACCATGACGCCCAATGTATGTAGCATTAAACTCTTTCAACCACATTCGACCCTTGAAGAACAAGGCTGTTTCCGTTTTGATCGGCTCGAGCCTTTGCAGCAACTAATGTTGCTATCTATTATGCACATACACACATAGTTTCTCAGAGCTACGACTGGAGCCAGCCGTTTCCTTCATTGATTATTCACAAATCCTAGTAGGACCCTTGCTCGTTCTGCCCGTACGGAGCGCTTGAATGGTTCCGGTGTCTCTGCCCCATTCCTTGCAAGATTTCGGGAGTTCCGGGTCCCCAGGTCGGCGCAGCCAAGTCAAACAAACATGGGCAATTGATCAGTGACAACACCCAGTGGACGCGGCGGCGCGGGACGAAACGTGTCGGAGAGCGTTAATAGCAAGAGCCTTGTTTGGAAACATCGAGAGTACACCGAGTCCGTCACAGGGCTTCTGCCCCGAATAGTTCTTCTCATCTGCTGATACAAAGGAAGCCCGCTTCTGCTGAATCTGGCGTCTAGACAAACGCAAGGACAATGTATTTCTATAGACACACACACACACACACACATTAAAAAGGGTTGTACAGTTAGTTGCTCCGCTAGCAATGACATGCAAACGCGTACGCTTCGAAAGTATGCATAGCACAGTATAGTTCAGGCTCAGGACTCCTGCTTCTGTTTCTGCTTCTCTTTACTTCTCTTCGTGGCTAAGGCGACCTGTTGCGCCACGCCACCGGCAGATTCCCCCACAGTTTTAGTCCCAGGCCTTGTCTCTCGTCGCCATCTCTCATCGACATTCTCACCTAGAGATAGTCCCAATCCCGCGCCAGTACTCTGTGATGGGATGGATTCAGGCCCTAGCTGTTCCTCCGCCTTCACCTCCGCACCACTGATATGGCGTGGAGGCGTGTTCGTGCCCGGCGAAGAATGCGACAGCTGTTCCAATTCAGCCGGTTCCGCTGAGAAGGGCGCTTGTGGATCGGTTAGGATATGCCCGTGCTTGCTCGCAGACGCCGATGATCCATCGTCCTCCCTTTCTTTTCCTTTCTTGGGCTTGCTCAACTTCGTACCTTCCGGACTCTCCGTCAAAGGTCCGTCCACAAGCTTCGTCATCGTCGTCCCCTCGTCGGCCGAGTCGACATCGAAATCAATGTTGAACATCCGATCTAATTCACCTCGATACTTTGCTTTTCTCATCGCCTCGCGCAACCCACCTTCTCCCTCATCGTCTTCGTCTTCCTCGTCACCATCCTCACTCCCGTCGAAGAATCGATCGCTCCATCTTGCACTGTCCTGCCTCACGAGCCTCGACAGCGCGGCCTTGCTGGAGTTCATGCCATTGTAGCTGCTCTCACCTGTGGCACTAACGAGGGACACCAGCTCAGAAACGTCATCTCGAGCCTCGCGGATCTCGGATTCGGTACGCCTCGATGCACGTCTGGTGGGAGTGACTTGCTTGTCGCGATCACGCACTTTCCACGCTGTGTGTAATCTCTGCAAATCGGCATGCATGTCCGCAACCTCTGTCGGACTTGCCTCTGTGATGTTGATATTATCAGTTGTTTTCGCCCTCTTTTCATCACCTTCACCAACTCCTCTAACCTCCTCCTTCTCCTCCTCCTCAGGTAGGTCCCGCTGGCCCTTAACACTTTCTCCACATCTGTCTTCGCCAGGAATAGCTTCATCTCGTCCCATTGCCCTTTCCACGTTCTCTTCATCTTCATCCTTTGTTCTTGCCGCTGCCGTGTAGCCGAAATGTGTGTCGCACATGTGTTGTACAACCGGCCACCCGTACGCATTAGCAAACATGCGGCGGACTACCATGTTGTTGTGCGCATCAGGTTCGAGTCGCACCAAAACTTTGCGCCACGACAGGTCTTTGTGGTAGGCACGGGCGATTTTCTCTTCGATCTTCATGCCGCCGACATCTTGAACCTGAGATTGGTGCGGCGTCTGGTTTGTATTCGGTGGTGGATAAGGAGAGTGGCCCGAGACAGGCCGGCGAGGATCAGGAGGTGAAGTCAGCCCTGATGAGAGGGGAGAGGATGAGGATTGAGATCCGAGGCTTGATGTGGAGCGCTTGATTCCAAAAGTTCGCTGGCGTTTTGCTGGCGGCGGAGGAATGTCTTCTGGATGATAGACACGGTCATGGAAGATCGTCCTGGGTCGAGCGGCAGGGTCGAGGATGAAGTCCTTAGGAGGTAGCGGGGGATTGAGAAGGTCTCCGGCTGATTCAAAGAAGGTAGTTTTGGGAGGCGTTTCGACGTCTCCGGTACCGCCGTCCTGGGAACTGTTGGTGTAGAGTGATGCGCCCCGGACGGGACCCTTCCGAGCGTTACCATAGCTCTCTGCTTGGGGGATTTCTCGTGAAGCTTCGCCTGGATCTTCTTGTTCTTGCTGGTGATGCGTCGTCTGTCCCCTCCGATAGATTTTCTGCGTCTTCCTCGGACTTCTGGGTGGACTGCCTGGTGGTGACTTTCGCTGTCCTGCTTGTGGCTTGAAGAAATTCAACAGTTCTGTCCATAGATTTGGTGCCGCAGTTGACCTCACTTCTGCTGGGTTCGTCGGCCGTTCCGAAGGCGGGCTCTCCTGTTTTTCCAGGAATTGACTCTCCTCGGGCTCCGTCGCCCGCTGATAGTGATCAAAGCCTTCGCTCGTCTCTGCTTGCGGGACTTTCGATTCGGGGTCTGGGGACGATATGCCAGACTTGTGACTGGCCGCATCCTCGCCGCTATCGCTGAACAAATTGTTCCAGGTCAGCGCCTTTCTAGGGTCGCTGGCATTTTGGCCTGTCATTTCAGCCCAGCCCCATCCCACCATCGTCCCTACCAGACCGCTTTCCCGCCTGGCCTTTTCCACCCGACCCAGGCCTCGCCAGTCCAAGAACAGTAAGCAGGACGTTCTCAAGGGCACAATCCCGTCATTGACCACGTTTGAATAGACGGTGCGATTTCGGAACTTCTTCAACGCCATATGCGCTGGACCCGTCGGGAGAATCCTCAGCAACGGTTTCGCTCCAGGATCAGACTCTTTACCCAGACCGCCTTTGTTCGATTCATTCGTGAATCCAGCCACTACCGCTCCCCAACCGCTCTTCGCCAAGGTCGGTGGCCTCCAGGTCAGACCCAAGTCCTGGCCCGTCCTCCCAACCAACCCAAAGTCCAGCGCAAACTTTACATATATGGGATTCTCATTGCTTAATCCCAGGAACGGTGTAGCCATGGCGACAAAATTGATCGGTTTGATGAGGTTGAAGAATTCGGGAGAGTGTTTCTGGATATAGGCGATGGCATAGGTCTGGATTAACCCGCCTAGACTATGACTGATGAAACTAATGGAGGTGATGCGGTAGGGTAGATTGTGAGCACGGTGGTTTTCGTCTTTGATAATGCTGCTGTTTTTATGCGCCGGTAGCGTGCTACCTTGGTCTTGCGGGCTGGGTTTGTTCGACAACGACGAGGCTAGAGATTGTGAGAGCGATTTCCCCATGGACGATTTTACGGGCAGATATGGTTGGTCCGGATAGGTTATGGAGAGGACGTATTTTGCCAAACGTTTCCCGAGATACTGGATCCCTCTTTCGGTCTTCATGGTGTTGCCGGTGAACCCTCGCACGTAGATTTCTTCTTCGTCTCCATCGTCCTCGTCCTCGTCGTCCCACTTCTCCTCAGCGGTATTAGGATTGGCAGCTCCATAGGAAGGGCCACCTGTATTTGTAATGTCCGGCATGGATGTTGACCGCTGCCCCAGAGCATCTCTTCCAAATTCATTCTCTCGTGTCACACGTCGTGCCCTGACCTCGGCTCGTCTTCTTTTCGCATCTTTCTTCGCCTGTTTCGCGGCCGTATCAATGCTCTCCTTCATGAACAGCATATCCGCGCCCACATTACTGTGAATACCATGGGTGAGCAGGACCAAGTGGATCTTCTTCTGCTTGTTGTGTGTTTTCTCCGGTTTCGCGTCGGCATCCCTCTTGTCACCATGTCGGGGTCCTTGTTCCACTCGCACTTTGGGTTTCCCGCTGTCTTCTTTCTCCCATTGAGGAAACGGAGGGGTGTTCCAGAGACTGTGGGTGTCATCCACCACCAACCTGATAGCCTTAGAAAAGACGCCCTTCGGATGGTGCGGGTTGTGCGGTTTTTGAGAACGAGATTGCTGATGATCTTCGAGTCGACCGGGCGCACCTGGCCCGGATCCGATGACACCGTGGAACCCCAGCTCAACGGACTTCTCGTCACGTCCAACAAGGACCTCATAGTCAACGCTAGCTGTTTTAGAAAAAATCACCTGCGAAGCTATCTCGATGATCCAGGTAAAGCTCTCTCTCTCCCTTCCTCCTCTGTCTCCGCCCCTCACATCTATACTCTGCCTCTGGGCATCTTCCCTGACATGCTCGGGGACTGTGAGTTTCGCATTCCATTGTCCACCGGCTTTCAGCTGCGGTTCAAAGTCCGGGGCTCCTTCCGTCAGGGCAGCTTGGTGTTTCTTGTAGGGATCGAAAGTGGAGGGATAGCATGCCACGTAGAGAGTATAAGGACCATGTAAATAGGCAGCGCGAAGAGGCGCGGCGACCGTATTCTTTATTTTCACATGTAATTGTGTAGGGGGCGGGAGGATGCGGTCGAGGCTGGGTGTGTAAGTCACGGTATATCTGCCAGGTGAGAAGTTGGTTAACGGGCACAGAGAAGAGGGTGTCGACACGATACCTTACGACCTCACCAACCCTCACGGCGCCAGTCTGATGGAGCAGGAGCATGGTTCTGGGAGAGATTGCACATGCCACGATTGCAGCAACACACTGTTCAAGCCCGAGATATTTCTCATGTATTTTGAACCATTCCTGACCTTCCGTGCTAGAAGAGACATTGGGTTAGAAAAGACGGTCGAAAAGGCCTCAACTGCATGATCTTTGATGGTCGAAGCTCCAGTCAGCTTTTCCCTTGACCCGCCATCATGTCCATAACATGAAGAAGTACTCTGTACAAAGGGGGCACACCGGGCTGGGCAAGTAGCAGGGCTCCCCTTGGGCTCCCATACAATTGTGATGCCATCGGGATGACATAACTTTATGGGCCATGGGGACTGCGATTCCTCGGTGCACAATTTAGTCACGCGCTCGCGCTCGCGTGCTGCCGGAAGGGGCCAAAAATGATAATAACATTTTGCTCGGAAGGCCTAAGCTTCATCATTGGGTTATCTTACTCTCACCGAACGTGGCAGAATGTAAGTACTTATTATAGAGTAATACAGATTCTACCAAGACAACTGTCCAACAAGACAGACCCTGCGAGCCAGCCCAACGTTCCTCGTCCGAGATCCATTCGACCTTTATCCCATGTGCCAGACTTATCTCCCAGGTTGCAGAGTTTGTCCAGTGCCACGGAGAGCTCAGCGATTGCTCTCTGCGTCGTTGAGCTCGTGAACTCGGCAGTCGGTGTGGTTCTACACGACAACATAGCTAGACGTCTCAGCTTCCAGACACAGTGTACTATAGGGGAACAAGCACTGGTGCCATGGTCGATGATCGTTATTGACTGACCGAACTTGTTGGACCATCACTGCGGGATAGCTTCCGCAAGGATCATTCCTACGGCGGTGCTGACGGTGAGAAGCCATGCAGCCGCGCCGAGGAAGAGACGCATGGTGAAGGTGACGAAAATAACTATCAAGGGATGAGGTGTGAAGGTGATAACCAGATACTACTAGTGAGGCAAAGAAGTGCTGAGGAACGTAGCGGGAAACGCAGGATTGTGGGGAGTACATAACTGTTGTTTAAATGTCGACCGCGCTGGGATTAAGTTTGTTGACAAATGGACCAGACCAGAAACATCATGATTCATGTCATGATCCTCGGACCATTTTCGTGTTTCCAAGGGAAAATGCCTTTAGTTCGAAGCGAATCCACTGGATTGCCAGTCACCCATACAGCTCGTCCTGTGGATAGTGACATGTTGAGAAGGATCTTCACTGGTAATAAGTCTAGGGGCGAGGAGGAAACCCTCTATGCTCCAAGGTTTGTTCACAAGCACACTTGATGATCCCGGTGCCCCTATATCTTATGTATCCCAAAAACATATACAAATGCCGCCCGGAAACCCCGAGTCCAGCGTTGTCGTGCCCTAGAACTCAAAGTCTCGCCTTAAGCATCTCGTGAGGTGTGATCAGAGGATCGTAGGCTCGGATTCCGAGAGTGTCCTGCGGGACGGTCGACGTATGGTACCTCAACCCGGCCGTGTCGACCATGTCAGGCGTCAGGTCTTCCACCTTGGAAGCACCGATAAGCCTCATGTTCATTACCATCTCGTCTTTTAACAGCTGCATTGCTCGATCCACGCCGGGCAGTCCATAGGCCGACATTGCGAACAGGAATGGTCGGCCAATTCCTACACCCTTGGCACCTAAGCACAAAGCCTTGATAATGTCCGTTGCTCGACGAACACCTCCGTCAATAAAGATTTCGAGCTTGTCTTGCAGACCTCTCTCTCGGAGCACGGGCATGACTTCGGCAAGGACTTCGACGCCAGAACGGGCGAAATCCAACTGGCGACCGCCGTGGTTGGAAAGGACAACGCCGTGGACACCCGCCTCGATAGCCTTCAGCACGTCCTCAACGCGCTGAACACCCTTGAGGATGATGGGCATCTTGGTAATGCTCAAGAACCAGGGGATGTCTTTCCAGCTGAGACTAGGATCGATAAAGCTCGAGATAGCTCTAGCGGCACCTTGTGATCGGTCAACGTTCTCGCCGCTCTGTTTCTGGACGTTAGAGCCAGTGTCGTCAAACTTGCTGCGCATGTCCTTCTCTCGTCGGCCCAGCTGGGGAGCATCGACCGTGATGAAGAGACCTTTGCAGCCTCGTGCTTCTGCATGTTGGACTATCTTCTTCGTGATCTCCCGGTCTTTGTTGACGTACAACTGAAGCCACTGGCATTGGTCGCCTTCCCGAGCGTCGCAGATCTCGTCGAAACTGCAAGAGGCCAAGGTCGGGATCATCTGGATAACGTTGTGCTTCTTTGCTCCTCTTGTCAGGACGACCTCCCCCTCGGGATTGCCCAACTTCCCCAGTGCCGTTGCGGTGACATAGAAAGGGATGTCGCATTTTGTCCCGAGCATAGTCGTGCTGGTATCCACCTTTTCCACGTCAATCAGCACCCTGGGCCGGAACCAGATCTTGTGGAAGGCCGAGTGGTTTTCTCGCATGGTGATCTCGTCGTCGGCACCCGAGCTGTAGTATGCCCAGGCCGGCTTCTTCATCACCTGTCTTGCGACACTTTCAAAATCCATGAGATTATAGCACGCTTCGAGAGGTGGCATATTCTTAATACGCTCTTGTCTTGCCTTTTCCTCGGGAGTCTCTTCCTTTTCTTCTTGCTGGACGGTCTCCATGTTGACGGGACCCAGATGTTTCTCTGGAGGCAGATACTTGTCCAGTGTATCGGGGGGGTGGATGGGGTCAAATTCTTCAGTGGCATCTTTGCCAGCATACTTGAGAATGATCTTGGAACCGCCAGGATGCTCTAGATAGTGGTCAGCCAGCTGTAGGTGATTTTCTGAGGTGGCTATTGCAAACCCGGTAGAAACTCTGTCACATCATAGGCCTTTCCGTGGACGATAACCCAACATGACTCTTTCGAGTTGTGTTTGGCCACTTCTTCTCCGGTGAGGGTGCCTACGTCAGGACTTTCGCCTTTGTCACGATTCATCTTGGATTGGCTTCGTCCGAGAGCAGAGGTTGTCTCTCTATGTCGGGATCGGAGGCACGAGGTTCCGGAGGACGAGGCGCAGGGGAAGAGAAGAAGACGACCGCGAAAGCAAGCACGACGAGGAGGCCGAAGAGGAGTATAAATGCTGGAGCAAAGCTTTGGAATCGAAGACGGTTTCCGAGGACGAAATTCCGGGGGAGCGCGTAATGATCCGCCATCTGGCCGGCGATTGGTGCGAGATGCTATCGAAGGGGCTCTACTGGGTATGTAGAAGCCGTCCAAGCCATCAAAGCCATCCGAGGCGGGGACAAGATCGATCTCGAGTATGACGGTGTTCCCGCCGCCTCCGCCGCCTCTGACGCTGTCGGTCCCTTTTGTGTGGGAGGATGGGCCCTTGGGTGCCGTTAATGGCTTCGTGTGTGGCCGGGAATCAAAAAGTGCCGGTGCCCGCAGAGAGATCAACAAACACCATTCCACCTCCGTTGTCCACACGGCCCACGTCGCCCACGCGTTGCTGCCTTGATACTGTACCACGGAACCAGGTGGATAGTCTGCTGGGTCTGCTGGGGCTGACCGGGGCTGACCGGGGCTGCTGTGGTAATTGGTTGCGGGCTATATCGAAGTCTTTCCTCTCTCCCTGTTTGCTATTAGGGACAGCAGGCATCGACCATTGGCCCCTCGAACACAGGCCCTACGTAGGTAGGTAATTCCCCCGCAAAGTCCAACCACGCCGCTCATCGTCCCATCACAGCCATCATCATCATCATCAGCCAACATCATCGTCTGCCTTGCTCCATGTTGCTTCGATCCCCAGATTCCAATGCCACCATCGCCACCTCGACAGCATCGATCTTCACTCTCTTGGCATTTCCCTCTGGTGCCTCCTCTCGCTTCAGGACGGTTGTCGTCGGTGCAGGGGTCCCCTCCCACTGCAGCAAGAAGACATCATGCTGTACTCCTCCCACGGATGGCTTTCACTTTTGCTTGGGTACTCCGTACTCGACGATCACTTGACTGCCTACCGAGCACCCACTGGGAAATGATAGACTTGTGGTCAGGTTCAAGGAATGCAACCCTCCTTGGCCTGCGTGGGTTGTCTTAAGCTGCCCGTGCCCCCGGTTTGTGACTCTTCCCTTCACTATCGCTTCTCTCTGTTGAGCTTGTCTGTTGAGCTTGTCTGCTACCAAACATGGCCGAACCCGGTGAAAAGGAAATCGTGGCCCACGATGAATCCTCTTCGTCGCCATATGATGCCTCTGGCACAACCCGTGACATCGACCCCGAGAAACTCAACGACCCTAAGATGCAGAAATTGGCGGGCGAAATCACATATGAGGATGAGACGGATCCCGTGAACAGACAGCACAACCCGCTTGCTCAAAAGCTGCGGTCGCGACACATGCAGATGATTGCAATTGGTACGGCTGCTCATTCGCACCCCATCGACGCTTGTCCATTCTGACACACATTTCCTCAAGGTGGCTCGATCGGTGCTGGTCTTTTCGTCGGCTCCGGCAGTGCGTTGCACAAGGGCGGGCCTGGAAGTCTGCTACTCGGTTTCATCATTATTGGCTTCATGCTGCTCTGCACCATGCAGGCGCTCGGAGAATTGGCCGGTGGGTGTCGGAAAATTCATTTCAACCCCGGAGACCGTCTTGCTGAACATGTTTGATAGTACTCTACCCCGTGAATGGCGCATTTTATACCTACATTGTTCGATTCGTAGACCCATCCATCGGTTTCGCAGTCGGTTGGGTAAGTGCTCTCAAGATCTGTGACATGGTCTCCCACGCCCCGAGATATTGACTACAGTTCAGGACTACGCCATTGGCTGGCTAACCGTCTTGCCCTTTGAACTTACCGCGGCCTCGATCACCATTGAATACTGGAGAGATGATATCCACGTCAGCGTTTGGATCACCGTCTTCTTGGTTTTCCTGTGCCTGGTCCAGATCTTCGGCGTGCTTGGCTATGGCGAGGTGGAGTTTGTCCTGGCTATGATCAAAATCACCGCTTGCATAGGTTTCATCATCTTCGGTATTGTGGTTGACTGTGGCGGCGTCTCTTCCGACCATCGCGGCTATATTGGTGCTCGCTATTGGCACGATCCAGGCGCTTTTCAGAATGGGTTCAAAGGCTTCTGCACGTATGTCTTTCGCGGACTAAGTTGGATCCGAGTTCAGCTGACCTTGTAGTGTCTTTGTCACAGCAGCTTTTGCCTTTGGTGGAACAGAGCTCGTCGGATTGGCGGCCGCAGAAGCTGCTGATCCTCATCGCTCCCTTCCCAAGGCGACCCGACAAGTCTTTTGGCGTATTGCGACATTTTACGTCCTTTCGCTCTTCATTGTCGGGCTCATCGTCCCATCCGACAGCCCAGACCTTCTGGGAGCCAGCGGCGCCAATACGAAAGCCTCTCCTTTTGTGCTGGCCATCAAATATGCCGGTGTCAAAGGGTTGCCATCCGTCATGAATGCGGTCATCACTATTTCCGTTATTAGCGTCGCTAATAGCTGCACTTACGGCTCCTCACGTACCATGCAAGCCCTCGCGACGCGAGGAATGGGCCCGAAATTTTTGATGTATGTCGACAGGCAGGGGAGACCGCTCTGGTGTATCGTGATCCAACTCTTGTTCGGCTGCCTGGCGTATATTGGTGAAGCGAATGCTTCTGACACGATCTTCACCTGGTTGCTCTCCCTGTCTGGACTGAGCTTTTTCTTCCTGTGGATGAGCATCAATCTCGCACATATCCGTAAGCCCATTCCACTGGCCCGCATTGAGGACTAGCCTCGTGCTAACAAACTCTAGGATTCCGACATGGATGGTAATACTGAGAGTCTGACCCTTGTCTACGAGTGAGGAGCTAACTTTTTCGCGTCAGGTATGCCCACGGCTTCACAAAACATCAACTGCCCTACCAAGCCGCTTTCGGAATCTGGGGGTCATACATCGGATTCGGTCTAAACGCCCTCGCTATCATTGCGACGTTCTACACTTCCCTGTTTCCACTCGGTTCCAGCCCTAATGCAGAGGTGTTTTTTGAGAATTTCCTTGCTGCGCCGATTGTCATCGCTTTGTACCTAGGATGGAAGATCTACTCACGCGATCGGAAGATGTTCGTTCGCACGAGCGAAATGGATGTCACGATGGGTATCAGGCGAGGAAGTCTGGAAATTGCGGCGGAGAAAGGACGAACCGGGTGGACAAAAGCACTGAGGGTGTTCATTTAAAGGGGGACGGAGCTCGGTGGAGACTTGCGAACTACACCGGGGATTATGCCTACCCAAGCAGCACTGGAGAACCCCAAGGTTCTTTGCCAGATCTTTTATCACAAAAAAGTCGACGCGTCGAATCAATCCTCCACGTCTTCTACTAGCTAGGTGGTAGGCTTTTCGTAGACATTGTGGTGCAATCCTGAACCGTTTTGCCAGAGCATCAATGACAGCGTCCTTCCCCCGGCTCTCTATCCTCCCGCCTGTCAGTACAAAGTCCCCAGCACGCCGACATGGTCCAAATGACATTGCCCTGTCGATTTCAATAGTTTCCCTCATAGGGACGACGAGCCCACGGTCATATGTCACGTGCACTAGCAAACGTTGACCCCTGGTGCCCCTAACAAGGCTGCCTCCCCCTTTCCAGCTTCTAGTAGGACGACTTATGTCCACGGTTTTCCCGACACCACTTCACCGATGTCTCGTCTCCCAATCTTACTACGCACAAAACCTGGCCTTTTGACATTTTGCAAGGCTCGCAGCTTTCGAGTGATTGCTTGCTTGCCTTTTTTCCTCGTATTTGCTTACCAATCATACTGACGTCCGCATTTCAGGTTCCCTCCTTTGTTCGTGTGTCTGTCCCTACGGAGCAGGGGAAGGGATGTATATATACTTGAGAATCAAACGGGTTCAAACGGATTACGACGAGTGGCAAACACTAATCCTCTTACATATCCCAAAGAGTAGCTAACATTATCCCCGTGTCAGCATTCTGCCACACATAAGCTGGGGGAGTCCCCAACGAAGGGGGGTAGTGGTGGTCAAATCTACTTGTACGTGTCCGCTTAGTTTGCATCCGTTCCGCACGGTGAAAGACTGAATTGCTGGCCTTTGAAGGCTGAGAAGAGGAGGCACTTCGGACAAGTAAGTCGAAGCAGACTTTCCATCCCCGCGCGTATTCTTTCCTCTAATCTTCCAGGCTAATCTGCCATCTGCCCATAAGGGCCTCCTTAACTCAAAGTCCCAGACACGATAGCAGCGCTGTGGTATGTGTCCGGGAAATGCCCTGACTCTAGATATTGCCCGTCAGGCCATTCCTGGTTCGTCATACGCAATAGTATCCAGAGGCCTTGGTGCTTGAAAGGCTGCAGTAAGCGATGAAACCATGATTCTCGGAACGTTCCTTACGGTTTACGCGAGGAACAGTACACCGAACATGTAACATGAGATTTGCGCGAAGTGCAAAGGTTCCGTATAAGGGCCCAAGGCACCCATGAAGTTCTATCAACAAAATGCGTTTGAACACCGGTTGAACACGTCAGTTGGGCTCTCGTCGCCATTTCCCACACCTGAGTCCCTAGCCTCAGACTCTACTCTTTCGTCAATATGGACTCCACGACTACGTGGAACCCGCAAGGCGTGCACTTCGTCGGCTCCCTCCCTCTGCCGACCACTCGCGATGTCTTCAACCTCCTCGGCTCGACCATCCCACACCACATCCGGCGCATCCCAGACGGAGAACCCTCGTCGCGCGGCAACTTTGTCTTCTTCCAGCGCGAGCTCTTCCTGCCGTACCCGCAGCTCGTGAACACGAGGCACAACCCGACCGCGACCTCGGGCCAGCCCCTCCAAAATGTCGACGAGGTGACGCGGTACCTGGAGGAGCAGCTGGAGACGGGCTACGACACAGCGGCGATCGAGTCGTATAGAGTCTTTGCAGAGATGCGCGCCGCGGGCTCGATCCCAGCAGACGTTAAGTTCCAGGTCTGCATCCCGACGCCGCTGAACGCGCTGACCTCGGCCGTTGCCCAGAACTACAAGGCGTTCGTCGAGCCGTACTATACCGCCGCCTTGGTGCGCGCTCTGGTGAGAATCCAAGCTCAGATCGCGCACCAGGATCTCGCCGTGCAGATTGACTGCGCGCACGAATTCGCCGTGCTGGACGAGAGGTGGAAGCGGGTGCCCGGGATGGAAAGGAGCAAACCGTGGTGGTGCGACGTCGACGAGGACGGAGAACGTGATGGAAAGAACGACATCCGCGACCTCGTGTTCCGCGGCGTGGTCGACCGTGTAGTCTCGTTCGCCGGCGCTCACCACATCGCCGGCGACGTGGAGCTGGGCTTCCACTTCTGCTACGGCGACTCCGGACACAAGCATTTCATCGAGCCGCGGGACATGGGCACGATGGTACGCGCGGCCAAGGCGATCCTGCCCTGTCTCAACCACAAGGTGGACTACATCCACATGCCGGTACCCAAGGAGCGGGACGACGCGGCGCACTTTGCGCCGCTGAGAGAACTGCTCCCGCTGCTCCGGGCGCACGGTACGCTGCTGTATCTGGGCTTGGTCCGGGAGGGGGACGAAGAGGGCACGAAGAGGCGTCTGGAGACGGCGCGCATCATTATCGACGCCGACCCCATTGGCACAAGCACCAGCGTGAGCAGTAGTACTGCCGATGACAGCACCTCCGAGCCTGTTGTCACATGGGGCATCGCCACCGAGTGCGGCATGGGGCGGATGAAGAGCGACGATGTGCCCGGGACGTTGGAGCTCATGAAGAAGCTCGTACGTCCAATCACACGTTAAAGATTCACACAACCAAAAGAGGCAGGCAGGCAGGCGGGGGAAAGGGGCGAACGGCTTGTGCGAGGTGAATAGGGGCGGGAGGGGGGAATACACATTATATACAGCACACAATATATGTGTCGGCAGTACCGTGTCTCGGACCGGCTCTCTCGGTTGATTGATATTACATGACAGACAGAAAGATCAAGATTGAAAACCCCGAAAAAAAAAAAAAAAAATACAATCGAATAAATTTATACATACATACAGTTCTTCAAGCAAAGAAAAGGGGGCTCGGGGAAAACAAAGATTAGGTACATATCTACCAGATTTAATACAAACACATCGACCATCGACCCAGAAGACGAGAGCATCTTTGGCTCAGACCTTTTCTTTTCCCATCCATCCATCCATACACAAAAGTCCCAACGGGCAGCAGCGGCGTGACACAACGGTATCATAGTTTCTCCCTTTGAAGCCCTTTCATCACGAGAGACACGCACATCGACAGTAAAGCAAGCCCTCACTCATCAAAGTACTCCGTAAGCGGGCAGGTATCTTCGTAATATCCGCATCTCGATATCGCTTTTTAAAGGAGATCTCCTCCCTAGAAAGCCTCTTCCACAGGACAGTCGACGCTCTCGTGCCCGTCGCGCTCACACAGTGCACACCATTTCTCTGGGTCTATGACTCCCGTTGTCCGTCCGGCTAACATGCCGGCTTGTGCGCCTGTGCCTTCGATGAGTTTCGCGGGAGCCAGAGCAGCCGTGAATGTGGACGTGGCGGGAATAGGAGGGTTCGCCGCCTTCGCAATCGGAGTGTCGGGTGCTTCTGATGCAATGGGTGGAGAGGGCAGATCTTCGGTCGGCGGCGGGTTGGGGTGCATGTCGGATGGCAAAATGATGGTGTTGTTGGGCGCTTTCCGACTCATAAGGGGAGCAGGTCGATCTGGATCTCGGGCCGCTACTGCCACTGCCAGCGTCTGTTCAGCAATGTCGCCGTTCCCTTCACCATCTCGCCGGTGTCCCTCGTGCGCGACATCTCTCCCATCCTCGCCATCCGTACCAGACGGCTCCATGTCTGAAGTAATCTTCTTGCCAGGTCCAAACATGTTTCCACAGGTCAAGATATCGTGGCCGCTTTCTTCACAGATCTCGCACCATAATATTGCACTTTCAGAAGTAGAGACATCCGTTACGCCATCATCAGACCTCTCATGTTCTCTCACACCAGTGTCGTAATCGTGATGTTGTCTCACCGGTGACGCTCCTCCAGAGGAAGCATCATGCCAGGCTTCCTGGCCCGTGGTTTGGCTGTCTTGCCGTTCATGCCCACTTACACCGTTTCGTTTCACCGGCCCGAGGACTACGGTCCTCTGACTTCCCATCGTACCGGTGCTGAGATGCTTGCGATCCAATTCCTCGCTGTTTCCTCTGGAATGTCCTGTACGCATACCCGTGTGGATGCCAAATGCAGCGCCAGTCATTGGCATGGGGAACTTCGAAAGTGTGACGCTATTCCGTAAATGTCTGACTTCTTGCACAAGTTCCTCCTCATGCGCGCTTTTTTGCTGCAGGAGAAGTTCAAGGTCCCGGATTTGTTGCTGAAGGGCATCCTCTCCGCCGTCGCCAACAGGCGACGAGTCTTTCCTTTGATGTCCATTGGCAACGTTGATGCCGTTGGGTCGTTTGGGGCTGCTGGCGTTCAGATTTTGGATGATGGCCTTCAATCCCCTTATTTCATCATCCTTTGCGGTTAACTGCGCTTCGAGCTCTTGCACCTTGGAAGAGGACGAGTACCCACCACCACCATTCAACTGCTCTTCCGTCTTCATTCTCTCTTTCTCCCTCCTTAACTCGCTTCGCGACCTCTCGACTTCGCCCCTCAAGAACTCAACCTCTCCCCGTGCCTCGGCCTCCCCTCTCCGAGCATCCTCAAGCCCTTCTTCAAGCTCCTGCACAAGTTCTTCCAACTGCTTAAGTTGCTGTGCTACTGTCTCGACATCCTCACTCCGATCCTGTAAGTTTCTCACCTCCTCGAGCAGCTCGTCTACTCTCTTCTCGTAGACGCGTTCGGTCTCGGTACTCGCCATTTCCAAGGTGTCAATCGTAGAGCGAAAATCTGCGCGGTTGGCGTCGAACTCCGCCGTGAGGATTTTGATCTTTTCGTTCTTCTCGCGTAGGGCTTCCCGCAGGGAAACGACATCACGAGGGAGGTCTTCTTCACCGTCCTCTCGGGTTCTTTTGTCTGCCTGCTGGTCTTCTTCCAGTCCAGGTAGAAGTTTTTGTAGCTCGTTGAAATTGCGTTCCATCTCGGCAAAACTTGTGCCTTGGTCGTGTAATTGGCGTCTCGCATCCTCCAGTTCTTCGTTCAATTCGCGGATTTTCGTCTCGTACTTTTCCACGTTAGTCTCGGTCGTCTTTCTGCTGAAATTTGGTGTCGGTGTTGGTGTGGTTTCGGCCTCTTGTTCGGGAATTTCGTCAAAGCTTGATTCAGGGCCCAGTGAGGGGCTCGCAGATGCAGTTGAGCTGCCCTGTCTTAAACTCTGGCTGAAGTTGTTGGCACCTCGTTGCTGGCTCGGTTTGGCGTAAGGTCCGCCAGGGCCTCCTCCGTTTGTGCTCTTCGCAAGACCAATGCCGCTGGGTCGTGTCTTCGGCGTCGCTAGTGTTCTGGGTGTAGGAGTGTTGACTTTCCGCAGTGGACTCGAGGGCCGTGGAAGCGATTCCCTTCTCAGGGGTGGTTTGAGTGCCGGACTGGCTGCGCCCGACGGTCTCATGCCGCCGGGGCCCATGGATTGGCTGAAGGTGGGTTTTGCGATACCTGATGTCGCGCCAGGTGTCCTCCCACCTTGATTAAAGCTGGCAAGCCTGTTGGTGGGTGTGGGCGGTCCGGGACTTGCTCTTATACCGCTGAGTCCCAATCCTGGCCCTGCACTGCCAGCACTGCCGGGTTTCTTGACGGCCTTCTCCAAGGGCAGGAATATACCCGAGCCTGGGATTGTGGTTCTGAAATAGTATTTTCCATCCACTTCACCAGAGTTTTTGCCGCGAGGCGCATATTCGGTGGCGAGTTGTACGCCTGCAAATATTCCTTTTTTCCCTGCTACCGGGCCGATGAATTTGACGACGCCGTGCATGTCGCCGGGCACCATGACGGTGTCCCCAACGCTGACGGTCGCCATCGCGCCAAGAAGGCTGATCGGGGCAGGTGGAATCGGTCTCGAGGCAGACGTCAGAGCAGAGGGAATGATCAGGCCCGCTGATTCCTTTTGTCTCGAGTGATCGTGGGGTCGGGCGGCGCTTTAAGCCACGCTCGACGCTTCAGTGTCCATTGAATGAAGACCTGATTGAAACCCGGCGAGGTCTGCCACTCGCCGCAACTTGGAGGGGACGGACGTTCGGGTCAGGGTGACGGGGGTTTGAGAAGAAGTCTAGCAGGAGACTTGACAATCAACGTTGTCAAATGCAGGCTGCGCCAATAGCCAGCATCGGCCGTGGCTGTTTGTTCAGACTGTGGTTGCAGCGGGCGCAGAGAAAGAGGATGATAGGGAAAAGGGAGGCAGGCCGAGTGTTGACGCCGCTGCTGCGACGGGCGACGGCCGGTTGCACGGGATCGAGACCTGCAGATAAACAAAAGACGTAGCAGGAGGCACAGGAGGGACTAAGCATAGTTTTGGGCCGTGCCGAATCGAAGGTGAAGGAGAAGTTGAGGCATTCTCACAATACTAATGGTGAATGACCCTGGAGACCCGAACATGGGCTTGGATGGGCTACTGAGTAACTGGCGAAGAAATTGTCTGATTTGCTTAGCGAATCTCGAGCTAAATTCAACCCTCCAGTCAGCTCCATCACCGCCTCGCTGGGCCGCTGACGGGGGCTCACCAGGGCTTTAGCTTTTGGCGACAGGGATACAGGTGACTGCCGGGGGGCTCTAGGCTAGTAACTCAGATGGCGGATGGCGGATGGCGGATGGCTGATGCTCGTTGCGGTGCCCAACGTCCTCGCCTATTATGCCCACACCTCCCACCGCCCACCATCACCATCACCACCACCATCACCACCACCACCTCCTCCTCTTCTCCCCGGCTGCTGTCCCTCTCCATATCTGTTGGCACCGAAATTGCAGGAAGTCTTCAAGGGAACTCAGGTTCGCTAAATTCATACGAATGCTTCAGCCTTGTCGCATGCAAATGCAGCTCATCTGGCGCCACCTAAAGCCAATTTCCACTCTTTTTTTCCATTTCTACATAAGTATACGCTGAAATACGGAGGGTCCTAGAGAATGCCCTAAAACCCCTTTTCAGTCGCAATGCATGGCACTCCATAGCGGAGCGCGCACGCAATAAAACAAGCAAAAAATATGATTGATACTTTTTGTCGATTCCTCAAAGATGCCTCCTCCGTCTCCTTGACGGCGCTTTTGGATCAACTACAATTGCAACCGGAATGTCTTCACCTCAAACGCCCGCAACTCAATGGGAATGCTGATCTTGTTCTTTCCCGACATCTCCAGTTGCTTACCATCATCCTCTAGCACGTTGGTCTCGTACACCTTCTTCACCGGCAAAGTGGTCTCAATCACTCCTCGACTCTTGCCACCCACACTCTCATAAATTCTCAGTATCACGCTCTGTCCTTTTCGCTGGGTGAGTTCCCCTCGGGAGACGTCTTCGTCGTCTTCTCCACGCTTGATGCAGTCCAGGATCAGTGATGGGGCTCCCGTGACGCTCACGGCATTGAACAGCTCTTTTGGAGGCTTGTCGTCAACCACCGACACAAGGGTCATTGGATGGTTGAAGTTGTAGGCCGCTCGGACGGTATCGCTGCTCAGCCCTCCTTGGTGAGGCATAATGGCCCATTTGATGTGGTGACGGCCCATGTCGGCGTGTGCATCGGGTGCTTTAGGCGCCCGCAAGAGCGATAATCGCATGAGATTGCCGCATGTCGCAAATCCATATTTGGAGTCATTTAGGATCGACACCCCATAATTGGCCTCGGAGAGATCAGCAAATTTATGGCAGCACACCTCGAATTTGGCCATATCCCAGCTATAACCGTCAGCACGTGGACGACGGTTTATAAATCAAACGTAGCAGAATCCTTACCTTGTGTTGTAATGTGTCGGGCGGCGAATGATTCCATACTGCGTCTCATAGTTTGCCTCCGTGTTGACAACGTCCACGGGAAACTCCACTTTCAAAAACTTCATGTTCTCATGCCATTCGACTTCGGCCTCCACCAATACGGACCCAGTCTGGGTCTGGCTGTCGCAGGCATCGAGACTGATCGTTGTCTTGACCCAGCTGTCCTTGCTCACCTGCGTCTTGGTGGCCACGCTCACCCTGTATGGCCCGTGTTCGACGATCTCAGATGCATCCGATTTGAGCTCTTTCCTGGAGTCGAGGTGGAAGACCTCCACATCCCACGCCTGCCAGTACAAAGGCTTATCGTCAAACATCACCAGCTGGTTGCCTTTTCCGCCCTTGGCAATCACTTCTGTATTTGCTCTCAAGTCAATCAGTGATGTGATGCAACCTGCCTCCACTTCCACCTGGAATATGCTGTTCTTCAGGACAAAGACACCTTTCCGCACCTCCTCAATGGACGCTGTCGATTGAATCGCCGAAGCGGCATGCGTCTTACATACGCCCGGTCCGCCGGAGATGTATGTGTACTTCTGCTCTTGCGACTTGGCGTTGGCATGGGGGATCTTGACCAATTCTGAACGTCTCCAGGGAGTGGTGTTGACCGCTGCAAGCTCAGCATTAGCTTTGAGGTGCTGGGACAGCCCCAGGACCGTGAGAGCCTCCTCTATCACCTTCTCTCCCAGTTTCGCATTGTGAGCGTAAAGTTCATCCGAGTCATCATAGCACATCTCAATGGAGCTGCCAGGCAAGCAGTCATGGAACTGGCAGAGAAGCACATTCTCCCACATCTCATCAATCTCCTTCTTGGGATACTTGTAGCTCTTGCTCTTCAGGCTTGCCAAAGTTGCCAAATATTCGACATCATGTAACATGACCTCCTGCTTCCGATTATGGAGCTTGTTATTGGCTTGCGTTGTGTAGGTGCCTCGATGCAGTTCAAAGTAGAGTTCACCATACCAAGTGACAAGCTCGGTGCCCTCGGCCACCTTCTTCTCCAGATTGGCATAAAAGTCATCCACGGAATTCCCCATGTGTACGCGAGGGAGTAATCCAACCGTGTCGCTCAGACCACGGCATCTCCTCAACTTCTCCAGCATTGCCCAAGTGGGTCCACCTCCTCCGTCTCCTTTGCCAAAAACGAGCAGAGATGTGTTGTCCTGATCCATGCTCTTATGTTGGGTGACGCTCCTTCTGACGTCTCCGAAATGAGCATCTGCCGTATACGTCTCGCTGGGGGCCATGTGACAGATGACCTGACTCCCATCCAGACTTACCCAGTTGAATGTGGTGTGCGGGAAGTTGTTGATGTTGTTCCAACTGAGCTTCTGGGTGAAGAACCGTGTCATTCCCGCAAGTCGGCATATCTGCGGGAGCTGACCTGAATAACCGAACGTGTCGGGGAGCCAGAATGTCTGACATCTTTCGCCGAAATTGCTCTCGAAGAACCGTTGGCCGTAAAGGAATTGCCTAACCAAGGATTCGCCACTAGGCATATTTGTATCGTGCTCAACCCAGCTGCCGCCGATCGGATGGAATCTTCCTTCCTTGACCTTGGCTTTGACCCTGTCGAAGACATAGGGGTAGTACATTTTCAGCCACTTATATTGCTGTGCTTGACTGCACGCGAAGCGGTGTTCTGGGTATCGATCCATCAAGTCACACTGATTCGACCAGCTTCGGGCAACTTTCCGCTTCGTCTCAGCCCATGGCCACAGCCAGCACGTATCAATGTGGCAGTGTCCAATTCCGTATACGATGCTCTTCTCGTCTGAGCTATAGACCTTGGCTGAATCGACATTCTTGCCGATATACTTTTGAGCGATCTTGCGGCCCTCTTCGATTGAGGCAGCCGATCCGTTACCAGCAATGAAGACATCCATGATTCGATTGCAGAGCTGCAAGGCTTCATGCTTTTCCCAGCTGTCGCCGGGAAATTCCCTAGCAGCATCCCCGATGATCCAAAAGTCAACGTACAGCTGGCGAGCGGCAAGATTGACATCGACAATCTGCGCCTTCCAAAGGTTGTAATACTTGTTTGGATCTGGGGGTTGAATGCTGTCACCTCCTGGTGCGTTGCCAAACATCCCATTGCACGCCATCTCTATGTAGAAGATGTGCTCTTTGCCGTCCCGCCAACTTATCGGCAGAATCCACTCAACTCGGTCTCCCCCAGTAAGGCCTTGCAGAGGGTTTCCATCCTCCGTCCACACCATGCCTTCATTGTTTGCGTCCCAATGGAACTCTAGGTGTTCCCCGTCTCGCATGTTTTTAGGCACAGTCAGTTGGATCCTGAACCAATGGGTAGCCCAAGCTGGCCCGAAGGATTCACCGCGATGTGTTCGTCGAAAGGCATGAGAAGTGGCATCGTGGAAAGTCGGTCTCGTGAGATTTGGCGGAGAGTAGACAGAGAGCTTCACATGGTCTTCGTCGTCGCAGACATTGTGATAGAGCTTCGCAAGCAGGTTCTCCTTTTCGTACTGGCCACCAGATGTGAATTGCCGCAAGCGGTCGGTATAAATGCTCTGAATCTTTTGTCCAACGGGATGGGTGCTGAGTCGAGGGTAGGACGAGGTAGCGCGAGAAGACGTCTCGCCGCCCATTGTTGAAAACTCGAACAATGAATGGAATGGGTGTAGAGGGTAGAACACTGCAGAGCTGTGAGGGTTTGTCTGGAGCAAGTAGATCAAACGAGAGACGTTGGCTCGGAATTCAAACAGTAGAGGTTCGATCCTACAACCACGCAGTGTCGGTGACAACTGCAGCAGCTGATCGAGTTGACGGTGCGGGGTAGCTGCGGCTCCTGGCTCGTCAATTCGGCGGTCAGCAGCTGCATTGTTGGAGAAACAGAAAGACGAGGCTGAACGAGGCTGAGGAGGAACCGTTGGCAGTTTATAAGCCCTGGGCATTGCTGCTCCCTCTATGTATCCCTATCCAGGCTAAACTACTGGCAGTTTCTAGCAAAATGAACGTCTTCTACGCGGTAGGACCAATTACCACCCTCAAATCCACGAGTTTTCGTCGTCCACTGTAGATTGATTCATGGGATTCACCGACCTCTTCATCTCAGCTGGGCCTACGATGATAATACTCTCCTTCAACTTTCGCTGTCTCTTCTGCGATGACTTCCGTCTCAATTTGCGTTTTGCCCCCTCAAGAACCCCGACAATTTGACTTTGACTGTTCTGGTACGCTGTAACCAGACTGACAGACTTCCCTCTTTGACGCGTCCGCTGAGCCTGCTGCGCCTCTTTCTGCTGCTTCTTCTGCAATTTGTTGGAGAAGACCGCAGCACCGTACACTTGATAAGGGGTTGCAGGGATGGCTAACTGTCTTTCTCGTGGTGGAATGTCCTGCCCAAGGCTCTCCTTGTTTAACTGGGCGCCCTTCCGCGGTAGAGATCTGAGTAAGTGGCTAACGCTTTGTTGAACGCTGGATCTCGCGCTGCTATTGCCTAGCGTCTTCCGCTCAGCACCGTCTCTTTTCATACCTGGATACTTGGCTTCGGCATGAGAAATCACCCTCTCCCGTTCCTGTTCTGTTGAACTCCTTCTAAGTCGGAAGCTCTTGCGAGGCTGTAGTTCAACCGGTGTGGACTCCGGACTTTGGTTGACGAACCCGTCCTCTAACCAATTTTGTGACCAACCCTTGCCAGAGCTGTGCTGCTGTGATTGTTCTCCAATGGGCTCATGATGTCGAGCAGGGTCGAATTCGGCGGGCTTTTCCCAGTCGTCATACGGCGGAGCCGGAAGGCTCGAACTACTCAAACCTAATGGAGGTGGGAGGAGATCGGAACCTTCGGTATCAGAGATCGTCCCCGACATTGCGTCTGGCAAGGGTGGAGTTTGAGAGAGGGATATCGATTGTCCAACGGACGAGACTTGCGGTGAGGGTGGAGCCAATTGATCATATGCTGCTTGTCGATGTACCTCGGCCGAAGACATTGAAAGCGGCGAAACCAATTCATTCCTGCGCTGTTGGAGCTGACGGGAGAACTCGGTAAACGAAGGAGCCGTCTTCTTGCTTGAGACTCCATTGGTATATGCAGCCGCCGATCTGAGTGATGAAATCGACGCAGCCTCTCGCGGCGCAACCTTCACTGGTGGCAAAGGGCTTTGGCTCAAGCTCAGGCGCCTGATGAGAAGGGGTGCAACAGTATCTCGATAAGCTTGCGGGTGATGCAGTATTGGCAAAGGCGGGATATCATCCAACTCACGATAGCCGCTGTACATGCGAATGATGTTGGTGATTGTAGTATCAGTGCTATAGACGCTTGACGACCTCCTCTTCCCTTCAAATGGTTCAAGTGGCAGTGGTTTATCCCGATCGGAGGGTGTCGACCTCCCGGACGCGTGATTTGAGCCAGGATGGAGAGTATTTGGTGGAGGAGAGACTGACAACTCTAGACCCTGCTTCTGGAGTTCTAGAAGTGCTTTCGATGGGGGCGGAGAGGTCAGCCGTATTCGATGTGAAGATCCTGGACGCGAGCTCATTCTGGTTAGAGATCAGACAGCCCGGCTGAACATCGTTCTGTGAGATCTGCTTCAGAACCCACGGAATCCCAATCGACACCATGATTGAAGATTCACAAGCTGCGACGCAGCCGACACCCCCCAATACAAGACAAAGGCCTCCGTTTTCAGCTGCAACGTGCATGTTGACTGTGCTCAATGGACGCTCCATTGTTCACGATGCGGTCGCCGACAGTGCATGAACACCAAGCCGGTAACGGCTGCGACAACTTTTGAGTGAACAAGTATTTCTAGAGTCGATCGGAGTGAGGAGTTGCCCACATTCCTCGGAGTGCTAGCACCAGCACGAGGGTCGAAACATGACACTGGAATTTGCAGCCATGGTGGCTCAAAGGTTCGCAGCTTTGACCAAGTCTTCTTTTGTCAACTCATCGCCTGGTTTCCTAATATCACCCAAGCGACCAATTTTCCGCAATCGAACAATCATATCTTCGTCTCCAAAGTGAGAATTGTGCTCGAACGTGGGCTCTTGGTCATAGGCGTAACGAGCTGCGTCGACGAGAATCCTGGCAGTCATTCCGAAGACTCGGTACCGGGAATACTTGTCTAGGTGGCTTGCCGCGACCTTTTGCCCTTCGCTTCTCTTCGGCTTCGAGACAATCTGGTTGGTGACGGGAACGAAGAAATTATGCATGCGCCATCGACTTTGATGCCAATCTGTCCAGCTTCCCTTGTACCAATCACTTGGTTTACCGGGTAGATTGGGCTGACCTGGCAAATCTTCCATGTACAAGAAGTTTCTGAAGGGTGCCGAAAATACCGCCGCAACCTCCCTCGCGTCCAACCTTGGGAGTAATTTTTCCCCCACATTGGCATCTTGCCCCGTCTCTGGATCATATGAATGTAGAAATGCGACACACGGAACAACGGTGAGCTCAGTCTTGGCTAAATTCGTGGGCATTGTGCACAGATGCTCGACTCTGAAAGGTGGTGGTAGAGCCGATGCACGCCTAGGAAGGCCTATCTCTTCCGAAGCCTCACGCCTTGCACACTCAAAGGCAGTCTCACCCTCTTCCGCTTTGCCGCCTGGCAAGGCAGCTTGACCGGAATATGAACTCAAACTGCTTGCTCGCATGGTGATGACTACTCTCAACTCTCCATATGGGTCCGCAAAAAGTAGGATCAGAACAGCCGCCTTTCGCGAGAGCGGCATTGTCGGCCATACTGTATCGGGAGCTTTGTAAGATCTCAACCGATCAATAGCTTTCTAGATCCGACAATCAGCGTAAGCAAATGGTGAATCGGGATTCTTTGGTACATACCGCCGAGATTGGCGACAGACGCGGCATATTGACCGAGGGCTTCTGTGACACAACCCTTCTGCAAAGTACAAGATACGGAGGCCTGCTAACGCTTGATATTCGTCTGGAGAGCATTGGACAATTCCAAAGAGGATGCGAGGTGTTGATATGTGATCGGAAAGAGGACGAGAAGTGGCAGACACCGAGGCAGATAACCGAGGCACTGTCCTGTTTGGGGGCCTCGCCTGCAACTTCCCCGGCTCGCCATCCCCAATAATGTGTCTCCAATAAAGCCCGTGGTCGCTGGCGCTGTTGAAGAGGATGACGCCGATAGCCATGTGTGCCAGCAATGTGTGCCCGAATATCCAAAAACACTTGTTTACTGCTCTCAATCATCCTGACTTTTGCGCACACCGCCAAAAGTAATCTTCTGGCGCTTGGTCGATCTCCCGTCTGTGTCTTCATCGTTTGTGGCCGCGCTCTTTTTCTTCTTCTTGTTGCCGGTCTTTTCTGCAGTAAAACTCCCAGTCGGCGTTGCTGCGTGGTTGGGGGTGCTTGTAGCGCTGCTCGGGGAATCCGAATCTCTCATATATGATACTGAGCTCTTAGAGAACACACGGTCTGTGTCGTTGACAGGCGCTTTTCGGCGCCCTGCGCCTACACCGCCGCCAACTGCGCTCCCTGAGACTGTCCCGCCCACCGAACTTGCTGCTGCCGACACTGCAGATGCCTTGATGTAGTTGTCGAATCCTTTGACTATGTTCCCTGCGACCGCCGTTTCTTCGAGGTATGTCGTTTCTTGCCGGAAGATCTGATCCTCTATGGCAGCCTGAGCCATTAGCTTCGCCCTACATCATTGCCAAGTTCATAGACTCACCAGATTCCGATCAAGAAGCCGCTTCTTCTGTAGAGTGTCTCGTAGATCGCGCCTCAATTTCTCGTAGTCTGTTCCGTTGTAAGAACCAAAAGACGGTATCAGGAAAGGAAGAGTTGTGAGACGCGGGTTTTCTGGCCAGACTTACAAGGTAATCCCGGCCGATCACTGCTTGCCGGAAGCTTTGGCGCAGAACTTGAGCCGGGCGGAATGTTCTCAGCCATTTTGAGCGAGATGCCCGTCAAGATCGGTGTCGTGGGTTGTTTGGAAGTGGTGAGAGGGGTGATCTGGAAATTGCTGCAGATGAAGAAGACGCTGCGCGCTAACTGGGGAAGTAACCGCGTCTCTTCCACGACGGAATTCGGAGCATTCGTATCACATTCTCATTCACTGACACCACCACAACCACCACCACCACCACTCACTCCTAGTATTTCTGCCCTAGCGTTTCTGTTCGCACCTACAAGTGACGATTTAGGCAAAATGGACCACAGCGGTATGGGTCACGGAGGAATGGATGATGGCCAATGTTCCATGAATGTGAGTCTTAAAACATGACCTCGTCTTAGGACATCGCACTGATGAATACAGATGCTCTTCAATTGGCAAGTGAAAGGCCTCTGTATCGTCTTCGAGTCGTGGAGAGTCACAGGCCCTATGTCGCTTCTCCTCTCTCTTGCCGCTATTGCCCTCCTTACAGCTGGCTACGAATGTGTTCGGGAAATAAGCAGGAGATATGACGAGAGATTCAATGCCAGAATGAATGCATTCAACACAAGTACGTTCCCCTTGCCGGACGTTGCTATGCGCCGTCACTGAGACTATCAAGGCCTTCCGGCGGAATCAAGCTCACTGCTTGCAGGATCGGAGTCGAGGGAAGGAGCAGGACGGCAAGGAACGATTGTCAGAGCTGGTCTATATGCCTTGCAGGTCTTCTATAGTTTCTTCATCATGTATGACCCCCTTCCTGTTCGCATCAACTCCGAGCTAATCATCTGGAGGCTACTGTTCATGACCTACAACGGCTTTGTGATGGGGGCGGTGGCAGTTGGCGCATTCATCGGATATGTGGCTTTCAGCAATAAAACTTCGCCCACCAAAGCTGCAGCGTGTCATTGAGGTCTACATGCTTGAAGCCGTATCTCATTCGACATCTTCCTCGAGATCATCGCCGAATCCGAAGCTAAACCCTTGCCGCTCTCCATCAGCTTCATCCTGGCCAGCGACAACCTCTTCCCATTTCCGCTTGCGGGAATCCTCGACAGATGCCGCCAGGTTCGGATCAGCCCCCTTTAAGCGATCCATGAAGAGAGCATAGGGGTCTGTTATATCGTCTCTGAATCCAGAAACTTGGTCTGCCTTGTCTCTGAGAAAGCGAATCGCTGATCGGACATGCGCTCTGGGTACGAAGTTTTGAGTAATGGCAATTGCTGGCTCGAGGTTTACTACCAAGTGCCACCAGCCCGAGGGGACATGTAGGACTTCGCCTTCTCGACAGATCCCCTCAATACAACCAGTTGTCCTCCGAGCTTCAGCATGGTAGGAGAGCAGCCACTCGGCAATGCTCAAGGGGGAAGTGACCTCGCTTTGGTCTTCGGACATGTAGACTCCTGGAGGAAGGATAGAGCTTGGAAACATGATCCAATATTTCGAACCTCGGACGATGGCATTCCAGGCACTAGTAGCATTCGGGTCTTTATGAAACGTGCTTCCGCTTCTTTCGGGCCCAATAATCAGCCAACGTCGATCTGGTCTCTGGTCCTTGAGGAGGTTGAAAAAATCTTCTTGAAATGCCCTCGGTATATCGTAAGCGTTTTGCAACCCCATCTTTTCGACAAAAGCCCGATCAAACAGATACAACGGCGATTCATCCTTAGTGCTGTCCATGTACTTGATGTATGTCCTGAGCGGCCAATCAACCGCTTCGCAACGAAAGGAAACATCCCCATATATTGCTAGTAAATGCTGGAGATCCCACATCCTGAAGGCCTGCCACTTCTTCACGGGTGCTGTCAGAATGAATGGCTTGCCAACCCATGACATGTTGAATTCTTCAGGCGAGATGTCGTCCAACCGTGGAATCTCATTCTGGGGGGGGATGCCTGAAACATACGGAGTCAAGGGTATGCGGGAGCAGAGAAACGGTCGATGTAGTGAATCGGAAAACAAGCACCTGCAATCCACTTTCGCCAATTCCGCTGATGGGAGGCGCATGAGAGATGCTCGCCAACTTCCCCGCCATTCGAAGTCTTCGTCCGTCTCATTAACTGCAATATCTCTCCATAGCTGGTCGTATGTGGAGTAGGCATACAGTCCCCGGCATGTCGCACCTAGGTTGGCAAGACTGTGTCGGTCAAGGAATTCCAGGATCACCGGCAGTAGGCCATCTGGCAAATGGCCGAAGCAGCCCATAGAGGTTTGGGCATCGTGGTGAGATGTGAGGGCATTTCCCGAAGGTCTCACTCCCAGAGGATGCTGATCGGCTTCATTGTCCCATGAAGTGTCTGTCTTCACCGCATTATTGTCCTTGGTGCGACGAGCACCATCGATATAGCCTGGACTCTCGGCAAGAGTTCGCCTTGTCCGCAGAATAGTGGTTGAGCTCATCCGTTTGAAATTTGACCACAAGGACTGCAAGACAAAAAGGGTTCTCCACTGTTGGCAGGAAAACGCCAAGGAGTGCGGTAAAATAAGCGTGTGGCGAGCTCGCGAGATACCAAGCGGGCCGTTGCCTGTCAATGAGGCTGTGTCTACCGAGTATGTAACGATGGAGTAGTCCTCGTGATAACAATCTATGCTTACAATCACTTATTCTCTCGTTTACAGCGCTCTTATCAAGGGCAACGAGTTAATCAGGTATTAACTATGCTATTTAAGCTAGAAACTCTACAACGAGATTCTCGTCGCGATAATTATTGATCTTAGATACTAGTTTATATATAAGATCTAGCTTTTTTATGAATCTATCTATCGTTAACGACGAGGTCTATATACTACACTCTTTGAGAAGAGGTTCGTAGACCTCATCCCTATGCGCAATTGACAAGTCCTCTATAAAAGCGAGTATATTCTGCTTCGCTGTAGTCTAAACCGCTCTAGGATAGCTTTCCACCACTGCGCCTAGTGGTAAGCTAAGCACTGCCACCTCGTCTCGACGTCTTTGCTGGGTTACGAAGGAGACGTTGTTCAGTGGTGCTATCTCGATTGGACCTATTCCGGTAGCGATCTGGGTGGAAACGGGGGCGCGAACTTCGCGAGGACGGCGAGGATGTGAACCGCCTGAAGGCATAACGTTTGCGAAGTTCTATGTAGAGCCAATGACAGTGAGTCTGTTGATGCTACTAACAGGTTTCGGAACACCGTGGTTGTTATTTGACGACGTGATCAACCTACCATTGATTTTACGCTGGGCACGGATCTCTTCCCGTAAAGCTCGCGTATGGACTCGGCAAAACTGCTAATTTTTTTTGGATTTTTGATCGTGACGACAAGGCAGCAGCTGAGGTGCCGATAACTTGGAAGGCATATGTTGGAGGGCGGCAGTCTGCTTGTGATTCCGCTGAAAACGGAACTGATTGGAATGACTTGTCTGCCTATCCTATCTGGGGCATTCAAGCGAGACGTGGTGTTGAGTTTGTTGGTTTGCCTCAACTAACGTTTAGGAACGATAGTCATGGCTTAATAATCTCCAACACCGCGACAAGGTCAACTCAACATCACAGGAGGCCCGGATTTGGCCCAACTTTCGGGACCAACCGAACTTCAACTTTGCTGGTTTATTTTTTCAAAGGGGCCCAACGCGTTCGCAATTAATCAAAATCATCTCCTGCTGCCCATGTAATTCATGGACATCGCCTTTGAGCGACTGCTACAGGGCGAAACATTCAACCCGAGGTTGAATGTTTTGACTGGTCTGTTACAGCCGATGCGCTGGCATTGACCATTGGCGGGCTTTGGAGTGTTCTCAGACTTGTGCCTGATGTGCTTCCCAGGAGCGTCTTTCCTAGCGTAAAAACTCGTGGCCTTCCGACACTTCGGATTGCTGCAAGTCCAGATCTTCAAGGTGGAGTTAAACAACCATTGAGCAACGGGAACCGCAGTAAGGCATCTCGCAAATGCCACCTGCCGGCTTCGGCCTCTGGAGCTTGGCCAGTCTCTTCTGCTCGAACCTTGCCGGTCTTTCCTTCCCATGGAGATAGGCGTACTTTCAGCAGGCTTTGCAGACATAAGGCGTATGTGGCAGCCCTTTTTTTGCGCCGTTGCACCACCATCTAGTATCTCGCCTCTGGCAATTCTTGTTGGAGCACTTCGTCGGCTTAGGAGCACCTAGGCCTTGTATCAGCTGAGATGCCCAGTTCAACCCTATAAAGTTCTTCGCTGGCAAGTCTCTAGGGTCGCCGCGGCTATTATTTCGATGCGTCGTTGCGTCAAATGCGAGCCAGGTCGATTCTCCCAAGTCGTGAGAAGAATGGTGTGGACAGCCTTTCCGAGCATGAAGTATGGCTTTGGCGTCGATGATCTATTAAAGACAGCCAGCACGCGACGGTGGATGTCAGCACCCTCCTTGCTATCATCTTCTCAAGAGCTCCGGGGCTCTGCCGACAATATGCAAGCGGCCGCCATCTGCTAGCGAGCCAGACGATATGTAAGGTCATCCTTGCCTATCGCCGACCCTACGTAGCCCTCCATCTCGTCGTCGTTGACGATGGCGGGCCCTGTGACAGCATCAAGGCAAAGCCTCAAAGAGGGACTCCTTTCCACTGACGGGGCAGAAGCAAAAGCTCCACTTCTGCCAGCGGAACCCCCAGCACCAACTGGACAGCCTCTGGGGCAGCTTTGGCCAGCATTGGCAGCACCATATCCAGGTCAATCTGGCTGAGAAATTGCCAGCAAGACGCCATCAATGGTTTGGCATCCCTGTCGTACGTTGACAGAACCTTCCAAGGTATCACTTCAGAGCGTCTTTTGAAGCCATCAATAATGTACCTCGGACGCCCCAGATAGCATGCCTTTTGTCGGCTCTTCTCTTCAACTGACAAGGCTGCCAGCTTAAGGTCCATAGGACACTTTGCCAGCCAACGCTCGAGAGCCGTGGCGCTGCGTTGATGTGGGGGGAAATTGTCACTGTCATCAACGTCCCCAGCCACGTCGTCGTCCTCATTATCGAGGACAGCGGCTTCTAGCCTCCGAGGCTTCACAGGGTCGGCTTCTTCCTCTTGCTCAATGGACTCAGGCTCGTCTCGTCTTCCTAAGACTGGCACCTATCATCCTCCTCCTCCTCCTCATCATCATCTGATCCGTCCAAAGCGATGGAGTCCTTTGAAGCAGCGCCCGACTTGCTTCGCTTCATGACAGCAGTATCGGAGGATACAGAGGACTTCAGCTTATCTCTCTAGACTTGCCAATGTCCTTGTCGTTCTCCGCCTCCTCGTCATCGGAGTCGATCACCACACGCCTTACCCTGTCATGAGATTTGGAAGTGGTGGCCTCCTCTGCAGCAGTGGTCGGCCCGCTTCGCTTGGTGAGAGGCGTGCTGGAGGACTTGGTGGGCATCGAGGGGAAAGTTGGAGTCACGATCATTGAGAGCAGATCGGCCAGAGGTGGAGAGAGTCAATTTCGGGGCCATGATGATCAAAAGTGGTACTGAAAGTGATTATGACAATTGAAAACACTCTGTGTTTAGAAGTCTAACAAATCGCTTTTGTTTGCGCATTGTGCGATCTATGGAGAGAGGAAGGGAAGGAATTGAGTTCAGTTTCTGAGAAGACACCACACACACTGGCCGGCCTGGGCACGCCTCCTCCTGCCCTCCGCGGCCCGCAGTCTGATGCATTGCGTCCAGCCGAGCGCTCAGCCAGCTCAACGTCCTCACTCTCTTCCAATGGAAGAGTTCGGATCCAGGCACCGATGGGCCCATAATCTCTACGATCCAATGGGAATCTGAAGCATCGGATCATACCCCCGATGTTGTTGTGCTCTCTTCTCCTCGGTTCACTGTGTGTTGAGGTGTGCGTTCACTTGATTAGGGCTCGGAAATCTATCCCTCGTACCTGAGGGCCATCCCAACCACTGCAATTGGGACAATATGCGGTTCATTTGAAAGACACGGTCTTGCTCGACAACGGTACCACCAATATCGACTATTTACGCCAGAGCCTTGTCTACTATGAAGCAGAATGATACGTGTTTACTTCTCAGAAAGTGAAGTGAGTTGAACGTCGAATTGGTAACCAGAGACCCACAGCGACGGGGTCAAGGCCCCAGTGGGTATGATTCCCATTGGCTTTCGCTAATCTACAGTTCCGGAGCTAGCCACACCCGGGAACTCACCCGCGTACATACTCGGTACTAGGTCCCTAGTACTAGGTTTGCATCCACTTACTCTTCCCAAGACTTGGTATGGAAAGAGGTATTGTACGGGGTATCATGGGGTCTAATATCTACAGGTACCTAGGTAGGTAGTGTCAGGCGGCACTGTTCGCACGTGTAGATCCAAGACCGTGGGAAGGTATTTTGGTAAAAAAAAAAAAAATTGCTCCTCATTCTTAGATATTCCTCTTTCTTTCCCGTAGACACATTTTAAAAAATGTCGAACCGTCAGCTTGCGTCCGTGAATCCCACCTTCACTGTAAGTGCTTCTTTGCAGCGAAGCCCACTTCCGATCGCACTCAACACTACAAAGTCCCCTGAGCAGTGCAAAGTTAGGCCCAGTTTTCATTTCCCGTCATGGCCAGAAACATATATTGAATGCTTGAGATTGCCCCCTCAGCTACATGGCCTCGAGAATTGAAGAAATGCATGGCCTCGCGCATTGAACAATCGACTGTGTCCATCTCTCTAAGCCTTTCTCTTTTCACCTCATTTGTTTTGCTTACATTTCAACTGGATACAGATTATATATACGGTCTGATAATCCTGCTGTGGCCGCTGCTGCTGCCCGTGGGCCCTTCCGCCGCCGAAGCTGAAAAGCCGAGAAGAAAAAGAAAAAGAAAAAAACATAAAAAATCAAGAGAGAAAAGAAAATTTACGGGGTGGGTAGCATACAATACCTCTATAGTCCTGGCGGTGCGCGATCAATCGGGCAATATGTTTGGGACATTCTTTGAGTGCAAGTCGCTAACATATCAATAGGCCAAGCTCGCCCAAAAGGCAGAGGGTGAGAAATTCCACGTTCATCGGATTCGATATGCTAACATTTCTCTTAGAGAAGAAAGCCATATGCCCGTGGCAATGCATACGATGGACACATATTGACACAAAGCAGAAAGCGGACGAGCAGCTGCGGCTGCGACTCGAGACGCCGGTGAACTTCCCGGTACGGAACACTGTTCATTGTGTGGCAAGTGTCTGCCTGTAATAAGTACTAATGAAGAATGCCGCCCCAGACGCCGCTCCCCAAGCGTGAGTATTATTGCCACCTGCCAAGCCTCCCATCGTTTCTTGATGGTTCCACGCCTGCGCCTCAAATTTTTCATTTTCAGTTTTCCAAACTTCACCGCATACAAAACCATCAACACCCGCACTGAACTTCTCACTGGAGATTGTTCTTCTCGTTCTTCATATCACTGTCAACTAACAGGCGCGATCATCCCAGCGCCAAATTGCATCTTCGCATTTCCGATCAACAGCAGCAACAGCAGAAACAGCATTCTGAACGCAATCATGGCCGACAAAGGTCTCGAAGAAGTCCCTGAATCTCAAATCGAGTCAAACTACGATGAAGTCACCGATTCCTTCGATGCGATGGGTTTGAAGCCGGATTTGCTGCGTGGTATGTCTCCGACCTTCCTGTCGAACCCCCCGGCCCTTCCACCTCCCATGTCTTTACAACATCACACCATGTTCTATATGCTAATACTCAACGGCAGGCGTTTATGCCTACGGCTTTGAGCGTCCCTCAGCGATACAGCAGCGTGCAATCATGCCGGTGATCAAAGGTTCGTCGCCGCCGACTGTTTTTTTTCCCCCTTGAACACAAACTGACCAGAAACTCCCAGGATCGGATGTGATCGCCCAGGCGCAATCCGGCACCGGAAAGACGGCTACATTCTCTATTTCCTGCCTCCAGAAAATCGATCCCAACCTCAAGGCTTGCCAGGCTCTCATCCTCGCCCCGACGCGTGAGCTGGCGCAGCAGATCCAAAAAGTGGTGGTGGCAATTGGCGACTTTATGAATGTGGAGTGCCATGCTTGCATCGGCGGAACCAATGTCCGAGAAGATATGAAAGCGCTCCAAGATGGCCCTCAGGTGGTTGTCGGCACTCCTGGACGAGTGCACGACATGATTCAGCGCCGCGTGCTGAAAACCGACAGCATGAAGATGTTCATCTTGGACGAGGCTGACGAGATGCTTTCTGTAAGTGATTCCCACACACCGTCACTGTCCCTGTCCATGTCCCTGTCTCTGTCATCGCCGCCAGTTAGCAGAATACTAACATCATGCAGCGTGGTTTCACCGAGCAAATCTACGACATCTTCCAACTCCTCCCGCAGTCTACTCAAGTCGTTCTCTTGTCCGCCACGATGCCACAAGACGTTCTCGAAGTCACCACCAAATTCATGCGCGACCCTGTCCGTATCCTTGTCAAGAAGGCGGAACTGACCCTCGAAGGTATCAAACAGTTCTACATCGCGGTTGAGAAGGAAGAATGGAAACTCGACACCCTCTCCGATCTCTACGAGACGGTCACCATCACACAAGCAGTTATCTTCTGCAACACTAGAAGAAAGGTTGACTGGCTCACCGACAAACTCCAGGCGCGCGACTTCACTGTCTCTGCTATGCATGGCGATATGGAGCAGGCCCAACGCGATGTGATCATGAAGGAGTTCCGGTCGGGATCTTCACGGGTCCTCATTGCCACTGACCTTCTGGCTCGCGGTATCGATGTTCAACAGGTCTCACTGGTCATCAACTACGATCTTCCCGCCAACCGTGAGAACTACATTCACCGTATCGGACGTGGTGGTCGTTTCGGCAGAAAAGGTGTTGCCATCAACTTCGTCACCGCTGATGATGTCCGCATGATGAGGGAAATCGAGCAATTCTACAGCACTCAAATCGAAGAGATGCCGATGAACGTTGCTGGTATTTAAAAACCCCACCCTCTAAGATTTTGAAATTCCGCTAACTCGTTCTTTCAGACCTCATCTAGGCCAGTCCAAACTATTTTCCGAGATGGGCATGTGGACGGCGTTAGTTGATACACCTGTACGCGACTAACTGAGAAAAGTGGGATGAAGCCTGTCTCCGACTGCTTGGCTCAAGATTGTCGCTGCATACCCAGAAAAGTCATGTTTCCAAAACTCTTGTTACGATTGCCTGGACGCTTTCCTCAGCATACGAGCGCGGTGAGGTGATACCGCAGCCTGACGGCATTGTGTCGCTTATGTGGCAGATTTCGCGGGCGTTTCTGCTTCTTAATGCTTAGCTGACAATCGTTGTTGGCTGTGGTTCTCCGATTGCGCACAAGAATCCGACAGCATTCTCATGTGACATGAAACGGAGGAACGATGGTTTCATTTGCTTCTTTGCAATAGATAGGTAGAGCTTGATTCCAGAATGAAAGGTACTTGTACCAAACTCTGTATTTTATCTGTTAATGGACCTGACTTTGGAGGGGAGGTACCACCCTCCAAAGTCCTTTTGCGTAGAGTACACCGTACCTCCCTTCAGCCCAAACGTCTCCCTCTGCAAGTCGACCTCCAGCCGCACAATGTCGGTCACTCCGCTTTCAGATCGAAAGGCCATGGTCAATTATGCCATCGACCTGCTTAGAGCCCATCAAATTCGCCGAGAAAATGTGTTCCTGCACGAGCAGCTCAAGACCTGTGCCAAAGAGCTTGCCACTTTGCGTGACGAAGTGAGAGACTTGAGAGCAAACCAACTTGCTACCGTCGAAAAGGAGATCGAGCCCATGAAGGTATCTATCGATATCAACGCCAAAAAAGCATTTGTTCTCATGGACAGGCATGACTCCCAACTCAACGAGCAGGCCCGTGAGCTAGAGACCATTCGTCAGTCACACAGAGCAATGCAAACTGAGACTTCAAATATCAGAGATTCTTGTCGCAAGACACAGGAAGATGAATGCGCACAAAGGGCCACTATGGAAAAGCAGCTTGAAGCAGTGCGTGCTGAATGTGAGAACCTAGCGACTGCCCAACAACAACAAGCTCGACGCACTCTAGCTTCACTTGAGACGCTGCGAAGCGGTCTTGATAGCAAGGCAGATGTCGCGGTCATCGAAATGCTGGAAACCCGCGTAAATGAGTTCTCGACTCGCCAAAATGCCGCTGCTCTTGTAGCCGACTCGGTCAGCCACATTTCAGATACTCTGGAGCGCAGGTGCCATCCTCTTGAGCAAGGTAACCACCGACCAACCCATCCTGTCTGACGAAAGCGCAGCTGACCGCTTTGCAGCAGGTAAATCGGTTCAGGTACAGGATTCTCAACGTGGAAACTACGAGGGCCCTGAACCGCGAGAGACGACAGTCCCTGATGATCTCGATCTCGACGCCAACGCACACACGATCAGCTATGCTGGCCACTGCTACAGCGAACCGGGACAGAACGACTCTTTGAAGATGTTGTCACCGCCCACAGTACAGGCCACGCAGCTCGCCGAGATCAAGACCCTCCGACAGAGAAGATTCGACGGCTGGGATTCCTACTACAACCAGGGTCAGAAAATTGTCGAAGCCTTGCCACGCCAATTCGAGGGAACAATCGTCCACAACTTTGTGAACGGACTCTTCAAGGAAAGCCATAGAAAGCAATGTCAGCAGTGGCTCGACTCGAGTGGATGGACTTGGGCCAACGTTACCACCTTTGGTAACTTGTGCTCCCAACTTTTCGCCAACAATGCAACAAAAGCAGGGATGGATACAGAAACTTTGGTACATCCAGGAGGGATCGGCGTGGTGCTTGCCGCAGTTAGCAAGTCGGGGCGGGATGCAGGCGCCGCGAACTGCAAGAAAAGCAGCAAAGGTAAATGTCGACAAGTCACCGTCGATGTGCCGCTGCGACGAAGTCAACGGGTAGCTGACAAACAAGGTCTTAACACCGGCCATGCAGGACGACAGCCCGAGCCCAAGTCAATACAAGGATCTTTTGCTCACGGTGTCGAACAGCACAAGGCTCAAGAATCGAAGCCCGAGAACCAAGTTGGCAATGAATGTTCTAAAACGCAGAACCGACCACAGTCTGACAATGCCACCGATCGGCGAGCCGGTATGCGAGAATCTGAAACGGCAGGTGTAAAGCTCCCCGAGATGGTGGGCAGGGCTCGACCAAGAAAAGGCACAGCAGTCGCAACAGAGACTCGCAAAAGCCACAAGAGAAAGCCTGTCGGGGTTGAAGTTAGAGATTACTCGAAGCGACTGAAATCTCGCTCGAAGGCTGGGGATGGAGACGATCATGCCATTTCAATCCCTCAACTTGTGCCATTTCGGGGAGGAATCGTCAAGTCAGTGGAAGAGAGCAGTAACGACGAAGGATTTTTGTATGATGGGAATCTTTCCCAGCCTTCAGTTCCCATGACAGCAGGCCAACCAAGAGGACATAGAAAGAGACGACTGCCTCTGCCACCGCCGCCAGAGATCCCTATTCTACCTACCACAGACGAAGAGTAGGTAGCAGATCAAATGCGAATCTCGGTCGACATGGCGGCAATATCCAAAAGGGTCATGTTGATGGATGTCTTTGACACAACATTCGATGGCGCTGATGATGACGGTCCCTGTACATCAATTTTATTACCTGATCACAATAAATTCTTGCTGAAGCTTCATGTCTCCCTGAACACATATCCATCTTCGGAGTCATCATCCACCACGTCAACTTCAATTTTCGCCTCGACCACTTCGAGACCGTCTGCCTCTAGACCGCATTCAACCTTGTCTCCGCCCTTGAGCGGGCCGACGCCTTTGGGGGTGCCTGTCAATATAATGTCGCCTTCTTCCAGCGTCATGACCTTACTAATATCACTCAGCATTCTAGGAATATTAAACAACATCAAGTTAGAGTTATCCTTTTGTCGAACCTCGCCGTTGACTTTCAACCACAGCACAACGTCGTGAGGGTCGGAGATGCGGTCAAAGGGGATCTCGTGGCTGATAGGCAAGAAGGTATCAAAGCCCTTGGCGATGGTCCAAGGAAGGCCCTTCTTCTTTGCTTCATCTTGTACATTTCGAGCGGTCACATCGATACCCAGGAAATAGCACTTGATATGGTCGAGGAAGCGGGAATCATCCACCCGCAGGTTCTTCAGCGGGGTCGGCGTTTCTCCAATGACTAGGCCAAGCTCGACTTCATGATGCAGATTCACGCCGCGCGGGCGGACGATGGGACCCTTGTTCGGGAGGAGGATAGACGAGGTTGGCTTGAGGAAGAAGAACGGTTGTGAGGGACGGGCAGACGACAGCTCGGTTATATGATCACTGCGGCAGGATGTGTCAGTATTGACAATTTCCAATGCGGAAGAGCGGGGAGTGCGGACGCATAGTTTCGGCCAATGCAGATGACCTTGCGACAATTCGCCTTGATGGAGGCCATGGAGGTGAGCTTGAGAGAGTTTGTAAGCCGCCGCGAGGGTGGTTGAAACAACTTACTAAGGTCAACTTGTCAACCAAGGTCTATACAAAGACCACTGATGCGAGCTCTAGGAGAAGCATCTGAGGTCGCCTAGAGCTCCTCCCCCTCCGCCTCCATCCATGCATGTGTGGTGGGAATCGTGTGCCTTGCATGACTGGTCAATTTGCACCCAGTACGAGGGAGGGAGTAGGTAAGGCGTCGGCAAGTTTCGGAGAGCGCAGTCGATGCTGGTATAAACATTCATCCGTTTCCCGCAGCTCCATAACATCATTCGGTCCCCTTTGTGTGCTCCCTTCCTATCTCTTGCTTGTCTTCCTGTCCATTCCGCCGACGTTCTGCGAGTAGTCTCGAGCTTCTGCGCAGGCAAAGAAAGAAGATGATCTCGCTACTCTCGCCACCGCAGGCAAAGCGAAAAGGTCTCTCATGGGCAGCTAAAGCGGCAATTGATCGATCCATGACTGTGCCCGTTTCACTTCTCTTGTCGATGGTGGACTCCTCTGACTTCTCAAGCTGCCTTCTGCGGCCTTGTCGGCTCTCTGTTCGGTCCACTGCACGGCTCCTACGCTCACCGATAGGGGTCTACAAGATTCCGACGTGAGCTCCGTTGCATCCATCCCACTCGCGTGTCCTGCCTAGAGGAAAAATTCTTTCGTGTCAGAAGCGGCCCCTGCTGGAACTACGAAGCTCCTCAGCACTTGCAGCAAGGCTGAAGAATTGCCTCTGCACGGGACAAGGTCGTCCTGTTCATGATCTGGTAACTTCGAAACCAGCGACATCATAACTTGTCACAATCTTCCACGCTGTATGGCAGCGAGTGGATTTCATCCGCCGCATTTCTCACAGGCAAACCGGAAGTAGCAAGGTAAGTTCGATGCTTCCGCTGCGGGTGCCGAATTTGAATCGACATATCCGGCGGAGTTAGCTGTACGATGGCAAGGCGTCTCTGGTGATTGCATAACCTTATTCGCACAATGAGCAAGCATTTCTCGCGGCACCATCCTCGATGCCGTCGAAATTTTCTCCTCTCTTACAGCATACTCCAAAACGATCCATTGACACCAATACCTCAAAGGGCGGATGTGACGTCTGTCAACTGTGCGCAATATCTCAGAAATTGGCGCTATCCCGTTCTCTGTTCCATGCAATACCGGTTGCTTCTCATCTGTTCTACATGCCTGAACTCTATTGTCCTGTCTGGCTGCTTTTATCCAGCCTTGGGTGGCAAGTATTCGCTACCACTCTGAAATACGGTCAACAGGAAAGCCGGACTGTTTGATGCGTGGGAACGGAAAAAGTCTTGACGTCGCAGCAGTGGTTGGGAGCCCAATCAGCCCGGCCAGCTTACTAAATTTTCGCAGTAAAATCGGAGTACTTACGGAGTGCCAGGCTCTCGGAACAGCCCACCAATGCCATGATCCGCTGCCGTCTGAATTAACGCTAGCCGGACCGTGGATTTGGAGGTTGCAAGGTAAGAAAAGAACCGCTTGTTGCACGCTTACAGGGGCCGTCCCGCAAAGAATTTGGAAAAGAGAAGACGGCATGCCGGTAGGCGTGTTGTACGACTTTGCATTCAAGAATGGGCGGCTTAAGGCAGAACGGAAGAGGGGCTTCGCGCTAGGCTGAATGATCTGGACCAACTGAGCAAAAACTCCAGGAGGGAGAAGGTGGCTCGAGCCTGGTTGGTTCGCGTACCGGTGGAGAGCCCATGGATGCAGCTACCACTCAGAAAGCAGCTCGACCCCTGTCGCCCCAATGCGCATTTTCCCTCCGGCCCTGCCGTCTAGAAACCGGGACAAGGCAGTACTCGAAGGCGTTTCCGCAGTGCCCCCTGCGGATCTTTACAGTTGAGTCTTTATGTCGACCACTATCAGACCTAGATCTGTCGAACCGTGCTTTTACGAGGTTGCTTCGATCTCACACTTGCGACAATGGAAGCGTCCTTGGCTTTCGATCGATTAGGCTTACTCCTTTTCCTGCCGGGCTTGATTCGGAAGACGATCAATGATGCGCAAAGTAGATATGTCATTCAGTTCCCTGCCGCTACCAGTGGCATGCAATATGGACCTTCTATCATGCATACTGTACCATGTCAACGAGACGAGGAAGAGGACGGTCCAGTGGCACTAGCCCAGACTTTCTTTGGGTCAATCGGACCCCAGACTCTGAGAGACTCTCGGCCACCCGACAAGAACGGGAGGAACTTCGAACAATTACTAGCCATGCCCGTCAATGGCGCGCGGCACTGCGACGCCAACAGAGGCTCTACAGCGCACAGACCGAGGCCACTCATGCCCAAAGCATTGTGGGCTGGGGGAGGCAAGGTACCGTCTCTGAGACCAGCTCTGCCGAGACTTCGGCGGCTCCCTCACCTGCCGCAATGACACAAATCACTGGGAACTCTACTGACCCATTCACCTACTTGGAGTCTCCAGACGATGCTTGGTGGTCACACAATGCGTTTCGGTACGCCGTCGAGTCCTGGTTGCCGTCCGTATTTCAAGATCTAGATGTACTGGATGAGACGTTGCCTACCTCCGAGTCCTGTCTTGCCACTATCAATCGAATCGTGCAGGGCTGTCTTGCCAACAGGATGCACATGTTCTCACTGCTCGCTGCGAGTACTGGGTTTTTGAAATACGTTCTGAGACTTCAACTTGACCGACATGACTCCCCGGAATATTGCATGGGCAAAGCTCTTCAACATCTGAGACACCATTTGGCCAGTGCTCCACAAGCTAATGAGAGTCTGATATTTGATCTAAAAGCACTGTCGACCTTTGAACGGTACGTGGACAATTTTGAGGGGGCTAGAACGCATTTACGGATGGTTCAACATCTTGTTCAGTCACTCGGAGGCCTCGAGATTCTAGACCCGCCCATGCGATTGATTTGCTGGCTCTGGGATCTGCTGGTTGCCGGCGGGACCGGTGAAACTCCCCTGATGCCTCTCACCTGGGATCCTGGTTTGCTTCCACGTCAGCAAATGCGGGATGAAATACTTCCAGCTCTGGCTCAGAGCGGAGTCATACCAAGCGGTGCTGGCCTTCTTCAGTACGGATCAATGGTGCAGCCGGAACTGTCGCCCATCCTCGTTGACACGATACAGTGGTTTCAAGTGCAGCAATACAATCGCGTTCACAATTTCAGCCGGTCTCCAATCGAGAAATGGGCCACGAGACGATCACACGCCATTGTCCATCGACTACTTTCAATGTCTCCGGGCTCCCCAAGTGATAGACTGCAGTTGATGCTGTCCGAGTGTATCAAACAGAGCTTCTTAGTCGTCATAGCGGACGTGGAAGAAGCGAGGCGCTCCCGAGCACAGAATGAGTCCATCAGAGATTCAAGTAACTACTCCTGGTCCGATATCAATCGCCTTCACCAGGCGCTGTTCGCGCTGGTGCAATCGGAAGAAAATTGGCAGGAACAACACGAGGAAATCGTCCTTTGGATGGCCTGTCTGGGTGTCCAAGCAGCACCGTCAGCCGCACCATCTCAATCGGCGGCGCAATCGGCACATGCAGCAGGAGCAGCGGCACGGTCATCATCAAGTGAAGGGACCAGCCATCGGGAGTGGTTCCTTGGTTTAGCAAAGCACCTGTTCTTCGAGCGCCGGAGCCGAACTGGGCCATTATCTTCGCCTTCACCTGCAGGAAATGATGACTTGGTACAGCTCATGAGCCGATATCTCCATCGCTGCGAGCCATCCGGACGGCCCAATATCGTTGGACTCGAAGACGTGCTTTCTCCATGATTTAACCTTAAAGACACCACACATGCCATGTTGAGCGTGCGATGGAGTGTGCGAGCCAGTGGGTGAGTGAGCGTGGCAGATCCGCCGGACATAGCGGCCTTGTCGCAACACCCTTGCCCTTTTCCTTCTTCCTTCTCCCTTATCCTGGGGCCGATGCGAGGTGAGAGCCGAGACTTGTCCAGACGTGAACAATACTCCTATCTAGCGAAGTCCTCCTACCTGTACGAACTATTTGAAATCGTCGAAATGAACGGCGCTGGCGGTCCGTGATCCTTCCTTCGCACACTGAACCATTGCTGTAAGCTACATGCTACGGTGGCTAGGAAGCCAAGCAAACGCCAGCTGCGGCAGCAGCAAGAAGCCAGAAGTCAGGAAAAACAATAAACAGAAGCGAGATAGACCATCCCCGTCGCGGAGCCGCATGTACGAATAAGAGTTGTTGTTTAGCGAGCGATAATGATTCAATTCAATTCCTACCTCCCTCTCCCTCTGCCATCTTCGGCTCTGCCCAGCCGAGGAGCATATAAAATGACGAAACCAGCCATCAACGTGCGAAACGCATCGAACGAACGTAACGAACAAACGAACGGGACAAGGACAGGGCCCAGGCGCTCTTGCCGGAGCCGCAAGTAAGCGACCGCGGCATGTTGACCGGCTAGGCTAAGCTTACCTACGGAGAACCAAAGGATTAAGCTGAGTACTCGGTAGCGAGGTTGAGAAACTAGGTGACTGACTAACTCACAGGTAGAGCCGCAGCGCAAACCGTCCCGCAACATATCGGTGCTGGTGCTGATGCCGATACTGAGGCTGCCCCTATTGGTGTTGGTGTTGGCGTTGAAATTGGGATTGATGATGTTCTTATTGGCGTTGGCGATTTGCGATTGCGGGACAGCGGCATTTCACGGTCCCGTTTACCATAGGTAGGTATGTAGGTGCCATCGGTGTGGCTATCATGATGTATGCACGCCTAACTCGCCGACTCGCCAACTAACCGTGTCTGTGCTGACATGCCTATTCAGGCATGTACGGGTACACAACTGGAATATCCATATATCGGGGGGAGGGGGGTTTTTTTTTTTTTTTTTTTCTTTCCATTTTTTGGTTAACTTCTTGATTTGGCGGGGCGCTGTTATGATAGTATGATACGATCCGATCCGATACGAAGTGATATGTTATGAGACGACACGAGACGATATAATGATGGCATGAGTTATGACCTATTTATGTATTTATATGTGTTTGTACGTTCTACGTGGGATGGAGAAGATGTGTATAGATATACGTATGAGATGGATCATACGCAGAGGAGACATCGCTTTGAGAAAGACTGGACGAAAGACTGAACGAAAAGGAAAGGGGAATGAATCAGTAGAGACTGGAAAGAGGAGTGGCTTCCTCCTCTTCTCAATACATCTTATTACTTCTGTCAATCTCTTTTTCGGACAACAGGGTTCGGACGAGAATAAGGGGTCGTCCATTGCAATACCCATCATCGCGATCGATAATTCATCACCATCGTGTCGTGTCGTGTCGTGAGCTCCTCTATCATTGTTGCTCACGTCTTCTTGCTCGTTCCTCCCCCGGAAGACATTATCATTCATCACTGTTCCTTTCACGGTCGATTGAACTCTCCAACTGCTAGCCCTAATCCTCTTCCCACTCTCATGGCACACCACGTCATGATAATGGAGTCGTAGGGGGGCAATGAATGCGAGGAGCCGAACAAACAACAAATCTTTTGGGCTTTCGTACCCTTGCATTGCAGAATACGCCACGGGCATACGCCACAGGCCCTTGCATCTTCAGGCTGGCAATCGTTGAGGCGGCGAGAACCGTCTCGCGACCGCCCCCTGAAGAAACGGCATGACCCACAGAGGAGGGACATCGGATTCACATGCTCGACACTGGAACTTCGACGCCCGCCCGGGCCCCCGTCCATCGGGCATGGGGATTCAAATCGCGCGGCCGCAGGCAAGTGCTAGCGGGAAGCCGTGACGGCAGCGGCCACGGTAGCGGAAGCGGCAGCGAGGACAGGAAATAACAACGGTGATCGTACCGGGTCTGAGTCTCGGGAGCCGTGCAATTCGCAAGTTGAAAAGTGAGTGGGAAAGGACCAAGCCCGAAGGAGAGTTTCGCCTTGTTCGAGGGGGCGGAAGAACTTCCAGGCGGTGGCTGTCGTGTCGTTTGCTCTCCAGATCTGGAGCCGCAGGATCCAGGACCTCGCCATGCTAGTAGTGAGGTAGTAGTTGTAGCAGTGGTGGCGGCCGACCGTTCCACTCGGCCCATTCCATCATGTGATGTGGACTCGTCTCGTAGTGCCAAAGAATACCCTCGTCAACGACCGCTGCTCTTATTCTTTGATCCGGGAGGGGAAAAGAAAAGGGGGAGTCCCGTGCTGTCCTTTGCCTTCGCCTCGCAAATGGACTCGGCGAGTACTCCGTGCCGCCCAACACTTACGCTGGATTGAGTGCAAGATCTGCGCGCTCACTCGAACGAACACCGTGCTTGCGCTTGTCCCTTCCACCTGCCTGTTGGTGATGGGTAATGGCGGCTGTCTTAGTATAGCTTCTCCCCCTCCGAAAAGGAAGTCTCCTTCTTTGGCGGGCGCTTGGTGTCTCCGATGGGTGACTTGGCATTCGTCGTTTGTCTGGAGGAGACTATTATGGACGTCTCTCGTTCTCGACGCGTCCGGACGTACGGGTGGAAGGGAAGAGGGACACCCCCCGCTCACCGCTTTCATCTCGCTTGACCATGGCAGAAAAAAAAAAAAAAAAAAAAAACAAGGGTAAGTAGCGGAGGATTGGGTTTGTTAGGTAGATGGAAAGGTTAAACGGATGATGGGGGAAGCAGATAGGGAAGGAAAGCGGGGACGAGCTGGACGAGGTCACCGTAGGCGAATGGAATATTCTCGTCCGGAGGCGGTTCAGATGTTGATGGTCCCGGTAGTATATACTTCTGGTGGGTGACAATTGGTGCACAAGAGCGGAATGGCCACGGATTTCGCATGCGCAGACGACATGGTGATTGATGGATAGGGCATACCTTGTACCAACCACTCGGCCCTGTTGTTAGTAGATGCTCAAGACGACTGAATGAATGCTGCGGAACAGGTAATGAAGGCACGAAATCTAATGGTGATGGTGCCATTGGCGAGAGCACGGCGAGGGGAGGGCATGGCATAGAACATATATGCCAGAATGATTCCTCGTATTCATAAGAGCTGGAGAGAGGGAGAGACGCGCAGGCATTGGCGACGACGTGCTTGCTGGTGACTGACTAACCAGAGAGAAAGCGGATCTGCAACTGCAAAGGCCCGGCGTGGCACACAAACTCTCTCCCTCTCGCTTCCTGGTATCCCATCCAACCATGGAGCCTCCGCACGAATGACCATCAATCACGTCCGAAGCCCCATCGTCATCTCGCAGTCCATCAACACCGCATGCCCTTGCGGCTCCGCAAACCCTTTTGATTATCCATGGGCGGATCCTCGATGCCGACGTGTTTCCTTGCTAGGCGACGCAATGTATGTGGACGAGGGGTCTATCAAGCGAGACGAGATGAGAGCCGCAACGTCGACACTGAACACCCACCATCCTGTGCTACTCCAACGGGAAAGATGACGGAACAGGCGAGCAGAAGGTGAGTGCGCCAACAGAAGCCATCGAGGATGGAGACCAGGAAAGAAACGGGAAATAGGCGACTTCACTTTTGATGCTCAAAAGAATACACTTTGTACAATTCCTGTATCCATGGTACGGTATATGCCTCGCCAATTCACAAATGAGAGCAAACTTCCTGACAGGCAGATACTCCACCCACAGGTGAAGCGCCGTCCCAATGAGACCAAGGGCAAATGCCTTGAGCGGGAGGTGGAATTCAGCCATATACCAAACCAATCTTTGGCTCTCCATCCTACCCATAAATTGTGCCATGATCCCTCAAGGTTGTGTCAGCCGAAACGTCTTCGTACATGTGTTTCTGCTGCCATATCTGTACCTGCCAGCAGCTCAAGATCGCAGACGACAATGTGGCGAACATAGAGATCACGTTCAAATAGCGCTGGTGCAAATCTCGACGGCGGCAGTGCCGACATGCACGATGACGAGCAGATCGCGAATACCCCCCTATGGAGACATCGATATCATCGGAAACACGCAGATTTGTCTCTCCGGCCGATCGCCGGTGCGTTCAAGCTTATGCAAGGCTGCGCGGTCCTTTTTCTGGAGCTTGTGCAAGCTTATTCGAGCCGACTTACTCGTAATCGGCCAGATCAGATGCATTTCGGCTGACTAAACGCCATCTGGACAGTGGTGGACGCGCTCTTCGCTTCGGCGGCCTCCGTATATTTATATTTTGGACTTGATCAGTTTCATTGCTTCAGGGCGCGTCGGCTAGAGCTACCGCAACAGCGGCGCCGAAGACGGCGGCTTCGTGAGTCGGTTCCAGGACGACCTTTTCAGCACCGAAGGGGCCTCCAGCTGATGATCCGGTGGAGATCATTTGTCTGATGAAACCCTCACATCGATCTTTGAAGCCGGGATACTTGAGGATGACACTCCCGTTGCACGCAATCGATGTTTTGGGAGTTCCGTTCGGTGTGGTGGGGTTCACGTCGGTGTCCTTCTGTAACGCCCAGAGAGCATGGACGGCAACGGCGATGTAGGCAGACGCTCGATACGAGATTGACTCAGCCGCTTCTCGGAGGAACGAGACCTCTTTCGTCGTCGGACTCTTTTTCAACCCAAAAGCCTTCTTGATCATAGAGATGGAACTTCTCATGCTCTTCGTCGTGTCCAGCTCTAACTTGGCCATGATTTCGGTGTCCAAAGAATAGCGCTCCCGTAGCGCGTCGGGCACGACGCCGTTGAATAGCTCTCCAGTGGCAACTCCTTCGATTATGATCAATCTCAACAGCTCTCCCAGGTAGCGACCGGTAGTCATATACTCGAGGGGCTGAAAGTCCGGCCTATCGTGCTGACGGTTTAGAACTTCATCCCACCGTGTCTCGGGGAGAATCGACTTCCCGAACATCGACACCTCTGTGTTCGTGATCACCCGCTCGGCTTCGTCGAACCATGAAGGATCGCGGTCTCCAAACTTGGACATCCCCATGCAGGCCGTTGGCAGATATGCGGCGGCGTTTGTCCCAGTTCCCAAGATTAGCCCCATGGATGTGGCGGGGTCCAAATAGGCTTGAGAGAGAAGGGTCGCTGAAGAATCATTGACAATGGCGTCGACGCGGACCCTTAAATTCGTCCTGGCGCAGGCGGCCTCGATAAGTTCTCCTAGATCCATACCGATTGTATCTTCATGACAAGCAAATCCTTTGCCCATGCCTTGGACCTTGCCACCCCGGTGACTGGTCTGCTCGATTGGGAAACTCCATGCCAGCCCCAGAGGTAAAGTCTGGTCGGGGGACCACGCTCCCTTCTCTTCTTCCAGCATAGCACGTATCCTGCTGGCCATCCAATCGAAGAACTCTGTTCCAGGAAGTTTACGTATTCGCTCATCAATCTTACTGGTGGACATGTGCTTGATCACCATAGGGCCGTGTCGGTTCTCTCTTCCTCGAAGTTCAATCAAGGCCACTCGGAAGGTTGAGCCACCCACGTCGAGAGCGATGTACGTGCCCGTCTCTTCTCCTGTTGGCAACGTGTGGCAATAGGAGGGCAGCATGCAAGCGTCGCTCTCTTGGAGTTTGGCCTTGTATTGGATGCGGAGGGCCGAGGACATGGACAGCATTCGACGCATGGTACAGGGGTATCGGAAGAGACGCATGATTTCGTCCTTTAGCGAGTCGAGAGAATGGGGACTGTCCATGGTCTCGACCACGGTGACCTCGGTGTTGGGGGATTTGACAGAGACATTCATGGTCTTGAAGGCGGAGGGAAAGAGGATCATGGCGGCCAGTCGGCGCAGGATTCTGCGGAAGAAATCGAGGATGGTCATGGCGGCTGAAGAAGGGAGGCTCGACGGACTGACTGCCTCGAGGATGAGGACTCGGGGATGATGGTCCTAGTCGAAGAAGGGATCAAGGGGAATCATGATGGGCTCGAAGGGATGTTTTTGTTTGTGGTGACTCCTGCCCAATCGAGGTGGTGAGGTGGTGAGGTGGTGAGGTGGAGAGGTGGTGGTGAGGTCGGTGAGGTGTCAAGGGTAAGGAAAACAAAGGAAATTTGGCCGTGACATGGAGTCAGAGAGGGTCAGGATCGGTAGTGTAGCAGGAGCAGCAAGAACAATGCCAGAAGAGACAGAGGACGAAGTGGTAATGGCTGTGGTATTGGAGATTGCTGGAGTAGTAGCATAGCGTTCAATTTCACTTTTTGGGGGGGCGCATGGGGGACGGGGACGGGGACGGGATACGATGGGATGGGACGTGATGGTATGGGATCGGGGTGACGGATGGTCCGTCAACAGAGCATTGTTGTAGCAACAGAATGTGCATGGTCTATGCGACATGCAGGAGGAATGAGAAGAGCAACAGACTGAGCGGACCTTGATTGCATCAAGAGGCTTTTGCCAAAAAGGCGCAGGCGCAGGCGCAGACGGTGTATCGAGTTGGGTGTATGTAACTGTAGAGGATGCTACCGTGAGCTGAGCGCAACTTGCCAACCGCCGCTCCTCACCCACCAGCACCCACCAGCATCCACCAGCTTCCAGGTTACAGGTTACATTGGCGGTACCCAGTACTGCGATCGTCTCTTCTTTCGCCGCCAGCCATGCCACCGACACCAGAATGGGATTTCCCAATGTAACTCCCTCCTTCACTCATCAGATGCCGAAATCGGTTTCCCCAATCGCCATGCCTATGCCTCCTTCTGCCATCAGGACAATGCCGGTACGTATCACCACCGCCATCACACCCTACTCTCTTCTTCACATCTGCAGAATAGCTACGCCCGGTTGCGCTTTGCTTCGTCCTGTGTCAAGTCTTACGGCTGATGCTGACCCATAACAGTACTTTACCGGTACCAAATTCAATGCAGCTGACAGCAGTGACTCTCCTCTCTGTTGTTCTTCTACCCTTTCCCCCAGGAATTACGCATATCCATCGAGTCGTTCGTGAATCGTCCTGCGGATGGGTCGCTGTCTTTGGAAACATGGTCGAGGGGCCAAAAGAACTGGTCATTGAGACTGACCGGCCGATTTGAGATTTGAGATTGGCCTTTTTGAAATTCTAGCCTCGACAAGTATGACGAGCGTCCATCTACTCTACATACAATTCGGTCGAGACGTCCAGGTGGTCTCAGTCTGGATGGGAGATGCGGATCGGCACAATGCATTGCTCGTCATTAGCTGCTTATGCATACTACGAGGCAGGCAGGTGTCAGCATTGTGCGACCCATGGGTCGTGCCGGTAGTCGCACAATGACTACCTAGAGACCATGTCTGATAGTCCCCCTCCCATCGTTATTACCATGTATATACTATCATCGACCTCCGCCATCATCCTCGGTGTCATATATACGGGATGTTCAAGATGGTCTTGACAGTCAATTGGCCTTTGCGCCGGACATTTCTTGTTCGTGGACAAGGGCCGCTTTGCCGGGGCAAGATTGCCGGGTGACTTTGGCGAGATTGCGACGTACAGTATCTGTCAGGCGCGCTCGCCAATTGATCGGTCGCTTGACACTTCTGTCACCAGGAGGTGTAACCCGATTCGGCAGTATTCGAGTACAAAGTGACTTGTTCTCGATCGGTTTGGTCCTGAACCTGACTGAGGCTGTGGAAGGACGAAGTTCAACCGCGATATGTAAGGAACCGGGAAGGTCCTGCAAACCAGTCTCTGCTCGCCCTTGACCGCCACTTTGGTGGTTGGTTCGTCAAATGCCGTTTCCCCATGATTTGCCCATCACCCCCGATCACAAGACTGAAGTAGGAATGGACGAGGATTTCAGAATTATGGTGCATTCCGGGACAGCATGGGGATGATGAGCGTTGAACAAGGCTGCAAGAAGCTTCGCACCCATGGTCATCCAACAGAGGATGCATGCGCCGTGAGAGCGGCTGCCTGTCACAAATGCATATATTATGCATGAGAGGTGTCTCTTCTGGCGCTACGAGGAGCGAAGAATGGGCCTAGTGTGTTCGCAGGTATGTTTTTGGAGTCCATACGTTGTAAAATGCTCAAGTCGAGCCTTCAAACAAATGCAGGAGTTCGGAGAGAGCCCGAAAAGGCTCTCAAGCCCCAACTTTATCCCCCCTATTCTAATCGCCCCACGTTGCCGATGGGCGCTGCTTCCTGGGGTGTGCCAGTAACCCAGGGCTGATCGTCAGGGATGTGGCTAGAAGTTCGTGCATCTGTTCATCTTCCGGCTCGCCTCTATTCGCTTATTCCGATCAGGCTCACCACGCCTTGTCTCGGCTGTTCGGGGGGTTCTTTGGGCCATTGTTCTGGGCGTCGGGGGTCACCCACGGCTTTGGCAGAGATTTCATGTCAAATTCCCCATCATCGGGTCTCGAGGCTTGAGCCAGCAGTGCCCTGACAGACTGCAGGACCATGAGCACTGTGTTGAAATTGGCCAGCTGCCGGCCACACTCGGATCTGGATCGTCGCTATCGACGACTACGGCACCGAAGTCTTCGTCTTGGGGATGCGCAGAAGAAGTGTCCAACGATACACGCTCTATGCGCGCTTCCAAGTGCCGTGTTTACCTTTCGGGAGGTTTGTTTTGTTTTGCTTCCTGTCTGGGGTGTTACGGCTATGCTCCTCGCGTGCCACCGAGGGTTCGTGATTTAGCGACGTCAACATCGAGGCATTTCATCCACTCATAGGGGTCCCCCCAGCCCCATGAGCACCCAGAGGTCTTGGGTATGACAAGTCTCCGAAAACTCCAGGATCCGCGTGGAGCAGGTGGGCGAACCAACCACCGGCTTTCCTGAGCCTTGTTGTGCCTCGTGTCGTGATATCCACCCTTTGTCCCCTTGTCCCTGCCAGCCTCCCATGCCTCAGCCTTCAAGCTCCTTCCCTGTCTGGTGGTTTGACTTTCAAAACGCCCTCTTTTCTCTCTCAAACTCTCCCCGGTCGTGCCCGTCAGAGATTACCATTTGCTCCTTTCTCTTCCTCCTCCTCGTAAAGCCATGACTGATCCTCTTCTTGCTTCGCAGACGTGTCTCTCCTGTTCTCGACCAGAACATTGTGTTTCCAATCCAGCGCATTGTCTCTCAAATAGAATCTGAGCTCGTCTTATACTATACCAGCGACCAGTACAATACGCCGCTATCTTTCTATTTAAGCACGTCAATCGCCCTTCTGACGTGCCTGCTTGACACCAGCGCCTGAGCCGCCATACGCGCAAAACACCAGCCTCTTGAGGTCAATGGTCAACCACCGGTTTGCAGCATTTTCAGAACATGGAATCACGGTTACGGAAGCTACTCGCGCCAAGAAGACACAGAGGACAGCGCCATGATGCTGGTCCGGAGTTGGATTTGCATAGCGTCCCATACACGACAGCTCCACCACGAGGCCGACTACCACTCTTTACCAAATCTAGCGGCCCTACAGCAAAAGATCGCAAAGCTGGCGTGCCTCCTGATCGCCTTCGATCTTTTTCTTATAAAGAGGCGTCGCCGGGTAAACCGCCTCAGCTGGGGGACCGACCTCACCGAGGAAATGGCCCTGTCAAGCTTCAGACAAGTCGACGCCTAAGCTCTGGGGAGCTCCTCGTTACCGAGCAGGACTACGACCGCACACTGGAAGACATCCGACAGGGCGAGTATATCGTTGGCGGCAAGGAAAGAAGGACCTCCCGGACCTTATCACAGCCAAAGTCGCCCACGGAGCCTCCCAATCTCAAGTTCATCTCGACTGCACCAAGTTCCCCTCAGGATGAAGCGGCCTTCTCCAGTCCAATCTGGCAGTCTCCATCCGTACTCAATGACGTCCCACCACCCACGTCTTCCTGCTGGGCTTCGGGTCCCTTCGGTCTTCCAGAACGCTCACACTCTTCTCAGGTATTCTATTCTCTATATCCACCCCCTGGCCCTAACAACCAGGGGCTGGGGATCTCCAGCCCAGCCCAGCAGTTCTATTCTCCCTACATGGCGTCGACCACATCTCTCCTCGAACCTCATGAGGAACAGAACCCGACCATTCAAGCACTCTGGAAGGCCGAATACAGTCGGTTAGTTTCCATATACGGACAAGCCGGCGTAGACCGGACCATTGGGGATCTCAACAGAGATCGTGCCGGTGTGCCTAGGCCACACCATTTGCTGTCCGACCGCAGTGGTGCTTACTCTTCGTCATCTCTGTCACTGAACCAGATCTTTCAGCGACCGCCAGATTCAGTTAGGCGTGGCCTTGGAAACAAGGCCAATGGATCGACATCCAACCTCGATCTCGCCTATCTAGACGACCATTCTGACCGTTCATCTCATGCCAGATATTCGCACCTTTCTTCTAGCAATGCATCGTCTTCCTTCACGACGCGGACGAGTATGGCTGAAGACCCCAGCATAAGCAGAGACGATATTCGAAAGATTGTCGATGATATGCGCACAACCTATCTTCATGCTATTGAAGCTCATACTCCTCCCCTTCAACCTTTGTGTGGCGCCCCAGCGAAGAAGCCTCGATCCAAGAAAGAGACTCCTTCCCTCATGTCATATACGTCGATGGATGGCAGTCTAAGATCTGCAAGTCGGCAGTCAACTACCCGCACCAAGTCGTGGCAATCATCTACGACTCTGATGACGACCCCGCGTACCTCGATTTCATCCCCCGTGATCAGATCAAAACGGACAAGCTCCGCGACGAGTCGACGAACTTCTGGCCCGCCCGTAGCCGGAATTGCTACATTGCCGGCCATACAAGCAAGCCCCGCCAAATCCGCCAAGTCGACCAAATCCGGGATAAAGCACAAGTGTGATGACATTGGCCTGAAACGCGCCGATTCGACCACACTGGGTGTCATGGCTCGAAAGCTGACGATCCTGGACGACCGCCATTCGAGTGCCTCGTCGCAGCCCACTGTTGCATCTTCTCCTACGTTTTACAACTCGGGGTCTGAGTCGGAGTCTGGATCCGAGAAGAGGCCTCCTTCGGTGTCGTTGCCAAAACGCTCTCCCGCCAAAGCGTCGTCGGTACAGCACACTCCAGAGAAACACAAGCCCGCCGCCGTGCGCCATGCCTCGCCACTCTCCAAACAACCATGGCAGATCGACGTCGACCAGATCCTGCCGGACAATGAGCTCGAGTTCGCGCTGGACATTGACGATTTTGAAGCGTTGTGCGATGGCCTATTCAATACGCCTGCCACGGAACAGAAACCACAATTGAACATGCTTAGAACGTGGGGTGGCGAAGACAAACCCGACGGTGATGGCCTTGGCGATGAGGATGATACGATAGCCATCGACAGTCAGACAGTAATGAAGATGCCCGAGGTAGCCATGGACCAACACATGGGGTTAGGTCTGACTGGTCTCCCCACGATGATTTGAACAGCCGCTCAGTCACAGAGGATCGCATGAGCCCGATCTTGCCAACTATCTATCTACATACACGCCTTTAATCGGTCAAGCAACCTGACGAATCTTTTTTCTATAACGTTATTCCAATCTTTGACGATATTTTTTTGGTTTATTTCGGCTTTGAAAAGGAAAAGCAAAGAGCGATTATGGGCTCTGGTCTGGATATCACCAAGGAAAGGGGAACCTCTGGGAAATCAGGAATCGATAACGGCGCCGCTATGTATCCCCTTCTGTTCGGCTTTTCTTTGGGCATGATATTTTTTCTCTCATGCTTGTCTCATGACCTTTTCTTCGTCTTTGATCTTGATGCAGCGCGGAATATCTACTATCTTCACGACGAAATGCTTTTGTTTCTTCTTCTCGGGCCTTCTTTTGAGGGCTGGAGAAACACTTGCGAACAATGACGGTCTCGGGCTTGGGCTTGGGGCCATGGGGTTGACTTGGGAAAAAGAGCAAAAATTCATCACGGTTGAAGGGGGGGAAAGGGGACAAAAAAAGCAAAGGAACAACAATAAGTAGGAGGGCCAGAAATGGGGAACAAAGTCACACATGAGGGCAACCTCACGAACACGAGAAACGTAACGAAGGGAAGGGGAGCGATTCTTCGATAGCGTTACTAGGACTCGACTCCTCGACTCGAATCCTCGACTCGAATCCTTCTTGGCGAGTCCGGACATCCTAATTAGGAAATACCGGTTTGAACAGTCACTCTCTACCGAGTACTTGTACAGAATGAGTTCTCCCCTAAATAGGTATGACAAGTAGACACGTCAAAATCTGTCCAGCCCTCGTTCTATAACGTCTCACGCTCCGATACTGGGATAGTTGCGAGACTATACCTATTGCGAGACTAGACTGGTAGCTGAGCCAGCGGCAAGGCCGACAACGACGTACTTGGTAGTTGCTATTTGACCAGCACAGCAAATACCGAGTACCTTTCTTTAAATATAACTTACCTGGAATAGGTTAGCCTCGTTCCAAAATAGGTTAAGCAGAAGACTCGATTCGGAATCGAATCCTCGTCAAAGCCAGGACTCCAAGGCCTCCGCACACTGCCTTACGCTTTTAACGACCGTTTCATCCGCCCCACGCGCTGCAGCCATAGAGAGGTCGTCCTTAGTGAACCATTCTGATGCCGTGGGCCTGAGAGCTCAGAATACATACCAGTACTGGGTACATGTCCGGAAATTCTCCCTGAAAAGTCTTCGTCCTCACCTATGCACTCGGGCCCATTGGTCTGAACGTGGAATGGATCGTGACGCTCGATTCGGTAAAGAAGCACGTACCCTGACCCAGAATGCTTTGGGAAAGACCGAAGGGTCCCGTGCAACTTGAACCATTCGATTCGCCTGGGCTGGGCGAGTCCGCTGATACTACTTGCACAGGAAAACACCAAATGTTCGTCAAGATCCCATTCTTCGAGAGAATTTGAGAAGCATTTCCAGTTTTTGAGGTGGGGAATCACTGGACCATTCAACTAAGTTTCGAAGCCTAAATCGTATCGAGAGTCAGATTATTATAGAGTAGATTGTAGAGAGACAGAGAGAGGTACGTCGACCGTGTTGAAAAGGGTCTCAGTGCCATCTCTTCCATAGGTAATTTCTGCATACCTAGGTAGCTATCATCACCTCGTCACCTCCTCTGTGCTGTCTCTGCTTTCCATATCATAACACGAGCAATCTAACTAGAATATATCTGAGCGCGAGATATTGCAGGCCAACCCTTGGCGCAAAATTGGCGCAACAACAAATCTTTCCCATTTTTTGGTTCTTTCTCTTCATAAATCGTTTCCTCGTTAAATCTCTCGTCTATGCTGGGGGTATCATGTTGAAATGAGCTGCTCGCTCTTCATGCGTGGGGTATCATGTTGAAATGAGATGCTTTTTCTTTTGGTTGCTCCTTGTTGTAGCCCCATCCTCACGCCTTCCCCAGAGATTTTGTTGAAATGAAACGCCCTGCGAACTCCAGTCCTGCCTGGCCCATCCAAATTAGCTGAGTTGATCATGCTTTGCACCAGTATAAATCAAAATCCAAAAGGCAAGGAAAATCCGACAAGGGATCAGCGGACTAATATCAGTTGGTAAGAGCCTCTCCGCTGGCTTTGGAGGGGACTTTGTTTTGCTCTCCATTTGTAACACTTTTCTCAGCGCCAGTGACGGATGCATCACCATTCGACACATCTCTAGTTCCATTTCCGGGATGGTCAGCGACAGTATCTTCGACGACCGCATCAAGATCCTGGGCCTCCAGACCCTCAAACAGTTCGAAGATCTCGTGATTTTGATGGAAGTCATTGTTGACAATATTGACAAGGTAACATTCATCCATGATCTTCTCGATCAACTTTCTGCTCCCAGATCCGGCGGGATAGCACTTCGCCCAGTCTTGCCCAAGACGGAAAGCTTCGTCTTTCCATGCTAGAAAGGACACAGTTTCCACGATGGTTGGCTGCACAATCTCCCGGTTTGGAAAGATGCCCCAAGTGACGGCGTTTGGACCTTCATCTTTGGTGTTTGTGTACAGTTCACCTTTTCGATTCACTGCGTAATATGTGAGATTTTTGTTGGTATTGAGTCGTTCCATGACCGTCTTGAACATGGAAGGGAAGACAAGCAATTCCAGGTATGATTTCTGGTACACCCAGCCGCCAGCAGGACCCCATCCATAAACCGGGTGGGTGGAAGACGCACCATCCACTGCCGGCTGGGAATTGATGGTCAAAAATCCGTGCTTGTTTAACTTCACCAGGTCATCCTTGATGCTGTCGGCTTCGGCAGAGATGGCACCTTCGCTCCATGGTAGTCGATCCAAGGTGCCCTGCAAGAAACGTACAAATAGAGTTGTAACGTCGCGAAGTGATCTTGGTTTGCCCCATAACTTGATGTTGGCTTCGTTTGTGCCCTTCAACCCGGTGCCGTAAGCATCCAGTTCTCCGAACGCAGGAGATCTGCTATCGCCCCAACGACCGTTAGGGAACTCATCCCAGTCCGCTGTCCGGCTGATGTAAGATGCGTTGCGATTTCTCCAGAAAATTGGCCTGACCGTCTCATCCCGGCGGTTGAACCCTAGAGACTGTCGCCAGGGCAGTGGTTTCTCAAGGCGCAATCCGGAAGTTTCCGGCGTCAAGGACAAGTCCTCCAGAACCATCCGCGTAGCTTGGGCCAGATTCATTGTGTAAAAGTGGAGGTGTAGGATTCCTGCGTCCAGGATTTTCCGGCACATGTCAGCGACCAGATCTTTTCCGATTGCCCTGACAGCAGCATCGTCGTTTTTGACCGGCTCCAAGGCATCGAACCACTCAGGAGGGACATGACATTTCGTCCAATTAGCTCGTCTCACAAACGCGGCGTAGGTTTGGATGGGCATGATTCCAGGAAGTATCGGAACATTGATTCCTCGTTCTCGGCATTTCTTTACCCAGTTAAGAAAGATGTCGACATCGTAGAACATTTGTGTGATGACAAAACTAGCTCCGGCATCGACCTTCTCCTTGAGATGGTCGATCAGCAGGTCCACGTCCCGCTGGTCGTCGCAACCCTCGGGGTAGCCAGCGACGCCGATATCGAAATGGTCACTGTATCTTGCTTTGATGTATTTGACCAGATCCTTTGCATACCTGAAACCACCTTCTTTTGCTTCCCACTTTTCCTGGTCTCTGGGCGGATCTCCACGGAGTGCCAGGATATTTGTGCAGCCAGCTTTGTATGCACGACGAAGAGCCTCGTCAACTTGATGTCGTTCCATGTCCGTGCAGGTCAAATGCATGCAGGTTTCCAATCCATAGTAATTTTGAGTAGCATTGACCATCTCACAGGTCAATTGGGAATGCCTTCCGCCTGCGCCCCAGGTGATGTCAATGAAAGCCGGCCCCAAATTATGCATGCGGTCCATGCGGTCGTACAGATTCTGAACGCCCTGCGCGGTCTTGGGAGGGAAGAACTCGAAGGAGAAGGTCGGCTTGTTCTGCTGGTGGGCCAGCGCGAGTTTTTTAGAGATATGCATGTCGGAGTTTTGGCAAGGGAGCAAAACGAGGGAACAAGTGTGGGAAAAGCGACTGCAATAAAGAATGAGGAGGATCAGGCAGTCTGGAAAGATCGTTTGTTCTCAATGATCTTCTGTGCTCCTGTGTGACGGTGTTCCCAGTCACGGTGTAGCACGTTGTCCTCCTCCGAACCCAAACCGAGTCAACCGAAATACCGGTTGCGAGCCCACCTATCGGCCAGTTCTCGCAGCATTGAGGGGTGGATGTTCCAGGGGAAAGATGGTCCTGCCAACTAATTTTGGCTCAGCAGAAAAATGAAGGGATTTTGAGAAGTGAAAAAGCAATTCGACATGCAGCCCACCCCTCTTTGGGACGAGGGTGATGCCGCCCTATGCTCACCGCCTTTACCCAAACGCCCCGGACCCGGAGAACCAATCTTCCGGAGTCACATGAACCAACCCCTTGTCCTCGTTGCGTTTATTCCGGCTTTGGCAGACCGCAGGCTTGGCAGCTTGGCAGGAAGTACTGACGAGCCGAGGAAAGGCCCTGAGAAATGTTTGCAAGCTCAACCTCGGACCTCTCTACGTGGAGAAGTTTGAGCTCCGAACTCCAACAGAAGATACGCTGTTGTCCGCCGCAGAGTGGCTTTGGTTCGACGAGTACAGACACGAGCTCCCTGCAAAGTGTGTTCTCGAAAGATCCAAACAACGTAGACACCGCCATGGTCTTGGATATGGACACTATGTACCAGTAGGTTAGAACATTGTCCGACCCACTTCGACTTCCGTGGGCCGGCCAGGCCGTTTCAGACGGTGCTTAACTTCAAGTATGTCAAGCAGCTTTAGGTCCATTCTTGGCGTGGACAAGACTGAGATTCCAACCAGTGGAAACTCCTCGATATCGGATACTTTTGAGAAGTATGGCACTTGTCCTGCAGGGACAACAAGTTCTGGTCCGACCTATGTCGGAGACAAAAAGAGCATCGGGACACCTGCAGGGTTGAAATTCGTCATTGCCTCATCCCTCGACCCAGGTGAAACATTCTCAATCGGCAAGATCACCAGCGTCATCTTCTGCCCTTCTTCCATGCACAGCTTCGTTTCTTTGGTTTTTGTTAGTTTTGGCGGCGACAATTCTGGATCTTGAGTAAACACCCCTGAGGAATCACTTCTCGAAAGGAAACTTACCATTGCTGGCGGACAGGCGGACTAACATATGGCTGTCTAGAGAATTTGTGGTAGTAGTCCTAACGAAACTTATCCAAGTTGTGGAAATCGTCAACAAAGAAAAAATCGCGGCACGCTTATCCTCGAATCAGTGGAAAGGCTGCATTGAGGAGCTGGGACCATACATCATTCATATACTCCTGCAGGGTCTCACCATTCGCATGGGCGGGTGGCGACAATCTCCAAGCCTCTTCAAAGGAGACCTCTCTTTCCACGCCAAGCATCGATTCCGGGTCCGAAACAAAGTGATTGACAATGCCAACTTGGTCAGAGTTGGTGCCATGCACGTAGCTGTCTCACTAGGCGCTGGTATAGCTCGTAGTGTGCTGTACCGCAGAGAGAAGTACAGATTCCTTTAACGTGAAAAGTTGTCTTTCACTGCAACCCTGACACTCGCCAACGAATTTCTTACAGAAGTTTGCAATTGTAGCTCAGAGGGAACTGCAATGGCCTTCGTGTGCATCTTTTCGCCAGCAATGTTGAGATGCTGATGCTGATTATGGGCTGTTAGTGTGCTGTTACGCATCAGTAGATTTAGAGCAGATACATTTTCATGCCTGGTACGAAGGGAGTCAAGAATATTGCCCGGTCATCGCCGTAGAGTCTGAAGACCTCGAACAACTGATGTAAACTCCTTGATTAGGCACTGATTCTTTTTTTTTCCGTTGGATTTTGCACCTCGAACCATTCATTGCCCCAAGATTTGAGCAGTTCTTCAGCTTCAAGTGTGACCAGGATTTCTTTTCTGTTGGTTGAATTGACAGTGAAGACGACATCTTGAAGAAACTCGACCCGGAATACATCACCCACTCTCCTTTATTCTTGGATTTTTTTGGGTCCAAACATTCCGCATCAACTGTCTCGTCGTCTCTGACTGGAAACACAGTGACCAACAACGTGTCAGCCCCGTTCGCTGCAGGTAATCCCTTCAATATGAGTTAGAAAATTCGACATTAATTGCGAAGGCTCACTTCTTTCGACGTTTTGATAATGTGTCTGTCCTGTCCAACTCGAAACATCATCGAGAATTGCACTGGAGAAGTTGGTAGGAGTTGCACCCACTGCGTTATGAATGCACTAGATTCATTTTCGAGCTTCTTGACCTCCATTTTTCGGGCTTTAGCGGATTCTGCCACAATCTAAAGAAATGAAAGAAAGTTGCTCCAGATATTATAGATGCCATATATTTTGCTTCGGAGTACGATTGATTGGACGCGTAAGACGCAAAGGGTTGGTTTGTTCTTGAGGTATGCAACACTCGAGTAAATTCGTCTTCCAGGGGCGATTCCAGCCACGTTCAACATGGCAGTAAACTTGTGCGCGAGGCGGACTACACCAAACCTACTCATGAGAAGACAACAAGGCTGATCAGCAAACTCTAGCAAGGCTCATCCAATATTCCCCAAATCGATGCATCATCATGGGAAGGACCTGAACTTGGCCGCGAATAGCCTAGTAGACTACGAGGTTGCTTGAGGCAAGATAATCACGGTAATTCCTTGTCGTGAAGTCTGCTGGGTTTGTGACAAAGGGCACCACACAATTCAGCTGCATGTGCAGGATGCCACGTTGCCATGTTGACTGAATCGATTAAGAATAGCTGCTGTTCGAGCAGTCGAGACTGTCAAGCTTGGTGGGGCGGGCTTGGCGGATGTAGCGGAGTGCCAAGCAATAATACCAAGGCTAATCCTATTCGGGAATCAGTCGTGGTGGAGATGGGTTCCCCTCTTTGCTACTGAACCCCTCGTTTGCTTGGAGGAAGAAAAGTTTGCTCTTGGCAGGCACCGTCACTGCAAGGCGCGACTCAGATCTCGCTTCTGATTATTTCAAGATACCCTCAGTCCTGTAGGATCCTTTTGAACGGACGACTTCTCCCACGCTGTGCTCTCAACCATGGCGACGGAGACATCCTACAAGGACGCTCTCCTCACTCTGCTATTGAAGGCCTCTGCTCTATCCTTTGGCACCTACACTCTCAAGTCTGGCCGCATCTCTCCCTACTTCTTCAACTCTTCCCTTCTGCACACCTCGTCCCTTCTAGACGCTCTCGCACGTGGCTTTGCTTCAGTGCTAACCTCTCCTCCTTTCTCCCTTCCCCTTGGCACCGAAGAAGCTGGCGCAGACGCAGATGGCTCGTTTGCACCTCATTTTGACGTCGTCTTTGGTCCGGCATACAAAGGAATCCCGATGAGTGCGATTGTGGCCAGAGAGCTGTTTTTCGCCGGGAAGCATTTTGCAGGTGTTTCTTATGCATACAACAGAAAAGAAGCAAAGGATCATGGAGAAGGAGGCATCGTCGCCGGAGCGCCGCTCAAGGGCAAGCGAGTGGTCATTGTGGATGATGTCATGACTGCTGGCACTGCCCTGCGAGAAGCCGTCTCCATCATCAAGGCTCAGGGTGGTATTGTGGTTGGGGTGGTTCTTCTTTTAACCAGACAGGAATGTGTCTCCGACGCAGAGCCGAGAAGTGCTATGAAGGTGGCCGAGGACGAGCTAGGTGTGCCTGTGAGGGCTGTGCTCACGTTCCAAGACTTGCTCGAAGCTATTGAGGCTGGAAAGGTCGAGGGAGCCGGGCAGGAGCAACTCGAACTCATGAAGGACTACCGTGAAAAATATGGAAGCAAAGACTGAAGCTGAAGATATATCCAGACGCGTCTTGGCTTTATCACATTCATGGAGGAAAGACGTATTACTAGACCGCTCCAGACTCACATATTTGACGAACGACAGGCTTGTGAATGTATGGCTTTTGGGCTCGCCTTTTAATCGGAGAGAGTACGCTATCATTCAGGAGGACTTGTCGGCCGGGGTTCTGAAAACAAAAGAGGGCCAGTCTATGGGCTCATGAGGACGTCTTCCTCGCCGTCTTTCCTGTGATTGCTATGAGCACCTGGTCATCATTGCCCCATCCTTCTCCTCTCTCCCAAGCTCTTTTCTCTCTTTCTCGCCTTCATCCCGGACGCCCACCCGTCGCGCTCGTCGCACTTTCACCCGACACTACCGAAGGCGATTCCGCCCAGCGACTGCTGTCTGCGACATGATATTGACCCACAACTGGGCCAAGGAGACGGCGTGTTCCAGGGTGGCATAGTGTGAGCCCACGATTGTCCCATCGCAGCCATACAACATGTTCCAATTCCCAGGCTATCAGTATCATCCTACATGTTTTTGGGGCAAGTCCCGCTCTCGCCACGGTTAACTCTAGGCGTACAGAGCACGCAATGGGAGACCACGCAAAGTGCAAAAGTGGAGGAATCCCATCAGATGAACGTCTCCCCAGCCGAAATCTAGTCTTTGATATAGGATTCTTCGGTCAAACAGCCAGATCAGAGACCCGCCGATGCACCCTGGTTCCGTTCGTCGGCGCAGGCCGAGAGGCTGCGAGCTCGGTGAAAGAATCCACCAGGTACGTACCGGCTGCAGCGAGAAGAAGACTAACAAGCTTCTCACATATCAAACAGAGAAGAGGAATCTCTTTGTGTTCGAAACCGTCTTTCATTCGTGTTACTCCGATATCTTTCGAGATTGGCGATGGTTCAACTAATGACAGTTCATCCAAGCTGCGTCAAAGATAGCCATGGTAGTGGCGTCAGTTTGCACATCTTAAATAAGAGGGATTAGGTAAGTGATATCGATCGAGTCCTGCGGCGGAGGTACAGCTAGATAGGTTCTTTCAAGCCGCAACCTCGCTTGCCCACCCACCTACACTTTCTCAGTATGCACCACCTCTGTGACGGTAACGTCTTCGCCCGCAATCTTCTTCAGCTCCATTTGTTCCTCGACGATCCCATGTCCGTCCTCAGTCAGATGCACGATGACCTCGTCGCCAAACAGGGCCCCGATCTCCTCCACCGGGATCTGCTTCGTTTCGGGGATGTAGAAGTACACGATGACGGTGGAGATGAGGCAGAGTCCCATGTAGAGGAAGTATATGCGGTATTTTCTGTCCTCGGGAATAAAATGGTTAGCGAAGGCGTAAATGGCAATTCCTCCCCGGTGGCTGAGTGGCCGTTCGTCGCAGAACCTACGACTCTCAGCCCCACTGGGGATCGGGGGAACCTTGAAGATAGAAAAGTCGATCCTTACATGTTCTTAAACGCCAGCGCTGAGGGCGTGGTGTATGTAATCGCACCCACAAAGTACGAAAAGAATCCCAGGCCGATCCCTCTACCTCGAATGTTTGTCGGAAAGATTTCGGACATCCAGATGAACGACGGACCATCGACGCATTGGAACATGACGATGTAGACGTAGATGATCAGCACGCAGCCTGCCAGCCCACCTTTGTTGTCCGTGCCGAGATATTGCCATTGGAGGATGCCTTCGAGGAGGAGGCAGACGGCTAGGGCTGGGAACCCGATGACTGTTTGGTGGGGATGACAACGTCGTTAGCATGACTGGTGCTGGAGAGGGGGAACGGAGAACCATACGGAACATTGTTCGACGACCGACTCTATCGACAGTAAAGATGGCGATCGCGACACAAATGGTACCAATTGTGGTATAGATCGCTGTTCCAAGGGTCAGCTCAGATTCTTTGCGCAGCTTCGTGGTGATAGTCCCAACCATAGAGCAGCAATGGCATGACGCCACTCATTCCCAGGCTGGTAAAGATCAGGACAAGGAAGTTGGCTATCCCCAAGATCTAGTCCACGTCGTCAGCCGAATGTTACGGAGACAGTTAAACTGGGGGATACTTGCACCAGTGGACTGGGCCGCGAACCTAGAAGGGGAAGTTTAGCGCGAATTCCAGCACGCTCGGCGGGCGACTCACTGAATGAACAAGGTGAGCAGGCTCCTGTGCCGCCACGATGGGTTTCTAAACATTTCAACGTACCCAGCTTTTTGCTCCTTGTCGAATTCCACCTGTCTCACGATCTGTATGTATTCGGCGTGTGCTGCTGAGTCCGTTTCATCACCGGGATCGTGATGGATCTTTTGAAGCACTTCCCATGCTTCGCTGGCTCTGTTCTTTAGGCAGAGGTATCGGGGGGACTCTGCAGGGCGGTCAGCATGCCCACCCTATCACTGACGGAAGCCGGGCGCACCTGGTATGAAGGGCAGCCCCAGGAGAAGGGCCACTGGCCCAACACAGGCAAGTGCCAAAGGTACTCTCACTTGGACATTGAATGTCTTTGCATAGTAAGTTCCGATAGAGATCCATGCGCACCTGTAAGGCATCAGTGTTATTTCCCTGCACATCAAGAAGCATGGACATACACAACGTATCCCATCCCGAAGCTCAGCGTTGTGAGCCCACTGAGCAAGCCTCGATGACGAGGAGGTGCAACCTCGGTCAAGTAGAGGGGAACAAGGCAAATGAGCATGCCTAGACCGAAACCATGCAGCAACCGAACGGCGATGAGCATACCAATTGCGACGGAGCCTGTGATCAGGGCAGCGCCAATCAACGAGGATATAGCAGCGACCATGAAGGCTTTCTTTCTCCCGATGACATCGACGAGCCAACCTTGAGCCAGAGCGCCGATTGCCAAACCGAAGTTGAATAAAGCATTGATTGCTCCAAGGATGCTGGAGGAGGGTTAGATCTTTGATTAGGACGAGAATGCAAGATACTTGCTTTGCGGTGTAATTGCTGGTTGCTGCCAGAGGATCAGTCACTACACGAGAAGTAAGGGCAGAAAAAAACTTGCGGTCAAGGTCGAAATACTCGTAGAAGGAAGGCTGCCCGATGCTGGTGACAAATATGGCAAAGCCGAAGCCATAGCTGTAGCCTCCCCAGGAGACGACCAGGCAGATAGCGATGTTGTACCACGTAAGTTTGCCCATCTTGCATCACAGGGAGTCTGTAATCAGGTGACGGGTGTTGAGAAAGTCCTTGTGATAGAGATGTCTCGATAGACTCGACAGCAGTCCATCACCCTTTATATCCCAGAGAAAACCAGCCGCGAAGTACGAGTATATGTATAGATTCCGAACCCACTCTACCTTCATACCGAGACAACATAGTACCCCGGACTTTGATAGCTCGGCTCCCACATGAGCTCCATGGCCCATGGGACAAGATGTGGGGAAGATGGATTTTGCGTTGTTCTGGGTCGGTCTTCCAACAGTCTCAAGCATGTCTGGAAGGTCTGCGAACAACTCATGTGGAGTCTTTCTCCAGTCTGTCATTGGGACAAAAGATCAGGGCGTTCCTGAGACCCTGAGATATCGAATGGGAATGTTGTTGATGGCGACTTTAGTTTCTGACATTGCATTCCTAATTCTGACATTGTTGCTGTCAGAAATGAAGAGCCACGGTAAAATAGTCGGCTAATCAGTGACTCAGCGGGGAGCGGTGAACTGTACTCGGTATCCCGGTATTCCTATTACTTGTCTATCTGCCCAAGCCGGATTCAAAAACCAGTGGTATGGTCTGACAAAGTAGAGTGATTCCCCTGTCAATCATATGCGATATAGCGGCCGCTTTGTCGTTATTGAGCACTTTATGGTATGTGCTTTCGCGTAATGGCGGTTGTGGTTATACGCCAAGGTATCTATGATTCGACCAATGACTCTTGATGGTACAGCGGTTAGTGATTTGGCATGAAACGCTGGCGAGGCTGAGACCATCAGACCATCACGTCGACATTGTGCTGCTAGAGACTGCCCAAGGCTCCGTCCTCTCAACTGTTCCCAACATGGTGACAGTCGTCAAACTTCCTCCAACTCACGTCGCTTATTTACAATTCGTCTCTCCTCGTTCCCGCATCTGAATTCTTTGATTTCACACAGCCACTGCCCTCTTTCTCACATCCTCTAGGACAATCCCCGTCTGCAAATTGCCATCTGAACAACTCCTCAGTCTCATTCGCCAGCACTTCCCCCAAGATCCGCGTCCGGTGCGCAGACAGTCTGCCGACACTTCGGGAGAAGATTTCTCTCGAGCGGATGACGATTTGAGGCCAGTCGTACGAGCGGAGCGTGGGGATTGACGTGGAGAAGATGTATTCGCGGAACCCGCCGTAGATGATTGCGGAGGAGCACTTCAAGCCGTTTGCAGATGTCAGAGACGCATTTGCTCAAGGGAGAGTCAACCCCCGGAAATGTTCGGAAGGTCACAGATGGGGAAAGCCTGGGGCATCTTACCATAGGACACGCCTCGGCCGTGGTATACAGACTCAAATCACCCAATGCGCTCAGCGCCTCAGGTCCCGAGAGCTTGTATGGCCCATCAGGATCAGTCAATATTCGGCTGCAGTTGTTAATGGCTGCTATTTCGCCTTTCAGCAAGTCAGCACGGTGTTCTATTATATCGCCGGGTGGTGAGAATCCAATGCATTTTGATGGAACGCTGGATACAAGAATGAGAATGAGAATGAGAATGCAGGGGACGGGGAAAACAGCCGCCCTTTATACAACGCCGTAACCCACGACCGGGCTTCTCGAGACTCTGGAAAGTAACAAGAGAGAAGACTCATCAAAGCCATGCTTTCTTTGCCACCGGCACGAAACCGACCACTTAGGCAACTCACCGTGCAAGGTCGGATTTCCATCCCTCGCCATCGAATTTGCACCGATGCACACCTCCTGGCCCAGCTGGCTCTCAGCCGTTCCTATCTCGGACGCAGTATGATTGACGATGACTGCCCCGAAGGCCGCAAATGGACAAGGGCTACCCTCGTTGATATCCGCCAGGGCCCCGATCGCACGCCGCATCCAGTACGCCCGGGTCGAGAAAGGGAGCGGGTCGGGGCTGAGGTCACTGTCGACTCTTCCACCGGTGTAGCAGGGGTTGGAAGGGTCGTAGAGATCACAGCCGTAGGATTCGGCTGAACATGAGAGACGGAGGAGAAGGAGGGCCCAGACGATAAAGGAGAGCGGCATATTTCAGGGGAACTGAAGACTGGAGAGGCTCGAACGCGACAAAGATTGAGCTATGAAACGATAGCAGCATTCAATAACGTATCGCTGACCTTGCTCTGTCTAAGATGAATTCCCGATCATGCCAGATGTAGTTGATATGAAGTCGAAGAACCGAAAATGCAGGGGCCAGCGCTCATGTCCGGTCATCAAGTCCACCTCCCCCGGCTGGTGCGCCCGGCAAGATCCTCCACATATCCCCCAGATATCGCGCGACCTTTCTTCTACCAGGTTCTCAGTCAATGTCCTCAACAGTGTCGATCATCTGTGCAAGATCAAGACGCTCTACGACAGCGCCTGTTGTTTGCTGGACCCTAAAGCCGACCCCATTTGAAGCCTTGCTCATCCCTACGTCAGGATTCCACAGAGGTATCAGGTCCAACAACCTGGGTGGGAGATAGGATTGTGTCTCCCCAGAACTTATTGCCGGTGTAGACGCACTGCGCTGGGTGCCTGCTCTCTGCGTTTGGAGTTTTAGCGTCTCTTTCTCATGCCGTGCAGCAGCATTTGCCGGCATCGTTCGCGCAGCAAATACGCTCGGCCACTCTACCACTTTGAGCGCTAATTTCTGTATCTCGAATGCGACGTAGCCGGGCGAGACGAGGACGATCTTTTGACGAGCCACCGGATGGTCACTATACTGCTCAAGCATCCGAGCAAATCCATTATCGAGGCAGGCAGCGACAAATATTGCGTGACAATTCGGCGTTGAGAGATAGAGGTGGAAGTTTTCTGTGATTATGAATGGTCAGTTAATTCATAAGTGTCTTGAACAAGGAAGTCAGGCCACACCTCTAATTTTGTCGTCTGCCCTCTCCTTCCCTCTTCCGGCATCGAAGAAATCGAACAATGGGATTTTCTCGGTGAACTGAACCGCAAAATCGGCTGCACTCACACCCGGGGGAACACTTCGACGCCGGGTGTGTACCATGCCTAATCGACTCCCACTCCCAAAGTTGAGGAAAACGCGAGTGACGACCTTGGATGCTATTGGGATAGTCCCATTCTGATTCAAGATGTACTTGATGACTTCATTGCGGATGCTTGTAGCGGCGATGGCACCTGGGCCGGGACCCTCGACGTGGCTGACTGCCGAAGCGCCAGCTTGCGGACTACCATAGCCGGAGATATTTGAAGCCCACTATTTGTTCTCGCGGAGTTAGTGGATCGAACGGTATAGCACGATGAGATAAATGCTCACGAGGTAGGCATCGCCATCTATCAACACAACAACAAATGGTTGTGCCGGCAGAGGAAAATCTTGTGCGAGGGTGGCCATAGGGTCGTGTGGTGGCTCGACCCTTGTGGTGCACCTGAGATACTCTAGATCAAGCTGAGTATCAATCAGCTTCTCCTCCACCTTCCGAGCCTGCTTATTCATGGCTTTTAAAGATGCCGTCTCGGTGTTAAGTCTTGCTTGAAGTTTGGCGACATGAACAAACTCGTTTTCCAAGCTGACTTTGAGATTCTTAGCCCGTGCCTCGAGGGTTGCACATTTACCTCGCTCCTCTACCAGTAACCGTTGCGCTCTGGCGGCCTTTTCCCGTTCAGATTCTAGAGACTTGGTGAGTTCGTACAGTTCGGTGCGGTACTTGTCAAATTGAATGTTTGCTTGGTCACAAAGTTCATAAGCAAATTCAAGTTCCAACTGCAAGGCTTCCACCTTGTCAGCGAGGGTGTCGAAGTCCATGACATCGCTGAAACTCGCATTATCCACTGTCGCTCGGTTCTGGGTTTGGACATGAGCGCTCTCATCAACATCAGACTTGCCTTCTGACCGGAGCAGTGAACCAAGCAAGCTGATGCACCCTGACATGAAGAAAGTTTTGGCTGTGTTTGAGGACCGAAGGTGTGAGGACCAAACGCGTATCGTCGAAATGCTGTTTAAATTCAGAGCCTCTTGGCACTGCGGCACCCGCTAGTATTTAAATGCAAGTCTCTTCCAGCACCGATAGGTCTTCTCTTCGTTCTCAATCCTATTCATCTTTATGACCCCTAGATTGGTCTAATACATTCCTCTTCTACTGTAACTGAGTCTCTTCGTCTTGCCTCACAGGTTTTCGTGTATACCAACTCGAAACCTACCTTGCTGTTCAATCATCGACCTGTTCCTCTCTTTGCATTGTACTATGGACGGCTTGACGCTGACGATGGAACGCTCACGATCGCCCCATAAATGCAAGTCGATTTTGACAGAGAAATCTTTTGAACCATGCCGAAAAGAATCATCCCTAACTTCACCACGCTGCCCGTCCACCTCACCTCGCAAACGAACTTCCATACTAGATACGACCATCTTCGAACCTCCAACAAACACGGAATCCCTATCTGATCTTTTAAATCAGAACCAGGCCAACCACGATACCCTCAGAGAGAAAATTCGGGGCTTGAAACGGGTAATAGAAAATCTCGAAGATGGCTCAGCCAAACGACTGAAAATGACCGAAGACTGCCTGTCCTACGAACTCGACTTGAATATCAACGAGCTGGAAAGAACGAAGATACAGCTTAAAATGAATAGTATCACGAAAAAACAGGCCGTCAAATTCAATGAGCAACTCTGGGGTCAACGAATCAATCTCAACGGTCTCCGTTTCCGGGCCTCAGTGGACCTTTACGATAGCGAATTGCCCGACATGAAGGAGATGAATATCAGATCAAACCAGAACAGGATGAACGCTCGGCTCGCTGTTAATCTCTACTTCACCAAATCTAACCGACAGCTATGTACCGGGCTCCAAAAGGACCCGAAACGAAAAAACGATCTGACGCAGAGGAAATTTAGAACAGAATTGATTGATGTCTATAACTCAAGAGACCCTACGGATCCTACCTTCTTATGGTGTCCAGTCTTAAGGGCTTACTTCGATCCGAGTCTAATGACAGCGGCCCATCTCATGCCATACGCTATGCCGGACAAATTCATTGAAGAAGTTTGCGGACCTGGCTCGTCTCTATATAAGATGAAGCCAGAAAATGGATTGATGCTCAATTTTCGAGTCAAAAAAGCTTTCGATATGGGCCATATCTTCATAGCCCAGACCCAAGACTCATCCCCTGAAAAGCCTGAATTCGAAGTCATCGTAGTGAACCCCGATAAAATTATCTTTCCCATAAGAAGGGGCGTAACACTGAAAGCCCACGACATTCATCATCGACGTCTACAATGAGGCCCTCTTAATGAGTCTGGCACGGGGAATACCTATGTTCCCGGGACTGGAACGAATTACAGGCCATCTGCGCGATTTCTCTATGCAAGATACGTTCTGGAACGCCTTAAATTACTTTGGAGATATGAAGGAGGGCGTTTTGTCGATAATGACTGGCAGATTTCGCTGATCCAAGAGCTACGTCTCCGGAAGCCCTGGCCAACCATTGGGCCGTACCTATGGGAGTCTGGTTATTTGCAGGATTGGACGAAGGAGATTGGTCTCCCTTTCGATGCCGATTTGCTGGAAGACGTATACAAGGCTGCTGATAAAGAAGCTGATCCGAACTGGAAGGCACAGGTTATGGAGCTCCCTGAACGCGAGAGAACGCTTGTTCGCAGGTCGACTTTGCAGGACTATCTTGGCAACAAAAGAGCGGTCCAGGAGGAGGAGGAGGAAGAAGAAGAAGAAGAAGAAGAAGAAGAAGAAGAAGAAGAAGAAGATGATGATGATGATGATGACGACTCGGAGCTAGACGATGACACCAGCGTATGCGAATGAAAAGGTGCGGCTCGAGATAGCTGAAGCACTGTGCAACATGGAACGGGCCAGCCAGGAATGAAGCGGCATAACTGATGGAGATCTGCACCCAGCCACCGACGAGCTGAACACGAGGCTTGATAAGTTTGTGGGCAACTGTGCCTCTGGTGCTCAAGAGACGGCAGGTTGAGGCGGACGGAAGCTGAAGGGTCGACCTTAATGGCACATTGTTCAGTGGTATAGTCGGGAGAGAATGGAAACAGATGCTCCTTCATTTATCCATACGACCCCCGGGGGGGGGGGGAATAGAAGTGTGTTATGTGCCTGCAACCAAACTCTGAAGAGTATGCATAGAAGGAATGACTATCTAAATCACGGGGTAAAGGCGAGCGAGACGAAATAGAGAAGGAGAGAATATCGCGAGAATCCGACGAAAGAGGTCAACCAAAAGGATAGTGGAAATTTGTAAGCGATGAGGAGTCACCACAGCGGAGGCGGCGACGCCTGATGCGAGCGGGGCGGGGGACTTGGCGCCACGCGGTATCAGAAAAGAAATGTCCCATGGTCCAGTTAGTTCATGGGCAGGTGCAAGATGCAGTCTTTTGCAGATTTGAATAGTACATTCAGTTTTGTTGTCTGCAATAGAAAGCTGCGCCGGTCTCTGCACAGCGTCATGGAGGTACATGTGCAGGGCCTTGGGCCCTGCAACACACAACACAATTCGGTCCTTGATGGTACACCATCCAAGGTGGCCTAGAAGCCTCTTCCGCTGGCTGCCATCCTCTCCAGACTAGGCACGGCGTTGAAATTGCCGACGCCCATTCCTCCATTGATACCCGACATTGCTCCCATTGTGCCTGCATGAATAGGCCGATTGCCCATGCTGGGTTGCTCTTCTAGGTCCTCGTATCTCAATGTGTAAATCCGCCGAACCTTCTTCCAAAGTTTCGTGTCCCACCAGATGTAGTAGCCTTGCTCGCTCACTTTGTCATCCAGTAGCACCGGGCTAGGCGACGCGTCGTCCCTGGTGAGCCACTGCTTCTCTCTCATGTGGTACCGCCATTTGCGCGCCACCAGCTCTTGAGCCACCAGCATTTGTATGTAATCCCGAGGCATGGTGTAGAATATGAAGAATAGTGTTTCATCCACAAAACCGGTGATTCGAGTAGACAGTGGTGCGATTTTCTTGACAGTGTAGCAGTCTGGTATGCTGTACTCCGAATCCAATGGCCGCAGTGGTGTTGCATTGGCTTCGGCCCATGGCCCGGGGTAGGATGACAGTAGGGGTTCTTGAGAGCCCATGTTGATGCCGAGAGTTGACAAGTCTACCCCCCTCATCAAACTTCTTGCAGCTGGGCTCGCATTGTCTTGTTCTGCAACATAACCCTTCATCCCGAATCGGTCTCTTTCACCCATACCTGCGAAGATCGAGTCGTGGTCGGCTCTTGTTCCGATCTCCCGATCTCCGAACATATCTCGCGGCTGCATTCCCAGTGACTGTGACGGCGATTCCTGTAACTGCGTCCTTCCATCTTGCCCCAAGAATCTCTCTTGACCTATGGCCGCATTCATACTCTGAGATATAGGCGATCGAGCTAGAAATCCACCGTCAGCAGTTGGCGCGGTCACATGAGTGGGGGAGGTATACAAATTTGTGTCTGTCCGGACGGCGAAGTTACTCTGCTTGGGTCACCAGGCGTGATGTCGCCCTGTTGATTTGCTTGCCGCTGCCCCAGCCCGGGAGGCCCACTTGGTGCTTGGCTTGCTCGTCGTACAGGTTGGGAAGCTTCCGAGGAGAACTCCATCGGAGCATTCCTGGAGTAGGTATCAGTGGGATAGAAGCCGTCTCTACCGGTTGTAGGTTGTTGCTGTCGAGAGGAGATATGAGACCGTGAAGCTTGCATTTGCTGTCTCTGTGCCTGTTCGTTCTGAGGTGGCCCAGTCTGCCAGGCACTGGAACCAGCACTGTGGCTTTGCGATTGAAGGCTGCTGTTGTTTAAGCTGGGGAAGGATGACGCCGATAGATCGAGTTGCGTGTTTGCTCTCGAACCCATAGCTTGTGCCCAGCTATCTGGCGCTACAGAGTCTCGTGCTTGTTGTGAGGGTGCTGGAAGGCCGCCTTGCCCCCAAGTTGCTGCCGCTGTGTCAGCAGATATCTCTGTGACTGATGGATAGACGTACCAGGCTTACCCGCAACAATCCTGCCGCTGTTAGCGGATCGGCCTTGTGTGTGTTGATTCATGTTGTTCACAGCAGGAAGTTGTCGTCCTTGTCCTAGAGAAGATTAGTTAGCACGTGGCACCAATGCAGGTACGAAAAAACAGCAATGTTAACGAGCTATTTACAGAAAGGTCCACTTCAATAGAGGAACCCCACGTGACCCGACAGACCTGCCCTGCGGGTTTATCCCAGTTGTAAAGGGAGCGAAAGCACAGGCTGAGCTTTCCGTGAGCTGAAGGACCCTCTGGTTGGATCGGTGCGAAATGGGCCTCTAGATGCCGTCATGCAGCCGCGAACTTTGGTGCTTGAAGAATGTCTCTGCATCCATAGCCGTCTGCCAAAGCGCATGGCTCCGTAGCCAGTTGCAGAACTTCTACCGCCATTGCGTAGGCTCAGGAAATCTCTTCCGCAACTGTTGCCTTGGTGTGACCGCGCCAGGCTGGACCCACGGAATTGAATGTATCACGCACTCGCGGCATATCCATTCATCGCGACTTCCGGTGTGCTCAAAAGACAGCGCTGTCTTGTGGGAGAGCGGTGAAGCTTTGGCTGATACTTCACGCTTTGCGCATTTGTGTCGTAAAGCCGTGCGAAATGGCATCCTCTTTCCCAGCCGTGTGTGCAGGTTGCCCCCCTCTTTCGAGCCATCTAGCATCCATAATCGGCCATCCGTGCGAGAACAGCTGGTGCGACATATGCATCTCATTCCCCGTGATCCATCAAAGTCCATCAAAGAGAAAATTGAACGCAGTGTGCCGTGCGAGGGAGCCGCAAACCCACCTTGTCGATTCATCTCGGTTTTCGACTTGGACAGTCGGTATCGAACCCAGATGCTTTCGCACAGGGGAGAGTGATTACTCAGTGCGCAAATCTCAGATCGGTCGTGTTGGCGTACGCGTCAGTGATAAGGAGGTGAGGGAGGTGTTGTCTGTTGTTGACCGGTGTCGTTCACAGGTCCTCTAGAGGCTCAAGGCGCAGTCTGCAGTCCGCATTCCGGATCCAGATCCAACCTGCTGGCCTTGGCGCGACTAGGATCCTAATGCATGTCCGCCGAAGACACGAAGCACGGGCCATTCATTAAACACTTTCCAGCCTGGTGGCACAGTTTTAGAATTGTGAAGAAGCTATGAGACCCTCGCGATTCACCAGAGATCTTTTTACATTAATGGAACTCGTCTACAAACGTCTTTTAGCCTCCGATTCGCTGAATCCTCGACGCCCCAAGCTCAAGCATGCGCCCGCGTCTAAGCATCATGGTCAATTGACTGCCTGTGGATTGATGAGGCTAACTCTATTGCCTTCCGCAAATGGTTCGTTCGAGAAGACGCTGCTCAACCGGTAACGCCGTGCTCACTAATCCCCAAAAACGATTCAAAGCAACAATCCAATGGCGAGTTCGACATTGCCGCCGGCCTGTCGAAGCGCTGCAATGGCCTCCTCTCTTGAAAAGCCCAGTTCGGTTACTTGCGCGATCGATTCTGCTGTGATGGGCCGCGGTTCCCCAAAGTTGCTAGAATTTGCGCCTGGTTGAGACACAGAAGGTCCGGCAGGCGTAGTGGTAGACGGTTGCCCAGCTGTGCTGGCGCTCCACTGACCTGACCCCGATTGCTGGCCAGCCGACGATGCTCCTGGAATGACAGTCCCGGTAGTGGTGCCAATCGTGCTTCCTCCAGGTCCTTCAACCTTGGGCTCGTTTTCTAGAACCTCCTCCATCATCTTGGGCAGCTCGCTTTCCGGCAAGAACGGGATCTCGTCATTTTCAATTCGCAGGCAGTTCTTTTTCAGATCGATGCACATCTGGTGCCGCTTTAGCATATCGAGCCCTAATAGCAAATCCACGTCTTTGCCTTCCATAACAGTGAAGCTGCTGGCTAGGTTGTACTGTCCAATTTGAATCTCGGCCGAATGGACTCGTCCCAAGATTTGGGCAGTACCAACGCCTTTTGCTATGCCTCCGAATCGTTTGTCAACCAGCCGTAGGATGCCACACCGTTCGGCAGCTGACGGGGACATGATGGTGGTCTGTGCGCCTGAGTCCACGAAGGCTTTGATAGGATGGCCGTTGACGACAACATCGATATAAAGCATGGTGACTTTACCAAACGCTGCAAGACGAGTATTAGACCAACTCTGCCAAAGCGCAGATCTTTGACTTACCTTCGGGAAACTCTTCCACTGCTTTTTGCATGTTTTCTAGAACACGGTCTTGTCGGATCATTTCCTCAATCTTTTGCTGCGCGTCGACATTGAATGGGTCCGCTTCTAGCAGCGCAATCTGCTCCTCTTTCTCTCTCTGCATCTCGTCCCTGTGTCTCAGCCTCTCCTCCAGCAGATCATGGAATCGTTGTGGATCCTGAGCGGCAGCCGCAAGTTCGGGATCTTGTCTCCGAAAACCGGTCATGACGGCCGCGTCTCGTAACAAGTGGGATCTGAGTTGCTCGGTATCATTCATGCTTCTTAACGTTGGTGCCGCAGGCTGGCCGCTGGGGGTACCTTGAGCCGGCCGTCGTCTTGGAGGAGTTGCGTGAATGGCCATGGCTATTAAATCACCTTCCTGGACATTAAACTGGGCGAGCGTCATGGAGGTGTCTGTGACTGGCATCCCATCTTTTAAGAACATCTGGGCAGATGGAGGAACACCGATCTCAGCTTCGACGAAGGCTTTGATGTCGTTCAGGGTCATATCGGGGCCGACATCGAGAGTGATGAGATCTGTCTGCAGCTCTCTGTCTGACGAGACAATAGTTATAGAGATACGCCTGCAGATGCGTCAGTCCGGAACAGGGTGAGGAGTCTCATTAGATCGCTTGCACCTACATGACGGCGGTTGGGCTGTGGAGGATGGGGTTGTATCAAAAGGGCTGTTAGACTGCGCCGGCGAGTTGTCGAATATCTCTTCAAACAGGACAGTGACGATCCGAACAAATGCAAACCCGGGAAGTAGAGAATGTCTCGTCAAGGGGACAGAGAGCAGTTGAACGCGTTCAAGTATGATTTCTCATCAACGCGGCAAACAAAGGAAATATTGCCTTATGGAAGAATTGGATGTTCACAGAAGAACTACTCAGGCATATTTGCGATGACGCACCAGTGGGCCGGCCGCTTAACTTGCTGTATATAGGTATAGCGGCTGGTACTGGGTACATACTGGGTATTACCTGGAGCCTCCCCCTAGAAGGCAAAGAGGGACCCTCTGATTAAGCGTTGCCTGCCTAAAATAACACGCCGCACAACATACCTAAACTCCTGGCGGGGGCACAGGGTTCAGTCCCAGCCCAGGCAGTTTGCCCCCAAAGCCCCTCCCACTTTTGCCCACCCCTACCTCCGTACTAAAACTGGGAGGAGCAGGCGCGGTGCCTTCGGACCTAGAGTCGCGTGCCGCGCAATTTCTTCATCTCACTTACTGCTTGAGCCACATCATACTCCCACCAACCTGCCATACACTTCGTTACTTCGCTTCTCCATTGACACCCATTAACCAAGCGGTTGGCTATTTCCAGGGACAGTGATTGCGCTCCGCTCCTCTGTCAATCTTGACCTAGCGACTGCACCCTTCTTTCCCTGGTCTCTTGCCCCCGTATGTGTCAGGCCTGACGCAAATTGAATTTTCACTCACGCCATTTTTTGTGGCTTTCTCCCCTTGGGCCTTCCTTCCCATCTTGCATCTTCAAAGAGAGCAATCTTGGAGCTTCTCAATCAAACAGCCAAGTCAGTTACTAGCCAACTGGCGCGAGTCCGACTTGCTGTCCAATCCTTCTTCAATCGGCATCTCACAGTAGAAGTCGCCTGTTTGTCCGGTTGATGACTGCTCTGAACCAGTCAAAATGCCCCCAAACCAGGATCCCTCGAGCCAATCAGAGGAATCCACCAAGCCGAGTTCCGCCAAGGTAGACTCCAGAGGCGGTCAACTCTCCCAAGACGAAGATGGCTTTATCGATATCCAGCCCGAGGACGTGGAAATGCAAGACAGCGATTCGGATGCCGCTGCCCCACCTCCGAAACCCTCGTCTGACTCTTTAGAGCTACAGCGTATTAGTCATTCCGACAAAGCTGAAGAGGTACCCGAGGAAGAAGACGATTCCGAGGACGACCGTGATTTCATGGCCAGCCATCCCTTGTTGAACATGCTAACTGGGCGGCTGGGGGCACGCAGACGGGGCTCGTCGCACAAATGGGACCGCCTTCATCCTGAAAACCAAGCACTATCTGTATCTGATGTGGATCAGTGCACTTCACTTGAAGAGGCTGCTTTCCCGCCAGAAGAGAGGGCAAGCCGGGAAAAGGTATGGCTTTGACAAAGACTATTTCCTATACAAAACACTACATGAAATGCCCCTCTGCTGATCCTTGGTCGTTTCGCTGACAATAGCTGTCACTCAGTTCCAGTACCGTTTGACCCGATGTCCGGAGTTGAGTTTGGGGCTCTTCACCCAGCCGACAAAAGCAGAGTTGAAAGATTCATCAACACCGTCTCAGCGACGGCTAATAGCGCATATCGTCTCGACCAGAACTCCTGCGCCCTGTGTCACTGAGGCTTCGATGGGCGTTCCCTCAAATTGGAGGACGAGAAGGTCTTCACTGCCATCCAGCGATGACAAGGAGCCTTTGGGCCACCAGGACATGGGAGGGACTATCTGTGTTCATTCTTTGGCGGTGGCACCCGAGTTTCAGAGAATGGGATTGGGTTCCATCTTGATGAAGTCCTACATCCAACGTATGAAAGATTCCAAGATCGCTGACCGGATATCTCTACTTGCCCATGATCATCTTGTCCCATTCTACACTGGGCTTGGATTTGAAAACATGGGACCAAGCGCGGTGACATCCCACGGCGGAAACTGGAATAATATGGTAACTCTCAGCATCATTACCATGTTGCGGAATGGACTGACTAACCTGACACCAGATAATCGAGTTTAATCATGAGGATGATGACTAGACGCGGATTATGTCGCTACGAAACACCTGCACGGCCGCCTTACTTGTCGCGCCTGGTTGGCATCAAAACAGTCCTAGGGCCAGATTATGGGAAAACCCTCGCTCGGATTGGACGGACGACACGCATATTTTACCTTTGGCCTTGATACGACATTTGGCGAAGGAGGCTGGCAATGGTTTCCATGAAGGTTGATTATTAGATGAAGCCGTGCAAAACGGAATGAGCAAGGGTGTATCGGCTCCAGTGTCGTGTTCAACTGCCTGAGACATGTCGTGGTGTACTCGGTATATGTACGGGTACTGACGTCCAGAAAATGAACACTGAGTTTTGCTTCCAGGAGGCATTTATGGCCATCATGGGATTATGTGTGTATCTTGGTCCGAACAAAGGGCACAGGAAGGCAGGCCAGTGGGCGTCTGTCCTGCCGCCCTCCCCCTCGGCTACAACCACGGTCCAGCCACGGCTAGTGACAAAATCTTTTGATTTTGGGATTTACTGGTAGTTCGTCTGCTCGATCAGATTTTTCGTAGTGGTAGTTGGCTGACAAGAGGTCGATGGAAAGGAGCAATCGGGGGTTGAACGTAAAGCCGAGGGAAGAGCAGACGGACGGCCACCAACCTCACCAATGACACTCCATGCAATTAATTCACTCCGCTTGCAGCACCTGGTGTGGCGGGTGGCACTTCGCTTCAAAACTCCCGGTTTGTTCCTTGTCCCCATCATCGCCCGATGAGGGATGGATGGAGGGATGGATCCGTATTCCACTGTCTGCAGGTGACGATATTGCTCTGGAAATCTACTCCTCCTTCCGCCATGATTCATATCTAGGGTTATCTTCTCTAATATCCTCGATCTTCGGTTTTCCGCCTCTGGCTGATCCTCAATCTCTGTTCGAGTCCTTTCCGTCCCATCGAAAAGGGCAACCCACTGTCTAGTTCAGCCCTGCTGCATCTCGGAAGTCCTTGCCGAACTTGACGGTACAAGATTATTCGCCTGAGTCGCCCGCTGCTGAGCGCCTCCCCACGATTTCGAGCCCAGTTCCAGCTTGGGCAGAGCGCGCTAGTTGGCGTATACGAGATACATATGGTCGTCTTGCGGACAGCCCAGAACCGAACAGGATAAAAGCGTGGAGGAACCTCACGGAACAGTGCGGGAGAAGGGCGTCTACAGTCTACAGGGTCAGGCACATTCAGGCCTATCGCAGCCTGCGCTCACCAATTCCTAATCGGTTACCGAGCATCAGGTCATTCGTTTAAAGACCTAACCTGGGCCGCGACGACAATCCGTCAACGACTTTTCCCTCTGCTACCTGGCATCACTCGCCAGAGAGCAGAATCCGTAGACACCATGCCCACCAACCGACCCTTCTTCGCCAACTTCTTCTCGGCCTTTCGAGCCCGCACCAACCCGACGTTCCAGGCAAAATCCAGCTCGGCCTACGATGCCGTGTCGCCGGGCTCGCTTGTTGCCGCTGCACATGTTTCTACAACCACAGCGACGGTAACCTCGTCTGGCACAAGAACAATATCTACGAAAGCGACCGGCGAGGCCTCGACCTCATCACAACAAGCGCAGTCAAAACCTAGCTCGACCACCCCTCTTCCTTTTTCGTCCAACCCAAGTTCACACCGATACGCAACGCCTCTGTCCAGGTCCCCCGGGACGAGTTCACCCGGCCCTCATGCGACGCATACAGCCCCGAACCTATCAATGTCCCCGCCGGGCACATCAACCCCCATGACGAGAGGCCGACAGAGACGTGGCAGCGACAGCTCTAACTCTTCAGGAGGATTCATCGATGCCTTGGGCCCGGAGAAATGGTATATCGGCGGCCGGAATGCAGCGGGTGAAGAGACATTTTACAAACTTGGCTTGGTAACAGGTGGAGCCGGGAGGAGGGTTCGCAGCTTGGACCGGTTGAGTCTTTGAATTCGGGAAAAGCTGTGGAATCACTGTCCAAGAAGAGAAGGAAAAGACAACATTGAGTTGCAATGCGAAGTCACAACGGCGACCCTTTCAAACACAAAAGGCTATGGGGTCGTTATCCACAAATTCTCAATTTTCCACGATCAGCTCCTCGTGACACGTCTTGTCATCACTTCCCAGCGGCTCCAGGGACAAATATTCCCAGAAAGGCCAGAGGGAAAGCCGGGGAACTTAAGGCTTCGTGGTGGGATGAGATGAGACGAGCGGCGGCGAACGTTGAAGAAATGGGTTAAACCACTCTTTCCAATGAGGGCGTACAGAGCAAGGCGTCAACGGCGTTGGGATCTATACAAAAAAGATGCAATGGCAATGGGCATAGGGGGGCAGATCTTTACGGCGTTGCACATATTGACGAGCAGGTGATATCCTTTGCTCTCCTCTGGTATGGGAAAGCATTAGCTTGCACGGGTATGCAACATACATAGCCATGGCAGTGCCTAAAATATGACAGATCACGACCAGAAGAAAATCCTGTTCCCGTATTCGGAACTCCATGTTCTGTACTCGGGTACCACAATGGCGGATTTTCCTCCTCCCAAGGCAGCGGAACGGAGGGGAACAAGACTCAGTAAATACGTACAGGTCAGCTGCCCAGTATTTACAACCGCACGAATACCGAAATTGGCAGCACGATCACACACAAGCGGTCTAATGAGCTTGTATGCCTGGCGGAGGCGAATGCATGAGGAATATGTTGATTATGGCATGCTGCATATGTATGCAGATGGCGGAGACATAACAAATATCCAGCACCATACTCACTCGGTATGAGGTACTCCGGGTAGGAAATGGTTACATACTTGTTACAGAGCCTGGCTGTGGGTTTGTCGCTACCTCAAACGGAGCCGCCATTGATTTATTCCCATTCGCCTTCCGAGGGAAAATCTTTAATCCGTCTAATTACCGTATCTGGTTCAGACTCTGTGGTTTTCATAACCCAGCAGCTTGTGTGATGCCTCAAAACCGTAAATGTTCATTGGCTCGAGCCCCCAACTCCCTTCCACCACAAAGCACCCATCCTGATTCTCACAGAAGCCGTGGTCCGCTTCACGCAGCCCGTGTGATCACCCTGCTGGGTTCCACCTAAAATACGAGACCATCGAAGTCCTGTCGTGTCATTCTGGTGTGTAACAATCTGTTCCTTTTTCGCTTGCCGTCGTTTGCTGATTGATTGCCCTGACCACAACAGAGGAATGCTTCAGCACCAAAATCTGACCTTCTCCATCCACGAGTGCGACTTTTACTCGGTCATCAATGCTGAGGCAATCCCCAAGCTACCTCAATCCCAAACCCCCTTAGGTATTGGACATACCTAGGCTTCCCCAAGGGGCCACACCAGGCCTTGTTCAGTGCGGGTCAAAGCAGACACCCGGTGCCACCAGTGCTTGTGTAGGGTAGTTTGGCCCCTCCTCCAGCCTGTTTCATCTCCTACTTGCACCCTTGAACGCCTCCTGCACGCGCCGGCTCCTCGAACAAGACGTTTCAGTGTGTGCTCCGTACCCCGTACGGAGTACTGTGGTACAGATTGCGTCCTTGGGCCACAGTTGTGGAAATTTTGTTTTGGGGGATGCGAAAAACTAAATCTCTACAAGTGTCGCATGGCATTTGCTGCACAGTTGAACAAGCGAGAAAGTCAAAAAGCCGAACACCTGGACTGGGCAAACGGGGGCATCCGAAACCGACCCAAGCATTCGTGGGCTGCTAATTAGTTGCAGCGCAGATCTTGGAGCCAGTGGCCATCTGGTGCCCCCTGACGAGTGCCTAGTGGCTGCCATCTTACGGAACCCTCATCTGGCGCAGCAAGTCCCAAATCCGCTTCAAGCCGGATGCATGGGACAAGAACAACAGATCAAGTCAATACGATTCCAACTTGACCATTGCTTCGCTTGAACCGGTCTATTAGGTGGGCATGCTTGGGTGGTTCTGCTTTGCGGCCCTGATCTCTCGTGTCCTCGATTGTTAATTGGTCCTACCTTCAACCACTGTGCACCGAATGAGACTCCCACAGCACGCTGCTCGGTCATCCTGGGACATTGATCACTAGGAACCACTCGAACTCTAAGAATCGCTGGGGGGGGTAAGGTGCTCCTTCCAAGTCCCGACACGGTGCAGCCCGCCCGTGCGCCTGTTGTGCCTACACCGAACTTCGCATAGCTTTTCTCTGCACCTTCTTATTATTCATGGTAATTCAACCCCGTGTCCCATGTCAAGCAACTTTCCCCCTACCATAGAGACCAGCTTTATCATTCTACCATTATTTGTAACCAGCCTCCACCCCTGACCTTACAAACTCCAACCTTTCTCTGGCCTTGGAATCAATGCTTCGTCGTGAACAAAGCCATGGACTCTCACTGATAGGCGAAGATGGTGCCTCGAAAACGCGGCCGGGAAGAACATCTTGATGGTGTCGTCAGGGCGGCGAGCAAATCATATTTTGCCGCCCCGCTAACCAACTCTTTGACGTCCGATCACCTCAGTCCTCCCCCAAGTCCGTCTTCGAATTGCAGTTGCCAGAAGCCCGCCGGTATGGAGCGGATTTTTGCTCTGTCGCCAACGCCGACTGTCGTCCTGGACAAGGATTTCCAGGTGGTCATGCTTTCGAATGCCTGGCGGAAGCTGGTCCATATGCCCCTGGAAAAAGTTCGCGGCAAAAACTTTCTGGAAACGATCGGCGACTTGGGCCTTCCAACAGATGCCGTCACCACCAGCCAACTAATTCAGGGTGCAATCGCAAGCCGCAAGGAGCAGCGCTCTGAACCCCTACCAGGGATCCCGTCTCCTAGCTATTGGCGGGTCCGGGTGGTACCGATTTTTGACGAGGACCAACTTCTTTATCTGGTTGTTGAGGGCGTAGACGCCACGGAAGAAGTCCAAAGGACGAAAGACCAAATCGCTCAACTGTCGTCGGCCGAGACATATCGCATCTTGGTCAGCACCCTTCGAGACTACGCGATTTTCATGCTCGACACTAATGGATGTATCACCACCTGGAATACCGGCGCCATGTTACTCAAACAGTACCAACGGGAAGAAATCCTTGGGAAACATTTCTCGACTTTCTACAGCGAAGAGGACCGAAAGGCTCGGAAACCCGAAAAGGAGCTGGAAGTAGCCCTTCGAGAGGGAAAAGTGGAAGACGAAGGCTGGCGTGTCAAAAAGGACGGGTCTAGGTTTTGGGCGAACGTCATCATCTCTCCTGTCTACCGCGACGGCGTTTTGACCGGCTACAGCAAGATCACGAGAGATTTGACAGAACGAAAGGCGGGAGAAGCACGGCTGATTGCTGCCTACGAAGAGGCATCCAAAATGAAGTCCGACTTCTTGGCTAACATGAGCCACGAAATTAGAACGCCGATGCATGGGATGCTCTCTGCCTTATCGCTACTGATCGACACAGGACTCACAAAGGAACAGAAAGAGCTGGCCAACATTATCGATGAATCGGGGGCCATCCTGCTGCAGGTCATCAATGACATCCTCGACTACTCCAAGCTCAGCTCTGGTTCATTCTCACTCAACAAAGAGGTCATGAACATCGCCGAAATTGTCGCCGCAGTACGACGGTGTTTCAACATCGGATCCTCAGAGAATTTGAGATTTGAAATCGACCTCGATCCCCACCTCCCGACCTTCGCCCTGGGAGATCCTCTTCGGTATCGTCAGATCTTGCAAAACCTGGTGTCAAATGCAGTCAAATTCACCGATAGAGGGTACGTGCGCGTCAAAGTCGGCCTCACCCACGAGGACGAAGCCTCCTATGACATAAAAACAGAAGTGATCGATTCGGGTATTGGTGTAACCCCCGAGGCGGAGAACGTTTTGTTCACCCCCTTCACCCAACTGGACACCTCTTCGACCAAGAGATACAAGGGCACTGGACTTGGTCTTTCCATCTGTAAAAGTCTGGCCGAACTGATGGGTGGGGTGGTCGGTTATATGCGGAATCCGGAGCAACAGGGAAGCATATTCTATTTCACATCCAAAGTCAACAAACTAGAAGCCTCACCAGTCAAACCACTCGCCAAAGCCGTGCCGGATGCGGATCTGAAGAAGTTGGCACAGACAAAGCACATACTTCTCGTCGAAGATAACGCCATAAATCAAACCATCATGGTTCGTCTATTGCGCAGCTTTGGCTTTGAGAAAGTGGACGTGGCTGCTGATGGTGCGGAGGGGGTGAGGATGGTAACCCAAAAGCCTCTGGCTTACAGCCTGGTTTTGATGGACATTTCCATGCCCGTGATGGACGGTGTAACCGCCACAAGGAGGATTCGAGAGGCCGGCCACGTGGTTCCCATTATCGCAATGACCGCGAATGCGTTGAAAGGAGACGAAGAAGCGTACCTCGCTGAAGGCATGAACGACTATATCGCCAAACCTGTGGACAGAAGACTCCTCATGGAGTCGTTAGTGAGATGGTTGCGTTGAATTCCCAACCATGAGAGGGTATAAGCGACGCAGAACCTGAGGATCCTGAAGCCGGTTCACAGAAATGCTGGACCATTCTCGGCAAACACACGGATCCTGACATGCACTTCGGCCGCGTGCATGTCCGTCCACATGTCGAGCACGACGCCGTTGTTCCAATTTGATTGCGTGAAACTATCTGCTGATCAGTTTCGCACCCGAGATCTCGGTCAAATAGAACGGCCTCGAACTTCAATATCGAGATAATTGCAGGGGTTTCGGGATCACGCCAAATTTTGAAGGGACGACCAGGCTTTACCTGTAGCCGAGGAGATCGCGAATCCAAGGGACAATGCCAGGGAGTGATATTCTTCCTGGAGGCTTCGTGCGCCAACAATGCACACCAGAGATGGGTATGGTGCCAAAGTCCCAACCATGTCGAACAATACAGGGTCCAAGCATCGTGCGTTTGGCGGATCTAACTATGGCCAATTCGGGATCTGAATCGCAGACGCACCAAGTAATATTGTCAAGGTTTTGCGAGGCAAAGGGGTCCCTGGCACGATACGCTCGACCGGGTTGGAGACGTATTCCGGTTCTGCGTATTCAACGATATGGCGTGCGGAGGGCTAGGAGACTTGTATATGGAGCGATTCCAAGTTGCGTGAGGTGCAACTCAAGGACACCATTTCGTTCACTCCGCACAGCCGGGTGCCAGAGACCCTTGCTCAAAGGTTGGCTGTCCACCTCGAGGGATAAAAGGGAGCCATTACTATTTCGAGTATTTTCGTTCTTCTGCAGCCCGACTGCACCGTCTCATCTTTTTATCGTCACCGCCTCCCCTCGTTTCCAGCGACTGCGTCATCTTCCTTGGGCTTCACAAGGGGCAGGTGCCAAGCTCGGGAGCGAGCTGGGGAGCAAGCGATGCGAACGGGTGATTACGTTTCTTTTCGCACACTGGGTGTATACACACACTCCAGATGGACAGGGTATTTCTGTCCTATGGAAGTATGACAGCCTCGGCTCCGCAACTTGACATTCATCGTCCAATTGGCTCGCCACTGCAGAGTTCGCTCTCTGATGAGACAGCATACGAACTTTTCACTTGACATGATACCGAACCTCAAAGCCCTCTATAGGGACCGCTGAGGGGCGGTGGAGTATGGATCAGTACCCAGTAATGATCTGAGATTACCCAACAGAAACAACAGCTCGGTTGCCATTGCTCCAATAAAAGGGAAAGGCCGTCGCTGACTCATTTCTTACTTACCCTGCGGCGACTGGGAGGTCCTAGCAACCGAAGGGCGAGAAGTAGAAATCCAAGCCATGGTGGCCCTGGTGGCCCTGGTGGCCCTGCCCGATTGATTATCCAAGCCGCCGCAAAGGCAATTTTCAGCATTTGCCCCGACCCCCGGCAGAATCGCACCTCGCTAGTAAAGCTTTCGGCCTGCGCAACCATTTTACCCTTGGCCTTCTGCAGACTCCATTTTCATCATAGCCTCATCGCTTAGAGCCAGGGTCATGCGTTCCTCCGATCCCGCAGTTCTGCCTTCCTTTCGTGGTGAATGGCAGTGTGGTGGACGATTCAAATAACTTCACTCGTCATGACGGACTTCTCACACAAGATCTATCCACATGGCTTCCGACCCCGGGAGAGAGTTTCTGTTCCTTAATCAATCTCTATCTTCCAAACCCCGCTCGCAGAGGGAGAAAGAGCTCCAAGACGCCGATCGTCGAGCCCACGCAGCTCGGAACTCTAGACTCAAGCGTCCCGTCCCGCAGACAGGCGACGGTGCTCCCTCCTCGAGAAGCCGCTCCTCGAAGAAACCTAGCCGTCGCCGAGTTGAAGCAGTTCAACAAGATGACGATGGTCTAGTGCCCCTAGTTGCCAAACAGAATCTAGCTGTACGGCCCAAGACTCCAGAACCTCAACACACCGTCCTACCGCCGCCTTTCTCGTCAAAGTCCTTGACCTCCACAATTCCCCTGGGGCAGGGCAATCACGACCCCTTTGACACTGCTTCAATCGGTGGCTTACCTCCTTTCATCTACGATATCCTGGACCATTGTGAGTCGTAACCTCCCAGGCTGCCGATTGGCTTTTTGCTCAATACGAAGCTATGCCGTGTCTGACCTCCTTTTCGGGTCGATTGCGGGTCGGATTCTATAGATCTGTCGCCGTTACTGATTCTCCCCCGATCTTACAGCCTACCGCTTCGTCTGGCCTGCCGTGTTGAATCAGGACCCGCAGACCGCTCAACAATTCGCGGCCATGAGACGGAGAAGCGCTCGGGAGAATCCCTTTATTCTTCACGCACAGATTGCCAATGCCGCGGGACACAAACTGCGGCTACTCCCGGCAGGTCACCAGTCTCGGTCACTGGTAACGCGAGCAATATCGTACCATGAGCGGAAGGCTCTAGAAGCCGTTGCAGGCATCCTACAGAAGGATCCGTCGCCGCCCTGGGAGACTATAGTTTTGGCCCTGCTTTTGGTGACATGGCCCGCTGGGATCCACGAGGACGCCCCGTCCAAGTATCCTGTTTCGCCGATGGCCACAGCCCAAAATTTACACCTTTTCAATAACATGGAACTGACGCCCGGCCGAATTCAACAGATCCAGCGATTATATCGTGTCCTCGAGCCTCTGGGTGGTCTGGATGGACTCTCGACCCCTGATCACTTGCATGTGTTCAGTTTGTACGTTCCACCCTCCCCCCCATGAGCATGCTGGGATTCTGTCGTACTAACCCACGCCCTCAAGTGCGGACACGTTTGTCTCGTCTCGACTCGGCGTCCGCCCTCTCTGGCCGTGGCCCAAAAACCTGCACGACGCCTTCGAAGCATTCAACAACCTTGTCCTTGATCCTGATGCCTTTCAACTGTCTCTGGTGATGGGCCGGGGCTTCTCTTGTGTGAAAAATGCTCAACTTTTACGACTTCTAATGTTGGCCTGCAGAGCTACGCTGGCCGTCGATCTGTATCAGCGGAGGGTTCCCGCGGCACCCACGATCCGGGAAATATGTACGGTCAGGAATGCGGTGCAACACCAGCTTTGCTCGCTCGACCCGCCGCCTGATCTGGTGCCTTCACATGACGACTCGCTCTACAATATGGTCCGCCTTGCTACGCTGATATATAGCGACTTGGTTCTTTTTCCGCTCGGCGAATCCGTGAGCGTCAAGTCGCAACTTGCGTACGACCTGCGAAAAGCACTGGAGCTGCTCTTCACTGGGGTCCCGCTGAAAGCTCAGGCGGAATGCGAGCTCACAATCTGGTGCCTGACAATGGGCACTATGGCCTCCTCGGAGACGGTCCATCGGGAATGGTACGTCGAGCAGCTGGGACGAAGCTTGCGAGAGGACCGCCGCCTATTGGACTGGATTCTGTTCCAGACTCTGATGTCGCATTTCTTATGGTGGGACCATGTGCTCCAGCCGCGATGCTGGGATGGATGGAACGAGGCGGCGCAATCGATTCAAGCGCACGCGTCAAGTTTTGTCACCACCGAGAACGAAGATACCGTTGGTTGACGGGGATCCTCGGTCTTATATAGTTGATCTAGATCTGCATTCGGGTAACCGATGGGCGAGGAGCCCTCGAATATCTCAGTGAAGGTTGAGGCACTTACATGTCCAGATAATGATGTCGCGATCCATGGCGGAAGCCAGGGAATACCAACCACTTAGGACTCGGTCATTCGCTTGCATTGTATGCATCGAGACTGTATCAGACTCAGGCCACTAGCCAAACTGCCGACAGCAAAGCGGTGCATGATAAGATCGCTTACTGCTTTGCTCTGTCTGGCTCACGGCTTCGTCGAGCGCGTCTCTGGTGTGTGGCGGTTTCTTATTGGGTCGCACCAACGAGATTTTGCTGTCACCAGCAGTGGATTGTGGATTACATTTCACTGTGGGCACGTGGGGAAGAGACAGCGACCAGAGATAGACAAGGACAGAACCTCTTTCTCTCTCTCTCTCTCTCTCTCCCTCGCTCTTATTCATCTCTCTCGTTCTCTCCTCTCCTCTTTCCCTCTGGCACCTCTGCCCATTGATTTCCCACTCATTCTCAAATTGACCAGATACAGTCCGTGGGTGACCTACAGACATGTCTTCCTCGTCCACTTTCTCTTCTCCCTCCTCCTCCTCCTCCTCCTCCTCGTCGTCCCTCGCCGCCATCCTGGCCAAGTTGAAATCCATTTCAAGCAGCACGCTGAGTCCGCTGACCATCGTGGTCCTCGCGTGCGTGGCTTTCATTCTCATCTCGCGCCTCCTACTCCTGTTGCTCCGGCGGAACAGTCGGTTAGGGACCCTGCCGCCGGACCTGCCGTGGGTCACGCGTAACGAGAAGGCGTGGGTCCTGCGCGACCTGCGGACCAGGCTGTGGTGTTTGCTCAACTATGAGGAGGCCCTCAGGAGGGCGTATGGTCAGGTATGTCTGTTTCTTTTTTTTTTTTTTTTTTTTTTTTCTTCATTTTCCTTATTGAGGCTTCAATGCTTTTCTCTCGTTCGCTTTGCTTCGTTTGTTTTGGGTGGAGGAAGTTTTATTCTCGGGCGATGTACGAGCGGGAGTAGAGACAACGAGAGAAGAGAAGCTAGGCGAGGACGATGGTATTTCGTATTATTTCCTTGGCTTTGTTACCCATCCCCCTTTAATTTCCCCTTTTCAGGCCCATCCCACATCCTCTTCAGCCCTCCCAGACCCATGGATTTACCGCCCTCGTCGCCCACCTAACCACTCTCTCCGAACAGTTCGCTCGCCACAACAAGGCTTGCATCCTTGCCACCCTCGACGGCGAGGTCGTTCTCCTTCCGCCATCAAACACACCCTGGCTGATCGCCCAGCCCGACAATGTCCTCAGTGTCAATGGCGCACACAAGCATATCTTGCAGACCCGATATACCTTCCCGACACCCGAGATTATGGATCCGACTGTCCATTTCGGTGCGTCTTCCTCCCTCTCCTCTTCGGCTCTTCCGGCTCTTTGATCTAGAATAAAAACATCTCTTGATCCCAATTTCTCGCTTTCCTTGGACATTGCTGACAAGTCTGTTGTCACTTGCCAGATGTCATCAAGTCGGAGTTGACCAGGCAAGTCTTCAACGTGACGCCCGAAGTGTGCGATGAGTTGGCGGCCGCCGTGGATCAAATCTGGGGCAGCGAAGCTGATCCCGATTTCGAATTCTATTCCGATGCTGAGGGTTGGAAGACCGTGGTACTCTTTGACAGTCTCACCAAGATTATAGCCAGGATCTCCAACAGGGTCTTTGTGGGCCTACCGCTCTGTGAGTACATCCGCTACGTCTCCTCGAATGGGTGATACTGGAGCCAGGTCAAGAGTAGGCGGTGTGCTGTATGGGCTCTGTTGTTTGAGATAGCCCCAGATGGAGGAGCCGTGAATTGGGCCCCATGGCAGTCTCCTCTTCAGGAAAAATCACCTCCACATTGGCGGTGTTCGGTATCCAAAATGCTAATTTGCCATGTATTTCAGGTCGTGACGAGCGATACCTCAAGAACGCAATCGGTTTTGCGGAAGACATCGCCTTCTCCGCAACAATATTGCGTCTTCTCCCTGGCATCATTCGCTCTCTTGTTGCGCCGATAGTGACGTCTCCCAATCGTAAACACACTCGTGAATACACCGAAATCCTCACGCCTGAGATCCTCCGGCGTCAGCGCCTCCAGCAAGAAACTGCGAGCGATGCCAAGTCCGCGCACAAAGATCACGAAACGGAGCAGAGCGGGGACACAGGGAAGAACGACTTCCTCCAATGGCTCTTGACCCGCTCGCTGACCAAATCGTATCTTTCACCGGACGAAACGGATCCGCAGATCATATGTGCGCGCCTTCTGCATGTGAACTTCGCGTCCGTCCACACTACCAGTTTCATCGGGACCAACGCCTTACTGGACATCCTTGCCGCACCACTAAATGAACGCGTGCTGGAAACGCTGCGGAAGGAGGCTTTGGACACCATGGAGCAAGATGCAACATCTGGACTGACGGCAAGGATGTGGTCGCGCACGGGTATCGCCAAAATGCACTACCTCGACTCGGCGCTACGGGAAAGTTCACGTCGCGCGAGTATCATTGGCGTAGGTGTGAACATGAAGGTCGTTGCCCCCGGAGGTGTCACGACACCCGATGGTACGCATCTGCCCGAGGGATGTATGGTGGCCACACACAGTTGGGGGTGCCATAATGACGAGAATCTTTATGACGGGGCCGGCAAATACAAGCCCTTTCGGTTTGTGGAGTTGAAAGATAAAATCTCCACTGGCACTAGTGATGGCAATGGAAACAAGGCAGATCGAGAGAAGGAGTACCTGGATAAAGCACACCTCTCTTTCATTGCCACCTCGCCCTCATACCTCGGGTTCGGACACGGTCGGCACGCGTGTCCGGGAAGATTCTTCGCCGCGCAGGAGCTGAAGCTGTTACTCGCGTACTTGCTCTCACGGTATGAGATACAGATGGCCATGGAAGGTGGGATTGGAGGGAATTGGAATGGTAAGGGCATTAGGCCTGAGTGTTATTGGGCGGGGCCGAACCATGTCCCGCCGATGGGAGCCAAAGTCAGAGTGAGACGACGGAAGGAATTCCGATAGTCTCATGCGAGTAGGAATAAAAACCAGCCGTTTGGGGTGCTATATGGCCGACCCCGAGAAGAGAGTTAATCGTGAGACAGGCGCGAGGATTCCAGGACGTACCTAGTGCATAGTGACTCCATTGACAAAATCATTGATGAGGATCGTCGGAGATTGACAGACGTGAAGTCACAACAACTCTCAGCAACCAGTGTCGATTGGCAAATGACTCGGCTCAGGTGTCGAGAAGGAGCGTCTCTGGCAGTCGAAAGTCGTCGAGTGACATAAGTGATGCAGAGGGGGGGAATTTCCCACGCACCAAGCCATCACAGAGACTCGCCCGTGGCTCCAAGGGGCAGTTCTTGCTGCATTCTGGCGACTCTCAGGCATCCTCATCCTCCTTCCCATCGTCGTTCGATGCCAATTGACTCGTTTCCTCATCAAGCCTTGCCTTCCAAAAGCCCTTCCCGTAGCTAACCACAATCTCCTCCCCCTTTGCGATCCCTCTCGCCCTCTTCCCTCCATCCTTCCTGGCCCTCCCCTGACTCAGCACGAACACGCCGATCCTTCTCTCCCACTTCTTCCCCTTGACGACCTCGAGCAAACAGTCCTTGAACTCGGCATTGGGACCCTCGGAGCGAATGCCGCGGTAGTCGTTGATGAAGCGCGCCTCATTGCCGCATTTCGATGCGTCGATCGACAGATCAAGCTCCCGGTCGAGGCTGAGGTCGTAGTTTGACGTTGGGTTCGTGGTGGTGGACGAGTGAAGCGTGCCTAAGTAGAGGATTATAAATGAAGATGGGGCCAGAGCGCGCGCGGCAAAGAGACCGTATTGGGTGTAGGCTGGGTGAGACGGGTCGTTGATGGGTTTTATTTGTACGAGAGGAGATGGGGAGGGGGGTGAAGGGGGAGGAATAACGGGGAGTGAAACGGAAGCAGGAGAGAGTCCGGTTGAGTGAAGGAGTCCTCGGGAGAGAGGAGATGAGATGTGGAGTGTGTCGATATAGATGATGTCTTTGGGCCAGTGCTTTGGCAAGGGGATCGAGGTCTGTTTGATTGGCATCGAAAGGTGTTGTTGAGACTCGTGGTGGTGGGTGTTGGTTGAGTCTACAAAAGTACTGGGTACGGGGTACGGCGTATCCGGTAGAATGGCGTCGGCGGAAATAGGGGCTCGGCTAAGTTTCCCTCTAAGTTTCCCACGGAAAGACGAGCCACACAAGAGTTTCTCGAGCTCCCTGCTTTGTGTTTACTGTTCAGAATTTTGATAGCCTCTAGTCCTCACTCCGTCCAACGTCTACACGCCAAAGGCTACCAGACGCGGCAGTTTCCAAATTAAGCCCAGAACCAATGGTAGCAAGCCATGTATATAAATTACCAAGAGCTAAGATACAACAAACTCATCAGAGACGCGCGAAGCTCGACAACACTCGGATCACTCATAAAGTCACCACAATCTTCTTCGCACTGACACCCTTCTTGTGCAGGTCCATGGCATGCTGTATGCTCTCGAGCCCATGACCCACGACTTCAGACTTCGGTGCTGCAACAAACGACCGTGCGGCCAAAGCTTCTGGGAGAAAGTGCTCATACATTGCAGGCCCGATTTCATTGTCGACCAACGTATCGCCAAAGATGAACTTACGCCGGATGCCGTGCCTTCTGGCCTTGATCCACAGAAATATCAGTGACGTGATATAGTGGAAGGCGATCTGGGGCACGACGAAGCGCTCGGGAGGCGTCTGGGGAAAGGGGTAGCTGGCCATGGAGAGGAACTTGTTCCCTCTGCAAGTGGTGAGAATGTCCAGGCATTTTTCCGCCGCGCCTTGGCCGATTGACAGTGCCCCAGCTGAAATTCTCCCTTTGATCGCCTTCTTGATGTCCTCCACCACGGTTGGGCTCCTATAGTCGAACGCTTCCGCTACACCGAGACGCTTGACGAGCTCAAAGTTCCGTGGTGAGGCGGTGGTGATGACCTCGTATCCGGCCGCGATGGCGAGCTGGATCGCGTTACAACCTACGCTCGTCGATCCACCCCATACAAGCAGAGTCTTGCCCGTGGGTTTTGCAGCCGGCACCGAGGGAAGTTGCATGGCGAGCTGGTCCGTCTGGAACAGCCCACACGCTGCAGTGGATAGCCCCAGCGGGATCACGGCCGCATCCACATAAGGGATTGTGGCTGGAATATGCGACGCCATGTGCGTCAGAAGGACGGTGTATTTCTGGAACCCGCAGTGTGAAGCAAAGTTGTGCTTCTTCGCCAGGCCAATGGCGTGGCCGACGACACGATCTCCGACCTTGAACCGCGCGACGTCCTTTCCGACCTCGACCACTTCGCCCGCCACGTCGCTTCCCAGGATAGCTGGGTAGCTTACCCAGTTGAAGAGCAGGTCGCCCATGCTCTGCTTGATGTGATCAAGCGGGTTGATGGCCGCGGCATGACTCTTGATCACGATCTCCAGAGCGTCTGGCTTTGTGTAGGGGACGGACTTGACCTGGAGAGGAGTTGATTTTGCGGACGTTAGGTATGCGGCTCTATTGGAAGGCATGTCTGATCACGACGCGACACAGGATGAATGGTAAGTGGAGCGTAAATTGATTTCTGTTTCGCGAGATTTCGGTGTTTGGGTGATTTGCGCTATCGGCTTCTTTTGGTATGTTTTCTATTGCCTCGACCTTTCTAACGAGCGCCTATCTATCCACCTCACCGGTGGCGAGCTTGCCTTGTTATTATTATATATGCATTCATCCTGTGCTCCAGCAGGAACCGGAGCGACCTCAATGAGGATGGGGAACGCGACCATCCGACTCTCCATCGTCCGATCCTCCGAGACTCCAATCCTCTTGGTTCAGGGTCTTTGCGCAACAGCGCAATTGCCAATGGCTCTCCCCTTGGAGGCTTGACATCATCTACGCATCATAGACAGAGCGTGGGGAGCGGCAGAACTAAAATGTTTACAGACCACATAGGGAGAAGTTTCCCGTGGTGAGTACCTCCTACGATGTAGACACACCGGCTATAAATGGCAAGCTTGGTCTTCTGCCGATACTGCCTACTGGGCAAAGAATGCGTAAAGATCTCTCTTGACTAGTTGGTGCACATCAGCGCCGAGCCCGCTCATTACATTTGTGACCAATACAGATATATTGCCAACGAGCCAATTCGATCCAAAAACGCTCCCTTTGCGAAGAACAAATAGCTTCCCATAATCGACCGTTGAAAAAGTGACTGGAATCACTAGAGTGATATCTGCCATAATCAGAATTTCAGCAACTACATCCGGTACAGATCATATGCCATGTACGGGATCTCAACGACGTCTTTGTAGTAAATGCTTCGTACCGAGTACAAGGTGCCTATCGAATAGAGGAGCCTTAGCCTGGGGAGCCCCTGGCGTGGGCTTCTCGGCACTTTGGATCCACTGATGCCCACTCTCTTCGGGTAGGTTACCTTGGCTAGTCAAGCAGCTAAGTATGTAGCGCCTACCAGCTTAGCAGCTGCCTCCGCCCCGGGGAACCTCGAAGGTGACCGCGGGGGATGCCTAATCGCAACATTAGGCTACCAGCCTGCCACAGGCGCCACAGCCCCCAATCAAAGTCGCACTACCAGGTACCTCGTAACCAACTCACGCGTTGGACAGCAACAACGACGCCAACACGCCACCACCAACCAGGCTTCCTCCAACTTCACCTCATCTCACCATCCTCCTTCCACGCCCATCATCCTGTGCATCACTCTCTTGCCATGATGGACCATCACTCATTGTTGAGTAGCGGCGCCAGCATTGGAGAAAAGTCATCGCCACTGCGAGATGAAGAAAGCAATGCACCAGCTCGTCGTGACAGATACGCTTCGAAACCCTCTCATAGGCCTCCCTTTGTGCTATTCTTGGTCCTCTTCCTCATAGGGCTTGTCTTTGGCTACTATGCCATAAGGGATGATGGAAGGCCTACTCTCTGGTTTGGGCCCCGGCCCCATCCTGTCTCCTTCAATGGTGAGTTTTTCTGTGAAGTTGATGGACAATCCGGGTGGTCGTTGACAAGCCAAAGAGGACGGGAAGGACTTAGGACGGAGCGGAGCTGATATCTGCCTCACACCTGCATGTGTTCATGCCTCTTCCGAGCTGCTTTATAACTTGTCGCCCGACTACAAGACCCTCGACCCGTGCACCGATTTTGAGGAACTCGTTTGCGGAGGTTGGCGGGACCGCCACGATCTCCGCCCAGACCAGGGCGACGCCTTCACTGGCACCATCATGGCTGAGAATTCTCAGATGTTGCTCCGTCACATTCTGGAAGCTCCGTATCCGAGATCGTCCGCGGTAGGCCTATGGCATCAAGTCGATGATTTTGAATGAATGCTTATAGGTGCTGCAGCATTCCTACTTCTCGCCTGCCGCCCTAGATAGTGCCACCGGGTCAGTTGACAAGGAGAATTTTGACAAGCTCAAAGCTGCCTATGACGCTTGCTTGGACGAGGACACTATTAAGAAACTCGGTGTCGTCCCGTTGGTTGAGATACTCAACGACACTTCGACTCATTTCTCGTCTGGCGACCTCGCTTCGACAATCTCATTCATGCTCAAGTCTGGGATGTCGTCTTTGATATCTGCTGACACCGGTGCCGACGATAAAGATCCAGACACTGTGGTCGTCTCTATTTCGGCTCCATGGAGTATCGGTTTACCTGCGAAGGAGATGTATCAAGACGCAAATCTCGTGAAGAAGTATGGAGATACGGCTTCGCAAGTTCTCTCGGCTCTTCGCGAGGATGCTGCTGCGGCTGCGGTGGACGCTCATGCTTTGGTAGAATTTGAGAAAAAGCTTGCGAAGGCCTCGCCAGATGCTGAAGACCGCAACGACGTTACGGTGAGCAGAAGTGCTTCCTTTCTAATCTCGACTCACTGACGTATTGAATAGAAATACTACAACCCCATGTCACTGGCCGATGCAGACACTCTAACTCCACAATTGAAGCTGTCTCAAATCCTCGACAGTCTCGTTCCCAAGGACTACAAACTAGATCGAGTCATAGTCATGGCGCCACAATATATGAAGGATCTTAGTAAACTGCTGACTGATACTCCAAAAGAGACCCTCCACTCGTACTTCATCTGGAAGGCCATCCAGTCATATGCCAGTTTCATTGAAGCCGATGCGGTCGAACCCCTCAAGCGTTTTTCGAACGAGTTGGCGGGCAAGGTACTCTGCTTCTTCCGATACTCGTCTTCTGACGCTGACGTGACCTAGGATCCAGATACAAAACCGGAACGGTGGAGGACGTGTGTCTCCCACGTCGACTTTGGGGTCGGCTGGATTCTGAGCCGCTTCTTCGTTGAGAAAGCGTTCTCCGCAAAAGCAAAGCAATTTGGCGACCAAATTGTCTCCGATATCAAGGACCAGTTCATTGAAAAGCTCAAGGTTACTGAGTGGATGGAGAAGGAAGTGATTGAGTTGGCCATCTCCAAGGTCCACAACATCGTCCAAAAAATTGGATATCCAGACAAGGTATGTCAGGCCCCGAGCGCTATCACCAGTTGGCACTATACTGAGGTTTTCCGTCCACAGAGTCCCAATATTATGGATCCCGTAAGCCTGAAGAAATACTATGATCCAGTCAATATCACTTCCTCGACATACTTTGGCAATGCAGTGTCCATCATCCGTAACGAGCTCGCTCGCGAGTGGGCTGCCCTTGGTAAACCTGTGGATAGGAATCAATGGTCCGTCGCAGCTTCTTGTCTTCATGCCTGGTTGCAAAGTGCTGACGATGTCTCAGGGATATGACTGTTCCCACAGTGAATGCGTGTATGTGCTTGCCCATTCCCTCTGCCCTTTTTTTTTTTCGGGGCCATACTGATCTGCAGACTACAATCCTCCCGGCAACGAGATCGTCTTCCCAGCAGGAATCATGCAGGTCAGTCGATTTAATGGAGTGAGATTCGCATTCGGCAGCTAACCCCAGCAGTTCCCTGTCTTTGATGTCGATGTCCCGCAGTATCTCAGCTACGGCGCCTTCGGCTCCGTTTCGGGGCACGAGCTCTCCCACGCATTTGACTCAACCGGACGCCATTACGACCAAAACGGCAATTTCACCGACTGGTGGACCGAAAAGACGGTCCAGAATTTCAAAAAGCGCGCAGAGTGTTTCGTCGAGCAGTACTCCAACTTCACTGTACCAGGGCCAGATGATAAACCGTTGCATGTCAATGGCCGACTGACTCTAGGCGAAAATATTGCCGATGCAGGAGGTCTCTCTGCAGCGTTTGCAGCATGGAAGAAGCGAGCGGCGCAAAAGCCAAACCAGGACCTTCCGGGCCTGGAGTTCTTCACACAGGAACAGTTGTTCTTCGTCAACTACGCCAATTGGTGGTGCGGGAAGACGAGGAAGGAAACGGCCATTCAACGCATCTACCTGGATCCCCATGCACCGAAGTTTGCCAGGATTTTGGGCACCATGGCCAACTCCAGGGACTTCAGGGAGAGTTTCCACTGTGAGAAGACAGAGCCCGTCTGTGAATTGTGGTAAAAAAAATTATGTGTGTTGGAACAAGCAAAACTGCATTGCATCATCGGCTGTCAATGCTATATTTCAGCCGGTATCAGCAACATCTGGATGGATGGGAAAAGCACATGGGGCAAAAAGGGGCATCAATATTTCCACACCAGGGTTTTTCTTCATCGTCTCTCGGATGTCTTTCGTTCTATGCGCTGTAGTGTCTCAATATCTGTCAGGGCTTGTTGTTTCATTCCCATCATTGTGCGGTCTCATATAGGGTCGTGACTCGGACGCGCAACCATCTCTTGGTCATGCATTGAATGTGCAACGTAACTCGGATATTGACTAGCTCTATGTCAGGCCAAAGAACACGTGCGGAATTCCATTCAGGAGTCCCTGCACCCTTCGCTTGTAGGCTGATGGACGTTGCTGTGACAAATTATCAGAGCTTGTCATACAATATCTCGCGTGGGAGTGGCCGGCTCATCCGCCTGATTCTCATCGCCCGGGCCACGAAAACTCTCGCTGCCTAATTTCTGTGGAGATGCCAACAGCCATGCACAGCAGGCTCTAGCGAAGGAAATACGATTGCGGAGGCACAGAGCTAGGCTGTGTAAACTAACCAAAACTTAGGGCGGAAAGGGCAACATCAAACCAAGGCGGGGTGAGCACTGAGGTGCGTCGTGACATGGCAGAATCACATCTCTCACAATTCTACACAGCCTGACATCCTCTTCTCATCCTCGGTCTCTGGACAGCACTCCTTGCTTTGACGATTACGGCACGGGAACAATACTCTCTCCTCACCGTCTCTACTACCATGGGAACATCTCCTAAAGAGCTCAACCAGCTTGCTCGCCAGCTCAAATCTCTTCATGTCCCTGGTGAACCTCTGATCCTGACAAACGTCTACGATGCCTGTACCGCCTCAGAGATAGCCTCTCTTCCCTCAACCAAGGCTGTGGCAACTGCTTCTTTCGCGATTGCCGCCAGCATGGGCATTGAGGATGAAAACACCATGCCTCTCAGCGACAATTTGGCGGGAGTGCGCAGGGTGGCTACGGGCTTACGCAATGCTGGCAAGGCCAATACATTGCCACTGACGGCGGATTTGCAGGACGGATACGCCGACCCTGCAGAAGCAGTCAGGCAGGCTATCGAGATAGGAGTGGTAGGTTGCAACATCGAGGATGTCGACAACAGCCTCCAACCACCAAAACTGAGACCACTCGACGAAGCAAAGAGCCGAATTGAGGCTGCCGTTCGAGCAGCCAGGGAAGCAGGGGTCCCCGATTTCGTGGTCAACGCTCGCACGGATGTCTTGGGGTTCGATGGGACGGTTGACGATGTCGTGGAGCGAGGCCGAGCATTTCTAGAAGCAGGTGCTACGACGGTATTTGTCTGGGGCGTGAGGAAGAAAGTGATCACAGAACAAGAGGTGAGAGAAATGGCGAGCGGGCTGGACGGGAAATTGGCCGTGCTTGCCCAAGGCTGTACTATCGAAGCCCTGAAGCAGGCTGGCGTTAGCCGCATCTCTGTTGGGCCTACGCTGTTGTTGAAAGCTCTCAAGTTCATTCGAAACGAAGCTACGGCCATACTAGAGGTGAAGCAGTGGTCTATGGGAAACTGAAAGCAGAAGGGGGACAGATTGTGCGAACAAGGGTGGCCGAGTCACATTTGTGAGGGTAGCTTTTGCTCGCTTCCTCGGGCACAGGATCAGCTGGGTGTTTTTTCGTCCCCCTTCTTTGTTTCCCACTGCAACTCTAACTACAACTCTTTGGAGAATCTCCTCGGAAAACCCCACGACGTAAGGTGGATTCTCGGATTCAAATGACTTGAGCAGAACTCCGCCATTCGCTGGGGATACGGCCGCTGTGCGAGACACATCTCTTGGCCAGCTTGGCCCGCACGGGTTTGTCTCCATGTCGCCAATCACTTACCAACGTCCGCTGACTCAGGAAGTCAAAGCGCCGGACGACAGATGTGGCAATGTCGGCACGATAAGTGGAGGGCTGTGCAGAAAAGGGAGACCTTCCCGGTTCAGCGAACTCGTACATGCTTCTTGTCACGACAACATTCAGCATGAGCAACCACAAACCTAATTCCAACCTGCGAAGCAGTCATCCGGTGTCCTGGTACATACGTCTCTTGGAGGATACCTAAAGGTGAACAAGCGGGAGCTGGAAGGCACCGTGTTTTTCCCGACGCAGTTTCTGAGCAAAACAACATGCCAAAGGTTAGAGTCTTGTTCGTTGACTGCCACCCGAAACGCCCACAAAAGGATCGCGAGCTGAACGAGGCCGAACGCAGGGCCCATGCCGCCCGCGAGACACACCGCAAAAGGCAGGCTCAGAGGGACAGAGATCAGCCACGCCGTATCACATCCCCAACCAGTCAATCCATCCTCTACAAGCCAGACCCCTTCGAGACGGCCTCGGTCAAAATCGACAATGCCGTAGCTGGCTTACTCCACTACTATGTCTACTTTTATCATCCCACTATATGGCCTAATGAAATGACAGTCCTTCGTCAGGGGCTGTACACGTTCAAAAGTGCCGTCAACTGCATCATGCGGACAGTTGTCGAGGACAGGCTCACTATGTACTGTCTGCTAAGCGCCGCTGCGTCTCGACTCCAGTTTATTGATCGCCTTCCCTGCTCACAGGTGGTCGGGAAAGAGGGCTACTACATGCGCAACGCGCTTCAATTATTGCGCTCCCGGATTGACGTGACTTCTTTCCAGACGTCCGAACAGCTAAGACAGTTACTGATTTGCATCATGTTTTTGACGTCAGCCGAGTGCTACCGCGACGATGTGTCAGCAGCGAAAACACACCTGCAGGCTGCTGTCGACCTCCTCGAACGGAAAGGCGGGCTCAGGGCCATAGAGGACGAGAACTTGCGGGGCCAGCTCGCGATGGCTGATCTCTATCTCGCCTGTGTCAAGCTCAAGCCTTGTCTGTTCGAATGTGACTACGACCCGGGCCCAGCTAGCGTTCTCGATTTGAAGAATCACGAATTGTCCTCTGTACGGAGCGAGGGCACAGCAATTTCCCTGCTGGACAGAGACACCGCCATGGTGCCATCGGGCCTGAGAGCAGTGATCGAGCAGTTGGTTCAGTCGTACAGCGTCAAGAGTCGCCTACACATCTCTTCAATGTCGGCGTCACGAGCTATGCAAGTCACCCACTGGATCACCACACGCAACATGGCAATCAGAAACAGGCTGCTGGCACTGACAACGCAAGATGCTAGAGTTCACGCTCTAAGGACGGCAATCATCATGTGGACCCTACTTGCGATGAACGTGACGGGGCGCGCAAAAACCGTCAAGGTGATGGCGCCAATGCTGAAGGCGATACTGTCGCAAATACCAAATTGTGGCTGGGCCGGCGGCGAAGACATCAGGTTATGGATCCTGCTCGTTGGGTTCTCATGCGCAGCCGAGGCCAGCGACGTGTCAGAGTGGTACGCGGAGCAATGCTATGGCTTTGCTAACAGCTGGCTTAGAGGCTGGACGGACCTGACTCAAGACTGGAACGAGGGCCGTCTTGCAGAGAGGCTGGAGGACTTCCAGCGGGGCTTCTTCTTCGACGCGCCTGTGCAGAGACCTCGGACGCAAAAACTCGTCAAGCGTTTGGAACTCAAAACACTCGAGAACAATGCATCAACAAGGTCATGATCTCGGGACCTGTCCTGTGGCAAATCTGATATATATAGATATATATGTACACTCTCGGGCTGACGTCTTCATTGGCCTCATGATTCTATTCCTCTGCGTATGGGTGTCCAGGGGCCTGGTGTACCCACCACATTTAGTCCATGAGCAGTGGTGACAAATGATGCCCAGCGCGCCTTTTTCATCGCTCACTCATATCGAAGATGTCTGCTGTCGGGCCTGGCACGACTGTTGTGATGTCGTTGTGCTCCCCGAACAGGTGTCCGTATACCTTCTTCGGGCGTCTGCTAAGTTAGGAAAGTAGTGGAATCTATTACATGGCCCCTTCACATGAACGCGCATGCGTCTGTAAGCCACTCTAGAAACGGAGCCCGAAATATCATCGTCATGTTGTCTACGGCCAAACAAACAGTCCACATCTAGCCCCAAGAGTGTCTCATCAGGGGCATCGACTTTTCATAACCGTTCGATCCTGAATGTCACATCAACGTCGCCTTCGCCAAGCGGAATCGGGTTCGACTCCTCGTCAAATAGCGTCCTTTCGAAAAAGCGAACGTTCATGTCTTGATCAGCAAGCACAACGGTCTGCTTCTGCGTCCCGTACAAGCCACTGACGCCCAGTTGCCGAGCCCGGAATGGAAGGTTGATTGACGGCGAGCGGTGTCGGACGGGCGTGTTGTGGCCTACCATGTCGACTTTCTCGTGTCTCCTCGCAGCGGCCAACTCTTCATCGGCAAGATGACTCATGTCTTTTCGTCCTAGGGTCGGGACGTAGATCGTGTTTCTTAGTGCTGGGATAAACGTCTCGAGTCCGGCTCCCTCGGGTTCGCCGTTTCGAGGAAGGGTTTCGTGGCTTAGCAGATCGAGGAACCTCTCAATCAGCCGGTCTTCTGTTTCTTCGTTTTCGACGCTGTGGCGGATCGTATTTAACATGAGCTCTTCGCCCAAGGTGACCTTCTTCCATGATCGGTCGGCGAAATCGGCATTACTGAGGCCAACAGTGTGCACAACGTCCCCTGCTATCCAAGGAACCTGACTTTGGTGTTCGGCGCGGTTGGAAATGACGGCGAGTTTCTCGCCGATGTGGCCACACACAAGGCTGAATCCGCCGGCATCCTTAGCTACGCCAGTATTGACAACGTCTTTGACGAACTCCTCCACAGGGCCGACTTCTTCGGATAAAAACTTTTTGATGATGGCGCCACGGCTGACGGCGCTTCGAGGCGGGGTAGTGTCTTCCTTGTAGTTTGTCAGGACCGCGATCTTGCCTGTCCTCGTCACCCCTAGCCATGTCCCGTGGATATCGCGGAGCATATCCCGGCCTCCGAGGACGTGGGAATGAGGATCTGGCCACCACCCGGCCGCATCGGTTGGTCGATTCAGATACTCGTCGCGGTTGTCGATGAGAATTAACCGATAGGAAGGGTGTGCCGTGGAGATTATTGCGATGCACATTTCGAATAAAGATGAGCGTTCTTCTGAGGTAAATATGGCCTTTTTTGGAGACAAAAGGGAGCGGAAGATGCAGGAGGGATATAAAGCAGTAAATTTATATCCAAACGGCCAGGAGGTGATGGATCTTTCCGATTGACATCACACCACTCACTGTCGCATCCCCGGGATCTGCGAGTAACGCACACGAAAAAAGTTGACGTCGTTTGGGAGCAAGGGCGGCTTTTTTGCTGGTTGGTGTGGAAAGACCTCAATGCCACGTAGGTTCAAGGGGACCTGCAGCAAACAACAAGGACGGCTGCTCGACAAATACAATCAGTTCACGAGAGAGCCGGGAACCGAGGCGAGAAGTTTAAAAGGGTTGGACCAGGAGCCAGTAGGAAGAGCGCACTGGGCGGTCAACTGACTTTTTCTTTTTTCGCCGCAGGCAACCAGACCAGCGGGTGCAATGTACGACAAGTCACTTACTGCCAGGTCACGTAGAACCCTGGAGTTTCTGCCGGTGTTAGAGTCAAATCTGCCCACGAAAGTGAAGGAAAAGATGAGGACTTTATATTGCATCAAAGAAAGTTAAAGTTGCACATGACGTTCATAAAATCCGACGTAGAATCTACGGCAGAGTACTCGGCGAGCCAGTCGTGCAGTTGCCCCGCGTCTTATCGATAGGAACGAGGCTGAGTGCCGGGCCCGCTTGAACTGGGCTCAGCCGCGGAGTTTCTCACAGCCTGGTCCTCTCTGGCTCGCTCGTCATCAGGCACACCGACCTTTGGCCTCATCCACCGGACAGGACATCTGTTGCCTCGAGAACAAAGAAACAGGCCACCTTGCACCACATGCTGTATCGAACTTGGCTGCCTGGCGGGTGTCTCAGAGATATCTAACTCCTCCCTCGACCTTCTGAGCCATTGGCCGTCCCATCAGCTTCGCTCAACCACTGTCAGTCACCATGTTCGGAATCATAGCAGACCTCATAGCGTAAGTGAAATTGCTGCGAACCCCCGCTGTACACCATTTACAGCACACGGCTAACGTCCTCTTCTTGCTCTGTTCATACAGCTCCGTCACCACAATCCTCCTTCCAGCGTACCTCTCCTACAAAGCTCTGCGCACAAATGATCCAGCTCAGACGCACCCCTGGTTGATATACTTCACCATTCTCTCCCTCACCCTTCTATTCGAATCCTGGACCCTTTTCATAATAGGCTGGATCCCTTTCTACTCGTGGCTCCGCCTCATCTTCCTTCTCTACCTCGTCCTCCCTCAGACCCAGGGTGCTAAGATATTCTATCTGGACTATTTAGAACCGTATATCGTCCACCATGAGAGGCAGATTGATCAGTTCATTGGCGAGACGCACGGTAAACTACAACAGATGGGATTGGGATATTTGAATTTCGCGATTGAATGGGCGCGAGAGAGGATTTTGGGGCAGAAGAGTCCACAACAGCCAGTTGGTCAGCAACAAGCGGCGGGTGTGGGAGGTTACGCAAGCTACGCATCAGACCTCCTTTCCCGCTTCGCCATGCCCGGGGCAAGGACGAATACCCCTACCCAACCAGGAACAACTTCTGCGGGGGTGTACAGTATGGTATCGAACTTCGCTGCAGGCTTGGCTTCTACGACCAGCTCCCCGCAAGGAACATACCGCTCTGCGGCTACCGAAGCCGCCTCAATCTCCATTCCCCCAAACCTCTTTCAGTTCGAGAACATCCCGGGCCAGTCGACGGCCGAGAAATCCTCTTTCATCACCGCTCAACGCGATAGGTTACTGGGGCTGGTGAGGATGCTGGATAGCGAGCAGCAGAACTTGGACCTTGCCTACGGTGCTGCTCCAGGCGAGAACAGTGGACGTGGAGGGAACGGTGGGCATAGTAAGCGGCCGTCGAGCTCCGGATCCGGATTGGCAATGGGTGGTGGACTAAAGACAAAGTCACGGAGTGAGCAGTCGTTCGAGAATGTCGACTACGACGAAGCCACCGGGGTTTCGAACACGCCGGCGGATGCTTATGATCGTCGGCGGGCTAGCGGGGGTGAAGGCGGCGGCGGAGGCTGGATTCCCGCCGGCGTAAGTGGATGGTTCTCGGCCAGTGGCCCTGGTGGCGGTGCTGAAGGCGAGGGTCACTCTGACCGGTCCGAGCGGGACATGGATAGAGAGCGGATGCGGGATTCCGCAAGATCATCCAGGGGATGGTCCGCTGCGAGGGATATCACGGACGAGATCTCACGCGGTATGAGTAGTGGTGTGGACACACTGATGGGAGACCATGACAGACGCAGATCATGAAGTACAGCCAATGTCAAAAAGCAACACGAAAGGGGGGAGCAAAAAGGAAGGGAATTCGTAGCAGGACAGGGATAAAAGTTGCATCCGCATGCTTGCTTCCTCTATGGGACATAAACCTCTGTACATGGGAGGGAGGGAGGGAGGGAGGGAGGGAGAGGGCGAGGGCGAGGCACAGGGCCCGGCACCCACACCCTCTCTCCCTCACTCTTGAGGAGCTGGCTGGCTATATAATATCGTGATGGCGATCTGACAAGGTCTCCTAGAAGTTCTTCGTCCGCTGCTAATTGGTGTCAGAATCGCTCAATGTGAGGCATATTAACTTCGTCCGAACTGGGACGCTTGGACCGAACTGTTAAGAGTCCGCAAATGCAGGTCTACGGGATACGAGCACAGAGTCCAGGGCACAGTGCGACCATTGCCCCCGGGGAGGGGGGAGGGGGGGAATGACCCATCAGTCACGGTGGGCGCAGAGATGCTTTCCATTCTGAACACATACAGTAGATCGGTATCATGCATCTTCCTAATATCCTGTGCTCCGTAAAATCCGTACCATATGGTCGACAAGTCGATAGTCGATCGTACACCAGCAAACGCCCTAGGACTACCCTTACTAGGCTACCCACGAGTCAATCCCAATCATGACTCTGATCAATGTACTCCAGAATTTGCATCCACGAAACATTGTACAGCCTGCAAATATATGCGAGTCCGCAACCCCCGAAGGAACCCTTCCTAGATGGACAAGCCTGAGACAAAAATCGCTCATGAGATCGAACACTCGGCTGAACGCGGTATCCGCTGTTCGTGACCCCCTGGTATTCCTACTCTCCTCTTTGCAAAAGACCAAAAAATCATGTTCATCGCGTCACTGCGTCAAGTGCACCCCAAGGAGACCAAACTTTTTAATCATTCCCAACCACAAAATTCATGCGGCGTCCCACGCCATCTCAAAGATGGAGTGTGGTCACAGGCTGGTGAAGCCCGCAATTAACATTCGTAACTGTTCATTCAGTCGTCGCCCCACGTCTTTCCGTGTGAATTCGAAATCTTTCTCGAAATCTCCTGGCTAGGCCGGATCGCTCCTCGTCGTTTGTCGGACGATTCGACCGAAGAGTTTCCTGTCGCAACCGCCTCAACGCCGCGATGCGCTCATCTCGAGACCCCGAAGCGAGATGACGGAGATTGGCCACCGTTTCTCTTCGTCCACCTCTGTGTGGGCTACCGTTCACGTCGGCGGTCCCAGCAGGAGCTAGCGGTGGTGGGAATGGGCCATCATGGTCCGCTGTGGCGGTGGAACCTCTCCGTTCCTCCCCTTCCATTTCTTGGGCCTGTGGTCTCAGGTCGATTCGACACAGCGGACAGGTCCCGCTAACGTTGAGAAGCCATGGGTCAATGCAATCAGGATGGAATTTGTGGTTACAAGGCAACACACGCACTTCCTCTCCCTTCTTGAAATCTTCGGTACATATCGAACAGCCCAGATGACCCTCGGCATCGGTGCCATCGGGGTTACTGGTGGCGACGATCGCCGGTGCTCGGTCGCTGCTGGACTCTGAAGTGACGGCATCACCTGCCACAGCTTTGTTCGTCGACTCTGAATTGTCGTGATGGGCTGCCGGGGCGTTTCCGGCATTCATCTCGATGTCTGAGCCCTCAGCTGGTTTCGTGGCGGGGATGTCTTGATGATCGCCGAATTTGACAATTGGAAGGGTTTCAAGCATGGCACGTGCAATGCCCTTTGCGCGACTCTGTCGGCCTCTTCCCGCGATATTTCGAGGCCCGTACCTTTCGGGATGTCTGTGTGCCCGTATGGCTCCAGTGACGATAATGACGACGAATAGCGCAGTGATGATGCCAGTAATGGAGTACAAAATGATCATGGCAACCGCGGTCGTCGGCGATTGCCCGATACTACCATTTCCATTGAAGCCAGGGGCAGAGGAATTGGTGTAAGAGGTCAGGTCTGGGAGGATTGTGGCTACTCCAGGACTCGCTTGGGTGAGACTCAAGCCCGCCAAACTGGACGCCGTCGCGCTGTTGGTGGTTGTTAAAATTCCACCAATTGTCGGCAGCGTGTCCAGGCCTGTGGCAACGCAATGGTCACTTGTCTCGCTATAAATGATGACAATGCTCGTCCGAGGTGAGTTTACCACAATGCGGAAGACTTCGCTTGCGGACAAATTGTCTGGATAATCCTCTGGATCGCATGAAACATAGGAAAACTGATCCACGTCGGCGATGTCGTTGGCGTTGGACGCATCGATATTGACCAGATGTCCTTCCACCCTGACTTGGACAAAGCCTTCATGCGACATTTGAGCATAAGGACCCAGTGGCGCCATCCTTATCAAGGGAAGATTGGGGAATTCTGTGCCATTCAAGGTGAATCTTGGGGAGGTTGAGATTGGAAGAAGATCCTGCGAGTTGTTCGATGGCGCAATCGTCTGAGCCGCCACTCTTGAGCACAAGAACGACAGCAGAGCGACGACGATGGCCAGCCATTTCTGACAAGATTGAGGGACATTCATGTCTGCCGTGTGCAATGCTACCGCCCGACTCTTTGTGTCCAAAATCAATAAACCTTCTTCCCGTTTTTGAGAGAAACCCCACTTTCGGATCAATTATACGGCTGCTCGGTCGGCTAGGTACGTACAGGTTGGACAGGAATCGGGACGCGAAGGGATATGACTGAGCAGACTGGACTTAGAGTGTATTATATCGAGTCCAAGGTTCCAAGGTTGGGGTTTGTGCCATGACACCCCTTCGAGGCAGTTCAGAAGAACAGGTTAGCGGCCGGGCGATGCTGCTTACATCCGGCAACGAAGGATCGACACAGTGAACGGGTTATGGGCGGATAGGTGTTGGCTCGCAGAAGACGAAGTAGCAGAAGGAGACAGGGGATGATTTGGAAGCACGATTGAGGCTGTGTTGGATGGACTGGGCACCGCAACAGTTTCGTGTTTGAGAACTTGTCACAGAAGTTGCGTTTTTAATGGACTTGGAGGCGATCGCAATCGTTCAAGGACCAAGGTGCAGGTGATCGGAACGCCGGGATGCGTGGAGTGATCCACTGAGAACCTCGGGGCGAACCAGGATGTCGGAGGCCACAGGTGATTGGCGTGGGATATCGTCCGCCAGACTGCCACAGAACATCCAGCTTGGATACGAGGTGATGGTGGTATCCGGCGGTTATCCTTGGGCCTGGACTTGCACTCAGGTCGATAGAGGGAAAAGAAAAAAACGCTTGTCGTCAGGCAGGGCGTCCGGCATCCTGCCTGTTGATTGATCCTTTTTTTTCCTGCGTGAATATCGTCGCGAGGGTCAAGCGGTTTTGTTGGGTGTCTGACGCAGGGGCAGCATGAGGAGTTTGAGAGCTTTGCAACTGTTGCGACACGCACAACGATACTTTCCCGGAGCTGGTCAGCATCTCTGAGGGTTCCAAGGGGGGCGGGAGAGAATCGTGGATGGTGTGGAAGTGGAACTGCGCTGCAAGGTTGGTGGAAACCGACCGAGGAGTGACACGTGAGGGGCTGGAACAGCTGTGATACCGAAGCCGGAGCCCTCTCTTACCTCTACTAAGTAGCTAGCCCGTAGCCTATTGGTGCCTATTGGTGCCTATTGGTGCCTATTGGTGCCCGTCGCTGCCTAGTGGCCCCAGGCTTGCGAGGTTGATAGGCGACGTGACAGGCACCGAATAGGCTTTGCTAAGCGTTGCTAGGGGCTTCTAGGCGCGGGGTGCTAGCTACCAGCTACCAGCGAGTTGAGGTAGTCATGACGCGTACAGAGTATTATTCGCAACCACCATCCCAATCCGTTAATCTTGTCCGTTCCATTCATTGCCAACACCAAGTACTCGGTAATACGATGCACACCACAACCACAAAACCTTCAATTTCCCCAAAAGTGCTTAATCCATGGCACGCGACAGATCGACCCTCTGCTTCACACGTGTTCGTCTTCGTATCTGTCCACTCGATGGCGGTGTTGCCAATAATAACGATCGCCTACGAGTATCTACTGATCAACGACGAGAGGCTAGTGGGCAATGCTTGTACCAAGTAGGTTTGTCAGCCGCCATGTCTCAGAGATGCAGAGTGCGAATATAACTTCTGGCCGGACACAATCCGGAAGAGAATTTGCCTCATGTTCATTCCGTACCATTGGTACTCGTTGTTCTTGACGTGGACACCCACGTGTGCGCAGGGTTAGCAGTGATGCAGATGCTTGCTTTCCCCGACATGTTCTTAGCCACTCTGTCAGATCATGAGGAAAACACATCGTTGATAAATGTGTTTTGTCCGGTTGTTGAGTGGGGATCGAGGTGTTTCGACGGATTCAAAAGTGTTGTCATGGACTCTCATGGCAGTGCGAGTCCACCGCTTTTCTACTCCCGTCTGCCGGCAAATCCCTGTACTTGTTATATTGGCCTGGAGCACATGATCATGAGAAGACTTAAGCGCCACCCCCTCAAACCTCACAAATTGGCGGGCATGTCGCTGTCCGAACCATGACAGGTATCAACTTGGGTATATCAATATCTAGCCCAGTGCTAGCGTATGCCGTATGCCGCTTGCCATCCCCAACAACCAAAGAGATCAGCCTATGTCGTACGACCACGTTTCTGGTTAAGCAGGGCCACTTCTCTGCAACTCGCCTGGCAGCTCATGCATATCATTCACAACGAGAATAGGAACATGCATAACGAGATCTTTTGCGAACAAAATGGTTGGATTAATCCCCCATTCTATGTCTTGGTTTATGGATTGATTCACAGCTCATATTTTGAGTATAATGACGCCTTTGATCTCCAGAATTCCCGTGCTTAAATCTTTGCGATCACAGGCCAAATGAGTTACTTGTGGCGCCTCTCCACCGACCGGAATAGACGGCAACATCATTTGTCTTACTCTGTAACCAAGGTTTCACTTGGCTTTACGCGAAGACTGAGCCCTTCACACCGGATCAAATATGAACGGGGATCATTCAGCATTTGCGTACTTCTCTATCATTCTTTACGCTTTGTACATTCTCAATTCTCGTGAACCCTTTCCCCCTCCTATGAAAGATAATGAGACGTTAACTTTGGAGTACGTGTGGCTGGCGGTGTCTCTGTCAATGCCACCCAGCCCTCCCAGCTGGTCCTCTACCAAGACGCTCTGATCGGGAATGTATCGCTATCTCTCCAAGAGTTGATTGGGTGATTCCTGTAGTAGGGCTGAAGGCTCCTGGGCAACGAGGACGGGATATCCAACATTACGTCTGAGGCTGAGGCGATGCCGAGCCCAACTAGCCACCAGCCTACCAGCCCGCCAACCCGCTAGCCCGTGATCTTGGTTTATCTCAATTGCCAACCTTTGGAGCTTATGGGCCTTCATTGTCAGCAAGAATCCATTTTTGGTTGATTCCACAATCATCTTCCTGGCTGTGGCCCACCATATTCTCACATTCCTGTCGGGAGGTTCCAACAACAGATTTCGCTGCTCTCTGCCCTATGTGGGATCCCAGGCTAGTGGGCCACCAGGCGTCGCTACCCTCCCGTCTGACGCGGATTGAGGCACCATCCGCCATATGATATCGAGCCTATATCGCAATCTCAAAATCACGAAATCGGCGAATGACCTACTGAGGATTGCAGTCCTTCCCTTGCACAACTGCTAAAGAACTGTGTGTTCGGCGTGGCCGCTTACGAAAGTTTAGTTCCACAGGCTCGATGTTGACCTTCTCCTGTAATCACCCAGCCACTCGAAGCCGCATTTGCTCCCCCAAAGCATAGGGCACAACACCTTGGCTCCTGATCGCTGAGGTATTCGGACGGTCTTCAATGGCCTGAATTATGCCTGCAACTACCAGATCGGCCAACCCTCCAACTTTGGGAGGTCCACGAGGCTTAGCTGAAGTCCTTATCAGGGTCTAAGTTGTCCAATAGCTTGGTCTCAAGGTCCAAAATACAGAGACGTGCTATCAGATACTATCAGAATCTAACCATTCAGATAGCAAAACCTGTGATTTTAGCATGCGGCCAAATCTACTAACCCGACGGCCAGCAAGTACAGCTTTCTCTTTTCCACGCGTTTACGAACAAGTTTAGACGCTGTACAAACGGTATGGCCCGCATCGACGGGCCACTCGACGGGCTACATGGGACGACGATCTTTGAGATATAAACGGGATTGCCGCCTTGAGTCTTTGAATAACTATAGGTAATGATCAAGCCGTCTGCAAAGACCTTTTTCGTTTCTGATCTCGGTTACAAAATGGCGCTGTCAAAGGACAGTGTCTATCGTTTACTGGGTTACACCACCCCTTTTGACAAGAACAACACCTTTGTCTCCTCCTGAGCTCTTTCCCCACCCATCCACGGCTGCCTGCGCGTGCTTCTTGGCCTCTACCTCTTCACTGCTATCATCTACTCCTACGTCTGGTTCTCCAACAATATCGACATCTACCACCTGCATGACGTTGATGAACCTTCGTATACAACAGTGATCGGCTCCTCCGCAATCTCCTGGTCTTTCTCCTATTTCACATACCTCTCATACTATGGGCAGGGCTTCTATTTCTTTGTCACTGCGGTGCATACTTTCTTCGATGCGAAAACGGGAACGAGCTGGCTGCATGCCCGATTGCCAACGTCCTTGCAAATCCTGCATAGCCTGTGCTACAGCATGGTGACATGCTTTCCCATCCTTGTCACCCTCACCTTCTGGTGCACCATGTATGTCGGGCCGTGGTACACGTTGACGTTTGACGCCCTGGCCAACATCTCCCTCCACGCAATGAACATATTGATGGCCTTGCCCGAGATCATCCTGCCCACCACCGAACCATTGCCCTGGATGCACTTGCATTTTCTCATGATCATCCTGTCGCTGTACCTTGGACTGGCATATCGTACACGTGTAACGGGCGGGTTCTGGGTGTATGAATGGCTGGATCCGGAGCTGGGCAAGTGGAAGGTCGTGGTCCACGTCGTATGCTACTCGGTGGCCATCGCCGTCATCTTTGTCTTTGTGAGATACACAATCTGGGTCAAGAATTCGCTCCTCAGACGACACACGAGGATACAGCTCGACCGGGACGAAGTTGCGGCAGAGAAGCTTGTAGGCATATTTGTCGTTTTCGAATTCAATTCATGGCCACGATCTTGCACTTTTGTAACTTAGTGTCGTATGCTGTCGCAACTGTTTGGCTGTATGTCTGTTTCTTTGTTTACGTACGAAAAACAGCAAAGTAGGGAGATCATTTTGAAGGCTGAGGGGGTGACTGCTTCTAGCTAAGGGATGCATACTCCTACTCGCACTAGTTACAGGTAGCACGGGCTACTATGCTCTAACTTCTTTATCTAAATGGAGGTCTTGTCTCTTGCATCGCCACCTATGAGCCTCCTATATGCACAAGCCGTTTAATTGTGCTGCCCCCGGACGACCAAGCCCATGGCAGAGCATCTATTCAATGCCCCATTGCCTCACCTCGGCCCTTCTTAGATATTGCAAACGCGTTTCGAGGCTCCGTTTCCTTCCGCGATCAGTTTTCTTCGTCTCAATCCATAAATAACATTAGTCTACGCCACATTTTGGTCCTCTTCAAGCATCTGGCTGTGTCCGAAGAGGGTATGGTGTGCGGGCTGTGGTTGGGGATTTCCGCAATCTGGACAGTGCACTCTGTAGGCCAGCCAAGACCACCATAGCGGCCTTGGCAGTATCTGGGATAAGGCTCGGGCCGGCGTGCCAAGTTCAGTGGCTGTCTTGGACACTTCGGAAGCTGTAATCACAAGGAGCTAATCGAGACGTTGCTACACTACTTAGGTACAGTACGTATCAAGCACAATGCTCGGCAAGGCCCAGAATTGCAGCACGACAGCCCTGTAGGTACACCACAGCGGACTTGTTGTTGATGCTTGCCTCGTCCTCCCATATTGCTGCGACGAAGCGAGCTGGCAACGACGGTCTTGGAGAATCGTTATCTGGGCGTGCCTGCTGAGCGAGACCCATCTGCTCTAGGCAGACTAGCGACGACATGCTCTGTCCTCGTTGCTTAGAGGGTATCCCAAGTAAGTGCTCTATCTCGTTGAGTCGGCTGCAGCTAATGCGGGGGAGGTCGACGCTGGAATTCAATGCGAGGCCGAAATGGCCTAGGGGCATGAACAGATCTCCTAGTCGAAGACTGTGTGGAACAAGACTCGCATCAGAGAATTTGCCACCCGAAGCCTCCAGACTGATTCTCAGACTACTTGCGCCTTGTGTGCTGTGAGGGTTGGTTGAGCCGCCAGAAGCAGTCGGCGATGGCGATGTCAAGAGACCCTGGAGCATCTGCTCCAACAGGAACGCTACAAGCCTGACACACAGCACATAACCTTGCGCGGCTATCGACGCTTCTTTGCTCCGCAGATGCGCGTCGTGTGGGCTTTGACGTGCGCAAAGGGGGTCTGCTCCCGCCACATTGTTAAGCTTCAGAGCTCGCACGAAACCTCCAATGGCGCTCAAGACTTCGCCGATAGGATGTGGAAACCAGAGTCAGTCCTACAGCTATTTTCGGGATTTGAAACCGACGTCATACAATCTTGAGCCCGTCGGCCCGTCTGACCCTCCACCGTCCTAAGGAATGTTGCTTCCAACTTCTGGAAAGCCTTGGCAAGCTCTGCCGACAAATTGGGAAACTCGGTTATGGGCTCATCGCCTGCTTCAGTTGAGCCGCCTGAGGATAGCAAGGGCATGCCTACCGCAGATTCGACGAGAGTCCCGGCATTATTCTCAGACGCGGGCAAGTTGGGGGCGGCACATGAGGTACTAACGCCAGTGGTGGGCCGAGATGTGGGAGAAATCGGAAAGACGTCGTCGAAATGTGCCAATTCAAGACCAAACATGGTGTCCAGCTCGCCCACCGGATCGTTCAATGTCGGAGTCGCCGAATTTCCGGGCCAGCTGTCCCAGGTGGCAAAGTTGTCGATGCTGCATTGGGTCGCCTTCTTGCTCGATCTCGCGCCGTACACGCATTCGAGTCCAGCCCTTTGGCAGCGCTTGCATCGAGTCAATGAGGCCTTGTCTCCCACGCATCGCAACTTTTGTTGATGGCATCTGTCGCACAACTTCCGCAATGTTCGGCCATCAGCGCGTCGAACGATGGCAATCTTTGCTGTGCCCGGATCCGCAGTCCTTGCCGACAACATAGTCTGGGTGGCGGTGAGACGACATTCGGTTGTCGGCGAAAGCAAGGGAGCAGAAGAGGATGAGGAAACGCCGGCAGGCCGTGGAGGTGAGAATGCCGATACACATGATACACTTATATCTATACACATAGTAGTACAAGCTGATCAACAGACATCAAAAGCCGAAAGCACATCACGGGACATACGTATTCTGCTACTGCAATGCGTTACAGGCGGGCCTGAAAAGCCGCCTGTAAGGTGCCGAATGTGATCTGTCTGGTTACGCAAGTAGATCTGATTGGCCGCATTCACATGATATGCAACTGCAGTCTCGTACAGCCGCTTGCAGAAGTGTCTTCACCCTTATGCGCTTCTCAAGATTCCCCGCTGCATATCCTGCATCAGCGGTAGCATAAACCTTGCCGTATTTGACGAAACCCAAGCCCCTGCCGCCATCCAATGATCTCCGAGACGGTTGAGTAACACCGCCGATCAGCCGAACCCTAATCGGTCTATATAGTCTGCTCGTATGCTATATCTCTATCCAGCGCTCAGGCTGCGGCTAGTATCTTACTAATGTGAGTACCTCCACTGAAGGATCTACGGTTGCAGACTAGGTTTCTTTCTCTTCTGCCTTCTCTTCTCCTTCCAGCCCAATTCCTTTACCTATGTTCTCGTCTCATTCCCGGGCATCCATCTCCGTTTCCCCTATACCTTAGATGCGGTCACTCTATGCGTCCTGTGCATCCAGGTTGTAACTGCTCTAATAGGTCGGTCTGTAGCCTGAATTCGATACCATTCGCCGCTTTATTTTTATTTGTTAGTATCGAGGTGTATCCCCGCGTGGACTGTTGTGTTATCTAATCGCACTCCACTTGAGGCCGATAAGTACTACGTGGCATATCGTCATCCCATGTGTGTCGCTCGGAAGGCATTGCCGCTGTCGTGCTCAAAACCCTCACGCAGGCAATTGCAGATGGTGATACCATCGAATGTGTAATACGCGAAACCGGCATCAATCAGGATGGCAAGACTCCTAGGATAACTATGCCGAGCCCGGCAGCACAAGAGGCGCTCATTCGGCAAGTCTACAAGGCGGCAGGTCTCGATATCACGAAACCTGAGGACAGGTGTCAATATTTCGAAGCCCACGGAACGGGGACTCAAGCGGCAGATCCACAAGAAGCCTGTGCCATCTCGTCGGCTTTCTTCGGCCACAGACAGCGTGCAGTTGACGAAGACCCACTCTACGTGGGTAGTATAAAGACCATCATCGGTCACACTGAAGGTACTGCAGGGGTTGCTGGCCTGATTAAAGCATCGCAGGTCATACAGCTTGGGGTTCTCCCCCCAAACATGCTATTCAATGAGCTGAATCCGAGAGTGGCCCCGTTCTATTCAGATCTGTGGGTCGTCAACGAGCAACAGGCCTGGCCGGCGCTCAAGTTCAATCAACCACAACGCGTAAGCGTCAACTCGTTCGGATTTGGTGGAACAAATGCCCATGTAATTCTCGAATCATACGTTGCCGCCTCGAAGTTAGCGCTGGATCCAGCACCAACGCCTTGCCTCGCCCCGATCGTGCTCTCCGCACACTCTACTGCCTCACTAAAAGCTTCCCTGGAGGACCTCAAGCAATGTCTAACCAGCCAGCCGGAACTCCAGCTGTGCAATCTGGCCTGGACACTGCTGAATAAGCGGTCAACCCTCCAAGTCCGCCATACGAGCCAAGCAAAAACCGTGCCATCACTTTGCGAGGCTCTCGACCGCGATGCACCTTTGGTGTCAGGAAAGCAAGCCGTCACAACGATATCGGACATGAAGAGAAAACCTCAAGTTCTTGGTATTTTTACTGGTCAGGGTGCTCAGTGGCCAGCAATGGGAAAAATCCTCATGTCTGAAGTTGCATACGCACGAAGTATCGTTTCAGAGCTTGATTACAGCCTTCAGAGCTTACCAGCCGAGTACCGACCCCGATGGAGTCTCATGCATCAACTTCTCCTGGAAGGTGACCACTCCAATGTGCACCATGCTGCCTTTTCTCAGCCACTTTGTTGTGCGGTCCAGATCATGCTGATCAAGCTCCTTGAAGCGGCAGGGGTGACATTCAAGGTCGTCATCGGGCACAGTTCAGGGGAGATAGCTTGTGCCTTCGCTGCCGGCTTCGTATCGGCGTCGCAAGAGCCATCCGTATTGTATACCTTCGCGGCCTTACCGTAGAATACGCGCATGGGCCAGATGGGATAGAATGTGCCTTCGACGATGCGAGCGACTTGTGCGCTCTTGAGGCTTTCGAAAATAGACTGACAGTTGCAGCGAGCAATGGTCCAGACTCCGTTACGCTCTCTGGAGGTAAGGACGCCATCCTCGAGGCATACGATATTCTTATTGACGAATCTCGCTTTGCTCGAGTCCTCAAAGTTGACAAGGCTTACCACTCACACCATATGCGTCCTTGCGCAGAGCCGTATGTTGCCGCTCTGAAAGCTTGTGGGTGTGATACGTTTACCTCGCGCAATGTGCCCCGAAGCACTTGGCTCTCGTCCGTACACGAAGGGAAGATAATGCAGCTCGAGGACCTTAGCGCCGAGTACTGGAAAGAGAACTTGCTCTCCCCGGTCCTCTTTTCTCCAGCGGTCGAACTAGCAGTCCTGAAGCACATGCCCCTTGACATTTGCATCGAGGTTGGCGCTCACCCTGCGCTGAAGAACCCAACCCTGCAGACCATCCAAAACTCTATCGGGTCTGACCTCCCGTACGTGGGCTGCATGGAGCGCAAGAAAGACGACACCGAAGCCTTCTCTTCATGCTTGGGATACATGTGGTTGCATTTCGGCTCGGCGGCTATTGATATCGACAACTTGTATAGCAGCCTGTCAATCAATGCACAAGTCCGTGATCTCTCGAAGGAGCTTCCGAGCTATTCCTGGGACCACTCGCGCTCGTACAGGAAGGAGTCCCGCGCACTTCGCGCCTTGCTTGATGCAGAAAGGCCTCATCTGTTGCTCGGCAGGCGCTCTGCCCACAGCACTCCTTTGTCGATGCACTGGCAAAATTTCATACGTCCACGGGATATTGAATGGCTCGACGGCCACTCACTTCAGGGACAGATTGTGTTCCCTGGGGCAGGCTACGTTGTCATGGCTATGGAGGCCGCCGTAAAGCTGAGCGGCGAGCGGAGCATTCAGCTCTTGGAAGTTCTGGACGTCAAAATCGACAAGGCTGTTACCTTTGAAGATGAGAACAGCATGGTCGAGCTCAACCTAAGCCTTGACGTAAACCCGTCGCAGACTACGGATGCATATGCCGTGTGTAGTTTCACCATCACCTCGTGCCTCGCCAGAGAGACTGGGCCCACTCGTTCAGTCGCTGGCACACTCGCCATCACTTATGGGTCAGCGACGCGCGAGGCTCTGCCCGCACCCTCGGACGAACCCGCTCACCTCAATGATATCAGCATCGACCGATTCTACAATATGCTTGACGAGGCTGGGTACAACTATACCAAGCAGTTCCGCGGAATCACCGGCCTCAGACGCGGTAACGGCAGGGCGTACGGCACAATCAACTTCCACCGCCTGGAAGACGGCCACCGCAACATGGCCATCCATCCTAGCACGCTCGATGTTGCTTTTCAGAGCATGATCGGAGCATACGCAGCTCCTGGTGATGGGCTTCTACGATCCCTGCTTGTTCCTACTGGAATCGATCGCATCGCTCTAAACCCGTGGGTTGCTCATTGGATTAACGATTCGTCTAGTCAAGTAGACTTCATCTCCACCAATTTGTCAAGCGTTGGCACAAACATGCAAGGTGATATTGAGGTCTTTGATCCCGAGACTAAGACAACGATGCTTCACATTGAGGGTATTGGTTTTAAGCCCACCTTCCCACCCTCAGCTGCAGACGATCACGACATGTACACTAAATGGAGCTGGGGTCCTCTGAATCCGGATCCGTTGCTCGACGAAGTCGATAGACATGCCACAGAGCAGGACAAGAAGGACGTTGCAGTCATCGAGCGGGTTACGTATTGGTATATCAGATTTGTCCTGGACAGTGTGACCGCCGAGGATCGTGAGAAAGCACCCTTCCACTTCGCAAAGTATATCCAATGGTGTGAGTATGTGCTCAGTGAAACCCAAGTTGGTCGCAATGTATGGTACACACCAGATTGGGATAAAGATACACGTGCCGATATCGAAGAAATGATCCGAAAGTAAGGCTTCTCACGGACACAGAAGGATTTCTGACTGACGAAACATCTAGAAATATATCACAACCGTTCATCCGTCTCATCCAGAGAGTTGGCGAAGGTGCTTTGCAAACATTTCGCAACAATGAGAATGCCTTCGATCTCCTGGACCACGACGGCCTGCTCACGGAGTTCTACAGCGGGGAAGTGAGTTACGGCCAATCTTATTACTACCACCAACGGATGCTCGAGCAAATCACTCACCGCTACCCGAACATAGACGTTCTTGAAGTTGGTACGTAAGACACATCGCCTCCAAGCGCAACGACAATTGACGACTATAACAGGAGCGGGCACAGCGGGAGCGACACGATTGTTTTTGAACCATGATGAGCTCTCTTTTAACAGCTACACCTTCACCGATATTTCCCGCACCTTCTTCGAACCAGCCGCCCAAGATTTTGGGCGACACGCAGCAAAGATAGACTTCCGACCACTCGACATCCGTCTACCCCTAGCGAACAGGGATTCAAGTCAAATTCATATGACTTGATCGCGGCGTCCAATGTGCTCCACGCCACTCCGAACCTCGAAGTGACTGGCAAACGTCCGGTCTCTGCTGAAACCTGGCGGTCGATTGATTGTCATTGAAATTGCACACCGCGAGCACACTCGTGTCGGATTCATCTTTGGGCTGTTCCCAGATTGGTGGTCCGGTCATGATGAAGGTCGTGTGCTGCAGCCCTTCATTTCCTATGATGAATGGGACAAATTACTGAAGAGAACCGGGTTCTCTGGCATTGACAGCCGCTCTTTTGACCCAGACAGTACCACCTTCCCAAGCGGCGTGTTCCTTTCCCATGCTATAGACGAATTCATAGAGAAGCTAGATTCGCCCCTGACTGCTCCTTTTGAGGACTCTTATGGGCCCCTGGTTGTCGTCGGAGGTTCCTCGCCAAAAACGACCGAGCTCGTTGTTCGACTCACCGACATCCTACCGGCACGCAAATTTGACACCGTCCCAAGCCTCCGAGAGATCATCGACTTTGACCTATATCCAGGGTTAACATTCATTGTACTCTTGGAGCTTGATGAACATACCTTTGCAGGATTGGACGACGAAAAATTCGATGCCTTACAAACTATCTTCAATGCTGCTCACCATGTCTTGTGGGTGACCGAAAACGCTTGGAATGAGAATGCCCAGCAAACCCAGTCCATCGGCCTACTCCGTACATTGCGTCACGAATATCCCGACATTCAGATCCAACTGCTGGATGTTGACAACGTTCGAAACCTGCGCCCTCATTTCCTGATCGAGACGGTGCTGTGTCTGGAACATGGCACGAAATGGGAGGACGGCGGCTTTCTATGGACTCAAGAACCCGAGCTGTACTTGTCTAGCGGCAAGGTCCTGATATCGCGTCTCAAACGTGATGTAGACAGGAACAATCGACTAAATTCTGGACGCCGTCCCATTCTGGTCGACCTAGACCCCCGAAAAGAGATTTTGAGCTTGGAATACAATGAAGAGAAGCCTTTCTTCGGAACCAATGTAGAACGGTGTATTCCCTTGTTCCCTGACGAGACTTCGGTGAAGGTCCATGTGCAGTACTCGCTCGCAAAGGCTCTCCGGATCGGCCGATTGGGGTTCTACCATCTGATTCAGGGCAACGTTGCCGGTTCCGAGGATACGATCGTGGTGGCTTTATCGGACCGCAACGCTTCCAATGTCCAGGTGCCTTCTCGCCAAGTTATTGATGTCGGAAGCAGACAGGAGTGGGCTAAGTCGCCGCTCCTGGACATCTCGGCAATTATTGTCGCCGTCGCTCTGATGTCTGACCTCGTGCAAGGTTCGACAGTGCTGGTCTTTGAGCCTCCCAGCTTCTATGTCGAGAGTCTGCGCGACCAAGCTGCGGCTGCCGGCATCTCACTGACGTTTGCTTCCACCAAGGCTGCGCCCAAAGTGGGCGGTATCCAGTGGATTAATCTACACGAAAGGGAGACCGAGCGAAGCCTGCGCCAGAAACTGCCCACGAAGACTTCCGTGCTATACGACTTGGTTGCCGATCAGAATCCGGCAAGTTTAAGCCGTCGGCTTTTCAGGTGTCTTCCACCTAGCTGCTCAGTCCGTGGGCCAGACTACTTGTTCCAGAATGTCGCGACACCAATGTCGGCATTGGGCTCTCAAGCAGCGACCCAGATCCTCGCTGAAGCTGTTAAGATCGTGCGAAAACCCGGCGATATCGCCAATATGCCAATTCTCACAGGTCATGAGATCTTGTCTTCCAAGAGTGCTCCTGAGGCCAACGCAATGATAGATTGGGCAAAAGACAAACTCATTACTAGTCGCATCCGGCCCATTGAGACAAATGGCCTATTTGTTGGAGACAAGACGTATTTGCTGGTCGGCCTTGCTGGTGACATGGGTCGTTCGATCGCTCGATTTATGGTTGAGCGTGGCGCGCGTCATATTGTACTGTCCAGTCGTGTCCCCAAGATTGACCAACGTTGGATCGACGATATCGCTCGTTCTGGAGGTAGAGTAATGGTACTTCCTATGTAAGTTGGTGTCATGGCGTGTACTATTATGAAGGATGCTAACTATGTGGAACTAGGGATGTCTCCAACGAAGCCTCAGTCGACAAAGACCTGGCAGAGGTACGTGCTTCAATGCCTCCAATCGCCGGAGTGGCGTTTGGGCCGCTTCTGCTCCAGGACGTTATGTTCAAGAATATGGAACTCTGGATGATGGACATGGTCCTGGCGCCCAAGGTAACAGGGGTTCGCCTGTTAAACGAACGTTTATCTGATCCGGCAAACCCGCTGGACTTCTTCGTGATGTTCTCATCTATCGCGATGGTTGTAGGCAACCCGAGACAGGCCGCATATAGTGCTGCGAACGCATACCTCCATGCTATAACCCAGCAAAGACGCGCTCGCGGCATGGCCGCATCGACTATCGATATCGGTGCTGTCATTGGAGTAGGCTTCATTTCCCGTGCTGGGCGTGAGAGTGAGTCCCAAACCCGCAAGTTCCTCGCCGACTAGGTCAAGGAGTGGGAGCTCCATGCCCTCTTCGCGGAAGCCGTTGTGGCAGGCCGAAATAAGGAGATCGACGACGTGGAACTCGTCACTGGCATGGTCCACATGGATGAGAAAGAGCGAGATCGAATTCCCTGGTATAACGACCCGCGCTTTGCCGCATTCAAGTTGTCTGATCGTCAAACCGCTGGCAACGCAGCCACTGGGGCTGTCGAATCCCTGAAAGATCAATTGACAAAGGCCGAAACTGTGGATCAGGTCCGCGCCATCATCCTTAAAGGCGTGTCAAGCAGAATTCGTGGAGCCTTGCTGCTCGCCACGACCGACGAGCTGAATCTGACAGCACCTTTGATTGACCAGGGAGTGGACTCTCTCAGCGCGGTGACGGTAGCCTCGTGGTTTACCAAGAATCTCAACCTCGACGTTCCTTTGTTGAAGATTCTAGGCGGCGCCTCGGTGTCCGACTTGGTTGACGATGCTGTCTCTCGCCTGAGTTCCGACTTGATTCCACTGGTTCATTCTGGATCTCAAGAGGACCGGGTGCAAATAGCCGAGAGCGTACCGCCAACCGCACCATCAGAGACCGTCGGCACGTCTTCCAGTGACGGATCTACTTTCTCTGTTGAACACAGTAGCGACATGCCAACGCCGCTATCTCAAAGTTCTGAAGCCGATGACGGTTTTCAGCATGTAGGACCGCTTTCCATCATGCAAGAGTACACGTGGAAGCAGATGCAACTTCCTCTGGATCCAACCACCTTCAATAGCACCATTGGCATGTATATGCAAGGCCCTCTCGACCTGAGTCGCCTCGACTGGGCTTTTGGTCAGGCTCTGCAGCGCAGTGACGCATTTCGTACGTGTTTCATCTCTGATCCGGACTCCTCCTTTGAGGGGCCTATGCAGGCAATCATGAGATTACCCCGAAACTCCTTTCAATCCTACAGAGTTGCAGACAGGAACACTGCCGACGAAGAATTCAAGAACCTCCAAAAGGCTAAGTACGATCTGGACAAAGGGGATACGCTCAAGATCATCGACTACTTCTGGACGCCCACCGATCACCTCCTGGTCATCGCCTACCATCGCCTCGTCGGCGACGGCTGGACCACCGAGCACCTTTTCGTCGACGTTAGCCGGCTCTATGGCGGCCTGCCGCTCGAACCAGCACCAAGCTACGTCGACTACGCGATCCGCCAACGTTCACAGCTCACGTCGGGCGCCTTTGACCCCGACCTCACCTATTGGTCCGACCTTTTTCGAACTCTGCCACCCCGCCTGCCTGCCCTCTCCCTAGCGTCCACCAACCCGTTCAGCTCGACACCTCTCGATTGGACCTCCCACGAAGCCACTGCAAGGCTCAACCGCATGGAGGCAGTCCGCATCAAGGACCGCAGCCGCAAACGGCAAGCCACCCCAATGCACTTCTACCTCGCCTCATTCTACATCCTCATTGCTCGGCTGACTGCCTCCACCGATATCGCCATTGGCGTGGCCGACGCCGGTCGCTCCTCCCTCATCGACCAAGCCACAATGGGCTTCTTCGCATCCTACCTCCCTCTGCGCTTGCCCTACGACCCCGGCCACACTTTCAACGAAGCCCTTGGCGCCATTAAAGAGCAAATGCGCGCCGCTCTCCTCCACAGTGCCGTCCCCTTGCCCTCCATTCTCGACCGGCTCGGCCTGCCGATCAGCCCAAGCGCGGCCGACCCCTCTTCCTATGCGCCACTCTTCCAGGCCATCTTCGACTACAAGCAAGGCCAGACGGAAAGCGGAAGCATCGGCGAGGCAAAGATGGTCGAGACTAATATCCCACGTGCGGGGACTCCGTATGATATCACATTGCAGATTGGGGATGATCCGAGCAAAGAGGAGCCGGTGATCACGGTGAAGCTGCTTAAGGAGCGGTATGGGCTAGGAGCCGCCGAGGCGGTGATGCAGGCCTATCTGTCGATCCTGAACACCTTTTCAAGGAAGCCCGTTCTAAGGGTTACGGACGGAACGTTAGATCAGGGTGCTAAAGCAAAGAGTTGAATAGGTGTCGGGTATTCAGCGAGGCAGCAATAATGTATGATCCAATAAATAGAGCGTCAAGTCCTCCCAGTTTCCGTACTCCAGTAACTGCCTCTAGCATTCGAGGAGCCTCTTTGCCGGCCTGATGAAAATCTATCGAAACGAGAATCTATCCTATTCTGCTTTTACGCCTGCCAGTCTCCGGATGTGCTTAAAGACCTCGGCGCCGTCGTCTTTCTGGGTGGGAAGGTGGTGGCTGGTGTCGACTTGGACGATGGTGGCACACTGCGGCTGGTAGTGGTTACGGACAAGCTGGCGTGCGCGCCCGAGATAGAAGTCGCGGTTACCGTGAATGTGCAGTGTTGGCACGTCGATAAGGGCTGTTTTCTTGCCCCTGGCCTGAGCGCGTGCATTCATCCACAACGACGCCTCGCGCGGAAAGAAGCAGCAGCTAATGGCGGCGAACTGCAGCGTTGGGAGGGCGGAGAGTAGGACTTGCTGCTCTTGCTCTTGCTGCTGCTCCTGTTGCTGGCGTTGCTCCTGCTGGAGCCAGAGCATCAGCGTCAGCGCGAGCCCGCCCTCGGAGAAGCCCACGGCGCCGACAATGTTTTCCACATCGGCATCCGCATTGCTGCTCCTCCAGTCATCCAGACCTGTCTGCACTGCGCCGTTGATCTCTCGTATGCTCTCGTCAATGCTCACTTCGTGCCCGTGAAACCAGCCACGGTACGGCTCCTGCCCGCTGAACATAGGCAGCACCCCGGGTCCTGGGCCGCACTCCAGCGGGCCGTCGAGGAATATGAACTCAAACACATCGCGCAGCTGGTAGCAAATTCTTGCCATCTGGACGTTGAAGATGGATCTCCTGGAGCCGGTGCCATGGAAGCATAGAAGCGCTTTTTTGGGAGTCTTTTTGACGGTCATTGTGGTTTTCCGGTCTGTTTCTACCATGCCCTACCACGAAGGCGTCTGCAGTCTTTTGTCCCGGAAAACTTGGAATCCCCTATCTCACGTTCTGCCACGAGGTGGATTGAAGGTGCTGCAGCTGATTGTCCGAAGAAGGCCGAAAATCACCGAAAGACTGCTTTAGGCCTAACGCGGTGTCCACAGCCCCACATTAATAGATAGGTACTTCGCTGACCACTCACGCCCCGAGTCAGCACAAGGCTGTGGTAGTAGGGGTTCTATTAACGACGGAAATAAATTACCTAGTGTACGTGCATTTCGCCTCATACTGATCCAAGGGGTATTCAAGCCCCTCGCTCCTTGAGAAGTCGCTTCTTCAGTGCCAAAGGCCCGCGAACACCATCCATGATCTCTGGCTGAGTGCCCAAAATGGGATCAATTGCTATTGACACTGGCCTCATACCCCCAACGACTCAGCGTGCAATAATTGCGGAGACGGGAGAGCGCGTATGCATTCGCGAAGATACCCCTCTGGCTTCGCTGCGAAGCGATGAAATCCTGGTCCATACCGAGGCCTTGTCCCTCAATCCCAGCGACACCAAGATGCGCGGTGACTTCGTCACTCCAGGTGCCATGCTCGGCTGCGACTACGCGGGCACCGTTATTGCTCGCGGATCTGCCGTCGCCGGCGTCGAGATTGGTGACCGAGTGTGCGGCGCCCAGTACAAAATGAACCCCAAGAGACCCATTCGTGCTGCGTTTGAAGAGTACAACATTCCCACGGGCCCTTTCTGGCTGAAGCTGCCCGATTCAATCACCACCGAAGGCGGTGCTACGTACAGCGCTGCCATCGGCACCGCAGGCCTAGCTCTGAAACTTCTCGGCCTGCCGCTTCCAGATGCCCCTGTTCAGAAGCCGGCGTACGTTCTCGTGTACGGCGGCGGTACCGCAACGGCAACCATTGCCATACAGCTGCTCAAACTGTGAGGAAAAAAAAACACCACGACCCTCCCCGTATTGACGAAGTTTGCGGGCACTGACTGCTTGATCCCAGCATCAACATGACACCAATAACTGCCTGCTCACCCGTGCACAACGAACGGCTGAAATCTTACGGGCGCCGAGGCAACCTTTGACTACCATGAACCAGATTGTGCTGGTCAGATAGTAAGTAGAACGATATTTATCCCTGCCCTCTAGCCGTCTTCAAGTCCTTGCCTCATATCTACGTAGAAATCCTATACCAGAAATAATCTCCGCTACGCGCTCGACTGCATCACAACGGTCGAATCCACCGCCCCCTGCTTTGCGGTCCTGGGTCGGGCAGGAGGCAAATACGTCTCCCTTGATCCCTTCGAACAGAGGGTCGCCACGCGAAAAATAGTCAAGACGGACTGGACTTTAGGACCTTCCCTCTTCGGCGAGGGATGCGTGTGGCCGGAACCATACGCACGGCCACCGAGCAAGGAGCTTCTACAGTACGGGGAGAGGCCGTGGGCAGTGGCGCAGCGGTTGCTTGATGAGGGACGCTTGAAACATCGCCCTGTTAGGCAACTGGAAGGTGGATTAGAGCAGGTGCTGGTGGGGATGGAGATGGTGAGGAGAGGGGAGCTCAAGGGGGAGAAGTGCGTTGTGAAGCTAGCCCGGTAGTCGTGTTTTTAAACCGTCAATTTTAAATGTCTTCTTCAGTATTTGTCTCCTAAAGTGTTAAAGCGAGAGAGAGAGATTCCGGTGCTCCGTGTCAACTTGAACGGCAGCCCCGGCCTAGCTCATCCGTATTTACTTCCCTGTACGAAGGTGATCGAAGCTCGCACCCAACCTGAAACTAAGCGTCGCCTCCACACCATCCGGCTTCACCCCCAGAGCCTCCCTGAGCTTCCATTCCTTCGCTGGGTCTACAAGTTGAACCTACTCACATGGTCAGTCCGGTCTAAACTGCCATTACTCGTACGCAAAGATAGAGAGAGAGAAAAAGAGAAAAAGGAAAAATGTCCCACTCACATCGAACGTAGAATACAGCGTCGCCACGAGTTTGTAGATCTCACACCGCGCAATATTCTTGCCCATGCAGGCGCGGTCACCCGCGCCCCAGGTCAAGTCCGTCTTGTTCATTCAGCGCAGCCGCTCCGCATACTCGTCCGGGCTCTCAGTGGGCATCATGAGCCAGCGCTCCAGCCGGAACTGGCGCGCGTCCGCGCCGAAGATGTCTTGGTTGAATTGAGTCGATCCGCCTAACATGGCGACTGCGGTGCCAGTTGGCACACGACGGCCGTCGGGCAGGATGAAGTCCCGATCGGGTGGGATGGCGCGGCGGGAGAGCGCTGCACCGAGGGGAGAACATCTGGATCTCTACCCAGGACGGCGGCATCTGGAGGCCAGAGGATTGCAGTTCGGCATGCAGTTTTGCGGCGACGGAGGGATGCTTCCCCACGAAGTAGACTACGGCTGTGATAATGGCAGCGACCGATTCGCCGCCAGCGAAGAGGGGTGTCGTGGCGTAGCCGTGTAGGACAAGCTCATCAACAGTCTATGGAAACTTCTCCTTCGTCTCGAGGAGCTGGTCAAGGAGGTCCTCACGGTCACTGGTCCTTGTTGTCGATACCCCCATCGCCCTCCTGCTTTGGATTAGTTCGCGTGCTCGACGTGGGAAGGACCCCATGCGTTTAACCATCATACTGGCCAGTGGGGTCCTCTTGAGAACTGCGTACATCCAAGGCATGCAGACATCCTGCATGGTTGCATTGAATGCAGTCAGAAAATGGCAAGCACTGCTTTCTTCCATGCGCAACCCACCGTGGCTCCGAATTTTTGAGCTTCATGTAGGCCCTTGAACATGCCCTCTCGATCAGCTTCACCTCGAATAAGTCCGAAGTCCACGGATGCGGTAACCCTCATTATCGTATCGTACGCAACTGTGTAGGCATGTCAGTGGTCGATCATTAAAGCGATTAGATGCTTCTGCTCACAAAAGTGCGCCCATTGATAAACGGGCATCGTCCTCCCTTTGCTGTTGAACTCCTGGTCGAGCTGGTGGACGAACTGAAGGATGCACTCGTCGATGAAACGTTCCGACTTCGTGACATTAGACATGGAATAGATGCCCGCAATCGGTCGTTTAATAGCCGCATGTTCTCTGGTCGTCTCCATTACCACGATATTCGGATAAACAACCCCGTTGAGCTCATGTCGCAATGGCTTAAAGTGATGGCTCTAAGAGGACATTGCTTCGACTTAGAAATGGCCTTTGGGTACAGGTGCTGTGCAAATTACATACTTTAGGAAGTGGTGACCTGGTGCCATACACTTCGTCAACCATGGCCGGGTCGCAGAAAATGAGGGTGCGTGGACCAATTTGGACCACAGGGCCATACACCCTGTGCAGTTCCGCGATAGCCAGACGTGTTCGCTCATGGTATGTGTCGAGCACCTGAAATAGATCTAGTGAAATGTTAGATCTTATAAGCCAAGGCACCGGCAGGATTGTGATATTGGCTACCTGTACACCGACGATACCATGGTCCTGGAAAGCGCCATAGTCCTGTCCGCAAAGGTGTTGCGAGAAACCAGATCACGCCTGCAACAATACAGGCTAGAAGCAAGAGGTTAAACATCTTCAATACCAGAATGATGCGTTGAAGGTCACTGTCGATTAGTGTTGCTGGTTTCACCTTATACAGTTAGGTGAACTTGCAGCCCACAGTAGCCTACCTGTTTGCAAACTCCGAAATCGCCGAAGTTGAACCATCACTGACTTCCTGACGCCGTGTTCTGATCGTGCTTTCGGCCCTGCTTGATATTACTGGAGCGTTGGAGACGCCCGGGAAGAGACGGTTGCAGTGTTTCTGTCGTCTAATTATTGTCATGCTCAGACATCACAATGATGGGCTTGAAAGAAGGCTTATTTGTTTTCCAACGAATCCCTATGTCATCAGTAGGTATGTAGATAGGTTAAGCTTCCCGATCTTACCTCTGTATTCTTCTTCTATACCATTCGACTAGTCTTCCAAATGTCTCTCCAACCAACCGTGATCATCGTCGGGGCGGGCATCGGTGGCCTAGCTTCTGCAGTGGCACTCCGCCAAGCTGGCCACAAAATCATCGTGCTGGAAAGGTACAGCAACAAGCGCGAAGTTGGCTTCGCCGTAAGTTTATCTCCCAATGCAAATATGGTCCTACGAGACCTTGGCGTCGACTTTAAGAGTGCTCGTATGGTGTACTGCACCGAAGAGGTAATCATCCAAGCAGCACCAGCAGAACAGCCATTTCAAGTCTTATGGCGGAAATCGTTGGCCAATCTCGAGGAAGAGTACGGGCTCCATGGATGACTGTGCACCGTGTGGATCTGCACAACTGTCTAAAGGATCTGGCTACCGCAAGAGAGGGTGCAGGTGTGCCAGTGGAAATTGTGGAGGGAGTTTCAGCAGTGCATTTTGACGCTGCGGGCTCGATTACACTGCATAATGGGGAAATGCTACGGGCGGATTTTATAGTTGCGGCCGATGGCGTGAAATCGAAAGCCCACAGAGTCATTATGAAAGATGGAGAAGAGAGGCCCGCGACGCTGACAGTAAGCAACGTGCGGGTTTGCATGCCAACTAAGGTACTCATGGAGGATAAGGAATTAAAGGAGTTTATGGAGCTTGCGCCCCATGGAACCTCCGTAAGTTTGGGGATGACGCGAGATCGGCTGATTCTGCGATACCCATGTCGGGAGTAAGTCACATCATTCACCTTGAATAGAATGCAGCCTCCACTAATGTAGCCACTCTTTACCGAGTACAGCAATCTCCTCCAAAACTTCGGCTTCTACGCCGTCACCGACAACAACCAGCCCGCCAACAAACAGAAATGCAACAAGCAGACGGCAAAACAAGTTGCCTGCGACCACATCAAGACCTTCCACCCTTCTCTCCACAAAATGCTCGACTACTGTGATGAAGACGACATGTACCTCTGGAAAGTTGCCGACCGCGAGCCTCTGCCTACGTACCATAAGGACCACCTTATCGTCCTCGGTGATGCTGCACATCCAATGCTTCCGACCTTGGGCAGCGGTGCGGGGATGGCAATTGAGGATGCAGGAGCTCTAGGCGTGGTTATGGAGGAAGTCAAGGATGTGGGCGAGGTAGCAGGAAGGCTAGATTTGTGGGATCGCTTGCGGAGACCAAGGGCGAGTGCAGTGCAGCTTTTGAGTCGCACAGTCGCAGTGGAGTACGACCTCAGTAAAGAGACACAGGATATGGTAAGACAATATCTGTCAGAGGAGGAACTTCCCGACTTTACACGGGCATGTGTGAATAGGATGTTGTTTAGATACGATTACTTGGGGGAAGCGAGGAGGGCGATGCAGGACATGACGGATTCGGCGATTTGTGCCAGGATCAAACACTTTGGGGCCGCACATTAGAATTACCGAGCGAACATGTGTGAGGCGCTATTGCAATGTCCAAGGGGGCACCTGTGCGAGGTACTATTATTACGGCTTTTTCTGATCACCGAAAGAGGATGCCATGCTTTCCCCATTAGGGCAAGACTACGAACCCACATGGGCTTAAGCTAAAAGAGGCCATTAATGCCATCACTCCTGGTGTCACATGACAAACACTAAGCTTTTTAAGGACTAGCCTCATGGCCCCTCCTTAATTTAAGCTTCGGACGAGGGTGACGCTGTGAGGCCTTTTAGCGCCTTGGCATCTGAGCGCCTACCCAGCACTTCTTAGCTGTCATCATTGTCATTCTAGATAGTCACATAGCTACTCAATACAAGACCCCCACGTTACCACAATCATCCGTGTCATACAGCGTCTCCCTCCTTTGACGTTACAACGCCGCCCTGTGCTCACCTGTGTCTCACCTGTCTTGGGTGCGATGCCGACCCTACTAACCACGATGGGGCCTCTGGAGACAAAGGTGACGAGCTTCCCGGCCTTTCATCGTGCTGTCCAATGAAAGGCTGAGATTTGTCAAAAAGCAGCGTCGCCAAATCTACTTGTTACAACACTTCTCGTCTGGCCCTCTAGGGGCACTTTGCCCAGGGCAGTTAAAGAATCGAGCCTAAATCGACGGCTGACCGCGTGCCCAAAAGGCCACAGTATGAATCCCACGAGCCGCTCGGGATGTGACATTTTAGAGCGTTGGCACTTGGCATGTCTTGATTGGTGAGCAACCATACACTCGATGGTTTTTTAAATGTAATTTGTATGTAAAGATGCATCCCATTCGTCTGTAAACCCGGGTATTGCCAAGGCGCGCCAAAACGTCGCATTTCCGACAGCTGGTGGGATACTCTACTGCTCCCTGGTTAGAGTGATGTTGCCTGGTCGCCAGCACATCGATGAGATACAGCACTAGAATAGCTACATTTAACGACCCTGAAACACAACAACTTGTGAACTGCACGAACTTGGAGGAATGGTCTGGCAGCTTTTAAAGCGGAGCCGTCGCTGAGCTCGACCTCTACTTCGCCGTACGTCATGGCGCCGATAGGGTCGGAGAGCCAATAACGGAGCAGCATAATCTGGGTGTTACTGAGAGGAAGGAACGTGGTCTTCATTGAGGAGAGACTCTCAGGTGCTCCGGTACACAAGCATCAAAATCCTCGGATCATGATGCTGGTCCCAGTCTCCCTCTCTAAACATTCAAATATTGGCAAGGCTTGTCCCGGACCCCGGATATATCCTCGGGCCGAAGGGTGTCTTGCCCGGAGTCCCCATCAGGTTTCTCGTAATCATTTTCTGGGCCAAGTCTAGTCTCCCTTCTACTTGTACTTGTAGTCCACTTGGTAAAACAGACAAGGGTCAGCTACCAGGATCATGGGGGGGTTGGCCGAGGCTGTGGAGACCCCAGATCTGCTGACACCCCTCAACATGGAGACTGTGCGATCATTGCTCCTTCCACAGCTCAGTCGACAGCTCCTTTTGCGTCCTATTCTTCATTGTCTTTTCGAGCGTCTAGCGATGAAATTCTGGCATTCGTGATTCCCGCCATTATTAAATGGAGAGACCACCAGCACTAGCTAATGGTCCGGGCGCAGCTACCAGTGTTCGCACCAGACGTTCTCTCGCTTGCAATTTTTGCCGAGTCAAAAAAGTGCGATGTATGGGTAGGTGAGTTCCTGCAGCCGTCGGCCAGATCTGACCTTGCTCAGGAGATGGAAGAAAACCGTGTACTTATTGCGTGGATCGCGATGTGGCATGCACGTGGCCCTCGGTACGAAGAGCAAGAGCGAAAGAACGACCTAAAGACCAAGATCAATGGTTCGAGCGGTTGGCTCAAGTCGAGGCATTGCTTCAGGAGACCAGAAACACATTAAGCAATGTTGATCACGGTCAACAGCCTCCCGGCGGCAACAGCAGGTTTGAAACTCGGGGTGAAGAAGCGCTTGCAACTCAATGCAGACTCGAAGTGGCGGGAACAGCTCAACCAGGTGCCACTAAGGTTTGCGAATCGTTCATGGGACATAATTCGCAGGCCTCCCTTTGCACGACTTCACAGCCAGACATTCCAGCTTCGTCCCCGTCGGATTCTGCTCCAAGGAACATCGACGAGGAAGCAAGCCGACTCCCTGGCTCATCAATTGCCCATCAAGCCTTCTTGCAAGACCATGCTCTGCGGATCACTCCAATGCCCCGCGCACATGTTTTTGGCATTGCTGAGTCGTCTCACAGCTCGCTTTCATGGACGCCGACCGAAGCAGTGGTACCGTCGCCTTATAACGATGAAAGGGCCGATATTTCGGACGATTGCAGCATTGAAAAGCAAGAAAGATGCAGTGTCTACTCTGCTGAATCGGTAAGTCATTCAGCCTCTGGTTGCCTGATTCTGTTTTGCTGATTCACTCCCGGTCGTGCTACGAGTATCATGGTAAGCCAATCCCACTAAAAGCCATCATCAGCTCAACGTTGAAAGGTCCTCGATCCTTCATGTCAATTTGCTCGAAGCCGGGAATCCAGTGGGTGACAGACAGATGTGGCTGTCCCGGATTTCAAGATTATGCGGCATCGTTCACCCGAGAAGTAATGCGACCGTTGAAAATGGAAACGAGACTCTCTACACTTCGAGCCTCGGAACCAGATGCGAAGGACGCGTGGTTGTATACCAGACGTATGGCCTTCCGTCCCCTCCGGTAACAGGATGCTAATGGTCGCTGGTTCAGGTTTCTTTGAAGCAGCCCCTGGAGCGAAATTCGGAGTTGTGCAGCGGTCATGGTTCGAAACACGACTTCGAGCCCACACGAACAGCCCGAACAGGGATGATGAGCCTGCTTGGTATGCTTTGAGAAACGTCATCTTTGCGACCGGATCTCGATTGCACCTAGCAAAAACCACCACATTCCGTGAAGCGTGCCAGATATCGTGGGGATGGTTTGAGAATGCGCTTTCCGTGCACACGGAAATATTGTACTTCAAAACCTCGATTCTAGGCTTACAAGCCTTGACCCTGATGGTTAGTGGGGCACAAATGTCTTCTGACTGGCGCTTACCAAACTTCACAGGCATACTTTGTCGACGAACTGGGCAGCCCGGCACTGGAGTACATGCTCTGCTCCAACGCTCTGAGGTTGGCATGTTCCAAGGGCCTGCATCGACAAGCTGTCTCGTCGTGGAACCTCACTCCACAGGAAGCCTGCCAGCGCGACTGGATTTTTTGGGCTATTTATTGCCTGGAAAAGAGCATTGCCTTGCGTTCCGGGCGGCCATCGGTACGCCGTCCCTCCCCCCAATTCCGACTTTTGCAAATAATTAACAAGGTCATCTAGATCACCGATGACGACGATATCAGTTGCCAGATCCCAATTTACGGACCTCCCGGAAGCGCAGTCGATGTTGTATTCTGTAACCTGTGGATCAGGTTTGCTCAGCTGTCTTCACTTGTGAGCAAGCGGCTTTCAAGCGTACAGGCATTCCGACGCACGACGAGCGCGACTATTGACAATGTTATCGACTTAGATCAGCAACTCCGCAGCTTGAAGGACTCGATGGCTTACATTTTCTGTGTTGACGCTCCCATTAATCCGTCCTCGTTGCCTGCTGGTATGAGCCTCAATCAGGCACTTGATGTGCAATTTACCTACTACGACCTACTATCTCACATTCATACTGCTTTGACTTATCCTTGGTCTCAAGCAATGCTCAGGCCTCAAGAGAACGATAAGCATCGAAAGCAAATTGAAACCTCCTGCTCGATTGTCGCCGACGCCGCTCGTTCCATAATACTGGCCACTAAATGGGTCCATCTGGATGCGAATTGTTCAGTACTGTACGTCCAGAACCCGTAGTTTCCGACTTTTGATTCACTATTCTCGTTCATGCTGAAAAATCTGCAGGTCAGCGTTTACAGCCTCAATTCAGGCTGTCATCAATCTCTTTATTCACATCTTACAGTATCCCGAAAATCCTTCTGTCCAGTGGGACCTCTCCCTTCTAGACATTGGAGCTGGCCATTTCGCAAGGCTGGAATTTGCGACGAGATCACAGATATCCATCTCTTTCGTCAAGGACATTGCGTCGTTGGCCCGAGCAGCGGTCAGACGCGCAAAGAATGGACCTGTTACATGCGGCGGCTCGACAGGTGTCAGAACGTTGGCGAACCTAGACTCTGTCTCGAGCGAGAGTGATATGGTGGGAGGACCAAACCACTCGCAGCCTACTGGTATGAACCAAGAGGTACGTAGCCTAACTAGGCTATCATGGTTGTCATTTTACGATTGACCATATCTAACCTTTCGCTCTGGGGTAGGCTTTCGACATCGAGCTCTCAGATTTCCAGCCAGAAAACTTGAGCATGTTGCTTCCAGGAATTGATCTTGATGGGGGAATGACGGACTTTTTCAATTGGGAGCAGTGAGCGTGTCTGAAGTCTGGTTCCCTCACACACCTACCCACAGCACAACGCCACTTACTTTTTCAGGGCCAATCCTTCATCCACTGCAATGCCCGAAGAGAGGTCGGCCAATTTCGTCGCCAAGTCAACTGAAAAGGAATAGTGCTCATGTACATACTGCCATCCCTCGCTCGTCTTCTGCATCAAACTGGTAATGCGGAAAATCAGATCAAAATCATTGCCGTCGGCTGCTTTTCCCCAGTATCTCTCAAGCGACGTCGCGTAAGCGAACGTCTCGCTCACTGCAACAATCTCCAAATCCTTGAACTCGATCTGCGCATCCTTGAGATATAACGTGACTTTATCGTAATGTGGACGAAAGTTTGGCCGGTTGGTAAGTCCCATCAAGTCGAAAATGGTCATGTCGTCGAGATCCCAGAATCGCTTTCCGCTGTGAGGATCCTCCAAGCATTCGTAGTTGCAAAATCGGGCGAAGGCCTTGTAATGCTCGAGAACCTCCTCCTCGACATGTTTTAACTTGGGGTTATGGTACTGTTTGACCCGTTACCTTTATGTATCCGCGCACCTAAGTGTGGGCCGGGCCTCAACCGACCTTGGACGGACCACCCGGAAGAGTTCCGTGGAGGTCATCGACGCTGGTCAAGCTTGTCTGTATGGACGCGTTAGTTCAGGTGTTTCGACAACTCTAGCATGGGCTCCCTTTCACTGTCGGTGGGATAAGATAACCTACGTCGGTTTTCCAGGCAGACATTGTGGATACAGAGGACCGAAGGGAGTCTCTTAGCGGGAGAGGCCACCGTTAGAAAATCAGGAGTATCAGTTCTCCTGCGAAATAATATCTGTGAGACCACAAGGAAGGTACATCTATCTATTAGCGAGAAATGTCTCCTCGCACCTTGGTCGAAACCATTCGGCTATTTACCTCTTCCGGGGAAGGACCATTCGGCGTCCGAGCAGCCGACCTGGGTTTCCGGTCCAGCTCAAGCAGTTTGAGAATGGTCGGATTCGGAGCGTGGCCGGCAATCAGCAGATTCCGGCACCACACTATTCTACAAACTATGTCCAGATCTGGGGGGAAGTGGACTTGAGTCGATGGTGATACAATCGCGTTGTTGACATGGCATTTTGATGGTAGGCCCATCTGAGGCGTCCAATCCGCGTTGCGGATGTGTGGTTCTAGCCTTCAAGGCTTGTCTTGCACAGGGAGAAGTGTCATGAAGAATTACGACTGAACTGTGGACTCTGCACGAAACATTTCTGTATGTAGCAATAAGATGGTAGATCGTGCTGGCCCAGCATACTAGTATGTTCCAACGAACTCTACGCATTTCGGCCTGGAAGCATATACAAGTTGTAGGTATTGGATGACTGACGCTGAGATTTCACGAAGTGATTTGGTTCAGAAGAGGAAATACTGCGACCCAGTCCGTCGACCCAGGAAGCAGAAATACTCCGAGTTCAGGCAGCCATTGATGGACAGAGCTCCATCCTTCCATCTTCAATTTGCCTGCTTAGTCTCACTGTCGGGTAATGCCACATTGCTGACTTCTTCAACCTGTTCGTAGCTATTGCGCTTCGAGAGCACCGATGTTTCAAGAGTCTCGACGACAACGACCTCGTCGCCAAAAACGCTTCCGATTTGTTCGAGAGTGTAACCTCGGGTCTAGGAATATATAGATTAGCTCGCCATCGAGACGGAAGAACGCGGTCATCTTACCTCGGGCCACCAGACAAGTATGATCACGAACATCGCTGCAGCCAGGACGGCGAAAACGACGTAGTACCGCCAGCCGATGTGAGCCAGAGCCGTGGGGGTCACTGCCGTGAGAATCAGGGAGATCGCAAAGAGTCCCGACATTGCCAAAGAGACTCCTTGAGATCGCATATAGCTGGGGAAGAGCTCCGCCATGTAAATGAAGGAGGTTGCCTCAATGAATGTTGTAATCCTGAAGTGGTTCGTCAGCGAAGAAATCATGAGACTGCGTCTGTGTACGTACCAGATCAGGTCCAAGAAGATAAAGAATACCGTTGCGCTGTTTCCAGCCTTATTGGGGGTTCCAGCGTACAATTTGACAAGGACGGCGACGCAAACCATCCAGGCACTCGCGCCGAAATATCCGATTACTAGATAGGTCAGTATGTGGAGGTAGCCACCACACCGATTCGAACTCACATAACATCGTACGTCTGTTCACCTTGTCATTCAGCCAGCCACCAATGAGATTGCCAATCGGGTTGAGGACAGTCCATGCCGCGAACAACAGGGCAATGGTGAAGGGTCCATAGCCGAGAGTGCCAAAAATGACTGGTCCATAGGCTGCGCACGCAAGTCAGTAAAATAGACAGCCATCGAGGATGAATGAGGAGTCGGACCCAGGATGATGAGTGTCCCGATGCATTGTGTGCCGAACATGGAGACGAATCCAATAATCAGCCTCTTCCGGAGTGGTGCTCTTTTCAGTATGCTCAAGATCGAGAGTCGTGAGTGAGACTCGAAATCAATCTGTGCCTTAAGAATCTTGAACTCCTCCTCAGCAAATGTGTGCGAGACGGACGACTTGCTGGAGTGTAGTTTGACAAGCACTTTCAGGGCGTCCTCTGGACGGCTTCTCATGTACACTGCTTCGGGTTACTGAAAATTCACCAAATGATACGACAGGGATTCGAAGAACTTACACCAGCGGGGGCTCTCAGGGAGCGTCCAAATAAGACCGAGTATAAGGGCCGGGAACAGACATTGGATGGCCAACGGACCTCGCCAACCTCCGGAACCATTAACGTGGAAGAAGGCAACCCCGATCCATTGAGCGATGAGAGTTCCCGTACCGATTTGAGCTCCTGAAACCACAAGTCAGTTGAGGCACCTCGCCTTCCATTGTGACGGCAAACACGTACCGTGCAATCCCACAAGAAAGCCGCGGAAATTTGGCGGCGCGATCTCTGCCTGGTATAAAGGGACGCCACACATGAAGAAGACGGCACCAAAGCCTGAGATAAAGCGTGCCACGATGAACATTGCTGGGTGGACTGATCCAGTCTGCAGGGCCCCTCCAACAATGGTGATGACAGAGCCCACAGCGATAGGTGTGCGGCGGCCCCATCGGTCCGAGACGTAAGGATACACCAGGTTGCAAACGAGGCTGCCAACGTAGAACAGACATTGTATGGCAGCAATGAGGGCATTGGATCGACTGAGTCCCGGACCAGAGGTCGTCAGTCCAAAGTAGACGTACCAGTCTGGTTTGCTCAAGGTACTCCCAACAATTGAGATGAGATAGCCATACGAAATACTGCCTGTTGCAGCAACCAATGCGACCTAGTGATGGAAGGGTTACGATCAGTGTTAAGGCCCTTCTGGTTCACTCGTGGAGTAGAGAGCTTACAATTGCATTGTAAGATGACTTGCCCTGTGCCATTTTCAATATTAGCTACCAGCGTCAAATTAGTGTCAGAGAGTGAGAAGCAGGCGGATCGGAACCATCGTCAGGACGTGCATCTGGGGCTTTAGTACTCCGGAGATCAGAGGTCCTTCCTGCCAGGGGATGAATATACAGCTCCAGGCAGATATGCACCTAAAAGAGACTCCGCATCTCCCCATGGGGGTGGCGTTTATGCGGGAGGTCGGTTCACCTTCGGTCCGGACATGGAACCGGCCCCGAAACCTTGTCGCTGGGTAGATCTAAGCTGACAACTCTACACGTCTGGGTCGGCTTTCAATGATGACGCTCAACAGCAACTAAGACATCCGACAATTTTACTTCGATTCTCGGGTGGTTTGCCTGTGTCTGGCTTGCTTTCTATGGCAGGAGCCCGAGATTCCGACCGTCGCTGACCAAGTTAAGAATGAACGTGCACATGAATTTATGGCTCAGTTCCACGGCCTCGTCCAAGTGGTGGCACTTTTCAAGAGTGACACAAACTAAGTCAGGGATTTCGTATATGGAAGCATCCGTCTACTTTTTCACACGCAAGGTCGGATATTCCTATACCAGTTACACTAACAAGTACCCGGCGTCGACAATTTCGGTGGTGCCCGTCATCGATCGATTTCGAGCAACGGAGACAATGTGTTCAGCAACGTCCTATTACAAACAAACCTAGGGTAAGTAACAGCTCTCCCGAGGGTCTTTGTGCGTTGGACACGAGCACTCACCTCCAATGCGATGATCTTCTTCAGAGGATTCTTCTCCCGTACTGCGTCGTGCATTTTTGTAGGGAACTTCATTCCCCATTCCTTGACGAAACGTCAGCAGCTTGGATTCAACTCATCTCATATCTCAGACGTACCGTGAGCATCAGACTAGGTGCCACCGTGTTCACCCGGACTTTTGGGGATGCGATCAATGCCAAAGATTTGGTTAAATGTATTTGAGCCGCTTTCGTTACCGAGTAGGCCTATTGAGTTGTTCAGCGCATGCAACCACGACGAACATGACCAAAAAAGGAAGCTTACTAGGCAACTGCCCCCAGGCTTGATACCAGACACCGACGACACTGTGAGGAATGATCCCTCAGTGGCCTCGAGGTGCTTTTTGGCAGCATGAAACAGCAACAGCGGCGATTTCACGTTCATGCTGAAGCAATGGTCCCAGTCTTCCTCGTCGATGTTCTCCTCAATGTTCATGAAATTGGTAAACGTTGTCCAGCCATGGTTTGAGATCACAATGTCCAATCTCCCCATCGCCTGCACAGTCTCTTCAACCAGTTTCTTTATATCAGACCGGACATTTAAGTCAGCCTGAATGGCAATATATCGGTTTTTACATGCTGCTTCTTCATCTGCAATTGACCCCTTCCTTTGTAGATGAAGTTCTGAGACCAAAGCTTCTGCTTTCTCGCGGCTGTGACAGTAGTTGATGACAATTCTGGCACCGATGTTGGCCAAACTCCTTGCCACTGCTGCCCCAAGTCCTGCTGAGCTCGCGGTCACAAGGGCAACTTGGCCATCTCCAGATTTTGACATTCTCGACTGGGTCAGCTGCTGGTGACAGGAATTCAGGAATTGTATGTACGTCCTTTCATGCTGTCAATTATTTTCCAGTAAAGTATTACGACTCAGGGCAAACATCACCCGAGACTCTGCTAGATCGGAAGTCTAAGGAACATGAAGAGTGGGGGTCGTCGGGCGGCGCTGCAGTGGTCTGCCCCCCCGGGGCTCTTGGCCCCTACCCATCCAACTCTCCGGCGCAGTTCTCGGCCCGGACATCAAGACATGGAGATTTCAAAGCGGTGGAGAGGATTAGAGGATCGTCATGTCATCGATATCGACGACTGGAAGCGTATCGATACTACCCACCGACTCTCTGCCGCCGATGTGCATTGTCCCACTTCCACGCAGTCAAAGCCTCTGTCCACACCACCTAGCTGACCAAGATTTGCTTGACTCGATACAAAGGATAACGGTATGGCGCTCGTCTACTTTTGGCTGGTCATGGCCTTGCTGGTAGGCCTTGCAATATTCTTTGGGGCAAAGTTGCTACGGGTTGGCATGCGTGAGAAAGATCTACCGCCAGGTAAGCCCATTGTCGAGCTCTACAAGCGTGTCGCCGTTACAAGACAGGCTTGTCTGACCTTTGACGGTAACAGGACCTCCGACGGTGCCAATTCTGGGAAACCTGCATCAGATGACAGCAAACCCGTATCTCATGTTCGAGAAATGGGCAAAGCAATGTGAGAGATTCGAACAGAATGGTGAACCTGCTTCTCATTGTTAGATGGACCTATTATCTCCGTAAAGCTCGGCACACAGACGATGATAGTCATCAACACCGAACAAGGTATTCGAGACTTGTTCGAGAAAAGAAGCGGCAACTATTCAGCTAAGGCGCCGAACTTTGGGGCAGAATTCGGCGAGAATCTAAATCTCCTGTTTAGAACGTCCGTCTTACTTTTCCCTGAAAATTCTGTGAATATTGCGACTGACTTCTCGGCATAGAAACGATGACGTGTGGAGGCGGATGCGGAAGATGTACCACCTTCGCCTCAACATTACCGCCGCGAACAACTATTTGCCTTACCAGGTAGGCGCGAAGCCCATGAAGTTGCTTCTTCTGATTTCATGTAAGCTCACGCGTGAGCCTAGGAGTTTGAAAGCATTCAGATGTTAGATGAGCTCCTGGACCGGCCGAAGGACTTTTGGACCATAATAAAAAGGTACACAACTAGTATCGGAGCAACCGTCATTTTCGCCAAACGACATACAGACCTCGAGGATCCATCGGTCAAAGAACTCTACGCTGTGAGTCACGCTTACTATCCCTGATGCCGACTTTATTATTAACAGCCAAATAGTGGCTCGAGAGATTTTCGGCATTGATGGAGAAAACATCCTTTGCTGACTGGTACCCCATTCTGAAACCACTCTACCTTCGTGCTCCGTCCTGGATCAGCGGATTTTTAAAGGAAGCTGCGGAACTGAAAGACATGGAAACAAATCTATGGATGAAGCTAATTGGTGAAGCTCAAGAGATGCTGGAGCAAGACAAAATGCGTCCGAGTAGGTATCTTGACTTGGGATTATGTCTGCAACTAACTCTTAGCGAGGCTTTGCAAGAAATCTCCTCTTGACGATCGGGGCCGAATCTGATCAGGTCTCGAAGTCTGACGCTCTCACGTTTAAACAAATCGCGTTTGTGGTTGGTCACGCGTGGCCAGCAGCTGCGTAAGCTATCATTTCCATCGCGAGGGAACCGTAACTTATCAATTGTAACAGTGACACTACGTATAGCACACTCATGGGTTTTGTAAAGGTGCGTGGAAAAGCCAGAATATCGAACAGTCAACTAAACGCTGGATCAGGCCATGGCCATTTTCCCAGAGGTCCAGAAGCGGGCTCAGGAGGAGCTCGATACTGTTGTTGGAAGTCATAGATTCCCAACATGGGACGACACCGCGGACCTTCCTTACATCATGAGCTGTGTCAAGGAGTCCTTCAGGTGTATGGGTAAAAGACACTGTGAAAGGATTGTTACTGACTGCGAAAACAGGGATGCCGACTACAGTGGCTGGAGGTGCCCCCCACGCAGCTACAAATGAAGATACTTACATGGGATACCGGATACCTGCTGGAGTTCCAATTGTGAATAATGTCTGTGTGAGACGATACCTGGTGGTCCTCAATGATGATGCTGAAGCTGGGACATAGGTATGGAGCATCAACAATGATCGCACCAATCCTCGAGATTTCGAGCCGTACAGACACATGCCTGGTCACAAATATCCTCCGGTGGGAACGCCAGTCGGTTCAGATGGATCGGACAAAGGCTTCACAACCTTTGGTGCCGGACGAAGAATGTGTCCTGGGATCCATGTGGCAGAGCGCAGCATGTACACGGCCGTGGCGCGTCTGTTATGGGCCTTTAACATCAAAAGAGCTGTCGACGAGAATGGCCAGTTCACACCGATCGATCGTGATGGAATGTCCCCAGGATTCATGGTGACGCCTCTTCACTACGAGTAAGTCGGCCGTCAACACGGGTTCTGTTTCGAGTTGAACTGACCAGAGTTTGCGTCCTACAACAGGGTAGTATTCGAATGTCAAAGCGACGAGCGTGCTGCCCTCATCAGGAGGTCTTGGGCCCAGGCAAAAACCTTGCTTGAAGAGGATGGAAGCTACAGTGAAGCATTTTTCCAACAATCGTTTTAAAAGAGGCAACTACTAGCCTCGACAAGCTCGGCCGAGGCAGGCCCTTTTCGTCGAAGCATGTAGAATCTATTCAGGGACCGGCTTGACAAGGAGCCAACCAAACCCATTCACAAACAACTACTCTTCAATATCTAGCGAACAGAATCGAATTCAAGTTGAAAGCTTGTCAAACAGTGTAAGACGTGGTAGAAGCTTGTGGTGAAGCCGGTGCTTCAAAAGCGGAATATCACGCTACCTGTCATGCGGCAAAACACCCCAGGGCTGCAGCCTTGACCACCGTCACCATTACAATGCCCATTCTGGCAAGCCTCTCGGCCCATTCTCTATGCGCTTCTTTATTGAGACATGATCTTCCCCGGACTGGAGCCTCCGAATGAGCTCCTCAGGGTCGAAATCCGTTCCGATTGGATTCTCTGCGAATGCCTTTGAAGCCATGAAGGCGTTTGCCTCCTCCACCGTGTCGAAGTTGTCGACCTGAGTTTCGATCATATTTCCGTCCGGATCGGTGTAATAGATGCTGGTCGTTGGCCCGTGGTTGACACACCATGTTGGCTTGATGCCTGCCTCCTTGCGCTGACGGTAGGTCAGACAGAGGTCGTCCAAAGTGTCGAACGTAAATGCGATGTGCTCCAGGCCAGCTGAGTGGCGCACTTTAGGCCCAGTACCGGGTACAGCAATAATGGCGATTCGATGGTGCTCTTCATCATATGTCAAAAAGGAGAGTATCTCGTTTTCATATGATGCCTCGGCTCCAAGAAACGTCTTGTAGTATTTGTTCATGACTGCGAAATTCGGGGTGCGTAGAACGACGTGCGCAAGCGACGACGGGCTTTTGACCTTGGTTTGTGTCATGTTGACCAGAAGGGTAGGCGCTATCTTAATCACTGGGACGAGTTGCAATGTGGTCGACGCTGAAAATTTCCAACAGAAACCATTTTTGGGGTTCGATTAAGACGGAGCCGGGGTGATGGACGGTATGAGGCTCACCACGTTTCCGGACGCCGGCAATTCGGATGACGGCCACGATGGAACGGGTCTCGAGATTACCAGACCGCCTACACGAGAGCACGGGCTAGGTAGACATAACTATTCAAGGATCGACAAGGCCTGTCGAGGTTCCTGTGCTTCGGAGAACCGGAGAGTTGTATCCGAGAGCGCTATCAGGGCCGGCAACGGCTATCTTGAGATCTTGAAATTTTTTAGCGACTCTCCTGTCAGTCAACTTACGACACATCGAAGTTATTTGTCTCGGCCAGGCTCTCACACAAGTCGAATCTTCAGCAATATGGCAGCAAGCAATGGAATTGTGCATGAAGTGCTCTCTCCGGACACGGTGCTTATTGCCGGAGGTGGACCTGTTGGTCTTTTGCTCGCGGCTGTCCTCTCCCGGTACAATGTGAAGTCGATACTCGTCGAACGAAACAAGAGCACAACGAAATGGCCCAAAATGGATCTCACAAATCCCCGATCCATGGAAATTCTTCGACGCCTGGGACTTGCAGATGAACTACGCAAGCAGGGCGTCCGGGCAGACGTACCACAGCCTGTACTCTTTTGTACTGGGTTACCCGCTCCAAAAGCAATCACAAGTTGGGAGCACGAAAGCGTGAGTCGGCTATCCTATCAATCATTCCAGTTTGGACATCGATAGCAGATTCTGGAGCCAAGTCAGTTTCTTTCCCCTTGGAGAATCCAAAGGTTCAAGAATTGGGAGTCATGACACTCAACGGTGAAGCTGACTTGAGCAACCTTCCAGGTTGATCAATTTCGTACTCGAATTCAGCGCACAAACGATGGTACGCTACCGCTTGAACCATGGCAGAGACTATCGCAAGTCATTTTCGAGGCTTGGCTCAAAGGCATATGCGAGAAGGATCCCTTGATTGAGCTTCGATACGGTTGCAGGGTCGAAGAGGTCGAGGAGAGTGCGGATCAGGTCAAAACTACCATCTCGAACGTGGATACGGGCGCCCTCTCGGTCATCGTCTCGAAATACGTCGCAGGGTGTGATGGTGCTAACAGTCGAGTCAGGCGTTCACTCAAGATGCCATTAGACGGTGGACCCATTCCTGCATTTCTCCTACTGGTTCATTTCAAATCGAGAGATCTCACAAGATTACACAAACTCGGACAATTTTGGCATATATTTTTCTTCAAGAAGACTGGTGAGTTCTCGGGTGCCATCATCGCTCAGGATGAGATCGATACCTGGACTACACACTTGTTCCTTCCTCTAGACGCAGACGAGTCGAAGGTAGACTCGCACGAGGCTATTTACGCTACACTGGGAGGCGCACATGAGCCTTATCCTATCAAGGTTGACGAAATTCTGGTTCGTTCTGCCTGGAGACCCAACATTGCCGTTGCCAGGCAGTGGACGAGTCTACACCGTCGGGTCTTCTTGGCCGGGGATTCCGCTCATCAACTTATCCCGACAGGAGGTTACGGTATGAACACTGGAATCGGAGATGCATACGATCTAGGGTGGAAGTTGGCCTCCGTCATCAACGGCTCTGGAGGTATATCTCTGCTAGACTCGTATGAGGCTGAGCGTCGGCCTGTGGCCTTACGAAACTCCGAGCATTCTGGAGTCCACATGCAGACTCACCAGGCCGTCGGCAGCTTGATGAATGGCCTTGACATCGATGCTATTAATTCCGACACCAAAGAGGGCAAGGCAGCTCGTCAGAGTATACATGAACACTATCAGAAGAACTCGGGGGAGAACACGGACCTGGGCATGGAGATGGGTTTCCGACATCGGTCTTCAATCATTGTTCCAGACGGAGAGCATACCTCGGAACCAGAGTGGAGTCCTTCTCGTTATGTACCCACGACGTGGCCTGGGTCGAGAGCTCCCCACGTCTTCTTGAACGATGGCACGCCCATATTTGACCTACTACACCCCACAGGCTGGACGCTGGTGACATTCGGCAAGACGCACATCAGTGCTCAGTACCTTATCGATTCTGCTGAGGAGTTGAATATTCCCATTAAACATCTGAGTCTCCTCGGAGAGAGCCTCGCAGAGGAGTTATGGGAGCGCAAGATGGTGCTTATACGACCAGACCAGCATGTCGCCTGGAGAGGGGAATCATTGTCGTCGCCTGCGGCTGCTCGCGATATCTTGACGACGGTCGTTGGCAAGAAGCCCCCCCCAAACGAAGTGGCAGTCTCTGAAGACGCCAAAAAACCAAAACATGCTTTCACAGCCACGACTCAGCTAACAACGCAGGTCGACGTCTTCGGACTGGAAAAGATGAGCGACTTCCAACGATAGGATACGACGGTATTAGAGTAGAATGATAGGGGCCATGCACTCGATGCAGCCATCTGTGAGGGCATAAGCAGATTAATCTTTCACGTCACGGTTGGAATTTAGGTATTTTGGTTTTTTAAAAATTCGCGTACAGAAATCAAATGCCTGGGTAGTCTTCAAAGCTTTCTCGAGAAGTTGGATAAGCATAATGATTGGCCTACATTACTAATGTATAAATCTTGATAGGAGGATACCCATTGAGCAATCGGGAGTTGGCTCCTCCGATATTCGCGAGGACTTGAACATCCAAGTCCTTTTGTGCACCCATCATATTCATTTCAATTGAACCCTGTAGAAATCTGCATCAGCTTTGACGCCTTCTTTGGCCATCATTTGGCCAATCGTCCAATCCTCGTGAACGTAATCTTCGGGGACATTCGTTGAGGTGAACGGTGATGCCGTATCGAGGTGGCTTAACGCGGCATCGTAGTTGGCATCGGCGTACTTGGCTGCATCATGCCCATATAGCCAACGTGGCTGAGGTTGATTCAAGAAAGAAGGGTCTTTGGCGACAGCATCCCAGTCGGTTTGGTGCCAACGGTGTCTCAGCTCCCACCCGGCTCGCTGCGTCAGCGACGTTCGCTCAAATCTAATCATGAACGTATTAGCGGCATGCTCTTTCAAATGGGTTTCGAGCATACAACGCACCGCAGCTTTTCAAATACTTTCAACGCTCGCTTAAGGTCCTTCTTGCCTGCTTTCTTGATCAAAACGCCCAGCGTTGCCCCATCTTCAATGGCCTGAGCTCCCCCAGTTCCGGAAGTGGGCAAATGGGGATGGGCTGCATCGCCGGCAAGGACAACTCTCCCCCCATCAGAGACCCATTTGCGGACGGGGTCCCGCCAAAGGAGCTTATAGTCTATCAGTACGCTCTCTGGGATTGACTTCACTAGCTGTTGTAGAAGTGGATCCCAGTCTTCGACGACTTTCAGCATATCCTGGACTTTGCCGGGTATGTTCCAGGACTCTTCGATGTCCGTCGTGTCCTGCGGCAGCACCACTTGTCAGTCTATTGCTCGTGCAGTACATCCTTTGAGAAAATTCTGACCTTGTGCGTGCAGAAAACTGTGACGGCTCGAAGATTTCTGTTTGTGGTGAGGATCGCGTGGGTGTTCTCTCCGATCCAAACGCGATATTCATCATGGTCTGATTCTGCAATATGATTGGTAAGTGGATTGTTATTGAGCGTATCGAGGTCGAACCACGATCGGTAAACCGCAAAGCCGCTTTTCTGGGCCTTTTCCGGCTTTCCAGTCACATATGCGCGAGCCCTGCTGTGGACACTATCAGCAGCGACAACAATGTCTGCCGAGATGCGCTGCCCATTGTAGATGATAGATGCGAGCTCGCCATCCTCCTGATACTCCGTAATGCGAGCATCGAAGGTGAATTGGACACCAATCTCCTTGGCATACTCATACATGTAATTCTGAACCCTAGTTCGGTTGGCGTAGCTATTGGGGAAGCCGTCAAACTCGGAGGGAAGAGGCTGTTCTACCAACAGCTTCCCACTCTTGTCGCAGATCTTCAAGTTCGTTGGAAGTGAAGACACTTTGCGGACCTTTTCTAGCATTCCAGGCCACTGGCTGATGACGCGAGATGCATTCGACCCGAGCATGATGACATCCCCTGGTAGTCTTTGGTCAGGAATCTCGGTGCTTTCAGGGGGCTGATCGCATACCTTGTCTCGAAAGATCCTTGGACAGCTCGTAGACGCTTACATTGCAGCCAATATTCCTCAGCGATATCGCCGTCGAGAGCCCGCCGAAGCCGGCACCGACGACGATAACATTGATGGTATCTCGCATCGCGTCTACCTTCGCAGTAATGATGTTGGATCGACACGATCAGACGCTTGTATTCTGGGTAACAGGTGTGGTCTTCACAAAGGAATATCAATTGGTTAGATAATAACAATAATAATGGTCATGACAGTTCTCGGGCCCGGCTCAGGGAATCCGAATGGAACAATCCAACATGACATCCAAACTTTGCCTCTTGGTCCATTCTGGGTAGCGTTCCGGGGGAATCATGTTCGCTGAGTCGGGCCCCGGAGTCAGCGACAGCCGCAGCTCCACCACTCGGGTCTGAATCCCCCTTCCAATCGTATGTTTGTCAAGGCGGCAACATATCGATTGACGGTAAAACGCCCACGGTCCGCTGTGGTTTGTATGAGGTGCCTGAGACTATCATGCAGCATTTGTTCTCACCAGGGCTGGATTTCTCGTATAGCCCGACCATGGATGCACGAACTGTGAGTTGGATTCTGGCGAGCCTGGTCACTGTCGCGCTGGCCTGGAGGCTATCGCGATATGGGATGCGACCGAAAGACTACCCACCAGGTGAGTATCTGGCTTTGACGGAGTGGACGAGGCATAAGCCTGATCGCCAAACAGGTCCACCCACGCTCCCTATACTGGGCAACCTTCACCAAATGCCAAGCTCAAATCTGCATCTTCACCTACAGAAATGGGCACAAGAGTGTAGGGAGTGGCTTTTCTCTGGCTCGTTGAGCTCTGTGAGACTGACAATGGCAAAGATGGTCCAATCTACTCCTTGAAACTGGGTGGCCAGACCCAGATCGTTGTCAGTTCGCCCGCGATTATGAGAGACCTCCTGGAAAAGCGCAGCAACATCTATTCCACGAGGATGGACATGTTCATCCGGGAGAATAGCGACAATCTCAACATTCTGTTTCGAAAGTAAGTGTATTGGATTCTCCTTTGTTTCGCCTCAGAATCCGCAGAGTGTATACCAACATGTGATCGCAGTAACGATGATGTCTGGAGGCGTCAGAGGAGAATGTACCACCTTCGACTCAATGCGAGGGGTGCTGACAGCTATATTCCATACCAGGTAGGAGAATTCCCGGGTCTCTCTCTCGAATGGGTGCAGTGGTTGGTGCTAAGTCGTCATATCAGTTGTTTGAGAGTCGCCAGTTACTCCACGACTTTCTCGTCTATCCCGAAAGATACGATCAAAATTTCAGGAGATATACCGCCAGTATCGCTTCCACATTGGCCTATGGATGGAGAACTCCCCGCATTGATCTTCCAGCAGTTGCTGGCATGTGTGAAGTATTGATTCCTTCGCACCGTTGTACAACTCTTTCAGAACCATGCTGACAAGCTTCTGGTGGAACGACCGAAATGTCCTCATCGCCAACTCGTTACAAATGACTGACTGGTATCCATCGCTACGACCGATCATCGATTGGATCCCAACGCGGATAAGCTCCCTGAAACAGGAACTGAGAAAAATCAGAAATCTGGAGGAAACTCTTTTCCTCGACCTCTTCGAGAACGCCAAAGCGAGACACAAGGAGGGCAAGCCTCGTCCAAGTATGTGAGAACCCACCAACAGGCTATATCCGCTGACTCAATAACCACACTTGCAAAGGCTTTTCCAACGACATGATTACGGCTAACGAGAAGGCCGGAATTGACAAGCTGGGCGACAAGGAGCTAGCGCATAATGCTGTTCAAGCTGCCATGGGAGCCACGTATGTGATTCCGGTACCGAACAGTTGAATTAGAACCTGAGGGTTAGCAGGGATACACAGTGGAACAGCTTGAAAGGCTTCCTCAAGGTGGACAGACATTTCTAGAATGGATCATTGGCCCTCTTGCTAACAAGTGGACTTACCCAGGCTATGGTTCTCTTTCCCAAAGTTCAAGAAGAGGCCCAGCGGGAAATTGACGAGGTCGTCGGGTCTGAAAGGATGCCAACCTGGTCTGACCGAGAGAAGCTCCCATACGTGCGCGGCGTTGTGGAAGAGAGCCTACGGTGTAGGTGACCGTCTTGTTGGTAGAAGCAGGAAGCCAACTTACGCGCCACAGGGTTTCCAACCACTTTACTCGGTGCTGTACCACACGGTGTAGCTCAGGATGATTTCTACATGGGCTACAAGATCCCTGCTGGCTCGGGAATTATCAACAATGTATGTTTGTCGTTGTGTGGCATGTTGCTCGGATGCCCTGCTAATTCTTGAGCTTGAAAGGTGTGGACGATGAACAATGATCCGACCAGGTATGAGAATCCGCGCGATTTCAAGCCCCGACGCCACGACCCCGCGAAGACTTCTGGAGAGTTTTTCGGAATCAATTCAAATTCTACTGAACGGCCGCACTTCAACTTTGGTGGTGGTCGAAGAGTGTGCCCCGGATTCCATGTTGCAGAGCGGGGCTTGTTCATTGCCATTGCTCGCATGCTCTGGGCGTTCAGCATGACCCCGAAACTCGACGCGTCTGGAAAACCGGTCGAGATTGACAGAGATGCCGTTACAGGAGGGCTGGTCGCGGGCCCGGCTCCCTTCAGGTAAATTGACCCTCATTTTCGTGAGTATCAGGACCAGGGCCGCTGACAAGTATACAAAAGCTGTACCATTGTGCCACGGAACGAGCATCGCCGAGCCAAGATTATTCAGTCATGGGATGATGCACTCAGCTCGCTGGATAGTAGCCATGATTTCACGGATGAGTTCTTCGAGAAAGAATTTAAGGTTCGTAAAACATGACTCAATGATTCTGGAGAAGGATGATTTCTGGCGTGGCACGATTAACACGGTGGCCCTGTCGATGGGATATTCATTCTCGATCTTATGTGGTGTGAAACTTGAGCTCTTCATGCGTAAATACTGCCGCTGATGGTGGAACTCGCCGGCACTCCGGGCGAAGGAAAGCTACTTAGTTAGGGAAGAATGTATCTCTAAATGTTTCAAGGATTCTTGACGAATACCATTTTGTTCCGAATTTTCCCAACCTCTGTTATTTCCACCTCAACCACGTCGCCATCCTTGAGCCAGGCTGGAGGCTTGTGGAAGGCAGCCACGCCACTCGGCGTTCCTGTTATAACTAGAGTACCAGGGTTTATGGTCCGTCCCCGGGTCAGATGCCTGACGATGCTGGGAATGTCAAAGATGAAGTCGTCTGTTTGGGTAAGTTGTCGTTGCTCCCCATTGACGGTGGTATTCAGAGTAAGCCTGCTTAGATGGGGGATCTGGGAGGTCGATGCTAGTATTGGGCCGATCGGTGCAAACTTGTCAAAGGCTTTGGCATATCCATGCTGACCTCCTGATCGGACTGGATCCTGTCAGTATCGCGACGACACGTCATTTCCAACGGTATAACTCAATAAGTAATCAAAGACGTTGTCGGACTCCGTCAGGTTAATGGCACGCTTGCTAAATACAATTGTGAACTCTCTCTGCAGAAAGTCAGTCAGTGACAATACGAGCCTCAGTGGAGCACCGGGACTACTTAGTACCTCATGGTCCATGAAATCAGCCTCTTTGTGAATCGGAATGTCTTCGTAGAGGCCTGCCAATGCTTCTGCCCACGAATGGTCAGTACTGTTGGTCTCTGATTCGAAGGATCCAATTTACCCAGTCCTGCTCCCTTGAGGAAAATTAGTGGGAAAGGTGGCAATTCGATCTGGTTCGGATAAGCTTGCGAAAGCTGATGTACATGTACTTATTATGTACCTTTGCCTCTTCAGCGTGTTTGCGGTAGTTGAGATCAATCCCGTACACGATTGGTGCTGTGGAAATTGGACTCAGTACTCTAGCAATTTTTGCGGTACTCGTGCCGAGCTTGGAGCTGCTCCCCCAGGGCAATCCGCCATTGTATACACGCACATCGACGTTGGTCAGGTCGTCCGACGAGCTCAGTTGCTCTGGGACTTCTCCATACTGAATCTCGCCGTTGGAGTCTTCAAATCTGACAAGACGTCCGAAGCTGGCTGTCGACATCTTCTACTGAGAGGTGGATTCACCGATTGCAAGGTGATTGTTTCTAGGAGCAGGAAGGCGTAAAGGGCGCGATTCTCAATTGGCCTCTGGTCTGACTTCTCGTGCCTTACATTTCTCGCATCAAAATTGTTCAACTAGCCCTCCAGGATTCCCGGTTCTTGGTCTGGGCTCATGTTGACAGGGTCTCAAGGTAGTCACTGTGGTAAACCATCTAAGACGCTAGCTGTTTCACCAACTGCGCCACATCGTTGTTCTCGCCGATCTACGAGAGTATAGCGACGGAATAGGAGGTTTTAGGAACGGCCTTCCGAGCACAGGCCAAAGGGTATATAAATAGACAGAGTCTCTCTAAATAGCTAGGGGAATAGAACATAATTAACAAGATAGATCCACTCTCATTCTGTGTGCAATAATAGCTCACATCGGACTAGTGACGTAGGTACATCTGTCAATGTCAAGTCGAGAGTTGATCGCTGTCTAGGCCTATTGAGCGCCCAGAATGTGGGTGTACCACTAGGAAGAGGCCAAGAGAGACCTCTTGCATGGATGAAATCGATGAGTTCATCCGCGTGTGCCATGACTCGTTTGTACACATATGTACCACTCTATGCCGGGTGGTGACGGTTGAAATAGCCCGCTACGATGAGCAGGATGGATTTGGAAGAGTTCTGGCTATGTTCTTGGATCATTTCTTCGATCTCGTCGAGGATGGTTGCATGCTTTGTATATCGTAGATATGGTGGAGGTCAATGGGTTCGACGTACACCGAAAAGACCAGTATCTGTCTCTCCTCATTCCAGATGTTCTGGAACGGAGCGAGAGCAACTCCTTGATCTCATCGTGAAACACGCTAAATCTTCAAAGACCAAATGGCTCCTATCCAGACGCAACGACACCGACATTAAGCAAGTCTTAATGCACGATGGCCGGATGCTCAGTTTAGAGTTAAATGAAGAGCACATCTCCAGGGCAGTTCGTGCTTTCATTGAATAAAGGACTAATGAGCTTGCAAAGAAAAATACATACAGCTCAGAACTTAAGGAGACGGTTAAGAGGTACTTAATCACCAAGTTAGGTTCGACATTTCTTTGGGTGGCTTTGGCTTGTAAGAGGCTTCTCAAGGTCCCGTCACGGAAGGCACTCTCTACACTGCAGGATCTGCCACCAGGCCCAAAACTTCTATTCACGAATGATGGACCAAGTGTTTCAAACTAAGGATGCAGAGGACCGGCATATATGTGTGGGCATCCTTCATTCAGTGATGCTAACGTTTCGACTTTTATCTGTGGAACAGCTGATCACCACAGCGCGACTTCAGCCTGAGCTTCGGACCGCCGAAACACCAAGCCCATTGAGTCTTCACCGTACTCTTCGGAGGCTGTTCATGGAATCTGGAAGCCGGGTGGAACGCAGTAGGGCGACTGACTGGGCTGGAAGAAAAGGCAGCTAGTATGGGGCGGACATGTGCCGCCAAGCTATGAAGGTGAGCGATTAGGCCGGTAAGTATTAGAGGCGTCAAGTTTACTTACTACCCAGTTGCTGGACACGTCGCACACCTGCCAGCCAGTCTTGTCTGGCGTGCAAGAGTAGGTGCCGGGTTTGCAGACTCCACGCCTAACCTCCTCAACAGGGGCGCAGAACGCCCCGGTGGCCAGGGCAAGAGCGGTTATGAAGGTCGTCCTCATTTGCACGGTCTGCTGTTGTATGGAACTGGAAAATCGATCCCCAATAAATAATTATTAGAATGTAAGTCTTTTTGAAACAGCTTCCCAACTTATAGTAACGTCGAGGTCGTGCTTTACGATTGAGTTGAAGAGGGGAATACTCCGTGGCCGTTAACCTCGTAAGAGCGTGATAATTTTAATAGACTCGCATCCCCAAAAATAAATACCCCGCTCTCTCCAGCGGTCAGGGTTCACTTCTGTTCCGCGGTGGCGATTCTCGAGCTTCTCGTATTCCCTGTAACGCCCCGCTCATTCATCTCCACCACGTCCGCACCACGCACGGTCCAAAGTCTAGGACTTCCGTACAGCAACCAAGGCAAGCCAACGGTGGGAAAGAGGGCGTTACAGGAATACGAGGCACACGTCAACACTACACACTGTTCATAGTCTAAACCTTCTATGCGAACCGTCACTAGGGTAAGCTAAAGAAGGTGGAATAGATAAATTAGCGGGAGCAGGGATACGAGAAGGCCCGAGGTCTAGAACATTCACGAAACTTAAATGCTTGGCGCTTTCCCCCATCTGCATTGCCCTCCATTATCTCGTGTTCCCGCCGTTAAGCACTTTTTAACAGTTTATCACGTTGGAAAACAAGCTACTGCTTCTCTCGGAAAACTCATGATGTCATCTGGCAAAGCATTGACCATGCCCATACGAGCCCCTCCTCCAGCAGTTTCTAGAGTAGGAGCTCATGATGCGTTCATGCTTAATTTTATACACATAGAATTCTATGCATAAAGACTGGCCAGCTACAGCGTCTTGAAGTCTTTAAAAGATTTCTCAGGTGATCGTTATGTAGGTATATCATCTAGAGGGTGATTGGAATTATATCGATCATATATACCTTTCTCGGCTCAGCTTCACATGCTCTCACAGGAGTTCTCACATGCTCCCAGAGAATATGACCCCAGTGTGGCTAACGTCAGTCCGCCACAGCAAGACGCTCAACTACGGGCCGACTGCGTTTGTGAGTGGTTTCCTGCGTGCGCTCAGAAAGTGAAAGCCCCGGAATAGCTACGATTCCCCATACTAGTTTCAAAAAGCTTAGCGCTCACTTTCATAAGATATCATTGGGTACAGGGCGCGCACTTGAACGACAGGACTGTCCCAATTCTCTGCTAATCCATATTCTCGAGATCGTAAAATCTTAGACATCGACAATCTCTATGTAATGGTCTGCATTTGAGCCCATGACAAGCGAAGTTTGAACTGCAAGATTGTATCAGTATGTATTCAGCGCCTGGTATCGGAAAGATTAATCTGCACACCACATCGCACCACAATGTCAGTTCAACCCCAGAACCTATGTTCTCCCTTTTGTACATGTGGGAGAAGCATTATTTAGAACGTTCGTTACTCATATACCAAGCAGATAAAAGATTCATCCGCCTACCGCCAAACACAAAAATTATCCAGCCTGATGTAGATACTGTGTAGTTAAATCTGTCGCCTTGTGAATTGGCGTAGGCTGATGACTGATTCCGTGCAGGCCACAGAAAGGTGAGCTAAGCCAGTTTAGTAGTAAGCCGGATGACCTGCATGCAGACAGCGAATATAAAATGTTGGCGCTCCCTCGTGCTTTGGACTCATCAGGATGAGATTTCTTGACAGGCCTACACATCAGCAGGCAACTCGATGACATTTCTAATATACGTCTGTACCCCACCACGGACCACGATGAAGACCTTCACACTCATCGTAGCGACGATTGTGTCTTTGCTGGGTTTCGTCGGCACCGCCCCAACTTGTCCGGGACACGTTCAGTCCGGCCAGATATCCTGTACGTGTAACAGTGATGGCGGCGTCACCTGTACCTCATTCCAGCTCTGCGGCGTCGGAAACAGCAATGCAGATGTCTCTCTCTCGAGCGGATTCACCGCCACTGTGGAGTGTCAGAACAACGGCGGTCAGATTGTCGATGTCAAGACACGGACGGTCACCGACTCTGATTCCGCTACTGCTGCCCCCAACAAAAACGGTTGTCTGACAGTCCCGCAGCTATCCACACAGCGGCCGACAACCCAATCTTTCCTGGATGCTGCCAAATGTCCGAACAGAAACTGGACGAAGCAGGTCCTTGGGGGCACAGTCAGTGATACCTTCACGTATACCGTGAAGATTGGGTGTACCTACCCCCCCAACTCCCATCAGCGGAACATGTTCGGGTTGAATGTAGTATTTGAAAGCATTGGTAGTTTTTTTTGTTTGCCTCACCATCAGCGGTTCAAGGTATGCGTCAGTGTTTGGGTCAAACAAATATGGGATAGGTCGAAGGCATGTATGAGTTGGACCTGGAGTTTAAATCGGAGTGAACCATACTCAACGGTACTTAGCTTGCTGTTCTGGAGTTCGTTTAAGCGTCCTTGGGTCTCTAATCGTTGTGCTGACATGCTCTCTTGTTGTTTCCAGATTTCCTCATGTCTGGCATTCAGCTGACCCATTTCTTGAGCCACATCCTCCAATCCCTCGGCTAGCAAACACTCTTCCTCTTTCAGCCTCCTGAGTTCTTTTTTCGCCACTTCTATTTCTCTCTTCATCTGGCCTAAACTAACGCTTTTCTCTTCCAATTTCTGATTTAACTCTTCCCTTTTGCGAATCTCTTGTTCTTCTGCTTTTTGTATGCACTCAATCGCCACCATCCGACCCAAGTATTGCACAAAATTCGCCTGTGGCAATGGATAAACCTACCCTGCGGCACAGAATTTGTAACCAGGCGGACCGCCAATCACAGCTTCACGGTTGGGACATTTTCTCCTCTGCCGACTTAGTCTGACGCAAGACTGTTAGGTGATATCAGCATCGGCATCGTCTTTTGTAGCTTCCATGAACTACCTGGTCAATATCTATTCATCGTTGGCAACCCTGGCACAGGATGCTTCTCGCACCATTGCAGGAGGACATGATTTACTCACTTTTAGCTCATTTTGCTGATTAGATCATTGGCACTCGATACTCTACGAACCAGATGAGGAACCCAAATCCTCACAGTAGTGTGACCGCGGCTGCCTTAAGAGTTCCATTTCTTCCTTCCAAATGCTTAGAGCTCATTAACAGGAGCTAGCTGACTTCCCGTCTTGTGGCCCGATTTGCTGTTTCTTCAGAATTCCTATCCAGGCCGGACGCCCTGTGCTCCGACCTAAGAACTGCGTAAGCTCCCGCACCAAATCCCCTTCAGCCCTGCTCACCTATCTTCCCACGATTACATTATTCCAATCGTGACCGATGTCCCTGCCTTAACCGTCCCTTACCATCCCGAAGGAAAAGGCATTCGAGTAATTCAGAAGTATGTGAGCACCGTTTCCGAGAAGCACGGCTGCCGCCAGCGTTCTACGCAGGAAGAAGACATATGCAACTATGACTTTGTCGGTGCAGTTGGCCTCAAAAGGAGCAGTGCCCGAAAAGCGACGATAGTATACTACGTGTACTGGATAGGCTTTGGCCCTAATGACATAAGTTGGGAGCCGGAGCGTAATCTCTTCAGAGGTGACTTGGAGGTGCCACGGTCAAAATATAGACTAGTCAATAGTGCTGGAAAAATTTGCTGAATACCTGGAGTAAATGACATACGGGTGCAGCCTAATTTATCTGACTTCGGAGACTTCGAGGTGGAGGATACGAAGGTTGTAAATCATATCAAACCACAAATCTCGGTCAACGATACGGACGGCAGCCAGGGGAAGGACCCTATACAGATAAGCATAACAGATTCTGGTGCTTCCAGCGCTCCTAAGGAACTGGAATCTTGCGCAAATACAGAGCAAGGTTATCCAGAGAGAGATATTGGCAGTTTGTATGAACGACGCTCTTCTTTCTGCAACCGGATTTCTTCACAGACTACCAATGAGCAATCGTCTTCAACGATAATCTCCTTACAACCTAATGAAATGGAGATTGACTTCTTCCAGAAGATACACCAAAGAGACACCCAAAACACTCCAGACCTGTGCGAGACAGGCGGCACGACTTTATCAACTTTATTAGAGCCGCTATCGCAGACCACAAGAGATCCCGAGAGGGATCCTGAAATGAACGTGGTCGATTCTTGTTTCATCTAGCATGACAGTGGGATTGTACACAAGAAGTCCAAGCGCAGACGAAGGTTCTGTAATCGCACTAGGACCGGTTGCCTTTCGTGCCGCGAGAGAAAGAAAAGTGCGATGAACAACGTCCATTGTGTGAGTCTTTCCGGTACTATCTATGTTCCACTGGAATCAGTCTGATATATCTACGTGGTAGGTGAGAATTGCATTCGCCTCGAGCTACCATGTAAAGGCTATGACTATGGTCCTCCACGAGTTATACTTCGGCCCGTGTAGCTCCACAAAACGAAATGTTCCATGCAGGTTGAAAAGATATCCACGAGCTCCTCGCCTCAATACTCTAGCTCATCTGCGCTTTCTCAACGTCCAGTACAGAGCCATCATGCCATGGACAGGTATTGGAACCTAACCTGGCAAGTTGGACTTGAGAATCTTCCACGTTTACCAGGACTTGGATTATCAACAGTCAACCCCAAGACTCGCCTAAGACCAATTTGACCGTAATCCCTCCTTTGTCGTTGCATATCAGCCTCTTTTCCCTGCGTTAACCCCACTTCTCGGCTGGCCACACAGCTCCATTTTCAGTGCCGAACCAAAACCTGCCTCAACCAGTCGAGCCCTCGATATTGACAGTCACAAACATAAATCAACGACGGCCAACACCCGAATTTCCTGGACCCCTTCAGCGCAGAGTTGACCAATGTATCTGCGAGGGTGAACCTCGAAAAGTTGAAAGTATTGGTGAGTTGCATAAAAACGGGTTCTTGAATCCTTGCCGTGCTAATCGCTAAGAGTAGTCCAGCGCACAATTCGCTTGCGGTGACGGCATTGAAAAAAATCTTAGACATTAGCCAAACCGTGAGGCATCAAAGCAGCCTGTAGATCTGCAGGAATGCGAGAGATGCTGTTTGGAGAGAGATCAACGGTGGGCTTTTGGTCTGAGACGGGATTGGTGGCTACGATATCAAGGAGATGACTCGTGTCGAGGCACCAAGTACGACCCTTGGCCCCAGTCTTCCAGCTTTTCTCGTTTCGAGAGCCCATGGCAATCCCTGAACTAACTACTAGACTTGAAGCTCAGAACTGGGAAACGAGTGTGACATTCCTAGGAACTATCTATGAGGGTAGGGAAGTCACTTGTAGGCATAGTCAGCGCACGAGGGCACTGGCTAGTGCAGCGACTGCCTGGTAGGTTGATTGATTGATTGATTGATTTATTCTTACGCCCCAGCGTGCCGACACTGGGCCCTTAGGCTGACTATGCAATATCTACACACGGAAAGCGAAGCGATCTGCGCCTCGCCCAGTTTCAATCTAAGCCCGATGGAGTCACGTATACTCGAGTAAACCTCCAGCTTTTGTGATTCTATGTTCAACTCCCTTATCCAGACCGATTCCCACTTCCGCCTCTGTCTATCGTGTCCGAGACTAATTTCTCGGGTGTCGGCCTTCGGTATATCGGCAGGTCGACTATAACGTTCAGAATATGTCGTTAAGATCCGGAGAAGAGTTCCTAATTTTAGCTTAGTCGTCCAGTGACCATGGCGAATTCCACTGTTCGAAGTACAACATTAAGATCTAGTTTCCAGAGTTTCACCAGGCCATCGAGAGGCTCCCCGGATGGTTGCTGTTGGGCCGATTGACCCCTAAGAAAAATGGTCCCCCGCGTTTAGTATACGAGTTCACAATGTATGACCGCATATGTAATAGTTAGGGCACCCTAAATGAACACTGCCTGGCCAGACAAGTGGACGGCTAAGTTACTTAGATTGGTGATGCTACCAAACGAAACATTATCGTCTCCGATCCCGATCTTCATCAGCGTAAGTGTTATCCAGAACCTTCTACGTAGGCCTAATTTGCCTTCGAGTTTTTCCATCTTTAATTAGGGCCCGTGAACTTGCATTATATTACACATAGAGCGCATCTATCGTTGGTTACCGAGAGATCGTAGACTCATAACTGAGATGCCCGTTTAAGTAGGATGCTACTGTAGGTGGCATAGCAGCGTACGTTGATTTCTCAAGAGTAGCATATCTCGTACGCTTAAGAGTCGTTTACTCGGTAAGGAGCTCATTAGGAGAAGTATTATATTCGTTCTCTTAGAGCACTGACAGAGACGTACGGCTGTCCGTCAATATGGTTGAAGGAGTATCAATAGGTGCGCGTCGGGCTATCCGATTAGCGTGATCGATGAAATTATCTCAATCGGTTTTAGCTCGATCCCGGTTGTAACGGAAACTATTAGCTCCTTCTCTAAAAGTATTAATATTATTATTTATAGTATTGTAACAAGGCAAAGTGGCTATACTGTAATGAGCTGTGCTGAGCTAATAGAGCGGTGGCAGAGAGGAAAAGTTATCTAGTCACATATTGAACTGGGGCGAGGCTACTAGCCATGGGCATCAACTCGTACGGCGGTGGGATAGCCTCTTCACAGCACGCACACTCCACCAAAGGAAGTTCTCTCTCTTCGTAACTTGATTGCTTATTCTATGAATGATAGTCCCCGAGGACTATATAAGAAGAACCTTAGTCTAGCGTCGACGCCCCAACCAATCATAAAGCTATCCACCACTTCAAACTTCTCCCATTACAATATCAAACCTAAATGGGCTGGCAGAGGGGGTGCGGAACAATTTACAGTGCTGGCAATGTGCCATTCATTACAGATTTAAGCAGAGTATCATAAATTCTATGGCTTTTTGGCGCCGTCTACCTAATTTCTAAGTGTTTTATCAGTCCTGTCCTGTTCCTCGATGCTGCCGCTGTGCTAGATGTTCGTAGCTCTAGCCACCGCCCCTCTGGGTGGTGTTAGTGGTGTTTTATCAGTATTAACTAGAAACGCGTTCTCGATTCCCGATCTACTGGATAGGCCTCTGTGCGTTGTTACACGTGCACGCCGAACCCTGAAGTGCTCTATTACAATACTAAGTTTCTTCCGTTCTTCTACTTAGTACGATGCTTATTAGTTCTTATTTAGCTTCTATTATTAGATAGAAGTATAAGGAATATTCTAGTGCCTAACCGTCATCGGCAAAATTTCCCGCGCGACCCTAAGAGCCCTGGGCTGCCCTGGGCTGTCAAGATAAGTCTGCGTCTTACGCAGCTTATGAGACCGCTGGGCTCGCTGGGCTACTCTAAGAGGGCCCTGGGCTAATATAATAATTTATAACTTTACGAATATATAAATATACTAGTCGTTTAAATTAGTACTAACTAAGATTATATTATACTAAAATTAAAGTAGATATATATAAAATATAAGGTTTCGAACTAAATCTTAAATTATTAGCTTAATAGCGTTAGTATTCACTAAGATAAAGACTTAGTAAGTTATTTACTTTTAGCGTAAATCTTATTTCCGAAATAGAAAAGATCTTTTTAAATTTAATAATATTATATAATAAGTATATTATAAAAGTTACTAAAAATAGATGGTCTATAAGAGCTCATAGCCTAGATATAAGAGCTGTGAGCGACTGTGGGCTCCCTAGGCTCCCTAGGCATATAAGAATGCTGTGAGTCGCGGGAAAAATTGCTGATGGTCCTAAGAGTAAATTCGAATAACTTAAAATATAATAGCTATTAGGTTATAGTATCGGGATAAGGTCTATCACTGCTATTATTATATAGCGAAATGAGACTAGATGAGATATTATCGTAGTTACGTTATAGACTAAACTTACACTTATAGAACTTTTTTAAACTTATCGCGCGGCTAGGGTATCAAATTAATCGGTGTAGTATAAGTCTAGTGAATAACCACTCTTCTCGTGTTTCATTAGATACCCTACCTTAGATTATAGCGCTAGGAAGGGCTACGTACTAGATCTTTCGATAAACTATGAGAATCCTAGATACCTCTTTAAAGTGTCACATTTATAAGAAAGAATAATTTAAGACTTTTCTATTCAATTAAAGTCGTGCAATTCCAATTGAGTCTTATCTTGCTGCTGATTTTATCTCCTGGGTTGTTCATCATGCCTACGAATCCGAATCTAACGGTGGAATGGGGAAATACGACGTTGTACAGGAATAAACCTAATGCTAGGGTATATATTAATGTCAGACTATTGCCACTTAAAAACTAAGAGCTAACTAATAAAAGAACCGGATTATATAGTAGCAGATTAGATCATAGGCTACACATAACTATCTGGTATTTGGACTGAAGAAATTAACCACTTCCGAAACTTACCCACATTCATCTGCCCTGAGATGCCCCGGACTACGTTACGAAGAAGTGACGAGGAATGTGGTGTATCCTGAGCTATTCGAGGAATGCTTGCATTGGTCTGTCTGTTCTTCTATGTCTCTTCTCTGTGCTCTCTGAATGAGGGCTTACTATATGTACAATAGTGTCTCTGCGTCTCGTTCTATTGTAACTGCCAAAATAACCTAGATTCTGCTACAGCTAAATCGTGTATAGGCGGTTGTCAATTTTCATTGCTCACGCTTTAGTCGCTCCTGGTGCTCCCGTTCTCGCGATGCTACCTCATGGTGTTATGACTTATACTTGCCGCACCCTGTCTATGTTGACAATTGTAATTGTCCTGAGGTCGTGGAGAAGCACAGTCTTCCCTCGAAGACAAGCGCGCAGGGGTCAGAACACCCATCTCGAAATGCTTCTATATATCTGCTCAAGATGCCCACCTTCTAATTAGCATCATGAAGAACTGATATCCCGCCCTCGAACTGTCATTGTTGAACCCGGGCAAGCAGGATATCGGGATGAAAAACCTAACCGTGCACAAAAGGCTGCATGGCATCTCAGCACAGACCATGACAAACGCAAACGTAAATTAGCTATATACTTTCGCCGTAGATTCCCGCTTTTCCCGCACGGATATGTCGAGATTATACTCAATGGTCAAGTATCCACCAATGCACTACCACAGATTAGCCATTGCTCATGCTAGAGAGTATGGTGCATTTGTACCGAAAATCGGTTGGGAAGAGTTTGTATGCCAAAGTCATAGAGGAGGTCCGCGACGTAAGAATAAAGATGCATTCATTCTTATTCCAATCTTCGTCGGTCAGTATTTACAGATCTATATATGATTATATTTAGACGGCCGCAGTACAGACCTTAGCGTCTATTCTTCTCGCAGAGTGTCCATCGAGTATCCGGCACAAAAATGGACCTCCCCTAATGCTTGATACACCATCCCGACTCATTCTTATGGCGCATTCGCTCTACGGGCACTTCGGCTACATTCCGTAAACTTTGCCCTGTCTTCGCAGATGGATGTGGGTATTTCATGCGTGGGAGACTTCCTTAGCAAGGACTCAAGGCGAAGCGGGATACCAAATACTAGCTAGTTTTGGAGAAGAAGCAGGGAACCAGTGCCAACGAACTTTGTGCAGGTCTACCAACCGAGTTTGAGGAATACATGAATTATGTTCGCAACTTGCGCGACGAAGATCAGCCGAACTATCTGCACCTACGGAAGATGTGAAACAAGCTGTTTTGCCGACAAGGGATCGAATACGACAACGTATTTAACTGGACGGTTCGAGAATTTCTGAGGCTGGAGCCTAACGCCTAAGAATCGCTTACATCGAGAGATGTGGATGAACGATGTGGAGAGGATGCTATGAAGCCATTAGGTGATGCAGCACAGAATGTGACTAAGGTAGCACGTCGAAAGAGGAGATAACATTCGACTACACGCCTCCAGTGTGCATCTAAAAGCTGACGGCCGGGTCCTAGAGTCCGTGCCTTTACGAAACTAAAGAGTGGCTATTATCGATCATCGAAAGCTAACCATCTCGGAAAGGCTAACAGCCTATTGCCGCACCGTCCTTTAACCCATTAAAATGTCTCACCGGTTGAGAGGCTGGTCATAGTTGTTACCTGTACGGCGACCGTTATGGCGACCACCCTTACAAGTCGGTAGGTAGGCTTAATACTAGGGCGGAAGAGAAGTTGACGTGGCTTCTGGGTCGAAGAGCCTTTCTGTTCGAGCTCCCCTATAAATTCGTACGCGTAAGTGGCCAAAGTCATTGCACTGGCTGCAATGTGCGCTCCTGAATTTTGTCCCAGTGGTAGTACTCTGAGGTCCACCCGCAGTCGTAAGTGCGAATCTAGATACGGGCTGCTGACTCGGATCGGGTTGGAAAGTCTACTAATCGAGTTTCATGCTTAGGTCTCTAGTATCGCAAGAGACCTCGGCGGTACAAAAAGTCAGATTTGTATTCCAAATGCACTTTCCCTTTCCAGGCTGTGCTTGCGCCCGTCCTATCTTCGGCAGCCAACACTTTTCCGGCGTGCAAACCGCTCCTTGTCGGGTGCTGCGTGTCATCCTGCATCGGGTCTGCGATTTCAACCGGTGCTAGCGACGCTTCTAGAGCCGTCGCCCCCAGACACTCGTTGATATTGAGTTCGCTACTGTGCTACTTACCTGCTGCGTTCCGAGCAAGATATTACCAAGAGAATGGAGAGCTAGTGAGTTCGATCGGCGAAGCAAACCATCCAAATAACGCTGAATAGTTCAATCACTAGTGGCTCAAAGTTGCCTCAATATTGTGGTTGCGTATACTGCAATGTCAGCGTCTCTGTTAATCGGAGCACTAACGAGAAACAATGCGCACACTAGATGGCATAACTTCTATGTAGGTTTCCGTCGACCCCAGCCTATTGTGCTACGACTGACCCGACATAGTGGATTCGATGGGACTCTAGATTCGGTTTGTCCGTTGGGTACTGGCCCTAGAAGTGGTATACACGACTTCATCATTTGCTACTTGAGTAAAAACTATAATATCTCGACGTGCCTAGCTTATTACAGATAGAGAGTGGCTATTAGACTATAGGTTAACCCTATGAGACGAATCAGCATCTAGGACCGCGGTGAAATGAGGTTACAGTAAGGGGTATAGCGTATGCTGGAGCTACTCTAGTTAATTCCGAGTACCTGATCCGACCCTTACATCACCATGCGAAACTTAAGCGCGTCTTTTTCGACAATCTCCTTCTCTCTCGCCATCAATTCAGGCATATCCCAGCACACAGCGACGAATCGACCGGCAAGCCAATCTCTCTTCTTACTGCCTAAGAACGCAAAGGTATCGCCAACCAAGTCGGGCGTATCATTGAGGAGATCTGTGGAACCACGTATCAGCCCGAGCACAAGTCTTGGGATCCATGCTCGACTCACGGTGCATGTTCGGAGGTATATTCTTGGCAAGCTCGGTGAGCATCGACGCTGGATGCATCGAGTAGGCTAGTAGCCCCTAAAAAATGAGTTAACGTCTCCGGTTTCCCGTACGATGTCGATACGACCGGCACACCCAGAAGCACACTCACCTGGTCACCGTAGTCCTGCATCAGGAACTCGGCGAAGCGGACGACGGCAAACTTAGTCGTCTGGTAGGAACTGGCACCCGTGGTGAGGATGTGGGCGCCAAGGCTGCTGATTGCGACGAAGGTCTTGTCGCCGCCGCAGCGCAGCAGCAGGGGCAGGAAGGCCTTGGCAGTCCAGTAAGTGCCACGGATGTTAATCTCCCAGGCATACCAGTAGTCAGCCTCGTTGCCCTCAAGTAGCGGCACGAAGGGTGGCAGGAAGCCGGCGTTGCTGATTAGGATGTCGATCCGCCCCCACTCGCGCTCGAGCTGCTCCGCCGCCGCCGCGACGCTTGCTCGGTCCTCCAAGTCTATAAGCAGCACCGTCACCGTCGGCTCCGGGTGCCCCCCCTGGGCCGCTGCCGCCTTGACCTCGCCGACCAGGTCGCTGACGTCGCGCCGCACGCCCAGCCCGATGTGCGACGCCCCTGCGCGTGCGTATGCCTGCACCACCGCCCGTCCCACGCCACCGTTGGCACCCGTGATTAGCATCGCCTTTCCCTTACAGTCCCAGCCGGGCGAACCCTTGGTGTCAATCGCCGGGTATGTGTCATGGTGCGTCGTCTGGGTAAAATTTTGTACTTATCACGTCTGTTAGTGAGGGCGAGAGCGAGAGCAACGCGGAGGCGGAATATATTCGAGGGACTTTACCGGCTTGGGACATTTTATACGCTGGTGAGAGCGAGAAATCTTTACCGGCTTGAGACATTTTTGTTCGCTTCAGGACCTGGTGTCTTTTAGAAGGACGAGGTCCGTGGATATGGCGAATTACCTGTTGACTATAGACAGTTTAATCTTCACTGTCTTCCGTTGCATAGATTTTTGGGGCTGCCTCCATTTATGTCCCATTATCTAGACATATTGTGATGCCGTGTCTCTTTTAACGGAGATAAACTATTTTATTCTGTAACTCCTGAAGAGCTACCCCCAGCAGGTCCGCATTCACAGACAACCTGTACTTAAGTCCATTATAATGAATCGCGCTTTCAGCCCCTTAGTGCTGCAACAGCAGCCTTATCTCGGATTTAAGAAGCTTCTAAGTAAATGCAGCTAACTCCGTGCATGTCTTCTAGCTCTACCTGTGTCACGGTGCAACCGTGAACGGCACGGTCTTACCGAACCGGCTAGCTCTATTGACATATTCAGTTCTCTGCCTCGTCATCAGTCAATGCTTCCGTTGCTGCTGCGTTGATTTCGCGTCCAACGCTGACGAGGTTTTGCGTCAGGGTGGATTTAGTGCTGCTGTGGATCCCAAATACCCCTCGGTATGATTTCCGGGCCTGTTGACAGTATTCAAGGGCGATTTAGCTCTTTCCCTGCCCGCCCAGTGCATGAATTACTAAGATTTGAGGTCGCTCCACTTTATTTGCGAAGTAGGACGTGACCTGCTTAAGCCGTTCTTAGTGGCCAAAGAAGTTCTTCACCCGCAGTCTTGGCACCAAAAAGTCCGACTTCAGTTTCACCGACTTGGGTTCTATAAGTCCTTGTAAGTATCTTCCTATATTGACAAGGTGAAACAATTTAGTTGAGGAATAGGTGTGACACATTGTAGAGCGTAGAAGTATTTGAGAAGGATTCTTCACAAAGCTAACCTACCAGGAACTAGGTCCATATAAGTGAGAAGCTCCTTCGCGCAAACCGCTGCTGTGGTTGCCGTATAATGATGCCACACATCCATTTTATAAGAATCAGTATAGTCACAAATACTCTAGAGTACTTTTATTGTCACGGAAACACCTCTGCAAGGTTGTGCATAACGTTTTTAGGTGTCTGGTCTAGTTGCACGAGCCAGATAACAATCTCCCCTCGCTATTATGCTGTTTTATTGTACCAAGGCAAGGTGACTGTGCTGTGATGAGCTGTGCTGGGCTGGTAGAGCGGTGGCAGAGAGGAAAAGTTGTCTAGTCACATGTCAAATCTAAATGGGCTGGCAGAGGGGGGTGGGGAACAGTTTACAGTGCTGGCAGTGTGCCATTCATTACAGAGAGAGCAGAGTACCATGAATTCTATGGCTTTTTGGCGCTGTCTACTTAATTCCTAAGTGTTTTATTAGTTCTGTCCTGTTCCTCGATGCTCCCGCTGTGCTAGGCATTCGTAGCCCTAGCCGCTACCCCTCTGGGTGGTGTTAGTGGTGTTATTTTGTCAGTATCAACCAGAAACGCGTTCTCGATTCCCGATCTGCTGGACAAGCCTCTGTGCGTTGTTGCACGTATACGCCGAACCCTAAAGTGCTCTATTATAATATAGTTATTAGAAAAAGAAATAACTTTCTTATTTATTAAGTATAGTAACATCAGCAAAATTTCCCGCGCGACCCTGAGAGCCCTGGGCCGCCCTGGGCTGTCAAGGTAAGTCTGCGTCTTATGCAATCTATGAGACCGCTGGGCTACTTCAGCGCGCCGCGTACCAACCCATGGGCTTCTAGGGTTGTTGCTAATTAGCTCAGCTATCTCTAGCGTCTCCCTGTTCTTTCCATTCCACACCTTCCACTAATTATGACGTTCATCCTATAGCTTCTATATACTTTAGGTATCTATATTTTATTAAGACTATAGGCTCTAAACTCCATTAAATATATCTCTATCGGTGAAGCGCCGCCATTACTCTATATATATAAAGACTATATAGTTTTAATAGAACTTCGATAAATATAATATCGTAAAGGCCCGTAGATATCTAGATATCTAGCGTACTCTAAATATATTCTAGAGTAGTTATGATATACACTACTTATCGATTATTATTTTCTTCTACGTCTCTTACTAATATAATATATAATGAATAGAAAATAATCTAAACTTCGTTTAGTGATCTTATTTATCTAGATATTATTATTCTATACTCACTACTATTAATTTCTACTAATTCTAATCGCTTCTCGCCGCTCGCGTAGTGCTTATATTTACGCCGAGTACTTATCTTCTTTCTATTATTCTCGACTATAAAGTATAGTTCGGCTTAATTAGCGTATTCTATTTAGAATCCGCCGAAGCTCTTCGTCGTCAGAGACTACGCTTTTCTTCTCGTTATCGTTTTTCTTTATATATACTTATATTAATAGAGATTTCGTAGTAAGTAACTCTACTAACTAAGATATTAAAGTATTATAAACTTAGTTTATTAGAGTTATAAAGCTTATATTTAAGTCGAACTTAACTTATTAAATAATTTCTACGACGTACTAATAAAAAGTATATTCTTAGACGTTCTTTCCGAGTATTTAGTTAATCGATTACTATTATATTTTAGTATCTATCATTACTCTTCTCTTTCGGTATCTAACTTACTTCGTTAATAATGAGGCTAATTACGAGTTAGTTCTCTTAATTATATTTCTCGTTTATACGAGTAGACGATATTTTCTTCGCTAACTTCTACTAAAGATACGATAATAGAAATATTCTTGTTCGAAGGACTTAGAGAACTATCTAATGTATAGATAGTAAGGCT